AGTGGTAGCTCTCTCAGTCGGCCGAGGCTACCCTAGAGTGTACACGGCGTCCGTGCCCGAGCCCTACCATCCCCGCCGTGCCCGTACCCGCGAAACTGAGGGATCTACTTGTGGAAGAACGAGGCGAAGGAACGTAAGACCATGCTTTCAATTCAATCGACTACACGTTTTGACGTATTTTTCGCCAAAGTGTAACGCGACACTCGTCTTGTACTTATTCTGATCAATCCTCAAGGCGCGCCAATATCTGGGCGGGCCTTAAGTCCGCCTCCGCGCGCTCTGGGATTAATCAGGGTCGGTTCCAGACGGAGCTAGAGGACGGTCGTCCTCTAGGAAAGTATGGAATAATGTGTTCTTTATATTTTTTTATTCTTTTTATATTAATTCGTATGGTATCAGTAAACATTTAACATGCAAGATAGTTCTTAGAAACAGAAGAAAAAAAATAATATGAGGAGGTGGAACCTCAAGGAATCAAAGAATGAGGAAAGATCCGAACCACCCATCATATTTATTTTTTTACAAAAGGCGGTGTTAGTGCCGCTCAAAAGAGCAATTTTTTTCACCGCCTAGTCGATTCCATCTGACTAAAAAAACCAATAAATATTGATTGAAAGGGCATATTACAGTATAGCCCCCCGCATATGTTGGATATCACCCCCCGCGACACGTTCGAACAAGCCCCCACACTTATCCAATATAGCCCCCCGGAACTATCCAGTATAACCCCCACACCGAAAAAGTCACGCAACGATCACGCAGGACACGTGTCAGAGCTTCCATTTTTAAATTTATTTTTCTAATTTTTTTCGTATCATTCGTCGTTCTTGGTTGTTTCAAATGGTTTTTTTGTATTTTCGCATGTAAATTCGTGTTCTTTTTGTGAATTTAATAATTTTTTTGTGATTTGATTTGTAGATCATGGAAGAAATTAGGTCGCTGTCCGAGTTTCATGAGAAGTTCAAGTCAGACAAAAGAAGTTTACGGGTACGTCTCGCCGAGATACGTACGAATATCATAAAATTATGGGGCGCTGACCACTTAGAAAAATTTAAGATGAACTTTATTAGTTTTCAATCAAGTAATTGTTCTGAGGAATAGAATTTTTTGCTTTTTCTTTTCATGCACATTAATTAATAAATTACTTAGGAAAATAGGCTTAGTTTTAAGGCTTCACACGGAGGCAGGCGCGCATAGCGCAGAAGCCGACTGTGCTCGCTTCGAAAAAAACTGAGCCACAGTGAACAATTCGTCAAATAAATAAAAATACTTGACATAGAGGGGGTCATTCTGAAATAGAGGGGGCCATTCTGAAATGGGAGGGGGCCATTCTGAAATGGAGGGGCCATTCTGAAATGAGAGGGGTCATTCTGAAATGGGAGGGGGCTTGTTCGAATGAGCTCTGGGGGGACTATTTCAAAGCCGTGCGGGGGCAAATATGAAAGATTGCCTAGGCATTTCAGAATCGCCCCCGTTTTTGTACTGTGGGGGCCATTCTAGAATACATATTCACCCCCCGCGTTCGATTCTTCCCCACATGAAGTCCTCCTATTTTACCCCCCACAGATCGGAACTTGGCTTGGTGGGGGGCTTGTTGGAACGCGGGGGGCGATTCTGGAATTTTTCCCGATTGAAATATTGATTGATTGATAAAACGTACTAATAATAAAAAAAATAATGAAGTATGAAAAAAATGCGTTTATTGTCGACGAAAACGTGCATCTAACAGCAAAATCAAATGAAGCAACACAACAATAGAACCACAATATCGGCTTGGAAAGTTTCACACTAGAAGGGTTAATAACAGTAACAATGAAAACTAAATAGAGTTAGAACGCAAAAAGAGTACAAAAATAGTTCCACCGGAAAATAAGAATTTAATAATCGTCTCCTCGAGAAACGACTTCTTTGCACGTCGGACGCAACAGAAGAGTGTGCTCCCATTGGGCCGTGTAGGAGCCTTTGACGTCACAGAGGGGCGGATACGGATCGACGATTCCCTGAAAAAAATCAAGCATTTTTTTGGTATGAAATATTCTAAAAAGAATACTTTTTTTGATGAAAAAAAATCGACCTCATTACAGAAATTTTTTACCTCGCTACATGGCGCTGAAAAAAAATTATTAGAACTACTTTAATATAAATGGGATAACATCGTTTTTTTTTTCAAAATCTAACAAGAAAGCACAATTTTCAGCTTTTGATTAATGAGAAAAGAAGCTAAAATGTTTTTCTGAAAACTAGAGCATGACACAGAAAAAATTTAGAAAAAAGAGAAACCTTGTCACACAGATCCTTGAGAGCCATGAGATATTTGGTTTCTCCGGTTCGGTCGATCCACCGCCGACAGAAGGCCAAAGTGCCGAAGTTCTTATCGATGAGGTTCAAAAGTCCCTTGGATCGAGCCAATCTGAGACAAGAACAATGAGTAACTTGGCAAGCTTAGCCACAAAAACCTCAGGGGAATTTTCTCGTCGGCCAGTTCAAAGTTCTTCATGTAATGGGAGCACTCCATGTCGTCGTGCACGTATCCTTTTCCAGTTGATCCGAAAGTTTCGATCGCGTAGATCTCATTTTCTTCCATTTTCGTTTGTTCCCCTCCTTTCACAATTGGTACTGTTTTACCAGCGTGGATTCTAGAAAGACATTCAATTTGATTCTTCTCGAAGAATCGATACAATTCCAAGCACAGCCTTACAAGAACCTTAAAACTTATATCTTCTCATATTTAATCCCATTTTTGTTCAACCTTTGAAAAAAAAAATCGTTTTGAACGGAGAAAGTCAATTTCAGAAACCAGATGAAATGTATAAAACTGTGAATGTGAAAAATAAAGCAAGTGAAAAACGTAAAATTACCGATACTGTCCGATAGAATGGCCGTTGAGGTTGCGAATCGGCTTCACAGTGTATGTTTTGCCGTCGAGTTCCACTTCGTGAGAAGTCATCACCTTCAACATTTCAACTATATGAAAACTTGTCGAAAAAATAAATAGAAAACCCTTTTTGATCGAATTTCTATCCTAATCATAGTCAGCTTATCACATAAAAATTAGAAAACTACTTTATACCTAAAAATTAATAGAAAGCCCTTTTTGATCGAATTTCTTGTGTTGTAGTTAATATTCAAGCTCGAAAGGAAACAAAAGAAAAATTAGTAGCAAGAAAAAAGAATTCAAGGTAGTAGAAAAATGATGATTTCAAATGATTTCAAGAAAATAACTTCGCTTTACCTATTTAAAAACTTCGATTAAATGAAAAAATATCGCGGCAGAGAGCTTTTCCATAGAAACTTTCTGCCAGTTGAAAAGAATTTCGAACAGTTTCCAGGATTTTCATCAAAAGGACCTCTTCAATAGTTTCTCCGATGTCGCAGAGACGGACGTCGATGCCGGCCTCGCGGATTCCGGCATTCGTGGCTTCCTTGACGGCGTTGACGAGACCGTCGTACTTGGGGTCGAAATGGACGGTGAAGGCGCTGTCGATGAGTCTTCCGCGCACGTGAATTCCGTAGTCGATCTGCAAGAGGCAGCTTATCAAACTGTCTATTTTGATTATCCACTTTGCAGACGTCGCCGTACTGCAGGACTGTGGGGTCGCCGGCGTTCGGAGTGTAGTGAGCGGCGACGTTGTTCAGAGAACAGCCTGTGGGGAAGGCCAATCCCGCCTCGAGGCCATTTTCCTTGATCAGGTGGCGAGAAGTCGCTTCCAGACGTTCGCTGCAATCACAAACGTTTCACCGACAAAAACAATTGAATTGTTTTGAAAGTAAATGTATGCTTTTTGGTTTCAAATGGGCAAAAAGGTAAGAAAAATACCCAAGTTAATCACGTATCTCAATACTCCGCCTGATTTTCAACCAATATTTCGGTTTGTGTTTGAAACGATTTTCTCAATTTTTTTTGTGAATTCTGGGTTTGGTTGAAAAACGAAAAAGTATTTTTTCTCTTGAAACTTTTGTGGTATCTTCCTCTCAAATTTTACATTGCCTCGAAAAACTTCCAGGATGAAGATAAATGCTTCGAAATAGAAAAATGAAAAGAAGGAGAGACGAACCAAATATCGATCATGGTCATTCCAGGCTTCATCCAAGTTTTGACGTAGGATCGGACCTGACGATGAGCTTCGGCAGCTCTGCGATAGTCCTGAAAAACAAAAAAATTCAGAAAACTAAAATCTTCACGCCGCATACCATGTACATCTCTTCGTAACTCGCATTCAACGCCTTCTTTTCCTCGTTGCTTTCGCGGTCCGAAGCGACGCGGCCGTCCTTTCCTGTAGAATACCTTTGCAGCACAAGAAAAAAACAAATAGATGTGAGCTTATAACCACTTTTCTCGGCGCCTGAGTTACAACTTGATGTCATTAAAACCATGGAGGCTTTCTGCCAAATATCGAAAGTTTCTAGATTTATAATTTTACTTATTCACCATTACAGTTAGTTATAAATTTTCTTGCTTCTACATTATCATTATCTTGTTTTTTTTTATCTGAAAGTCACCTGGAAGATAATAGGTAGATTCATCTTTGCTGTGTGGGAAGTCGCCGTTGGGGAACTGTTCATCGATCGGTTTCATCGCCGCGATTTCGGCCTTCCAGTCGACCGTCGGCTCTCTTGCGCCTCCGTTTTCCTTGGCTTCTTCAGTCTCTTCTGACTTTCCTCCTGCATATTTCTGACTATTTCTGACTGCATTTTTTGCGAAACTACCTTTCTTGGCATTCTTTTTCTTTCCATCGCTTTTTGCCGCAGTTTTCTGATCCTGGATAGCCAATTCAGCGAGAATCGCGTCGAAATCATCGTCGGCCACTAAAAACATCACTACTAATCTCAAAACTCAACATTTCGATTTTTACCCGGTTTCACAGCGGCACCGCCCTTCTTTCCTTTTTTGTTGTTTGCAGCAGGCATTTCGCGGTCTGGAAAATCGAATAGATTAAGCCCTAGCGGGAAAAAGCGACATCGTTGAGATACTGACAAGGAAAAACCTTTGAAAATAATCAAGATAAATACCGAAAAAAGGCGAGAACTTTATTCAACAGAATCAAAAAAAAAAGTTATTAACAAAGTGTAAACGAAAGAAAACCCGTTAGTGACATAACCAGATAAATTGACACGATTACAATTGAGACATGGAATCTTTCATTAGTCCTAGATAAGAAGAAAAAACAACACTAAAATCGACATTCGCGCGATAATTTTCAGCAAAATCCTTCCATTTGTCCATATCCGAATTGGGAGAAGCATTTTGTACGTCTTCCTCTTCTTCTGAAGCTTCTTCTTCGTCGTCGTCATCGTCACAGTAGTATTCAGGATCATCTCCATCTTCTAGTTCTGATGGACTGGCGGCGTCTTCCATTTTCCCGTTTGGCAGAGAATCTTCGACGACGTTCTTCAGATTCTCGACGCATTGGCTCAAGTTCGTGTTTAGGTTGATGCCAACGTCGGCTAATTCATCGAGAAGAGAATTCAGACTGAAGGGGTCCTTTGCTTCTTTTTCTACCTCTTCAGCAGAAAAGCAGACGTTCGCGGTCGTAGGTTCCTCTTTTTCTTCTTCTTTTTCGACTTCTGTCTGGACGGAGACGTCGGCTCTTCTCCCCATAGATCTTCTGACGTCGTCTTCGAACTCCTTCTCGAATTGTCTCAACTTTTTGGAGTAATGGGCTACACGGTACTCCCAAATTTCCGGAGGATCGCGCATCGGAACCTCAAAATATTCAGTGAGACACGAAAGTTTGTCGTTTTCCTACCACAGGACCGATGTTCGTTTTTTCTCCTCTTTCTGCTGCTTCTTTCAATTCTCTCACGCCTTCCTTCATCTGCTTCACGTACTCTTCATAAGAAGTTGCCGTCATCTGAGGAAATTATTATAAAATACTTATATTTTAATATTTTTGTTCGACATTTCACCAACGCTTGAACTTAGGTTCTTTGCTTTTTTTTAGAAGTCATTGTAAGCTTTCTGTTTTAAAAAAGCTAATTTTACCATGTATTATTCTCTTTTTTCAAACATTTTCACAAAAAAGCGGCGAACATCTCATTAATTTTTCGTTTAGAAATTCTTCTTCGATTTTTCTTAAAATTTACCTTGAACTACTCTCAAAAATATTTTCCAAAAAGTAAAAGGATGATTGATTAAATTAAGCCGTTATAAAAAATCCGGAAAGGAACTGTTGAAGGATGACTCACGGTTATCAAACAATTTTTTTCCGAGAAAATTTTGAATTTGCAAACAAAAGAACCTCCGTTATGACTGGCGTGCGGCCAAAAGAGACGAGTTTTGGTTTTTCTTCGAGAGCCTTCTTCCGGTCTCGCATCACCTATCAGCAAAAGGTACAACTTGACGTCTTTGGAGATGGACCTGTTGTCTCTGGAGCTTCTCCCTGGCTCGAACTCGTCTCAGACGTTCTTCAAACGAACATCTCATCTGCGGATCGAGTTCCCAAGGCTCTTCGTCCGTCTTCCACTTCGATTTGATGTATGGAATCCATGACTGAGCCATTTATCAGTCAATATGAGATTTAACTCTACTTTACCTTCTTGGGAACCGCCATTTGCAGCTGAATCATTGTTTTCCTGTTGTACTTGGTGATATTGGTCTTTTCGAGGATCTTCGAAACTCCCACAACTTCTGCTTCAGGAGACAAACTCTCTTTACGTGCCACGCTCCTTGAAAAACAGAAAGATGCGAAAAGTACTTTGCCCTAACATACGTTTTGGGAGGAGTGGGGCTTTTTCGGACAGGAATTATTTCTTTTGCTTTTGAAGGTAGGATGAATGGATCTTCTTCAAGATTGAATCTAAAAACATCGTCATTATTTGAAAATTCGAATCAGCCGACTTTTGTTTCGCATACGCCAGCCACTGTTCTTGATCCACGGCATCCCGAATCGAAAAAAGCTCGCCGCGCATATAAAACTTCTTTTTGGCCTTTGCTCTCGTTGGAACGAATCTAAAAATGATCTTCTTGTAAGAAATAACCCCAGGAAACTCACTTAAACTTTTGTTTTTCTCCATTTTTCGGCGTCAAAACACTTTCTTGTGGTTTTTTGTTCAGTTTTTCCGCCTGCATGATAACCTTGAGCTCTTGAAGCTGCGCAGTATACGACTTTTTCGTCAGCACATCTTTGGCTTTCAACTGAAAAATAGCTGTGTGATTGAAAAGTTGAATTGCGTATCAATTGTTTGCTATCTATTAAAAAGCACAGCAAAAAAATGTTCAAAAAACGGATAAAAAATGTTTTTGTCGTCCTTTTTTAAAGCTGCGCTTTTTTTTACATTTTCTCAAACTAACAAATTCATAGCTTTATTAACGAACAAAAGACGGACTTTGTATTTTTTTTTCATGGATTTTTTTGTTCACAAATTGAAAAAAATTCAGTATAGTTGCAAAAAAATATGTGTAAATTTAACTTTTTTTATTTAAAAAAACTACAGGATCGAAGATGAAAAAGCAAGAGATATACTGATCCTCATAATCAAAAATGTTTTCTCTCTTCAACTCCCTTTAAGTGAAATGAATTTTTCAAAACAGATGAAACGGTTCCTTCGAATATGATCCATGCTGCAGAGCCACCCACCTCAAGCTTCTCAATCAACTCAAGGATCTGGTCAGAAGGCTGGAGTTCCGAGAAACGGAAGCCGAGCATTTCGTCGCGAGAATAGCTGAAATCGGCGACTTCTCCACGTTCCACTCGCAATTTCTCAGCGGCGACTCCGCGCGAAGGCACTTTTTCAATGTCTCGATCGGTTTTAGTTTCTCTGATAGTCTGAAAAAATGCTGGTTCATCAAGAAACCATGTTCAATCTCACTGATAAGAAGAAGGGACAAGAACTCCAGATTTCCTGGTTACTGGTGATGTTATGAGGAATTTCGTGTCTGTCGATCAGTTTGGCCTTGATGTTTCCCTTCGTTGCCATGGCGTGGAAGCATTTGAGGCTTTTTTCGTCTTCTAGTAGAGTCACAGCGGCTCCTTGCCCACCTACAAATCTTTCAGTTTGGTAGAGGATTATTTTCTCTAACTAAACTTTGAAACATTGAAAAAATTATTTAGTAATGAATAAGTTGATAGTCTGAAAATCTGTTACCGTATCTAGCGGCACGGCCGATTCTGTGAAAGTAGGTTTCAGGATTGATGGCCACATCAATGTTTATCACTAGATTGACCCGGTCAGCGTCGATCCCACGAGCAGTCTTGAAATAAACACAAAATATTTTTAGACTACTCGATATCCTCACCAAATCGCTGGAGACAAGGATCTTGACTTTGTATTTCCGAAGCTGAGTGATGGCCGCGTCGCGGTCGCGTTGCGACATTTGGCCCGAAATGAAAGTCGTCGATAGGCCTTCGTCCAGAAGCCTCTTATTTGTAGGTTCGCATCTAAAAACCAATCGATAAACTCTTGAGAAGGGAAGAAGAGAAACTTTTCAGCAGACTGGCAGAAGACGAGAGCCTGACTGTATTGAACAGATTTCAGAAGCCAAACCAAAACTTCCAATACTGGAGTGCAATTTTTAATGACGTATTGCTTGATGCCGATAAGCTGAACATCGTCTGGAAAATATTGAGCATTGTTATAAATCTTTCGAACCTGAGAAAATTAAAGTTGCTGAAAAGTGAAATTTAGAAAACCTGCATTGAAACGAACCAAAGCCGCCTGTCGCATCAGTTTCGACAGAGTCGCGTCCAAACCTCGCGGATACGTTGCCGAAAACACAACGACCTGTCTTTTTTGAGGAAGACAAGATATTATGTAGCTGTAATTAAAAATTATGAGTTTAAATACATCTTCATTACTTGATATCTTCTTGAAAGCAATCTTCCATTAGTTTGTCGGCTTCATCGAGAGCAAAGAAGTCCACAAAGGACAGGTTCAGACATTTCTTCGAAACCAATTGACATATTCTTCCTGTTGTGCCAACAATTATGTGTGGATCTGAAAATCTCCATCTAAAATTGCAATCAAAATCATAAAAAATTACTTTTTTTCAATTCCTCTATATCGGAATTTAATGAGATCCCACCGACGCATAACCTGTAATTAGGTTATCATTTTTTCTTATATTTCTATTTTAGATACGCTGTTCTTGTCTTTGGAGGAGCGAGCTTATAAATCGTGTCTCGAATTTGGAGCGCTATTTCCCGAGTTGGGGAGACGATTAGCTTCTGAACAAAACGTTTCGAAACATCCACGTTTTCCACAGCGAGAACAGTGAAGACAAGTGTCTTTCCTGTTCCAGACTTTGCCTGCACTAGCATATCTGCAAGAAGTATCCGTTTTGGAACCAAGCAATTGAAAAAAAAACCTCTGCCAATCAGGCCTATCGGAATAGCTTTTTCTTGGACAGGGGAAGGTCTAATATATCCATGATTGCGTAACTTGTCCAAGGTGAGAGAAGAAATCATCAAAGAATCAAAAGAGCTGCTCGTTTGTACATCCTCGGATTTACCGCGATCGAGAACCTCGACAATTTCTTCGAAATCCATAACTCTGAAACGGAAACCTTTCAGAATATCCTTTCAAAACCCAAAAATCACTATCTAATGATTATTTGTAAAACACTATGGGCAATGAGAAATGATTCCCAAAAAAAGAGAAAATTAATGAATTTTTTTACCAAATTTTATTACTCAACATCTTTTTTTAAACAAAGAAGTATTGAAATAGCAGACATTCAAAATTTTAAAAAAATATATTAAATTAAAAAAATACAAAAAAGCACCTGGCCGAACTGGAAAACTGGTTAAACTGTTTTTTTGCGAAAACAAAATTTTTTAAAAAATCAATGTCGTCAATTTCCATGTATTTGTGTGTACACGTTTTCTCCAAAAAGCATTCTCAGTATTTGAAATTTTTTTTTTGGTCGCGCGCGAATCATTGATTTTTGGTTTAATTGTTTGTTCATATTTCATTACGCGGTAATGAGCATTTCTCGCCCGGTGACGTGACAGAGCTCGTTTCTTATAAACCTCTTCTGTAGATATTTTTCTTCTTTAGATATGACTTTTCCCATGACGAAATCAAGTTTCTGTTTCATTAGTGACCAGTAAATCTGTTTTCGCCTTTTTATTAGTTTAATGATGTTACGTATACTTTCAATTTTACTGATACTCTTAATTTCATTTTCTTTATCGATTTGCTTATGTTTTCCATATTTGAAGGTCAAAATGGATACGATTCACGTTCGGATGAACGCTCAGCTGCCTCCCTTTGTTCGAGCCACAACCTCCACGATAAAAGAGTTGGATGAGAAGGTAGACTGAACTGTATAGTTGAGTTTAGGACCTTTTTACTTTACAGGTGGAAGACTTGAAGCGTTTGATACGCCAAAAAACCTACATCTACGTTAAAAATTTGAGGAACTACACCCGAGAAGAGAAGTTCAACTTCCTGAATGAGATTCGGGTAAGTCGCCATATTGGATAGATATTTTGAAAAGTGTTTTCTGTTCAGACTCTATACGCAGAAGCTGACGGATTCGCGGAGAAAAAAGTGGAACTGGCGGAGCAAATGTACGACAAAGTGGACTCTTTCATCAACGAAATGGACGAATATAAGAAGCGGCTGGATAAGAAACGCGTGGTTCCCGATGACAAGAAACTTGCAAGTCAGTGGCCGTCGTTTAATGACCGATATTGTTTTCAGAAGGAACTCAGCCCGCGAAAAGAGCCAAAGTTCCCAAAGTCGAGCGGAAGAAGACGACGGCCGCAGAACACAAAGCGGCTCGTCTTGCCGAAAACGGTGAGTACGATACCCTGAGAACAACGTAAAAATCGTTTGCAGCGGCGATGATGGATCAGCTGAAGGAAGCTCCTGTAGTCGGGGAGTTGGAAGCTCCAGTCAATCCGCATGAGCCGGTGTACTGCGTTTGTCGACAGGTACTCGGAAGCCGGAGGAATGCGGTAAAACGTCCTGGATTAAAGGTTTCGTTCGGTCAGATGGTCGCCTGCGACAACAAGCACTGTCCCACAGAGTGGTTCCATTTCGGCTGCGTCGGCATCGACGCCACACCCTCAGGTTCGCTTTTACCCTCATTTTTGGTTCACAAGTTGAAATTCGATCGACGGTGTTTTATTAGAAACAATATTTTGTCAGTAAAATAATGAATTGAGTGAATGAATATTTTCAAGGTGTTTGGTACTGCTCCGACTGCAAACAGCAACCGCGAAGGCGCAAGTAACTTCAAATCATTTTTTGTAATTACGGTCCTTTCAAACGTCGACTCTCATCTTTCAATTGATCTTTCTTCAGTTTTTTTTTTCAGTTTTCTTCGAAATAGTTTCATAGAAATTTTTTTCGATTCTTGTACTCCTTTATTCTTCTTTAGTACCATAAAGTTTAAAACAAAATAAGCGAGTAAAATGTTTCTCAGTATTTTCTCTTGGATAAAGAGCTCTAATTCAGAATTCCGTGTTGACTGCCTTTTCATCTCTCTCGACCCCTCATTTTTGCTGGTTTTTCGGAGAATAAGCTGCTCCATAATGTTCCCTTTTGCTGCGTTTTTTTTTCGACCAACCAACGAGCATGCAGCCAATTAGGGGGCGAGGATATGACACAGAGGCGTGCGGGCGAGAAAGTGCATGAAAAAGAGTTTGGCCCTGGGCATGTTGACAAGGCTTTAGTCCAATACATCTCCATTCAAGTCGCACTTGAACGACTCTTCCCAACTTGTGGGCGCGTCGAATATTTCCGTTGATTAAGAGGGGCACATCTAAAATGTTTTTTATCAGCTGAACAAGGAGAAAAGTAAAAAATCATTTTTTCACGACTTCTTATCCCGCTTTCAATGAGATGAGGGCAGGTTTCAGGGAAGTTCTGTAGAAGATATGTAGAAAACGTCTTTAACTTAAGGTTCGAAAAGAAGTTTGGGTGGGAAGTTACACGTTTTCCCCTATTTTGGATGTGCTCCTGTTTATCTTCTCAATTTCTTTCGCTCGAAGAGATCCAATATCCAGCCGCGCGAAGGTCTTACACATCTTCGTTTGCTGCCACAAAACTTCATGCGGAGCGTTTTCGTGTGAGCATTCGAAACGTTTAGCTTCTGAAACTCGTTTCTGATGGGCTATTTTGTTGCAAAATGAGAGAAGAAGAATTTTTGAAAAACAAAGGCTTTCATGGTTTAAAAAGTCAAAAAAAGAAGTTACAGTACCTTTTTGAAAATAAATTTTGTTTTTTTACTGCAATAACATTAATTTGTTTTTTTTTTTTTTTACTCATTTTTCAAAAAAAAAAAAACACGGAACCTCTTCTGGGATGCTAAAGAAAAGAGAGACCATATAATTTTAGGACGACTCATTTCTGATTTCGTCTCCACAAGACGAAGAGTATGCGTGAGAGGCCAATGCCTCGTCCTCATTGATGACTCTAGATTCGCCAAGTGCACTAAGAGAAGCACAATGAAACATGGAGCCGGATAGGAGGGTCATCACATCTCTCTATCTTTTTGTGGCGAACGGCAGCGGCTCTCGCGGCAGCCGTCTATTGATCACATGTGAGTCTGAGTGCCGGAGGACGGCCGATGGGGGCAGAGATGAAGCAACACATGAATGAAGGGGGCGAGAGCGTGTGAGTTGAAAAGGCGGAGCTCCGAGACGCGCCAAGGAAAAGCTTCGGTCGCCGACACACGGCAGAGTGCGCGAGACGTCTTCCGCACGCCCCCAACGTCGTCGTCGTCACCTCGTCTCCTTCCAAGGTATGATCTGCGCTCTCCGGTAACCACTGGCGCCGCGACTAGCATGAGCAATACTTCCAATGTCCGCCTCAAACAATCCATACTTCCAAAACGGATTAGCAGTTTTCAGTTCGAAAGCATTATACAACGTTGATTTTGGTTTCGGAAGGTTACATGAATCGTTTACCTTTTCAGTGGTGAAAAGTAGAGCTTCGTGAGGCCTAGCGACTGAGAAAGTCGACCTGTTTACTGCCTTAAGACTTAACTTTTCCCATTTCTCTCGTTCTAGTTTCTACTTCATTGATCGAATGCAATGGCTTTCATCAACAAATTTTCCTTGTTATTGTATTTCAAAATAATTTTCAACATCTCTTGTAAACATTTTGAGAGCTGAAAATTCTGAAACTATATTGACAGAAAAGTTCAAACAAGCAGTTTTGAGATAAGGGAATCTTCAGTCTTTTTTTCATCACAAAGCCAGTAAACAGATATGGATTTACAAAAAAAGCAAAAAGGATTAGCCGTCCAGAATCTGAATGCATGAAACCTCAAATGAGACGGCTTTAATCACTCTGCCGTCTAAGGCCGTTTTCGTAAAACTTTCACGAATTTTTTCTCCTTTTTACTCTCAATTTAAAGAGTCTGAAAGTAGTCCTCGCGCAGAAATGGGCTTTCAAAGGAAAGCTGCGTCTAGTGGCTTTCAAAGTTTCAAAAACCACCCTGCCTCCTGTTTTTGGACACCTACGTCTTGAATGAAGTCACAATCCTTCCCTGGCTGGGAACTTTTCATCCGATGCTTCTCAATCTTCTTCGTACTTATTCATCGTTCATGATACTTCCATACAATGTTTTGAGAATTGAGTTCGTGATCAAGGCAAAGCCACGATCTCTTATTTCTAATCTCTTGCGCAAACTTTCCGATTTCTTGTTTCAAATTGTTTTGAAAATGAATACTTTGACTCTTGGAAAGAATATTTGTCTATAACAGTCCTTTCCTTATCATTGTAATCATACAAAGCACAAACTGCATCGAAAAAAGATTCGAAATTACACCAAAGTTGCCTTTTTCATATCTGCGACATGTTATGTCTTGATTTTGATTTTATGGAACACTTGAAAGTTGTGAAATCAAATTTTCAACCTATCCATGTAATCCATGTAATTTTCGCCTTCTCAGAAAAAGCCTTTTTTCGAATAGAAAGTTGAAAATCGCAAGTGCTCACATCCGTCCGAATTCTAATTTGGCCAACATTAAATGTGAGGGTTTTTCAGTTGAAGCTTGCCCCGAGGCGATTGCTCGGCCTCGCCATGGGTCACTGCACGAGCAAGGACCAGAAGGAGGGCAAGAGGCTCAATCGACGGATCGACGAGCAGATCAAGAAGGACCAGTCGATGAGTCTCCGCATCATCAAACTTCTCCTTCTGGGTTCGTTTCTCTCCTTTCGATGTAGTTTTTGTTTGAAAGGATGTTCTTTTTTTTAAGAGTACAGAAATAGAGGTTGAGAACGTGCTTTCCAGGAGAATTTTCTCTTCTTCTAAATATGTATCACAATCTGATGTTTTTGGTAGATAAAAGGACTGTAATACTTCGATATTTAGAGCCGACGGACGCCTTTTCAACATCACTTGAAGTAAAAGTAATGAATATCTTTATTTTTCAAACTTTGCCTTTTTAAAGGTGTTTTACGGTGAAGTTAGGACCTCAAATCTAATCTACACATTCTATCATTTTTCTCAAGCTTGTCACTGATTTTGGAAGATTTTACTGTGAATTCTATGAAGCGAGCGCTTGTTTTTCGAATCGATTAGGCTTGTCAGAAATTAGAGCTCGTGACTATGCGAAATCGAGTTGGCCGATGTCATGACAACATGGAATAATTATATGAGAGTGAGCGCCAACTCTCGGACTCCAACTTTATTGGGATGCAAATGAGATGCCGAGCAACTTTGGAGGTGTACTTTCTTTGGGAGTATAATTCACATTTGCAAAAAAGAGAATAAGATGTCCCATCAACAATACAGAAAATTTGTTTCGTTTTCTGAAATATTTCCGACAAATCTTTTCAAAGCGAATTGATTTTCGAGATGCGGATGATTAGCTTCTTTTCTCCTTGACTTCCCTTCCAGTTTCCTCGGGTTCGTTAAGCTTCTGGCATCGAACGACAGTTGGTTTTATAGTGTCCGTTAGCGAAAAGCCATTGGGATTTCCTCGAAAACCTCACGGAATTCTTTTTGATCTCAATTTGTTTCCTGAATATCAATTGGAACACTGTTGGATAGGCTTGAAAGTAGGCTTTGAGTGAAAGTTAAAATTGATTGTTTTTTATACTTTTTGAGGTTCGGTTTGGAATAAATGCATCGTCATTTTTCACATAAATTATTTCTCCTAATTATAACTCAAAAGGGCTGATTCAATACATAAGTAATCTCCTTTAATCTAAGTTCATCGTTTTTTTGTTTTCTGAGGTTTTAGTGCGACTCAGATCGAACATCTCCTCGCAGCCTATAGGAAAAACATTCCGAGGAACGAGAAAGTGGATAATTCAATTGGAGGAGGTTCCTGCAAAGTCGACAGAAACCCTTTGAGAACTCTTAGAGTTCATTGCAGAAAAACATTTCCTCCGATCATATTGTTTAATTAGGCTCTCCGACTATTTTCTGAGAATATCTTAACCTAAATCTTGAGTTTTGTGGGTTGGTGAAGAAAGAGAGCCGCTGGGATCGAAAGTAACTCGTTTATTCTTCCCTGGCGCGGAAAACAAACAAACAAGTTGCAGATCGCTCGCGTTTGTCGGTAAAAGCTGAACGCGATGGGTGGCTCACTTAAGTGTTTCAAAAAGTTCCGGGAAACATCGAATAGTTTGCCCGACGATCTGTTCCGCAATAAACGACCAGATTCTCTTTGAGGATCGACCCAATTTTCGTTTTGGAACAGCTAGGTTGTTTTTGAAGACGCAATGGAAGGGAAGACGTACAGATTGAGGTGATTGCCGCCATCCATTGTCCTCGGGGATTTGGGCCTCCGAGGCACGTGGGCGGCAGCCAATCCGATTAAGCCTCGGTCTCGGACAATTCCCATCCAAAAATGCTCAGATACGAGGATAACAGGGTCAGCGACGAACAAACAACATTGCTGCACCACGGAACGTGGATTTTTTTTGGGAAAAGTGATCGAATGAGCCGATACTTGATCAGTTTGAGGGAAAATGCGCAAAATTCATGAAACAAAATTGAACTCAAAACCATCTCCATGAAACTCTGAATTTTCGAATTTTTTTTGGTTCAATTGAATTTTGAAAAAAAGTTCTTTTCTTCCAATATGATATGATGGCTTAATTTTCGATTCCTTCTCAGCTTATTCAGTTGATTATTCCGATTACTCTAGAACCTTTCCATAATACTCGTGAGGATGACGTCGACCAATTATAAATGGGTCTTCGCAGGCTGTCGACTCATTAGAGATAATTTCCACACCTGCCTCTCTCTCGTAAAGTCTGAAATTAGAGCGCCCATTAGTATTCGCTTTTGAATTTCGATCGTTGCATCGGAAATCGACTTTCCCACGGAAATGTGAAGAGAATGTGTGGGAAGACGAATAACGATTTATTGTCTCTAAGAAAAAAAATCAAAAATACTTTTTATAAAGATTTCCAGACGATCTTGAGTGAACTCCTCTCTGTGAATGAAGATTTTGAAGGGAACGAAATTCTATTTGAGATTTGGGCTGACGGGTTGAGATTCTTTCGGACGAGACTTGGTCTTGTTATGAGCGCCCAAAACAACTTTTTCTTCCTCCTTGGCTCCACTGAAAACGAGCTGTTTTGACACATATAAATACTAAATTAGGGCTTGAACTATTTACTATGAGATAGAAGAGGAAGTGAGGTAATTTCTTTGGTTTCAGGAGCTGGTGAGAGCGGGAAAAGCACAATTCTAAAGCAGATGCGGATTTTACACAAGGTTTGCAATTTGATAATTAATCAAAAGTCTTGTTTTCGTGCCAAACCGGATGTATTCAAAAACAAGGTCGTTGGGAAATAGTTTTGTAATATTTTTAAATTGATTCGGAAAAAAAGTTGTAAAAAAAATGAAGGTACTTTTATTTATTTATAGCATCGCCGGCTGTATTTTTGAACTTCAGATTTTCTATTCTGTTTCACTTCCAACTTTTTTTTCTGTTATATGTTTCTTTAAAATTTTGGCTCCCTGTTTTCGCAAATCAAAATGGTTGTAATTATAACGATAAGAGTAAGGTTAGGCTTATAATGAATTGTTCTTCGAAGAAAATTTAGTTTTTTAGCACACTTCAAGGTTGATAAATTCAAGTTTCATGTTTTTCATCATCTACTCTATCAAAATGTGCTTCAGGACGGATTCTCACAACAAGACCTGGAGATGATCAGGCCAGTCGTCTACTCGAACTGCATCCATTCGATGCTGTCCATCCTCCGCGCCATGTTCCATCTCCAGATCGAGTACTGCGAGGCGGACCGCGTGGTTTGTCGCTTCCAAGCCGCGGGAACACGAAGATCTTTGCAGAAAGACAGCCAGCTGGTGTTCGCGACGGTTCACGCCAACAAGGAGGAGCTCACCGAGGAACTCGCCGCCGCGATGCAGCGACTGTGGCACGACGCCGGCGTCCGCGAGTGCTACCGTCGCAGCAACGAATACCAGATCGACGACAGCGCAAAATAGTTAGTTCTTGTCTTTTTCGGCTCAATCATGTGGCTCATCACAGTATCCTTGGAAATATTCGAGAACTGTTCTACAGACGTTTTTTTTTTTTTCTGCAATTTTAGAACTGAAAGCCTTGAAAACTCATTCAACTTACAAATCTGAAAATTTTCAGACTTACATTTTTTATCGAATTGATGCAGATAAATTTTCTTGCATTTGAACATCTTCAAGTTCTTTAATCGAGCTACTTTTATTGAAATCCTACCCGCTAAATCTTGAAACAATCTGATTTCATTGAACCCTATTTTTCCTCGATGCTCTCGTATTTTCGTATTATTTTCATGTTTTTCCGTCCTTTCTGGGGAGACAAAAAAGAGCTCAGATAGATTAGATCGTTCAAAAATTGGCAAATACAGTACATGAACATTTTTGCTGTTTCTGACATTTGTCTGTAGATAAGAAAGAAATAGAGAGAATCTTCAGGCTACTATGATTCCAACTTTCAGCTTTTTGGACAACTTACCCCGGTTATCATCGCCTAACTATGTACCGAGTGAACAAGATCTTCTGCGGACGAGGATCAAAACTACTGGAATCACCGAAGTTTTATTCGAACTCAAGGGACTTACTTTCAGGTGAAGGTTCTTCGAATGCTCGAATATTTCGGAAGTTTTCAGAGTGATAGACGTCGGCGGACAGAGGTCAGAGCGCAAAAAATGGATTCACTGTTTCGACAACGTCAACGCCATCATTTTCATCAGTTCCCTCTCCGAGTACGACCAGACGCTTAGAGAAGACAACTGCACGGTAAGACGATCTTTTCAAGCTGAAACTTTATCTTGAATTATTCGATACTATACAAGAGAAAGTTGTGAGTTGTGAGAGAAGAGGGTATTCAAAAGTAACTTTTGAGTGAATTCAATCAAATTGATCATTCGCAGCGACTTTAAAAATTTGGCTTGTCTGCGTTCTCTTTCAGCTCGACGGGAAGGTCATAAAACGCGTTACTGTGTCGGACAACAAGAAAATCAAGGAAACGTGAAGTTAGATGAATGAATGAATATGTAGGATTTCTGTGAAATTCGCAAAATAGATAAAACTTTCTTATCTGATAAGCTAAAATCCGTGAATAAAATCAACTTTATCCTGTCAATTCCTCTTGAGAGTCTCGATTCGAAGAAAAACCTTTCAGAACCGAATGCAAGAGTCGCTCAAACTGTTCGATTCGATCTGCAACAGCCCCTGGTTCGCTGATATTCATTTCATCCTGTTCCTCAACAAAAAGGTCCTTTTCCACCTTCAACTTGATGAACCTCAATCGTTCCAGGATCTGTTTGCGGAGAAGATCACGCGTTCGCCACTCACTGTTTGTTTCCCAGAGTACAAGGGCCAGCAAAATCAGACTGAATGCATAAACTACATACAGTGGAAATTCGAGCAGCTTAATCGGTTTGTTCTTTTGATCTGGCGCTGTTGGGGGGAATCATAATTGGCTGAAAAAAAGGTCACTTCACTTTAGAAGTTTAGAATTGTCTGACAGATAGTTGAGACACTCTCTGATACACCAGATAATTCTAACAAAGTCAAAATAAGCTTCAATCTTTTTTTATAGAATCCTCAAACAAAGCTTTCCATAACGATTCCATTAAAAAGAAATCCCAATTTTAAGTTTCTCCTTCAAAAATACGAATGTTAATAGGAATGTAATTTATGACGGGCCATTTCGAAAAAATGGACAAATTTGTCTTCAAATTGGAAATGTTTCTATCTTTCGAAAAAGTAGCCTTTTTTCTCTCACATAACTTAAAAATCCGAGGAAGTCGGTCGTTTTCCTCATTTCGAATTCTTTTTTCTCGATCTCGTGAAGTAAAACATTTTAGGACTATTTATTTTAATATCAACGTTTATTAATTATCATTACAAATTCCATCAAAAGGGCCAAAATGAAAACTTTTCGAAATATCTATACCAAAATGATAATCGGGCGTTTATATATCGGGTTTCACTTCACTCAAATACTTTCTATTCTGTATTTGTATTTTTTTGTGTTTGAGTGAAATAAATAAATAAATGAATAAATCTCTGTACCGGAAACTGATTTCAAATGAAATTGGGCTCAGGTCGTCGCAACGGGAGATCTACTGCCACCACACGTGCGCCACGGACACCAACAACGTACAATTCGTGCTCGACGCCTGTCTCGACATGATCATCGCCAAGAACCTCAAGAGCATGGGTCTCTGCTGAAAAAAGCACATCCCCGACTTCTTCCGATATCCGTTACGGCTTGCTTCTTTCTAGTCAATCAGTACGGCCTCCGTCTCTCTTCAAAACTGTTTTCCCTTCTCTTACACGTGGTGGAAGTTATTTAGACTGGAACGATTTAAAACTTTGAAATTCTTTTGATCTCGTGATTTCGACTCGCGAATTCAATCTTTCACTGGAATGATAGCTCCCACTGCGTGTCAGATCTTTTGAAGCAAAAAAGAAAATTCGAGAAGTAATGCGCGTATTTCGAAACAGTCGTCTCCCAGTAACAGTTCCGCCGAATCACATATCCGTCAATTGTTGGTCCCTGACTTGAAGGGTTCTCCCATAACTTGAGGCAACATTTTCTAGCTCTATGAGGACATTTGCTCTGTTCAACTCTCATGATTCAAGTTCTTCGGGTCTTTTTTCTTTTCCCCATTCAGTTTTTCTCGTGAATCTTCTCTTCTTGATCAAAGGTTTATAACATATACGGCAAAGCTTTAATTGAAAGTTGATGATCTCAGTTACACGAAAACAAAAATCACAGAAAAGAAAATAAATATATTAAAACATCTCGTTCTGCACAGGAAATCTCAACAACGCGATATGTGATTTTCAATCTTCAAAATAGTAAAGCTCTGTATTATGCGGAACATCTTGTTGATATGCTCTATCATTCACAGGAAACACGGAAGAGATAAATATGATCACTATCGAAAAATGAAGTGCGGATTTACAAAAAGTGTAGATCATTCTGAGAAATACTCGATTTTAAACTTATCTACGAGTTCGGCAGGCAGTTCTTCTTTTGAAACAGCAATGTCGTTTGCAATAGCCGCCTTGAGATGATCTGAAAAGCTTGTCCATTTCGTGAAATTCTTGAAAAGCCATTCTAAAAATCTATTTGGAGTGGACACCTTACAAAACTCGACTCTATTTCAACTATAATGCCAATAATCTTCGCTCGAGCTTCATCAGATCCGAAGTCAAAAACATATACCAAGGGAAATGAAGGCAGTCATTTCTCGTATGAATCCAACGATGAGGACGCGGATTTCGCTGCCGTAGAAGTCGGCGACGTGGAAGTCGATCAGATGGACCTCCAAGGTCTTCCGCTCGTTGCCGTAGTGCGGATTCAGGCCGATGCTCAGCGCCGTTTTGTAAACCTGACAGGGGAAGTCATCCTAATCGAATTTTTCATAAATTTTCTCGAAAATTCTGGAGATTCCAAAATACGAAAAATTTTGAATTTTGAGAATACTGCTCGCATGCCTGATTCCGTGCTCAACGTGAACTTCAAAAATTCATATTTCCAAAAATTAGGTTTGCGAAGGTAGCCACTGTGCGAATTCGATTCCCAGTTTCAATTACTTTCAAGAAATTTTATAGAAAGTAGAAAGGCTTGAATGACAACCCAAGTCAAAAGAGAACCTTTTTCTTATTTTAATTCCTTCCCACCTTTGGTATAAGTTAAAATAGACACAAGCTGAGCCAATATCTAGCCAGTCTTAGAAGACCGTGTTCATCAAAATGTTTTTTTGAAATCTATAAGATGACCTTTGCACAAACTTTTGCTTTTTTTGTAAAAAAATATAATTTTAATGAGTTTTTGGGCCTCATTAAAAGATAAATTCCATTTTTTTAAATTTTTAAACAACTTTGGAAATTTTTGCCAAATGAAGAAATGAAGTTGCCAACCTCGCCGTTCCCCACCCTGGCGAGTCCGTAATAGACTCCACAAATCAAAGATTTTGGCAGGTTCTCCAGTACTTCGTCGTCCAAATTTGCTGAAAAAAAAGACTTTTTTTATATTTAAAAAAATTTCTCGTACCTGTAGGACAACCCAAATCTTTTCCTCCGCGACCAAAACCTTTAACGACCTTCCCACTGACCAATAATGGAAGCACGCTGATCATCTTGAACAATGGAAAAGTTTTCTTCAATTTAATGGTGATAAATGAAAAATAGGAACTGCCCAGGTGAAAACCCTGTTTTTCGAAGGAAAGAACAAAATATTTAATTGATAGATGTATTGATTAAACGATGACATGGAAAAACAATATACAAACACGTTTTGAGAAATTGAAGTGACTGGGCAATAAAGTTCGAGGCAATATCTCAGAGTATCAGGGGAAATTCATGAGACCGGTCTTTACACGATTAACAAAAATGTGTACAAAAAGATGGTTGATTATTTCTACTCATCCATTTTCCAACCAGCTGTAAATACAGTATTTTATGTTCTCAACAGTTTCTATCAGCTAATCCCTGAAAGAAGTGATATTCCTTCGTCGGCGGCCTTTCTCAGTTCGACATGAGAAGCTTTTCGCGAGAAATCTTCAAGCAACGGCTTCAAAAGCGACAATTCTTCTTCATTGGCCTCAATGTCACGGAAGATCTGCGGGAATCTGAACAAAAACATTTTTGGAGTCATTCAGCACAGCCCGACGTTTGCAAAACGGCCATTTGCAGTCGAAAAGAAGCTGTTTGAGAATAGGCGGCTTTTCTCTTCAACTCGACACGCATAAGACCTTCCATCAATGGCCAGAGCTCCGTCACGATCCGACGACTGACAAAACTTTTGGAGAGGTCGGCCATTCGGGCAATAACCTAAAAAATCGAACACTGGATGAGTCAAAAAAAAAAGGAAAACCTGGAGACCGGCGATTCTGGCTAAAGGCTCTTCATCACGCATGATGGACATGAGAGAAACCCAATTCTGGTGCACCATCGGCAGAAGCAAATCGTCGATTTTCCGCAACGCCCAAAGTCCTGAAACGTGAGTCTTTTTTGCGCTATTACTGGAATCTTCTAGAAATTTTCTCGAATACTCCTTGATGGACTAAAAAATTGAGATTGAAAAAATAACATCTTGAAAACTTTTTCTTGGTTTCCATAAAGGGTTGTATAGTTACAGGAAATTGTAGTTGGGAAAGTTATTACAAATGCGAGAGGACGATTATCAACTTATCTTATAAGACAAACCTTCGAACGTGACGTCAAGAGCGACGAGACGAACAGGAAGATGAGGCGAAAGAAGCATTTGCTTCACTCGCAGAAGCACTTTCTCAGCGTGGACGGCTTCGGCGGGAGGCGTCGGCTTGGCTTCATCAACGAGAGCTTCTGTCACGTCATCATTCTGCTTCGAACTGCTTGGGGTCGCCGGCTAGAAAATAGAAAGCTTCAAAAACGGAGATTTTCGAATGACTTCGAATTTCAAAAAAGACGAACAAACGTTTTGCTCACCTCTATCACATTAATTTCAGGAAACCAGACGTTGATTGCCCGGATGTAGGAATGCAGCGCTCGCAAAACCAACAAAGTGTTCTTCTGACAAAAATTGACATCTAAAAAGGTTTCGGAGAGGTTAGAACCTGCTCGTGTGAGTCCAGGATGGCTAGCAGCAAGTCCGAAATCTGACGGCACGACTCGAAGAAACTCGCGTCGGTGACTCTCTGGAGGAAAGAGCTGAAGACGACGGCCGCAGTCAGATGCTCCGTCGAGGAGGACGAGGCTAGCAGAATCCGATGGGCGACGTAGCTGCCGTACAAGTTGAGAAATTCGGACTGCGAGAGGTTCTGCCTCTGAAAATATTCTAGAAGAGCTCGATTCAGTCGTTCCCACCTTTGCTATCCGGCCGATGGAGAAGTCCGCAGCTTCTGCGACCATCCACGTCTCCGAGGAACATTGTCTCAGAAGCACGTACAGCATATCCACAACCACCTGAACTTCGATTTCAGGGAAGATTCGGGAATGACTCCACCTTGGTCTTCTTCTCGGATCTATCCAGGAATTGGATCAAAATACTCAGAGAGACGCAAGAAAGACAGGCGAGGGCTGGGCGAACGTTGGAAATGGACGAGGTTCCTGGGTTGAATAATTTAAAGGATGGAAATTGTGAGTGTGCATGCAAAAATGATAGGTTTACTTATAAAATAAATCAAAATCACAGAAAAAACTAAGAAAAAAAAAACCGAAAATTGTCAAGATTTCGCCAACACTAGGTCAAAAAATCGTTTTAAAAACAGCTCCTTTCGTAGAAAAAAAAAGTAAAAAAAAAATCAAAACTTGAGGCTTTTTGTTTCAATTCGTACATACCTATTGACCTAATGAAGTCAGAAACTAGAGATCGAGGTTACGTTTTTCGACGTGCTCAGCTTACTTCAGCTCAAATTTCTAAGCTTAACTTTTGAGCTGAATTTTCACAGAAGTTCGAAAACCTTCAATGACGTCATCCGGAGGAACATAGGTCGCGTCATACTCCTCGAGGACTTGCAGAAGAGGCTGCATGGAAGAAATGAAAAGAGCCTCGTCGGGGGTCCGATCCGAAGACTTCTCGAGGGCCACCAAGAAGCGACAGACGACGAAAGAGCAGGCGAAGCACTCTCCGACGGAGCCGCCGAGCAGTTCGCTGCTCGTCCAGTCGAGCGTTTCGCCCTGCGTCTGTGTGGCCAGGACCTCACAAACGGTTGCAAGGTCTTCGCTGCGGATGTCGTACTTCAGAGGGAAGCGGTTGAGGAACTCTGCCAAGTTATACTTTCCTTTTGATTTTACAATTGATCTCGCTACCGTCGTAGTTCTCTGGAGGATCCTGTTTCGTTATCATGAGCCGCTTTTCGTCGAGGCGAATTGAAGAAATCAAAGACTGTAGCACCAAAAGAAGCGAAGGCGATCGCGCGGCGGCGAGAGCTGGAAGTGACGTTCGGAGGCCCAAAAGGACGGACTTGAGCTGTAGAATGAGCTGTGAAAATGAGGAAGAAGCAGTGGGAAACCTGAGAGAGCGATGTCGCGCCGTCGCCTGCTCTGACGGCCACGGGAAGTCTTTCAGCGACTTGCCGCAGCTTTTCGTGGAGATGGAGCTCATAGCCGGCCGGATTCCGTTGTCTCAGGACATTCGAAAGCTCTTCCGCCAATATCCTCGTCCTACACTCCGTTGCTTTGTTTAATCTGCCTCAATTACCCCTCGAAGACGTCGTCGCACAAGAGCAAACAGATGTCGTGGATCGTGACGTCGAGAGTTCCATTGAAACTTTTCTCGCATCTGCAGAAGCTTTATTTGATGAACAGAAAATAGCCAAACTCGACAAAAACGTCCCGAAGAAGTCGAAGTAGAGCAAATCGGACAGATTCGTGACGGTTTTTGGCCAAGGATGATGGAAGCTGTTTCAACTGGAACGCTTTGGATTGTAAGGAAACATTTTGTGTTTCACCAATTCGACGACTCCGAGCGCCGCCTCCTCCCTCCATTTATCGTCTCTAGTGACAATGAGTTGAAGAATGGCTTCAGAGCAATCTGTGCGCTTTTTCGAAACTTCTTCCTCAAATGTGCTGTCTTTCAAGCACTTCACCACTATCTCATCTACAATCTGAAAGGAATTCCATGAAAAACAGAAATCTCCGAATCTCTCACAGCGAGGCAATCCTCCACGACTTCCGCGTTGTCGTTGGCGCCGTCGCTGGCGACGTTTGCCAGTTTGGAAGAGATTCCAGGGAGAAGAGTGCTCAGAACGACTATGGCCTCGTTTGGACAGCACTCCACCAAAATTCGAACTAGTTTCAGCGATTTTTTCCTAGGAAAATAGTTGAATTGGCTCCGCAAACTGGATGATACCGCAAAGAAACGTCTTTTTCTCGATTTTTGGCAATTTCAATGAAAGTGATGAGCAAGTTACTGAGCTTTGGCACGAAAGATGGTGAGTACAATCCTGGAAAAAGAATCATTACCATCGAAAATTTGTTACTCATGTAAAATACGTTTTTTTGTTCGCAGTAGAACGTCTTTTTTTCCAGAACGTTCACAACACATGCTTACTTTTTTTGAATTAAATGCAAATTGAAGGATTTGCACAAAAACTACTAAAAAATTAGCAGAAATAATGCAGATAACAAACAAGCTTTTACCTTTTTTTTTAATTCAAAAGAAAAATGGGATAAGAAAGAACGATGCTTGAGTCACAAGGATTTGAAACATAATAGAAACAAAAACTTAAATTTTTCGGAACATAAAAAGTCCAGTACGACTGCTTTAGTTTCCTCAAATTACGGTCAAAAGAACGAAAGAAACCTTGTCTCAGCCACTGGGACTTGAAAATGAAGCCGAGGACATTTCCGACAATGGAAGTGGCTGCGATGGCCGTCGGCGTGTCTTCTGGGAACTGCCGGACGGATTCGCACAGGATGGGGCTCAGGTGTTTGAAGGGGACCAGGGGAATCTGGAAGGGGCTGCTTAGGAGATTCAGAAGCAGGATAACGGACATTGACGGGGTCGGGGATGCAGTCGAAGGCGAATTCGACGGCCTCCGCGAATCTCGCGTAGATCCGCGACATGTTTCCGGTCTTCTGGGCCGTCTGGAGCAACGGCGTCGCCGCGACCAAAACCGCCATTCCGACCGTCGTTCGAGCTTCGCCTCGTCCATTGGCTACTTCTGAAATTAGGAACCTAAAGTCACGAGATTATCTAGCTCCACCAAAATTAATTGAAAAGGTCAGTTTTTTAGCCGTTCAATTGTGTTAAATAAGTTTTCGCTTCATTAGCCATAAAATAATAATTTATTAATAACATAAAAATGTTCTTTGCCAAGGTTTTTTTTTCTTGCGAGACGGGAAATCGAGTATTTACATTTTTTTCAATCGCATTTTAATTTTTTTCATAAATTCTCCTCATCTTTTCCGTGTTTTTCCTTTACACAGAAACGGTTGGAAAAAAAAATATGTTCCCCTTTTTTTAAAACGCCGATCACCAATGTTCAGAAATTGATAAAACTAACGGTTCAATCTCTTTCTAGCTGTATCAATCTCAAAATTTGGCCTCGCTCTGAAAAATTATGAATAATTCCATAAATGAAAAACCTACAAAACTTCAGAACAAACTTTGCAGAATCGGCAACAATTTCTCGAGGGTCGGCGCGGCGTCGACGCCTTCCCTTTGAATAGTGATGGATTCGGAAAGAAGCGACCGCGTCTGTTCGAAATCTTGGCTCGTCATACAACGTCTTCTGATCTCCTTTCTCTTTTTGAATCAAGAATAACGAAGTATTTCTTTTTTGAACAATCTCTTCTGAAGGAAAACTGTTTCCCAATGCTGCAAATGTGTTAACTTCGTTGACTCAATAGAAAATTATAGACCCAAGAACTGTCAATAATTTTTCTCCTTCAAAATATTCTCTTCAGAATCTGACAAGTTGTTCCAACAGTCACATGATTGACATGAAGTACCTTTACTCGAATCTTTAAATATTCAGCAATTATATTCACGTACAATGAAATGTTGGACATTATCGATCTGAGTGGTGAACTGAACAGCAATGGATAAATTAGAGTTTCACAGAGAAATACCCGTTTGTCGCCGAAATTATGTGCTCGATTAAATGAAGGGTTTAGAAAGTTAGCCGGTATGTGAGAAAAGCAATCGAAAGAAAAAAGGAAGCTAACAGAGGTCATTTTCAAAGTAAATATTTACAACAGAACAAATCATCCTCAAAGGCACACAAATGTAACAAAAAATAGCATTATAATTTTTCAATCAGAAAATGGCATAGGACGGTGGAAACTGAAACGAAAACAATATAAAGGAGGGAGAAGTTAGGGAGAAAACTCCATATACGCTAAAACCGTAGAGACTGAACAAACTCAATATTGAAAGACTTAAAATCGACCGACGGGATATCGGCCGAAAGGATTGGAAAGGACGGAAGGTTCAGGAAGAAGATCCGAGAAATCGGCCGGCCGAACAGCCTGTCCCACCGCCCATTTCAGCACTTCGCCGCCTTTCGCTGTGATTGGCGCCGTCTGAAAATTGAATTTAGGGAAAACTACAGCCAAAAAAAAACTCTTCACAAAAAAAAAATGAAGAACACTTTTGGTTGTTCTCATCAACTTTTCGATTTCTATCAAAAAAAAAAATAGATGCGAAAAATCCCAAAATCAATTTAGACTATTATAAAACCTCACGTGAAATCTATTTCAAAGGTCGGGTCCAGAAAATTTGAAACTTAATTCTTTCTTTTACTGAGTCAAATTTTTCAAACAGTTTCTATTTCTTTCACTGACAGGGCGAAGAAAATTAATTTCAAGCTGAATAAAATTAACTTTTTCACAAGAAAAAACATCAAACTGATTTTTATGTTTTGCAATAGGGGCGACTAACAGAAACCCCTAAAGGGGCCACCCTTGCGAGTTTTAAGGGTCTCTATAGGGGTTGGTAAAGTGGCCCCTAGAAGAGACCCTCTCAAGGCCCCGAATGTTTCCCTTATAGGGACCATTCTGGAGTTCCTAAGCAGCTCAGAAGTATTACAGAGCATTTCAAAGATAAACCTCGTGATAAGAGACGAGGTCGAAGAGTTGGTCGTGGACGACTTGGTTCGTTCCCAGGAACTGGTATCCTTGCGAGATTTTCTCCACCAAAAAGTGCTTGAAAGTCCCGTCTCCCACTACGTACGAAACAGTATAACTGAAAAAATTCTTTTCAATCAAGTTTTCTTCCTTTTTTCTCCGATCATTTATCCAAGGAAAACTAACATACGACAAAGAGAACAACGATTTGCTGGGAACAAGTATTCAAAAGGGCTTCTAAACTTTCTTTTTTTCTCTTTAAGCCTGAGTTTTTAGTTAAATTTGTCTTTCAACACTGCATTTCGGTCTTATCAAATCGTCTTTGGTTTTTTGGAAATAAAAGCTAATTAAATTCAATTTAAATTTTTTTCTAGGAAGAAAAAAATTCGTCAATAATCCCTACGATAAGTTATGAGTGATAAGATTTTTCAAAATTGGACAAAAAAATAAAAAAATGTTTCTCTTTTTTGCCCTTCTCAATACTTCACTCTACTCTAAAATTGATAATGTGACTGAACGGAAAATTTTAAAGAAAATTTTCATCTGAACTAAAAAAAAAAGAAAAACCAACCCCCAAATGCGTTCAGAGACCCTGACCAAATAAGATCCGGTCGGCTTTCCCAGTAGTAGATTCTCAGCATCTTGTCGCGAGATAATACCTGCAGAATCGAATTCAAAAGAGGAGAAAGGAGGAATCGAACCATGGAACCAAGGAGCCGGAGCCTTGGTCTTTGGATCGAGGCCCGTTCCGCGTCGAAGTTCTTCCCTTTTGAACCATTCGACGATCGCCGATCGCGACTTTGGCCGAGGCGGTCGTGGCAAATTCTTTCTGTAAAACGAGAGTTATGTGAGGAGCACTTCTTCGAAAAATACTAATAGAATCGGTTCTGGTGGTTTCTGTATACATTTGGCCAGAGACTACAGAAATGTCAAAAAAAAAATCAAATACACTTTAAACTTATGAAAAATCGATTTTAACGGAAAAATTAAGAACTAAAAAAAAGTTCAACAACAAAAAAATTTTTTCGAGCATAAAAAAACCTCTTCAGAACGAACCGATTTGAAGAATAACAAAAGAGAAAAAAATATTTTTTTTATAAAGACCAACATAAAACAAAGCTAATTTTAACTTCCGAATAAAGGACGGCAAACTACTTTTCGAAGCATTAACTCAAATGAGAAAATTTTGAAAAGAAGACAAAATTTGGTTGTTTTCAGAACTTCGAAGGTCAAATACTTCAGTGAAAACAGAAAAAAACAAAAAAATTGGAAAACGAGTGATTCCTACATGGCTTCGCGAAGGCTCGTCGCTTTGGTGTCCTTGAGAGCCGGAAGGATGCTCGTGCTCGTCCGGATGAGCTGTCGATGCTGCTCCCGCGCCTTCTGAGCCATCTCCCGCATCGCCGCGTCCGCCTCGCGAGCTTTTCGTTCTGAAATCAACCTTTTTGAAACAATCAAATGCGAATCGGTCTTTTTACAATCACAACAAGAAGAGTTATTTTTTTATCCGTTTCGTAATCTTTAAGGCAACCGAAACGGAGTTAGGAGACCAGAAAAAACGTGAATAAAAGAATAATAAACATTTAAAAAATGAGGGAAAGAATGTATATTGTGTATTTACGGCTACCAAAATCGAAAATATTGTTTTTTGGGGCCCATGATCTATAATTTAACAGACCGGAAAAAGTTTTCCGGTTGTATAAAAGTATAATCGTTTTCTTCACTTGTCCATCGAAAATTTTCAATCTTTTTCAAAATATCTGATGATGCGAAAAACTTTAACCATGAAACTTTGAACAAAAGTAAACTTAGGAAAATGTCAAAATAATTTTATAAAGAAAGAGAGAAAAAAAACAGACGCTGATCCTCCCACTCGGCTTGTCGTCGTGCTTCTCCGGCTTCTGCTTCGCGTTTCATTTTTTCACGGTGTTCCTGAAATTTCAAAAAAATTAGAGGAAATATTCATTTTATCTCACCTGCAGACTTTGGAAAATCTCCGACTCTCGTTTCTGCACTTCCTCAGCCTTGCCGCCAATTCCCCTTCCGGGTCTCATTCGGACTCCTTCAATAATATTATATGGTGAAGAAAATGTGAAGCTCTGCAAAGTCTACAAAAAAAGTCGAACGGATCTCAAGTTCAGGACTATAAAAATGTAGTTAAAATAATTGAGAAAACAATATTCGAAGTTTTTTTTTGGAGGAAATCGTATTTTCTTGCAACAAGCATTTGCTAATATACCAATAAGAGAGCTTTCCTTACTACTATCAAATATATTCGAAAGTACTTGAGAAAAACCTGGAGGAGAACGAAAAAGCTTCTAGAATTATTCTTGAAGAAGCGTACCCTGTAGTGAGAGGCCATCGTTGGAGTTGGTGCTGGTCGAAGGGAAAGGCTGGGGCTGGGCGAACTGTGGCTGCGGCTTCGGGAGCAGCGGCGGCCTTTGTCCACGGACCTCGGCCTTCTGCGGCTGCGGCACCGTGTAGCTCGACACCTTCGCTGACGTCACTTGCTCGTTTGGCACGTTGCCATTGCCGTTTATGTGGCCGCCTGAGAACTTCTAGTGTAAGAGCGTTTTTCTCTAAACTATACTATACTGGAATATTTTCAAACACAGTGGAATGGGATATCCTGTTATTATTCTTCCCAATTTCTTTACTCAATACGTTTTTAGAAGATTCTTTTGATAGTTATTTGAAAAAAAGGGATGTTCCAAAAAACTTCTTTTATTTGCCTTTGAACAATTTTTTTGAAAATGATAATAAAAAAGGACGTTATAGTTTCTTTCAACTTTTGAAACAATATTCAGAATCTTGCAAACCGTTGGCATTCGAGTAGACGCTTGGACGTGGAGGTTGGAAGAGTAAAAGGTTGTTCGAGTCCATGGAATCGTCTTCGATGGAGTCCTGGAAAAGGAGAAAGTTTCAGGCAACGAGGAGAAACCGACAGTTCCGCCGATGCGAAAGTTGCCGAGTTGGGCCATCAGAGCGTCCTCGTCGAACTCGCCGATCTTAGCATTCGCGTCGGCGACGTCGCCGAGTTCGCGAACAGCGAGTGCGTGGGCCTGATGTCGCGCCTCTTCGTCGAGAATCTCCTCGATCGACCGATCCGTCGAGTGTTCTCCCATCACCCACACCCAGACCTCGCCGTCGGTTCCTTTCAGCCATCTGGATAGGGAAGTTACTCTTCTATATACGGTTATGTGAATTTCAAGTTAATTCGGTCGCCAAGATTTCATCCAATCAGATAAAAATTTTATGGTGCCAAACGAGTTCACGATGATCTAAGTGGCAAGCAGAAAAAGAATATCAACTATTAGAGCCTCGTAAGTACAGAAACACAATTTCTCATAAAGTTAAAACTATTACAGGTCGGTTGTCAAGAAAAACTTTCACAGAACTTTTCTGGAGTATCAAAATAATACGAATTGAAACATTGATAATAAGCTGTAATTCATAGGAAAACTGAAGCTTTCCGAAACCTCACTTTTACAAAAAAACTTTTTTCATCGAAAATAAAGACCATCGACAGTCCACATAACAAAACGAAATAGATTCTAAAAATCAACTTGATAGCTTGGAAAATCCTACAAAATGAAACCATTACGACTCCTCATGATTTACAAAATCATAGTTATATTTTTGAACCACTGATTTCTTGAAAAAAGAATGAACAATTTAATATAACGATATCTTTTTCTAATCATCTTCAGCAGACACTATTTATTATGCCATGAAAAATATGGACTTCATAAAAACATCTGTCAACTCACTTGAGGGACTTCTTCTTGGGTGGCCGGAAGGGCGGACCGTCGCGTTCAAGTTCCTCCTCGGCGGCCTGCCATTTCCTCACTTGCTCGGCTCGCATTTGACAGAACAAAAGTTGCTTTTGCTCGTCGTCCAACGCGTCAAGGAGCTCCTTGTCGACATGACCCTGAAGAAATATATTATTTTTCTTTTTTGAGAATTTCCAGAACAAACCGTGCTCAAAATCTCTGACAAGATACTCATTCTGGTTCTTCAACCTGATCGAATCCCGGCAGTTACTTGGCGGCAATACCCATAATCGATTCACTGTAAACTTGAGAATTTGAAATAAACGGTTATAAATTGAAAATCACAACATTCGATAAAATTAATGAGAAAAACTAATCGATTTTGGATAGCACCCAAAAAAATTTTAGTTTTTCAAAATGAGGCAATGCCATTTTTGTAGGAATTTCAAGCAGATATAAACGAAGCATTGGAAAATTATTTCGAAAATTAGAAATTGAAACGATTTCTTTCAAATATTGATGATGAGAGTGCAACTCAAGTATAGGATTCAAAAATGGGTGAGCCAATCGCGCGATGGGTGTGAGCAGCTGTTAAGCAGAGCGGGAGCTTTTGGTTTCCGATTCCACGACGATGCAGCGAAAGCCGATCGATAAGCTTCGAAGCCCTTTAAGAATTTTTTTGAAAAAAAAATTTCACGAAAAAAAGAATGCAGTTGGAAAAAAACACAAAATTCTGATAGACTATTGATTATATTTTTTTAAAATTATTAATTTAGAACAAAAAAATATTAACCGCCTCTTATAGAACGTTCTCCAGTAACACAAATCTCGCTCGTTTGTGATGAAAATATATTCTTTTCAAAATTCTTTCCAAAGCTTCACATTTCCTTTTGAGCTGAGAGGTTTTGTAAAATCATAGAACTATGATCATTTCGATTTCTTTCAAAGAACCCTTTTTCATTTAAAAAATTCTGCTTATTAATAAAAGTTCAAGAGGTTAGTATATCTAAAGTATAAATTTGTTCAGACCGCCATGTTCAAGAGATAAAAATTACTTTTCTATCTCTATAGCCTAATCTGAGACTAAAGTTTCATATTCAAGCCTGCAACTAACCTAAAACGAGAACAACGGAAGGTAAACACGAAAAAAAAACAGAGAGGTGAAGTGGTGGAGAAAAAAAAAGGCGACTGATCCGTGGCGACTATCAAAGCGTAATCTAAAGTGAAAGCAAACGGAAAGGGGCGCCGAGCCAAAGAGGGAAACGACGACAAGATGCAGGCAAAGTGAACGGCGCAAAGCCCTTCGGAGGGCAAACACACTCGGAGGACGGTAAAGGCGAAGAGGGAGCACTCGCCGCCGAGCACAGCAGGTCCGAATGACGAATCCTGGCAAACTCGGCCCGATGCAACTTCCCCAAACCAATTCCAGAACAACATAGCCTAGTTTAAAACCTGGTCGCTTTTTTCTTCAAAGCCTTCAAAACTTCTAAGGAAACGACCATAAAGGAATGAGACCAATGATCTTAAGATTATCTACGAAATATTGTTGCCAAAACGATATGTACAAAGATTCTTTAATTCCATTTTCTCGATTGAAAAAAAAACAAACGAAAATTTGATATACCGTTGATTTACATTCTTAAATGTTCCTAGAAAAAAAAAGTTAAAATTAAAAATGAATAATTACGATAAGATAACTATTTGATATTTGAAGAAAAATCCAGCTAAAGTAAGTGAAAGAAAGATTTTCTGAAACCAATTTTCTCTCACTAGCTAGAGCACCATTTTTCTCAAAAAAATTTTTTTTTTTCTATTAAGCTTTTTCAATCCTGATCCAAACGAGATTTTAAAAAAAAGCTTCCAAACTTTGTATTTCCTTTCAAATGAAAATCTGAAAAAAAAAGAATTCTAGGATATATAGAAACTTCTTGTAATTTCTTTAAAAGTCGCAAATCTCATTCTTCATCAAAAACTCAAAATTCTATCAAAAACTGACTTGAAAGTTAACCAACTGATATTATTATATGGTTACCTTAAGCATAAAATTTGTTTCCTTAAAAAATATTCAATCCAAATGCTCAAAAAAAAAACAAGACCATGTGGTAAGTCCAGAAACACAACAATTAAGAAAACTCCCAAGACGAGTCGGACAGCAGCGGCGAGGAGGAAAAGCGCAAAATAATGGAACACGGAAACGGAGAGATATGGGAGAGGTGATTGGAAGGAGGCCTGGGGGAAGACGAACGACCTGGTCACAAACCAGCTTCGCTCGCACGGCCGCCTTGCAACATCCCAATCAAAAACACATCCATTCACGGTGATTTCTAATGATCGGATCGCTGACATATCACTTCAACAATTTGTCTAGGTCTTTCGAAAATTGCTAACCGATTAATTCAATGACGATTGTGATAAATCTAGAGAAAGAAGACCAATAGACTTTTTTTTTTCAAAAGTCAAAGCCTAGACAAAACTTCATTCAAGAAAAGCACGTAAAATAAGGTAATTAAAAAAAGTTACAATAAATCGACTCAAAAAAAGGGAAGGTGTCAGAAAAGATGAGAACCGAAAAAAATTTCAATTAAAAAAATATATTGATATTTTTGTTTAACAGTTCAAAAATCGCTGTTTCCGTGCTCGACACAATAATCGGCGAGTTTCACAGAATTTTGGATAATTCTATCTTTAATTTTTTTCTTTAAAAAGTTTTTTTGATTTTTCTAACATTTTTCCCCCAAAAGGTTCAAAAACTTGCAATCATGCATTCGGAAAAAAAGTAATTCAGACACTTCGAGGGTCCAAGCCTTTCAAAATATATCAAAAAGCACACATACTTGACTGATAAATTTTATTGACAAAAAAACATGGAAACCATTAAGAAAGGGAAATGAAAAAAAGTTGCAAGGCTAATGTGCATAAATGTGAAAAGAGCCGTCGATGTACAAGTTTGTACTGAAAGTGGGCGAAGGACAGGTCAGATGGCCATGTTTCTGCCCTCAAGGGACACCTTGACGGCCCGGGCCGCCTTGGTCTTCCGCGTCCGCTCGGCGAAGTCACGGAACGTCTGGTCGTATCTCGAAGATCCCGTGCTTTTGCGCTCTCCCTGCAAAATAAAACTCGTGATAAGCGTCAATAAAAGTGCAACTCCAAAAAATCTTCACATGCAACATTCTTTTTTAATCTTGATATCCAATTATGGGTTTCTTGTAAATAAAGATAAACTTTTTCCCCAGACTACTTACGCAACCTTGATTTCCCAAAAAAAGAAAGAAAACTCGAATCAAAAAAAAGTTGAAAGATTTGAAAGTGCATATCTAAAGCAAAACTTTCAAAGTGGTGCTTGATCAAAAATGGTATTCCATTAAAAGTTCCAAAAAGAAATATTGCTTAAAAATGGCTTTGCAAAATGATAAAATTAAATCTGCGCAGTTTTTTCCTCTCCTTAAGATATCCTTCAAAAGATTAGGATAATTTTTTTCACATAAACAAGGATTGAATCTTCTCTTTCTCTTCGAAAAGATTTCAAGTTGACTTGAATTGAATAAAAATTGATCAAAAAGGGAAGATGCTTTTTTTTTTTCAAAAAACTGCTTTCGGAGAAGCAAACGAGTTGTGGGAAAAAACGGAAAAAAGTCGCAGAAAAAGAATAACAAAAGAACGCCTTGAGTTTTTTTTTCATACAACACTGCTTAGTTTGTTCTGAAGCTACCTTGAACTCTCCCTCGACGTTCCACTTCGGTCGAACGACGTAGTCTTTGGTGGAAGGACGCGGGACGCGCGCCCGATTGATGTAGCCTTTGTCGCCGGGCTTGAGCTGGCCCGAGGAAGAAGGCCCAAGGCCGCTGTCCGTCACTCCGCGTCTTTCGCGCACCTCCTCCTCTTGGTCCATGCTGTAAGAAAACTATCAGAAACTTTGAAAAACCTGTGGTCATTTTCCTTCAAGTCACAAACATGGCTTCATTTGGTGATCTTTGGTTCTTACCAAGAGTTCTTCAAAAGAAATTTAAGCTGAAATTTGATTATTTAATGATATAACCTCGGATTTCTCAATGATTTTTGATCCCATACTTTCTAAATTTGGTTCTATATTAATCGTTCAACCCAAATAAATGAAAGAATGAAATTGAAATCTTTAAAAAAGTGGAGGCTGACTTTTCATCGTTCTCTTCCTCTAAAGCTACAAAATATGCCCGTCAAATAAATAATAAAAAACTTTTTCTAAAAAAGGAAGAAAGTAAACGGGAAAATTTCTATCCAAAGATGTCCGAATCGACTGAGATGGAAACCAAAAACCACAAAACTTCGGAATCGGACCTGAGCCTCTGTTTCTTGACGGAAGGCATCCGGTCCATGTCCCTGGCCACGCGTTCTTCACGCGACATCGAGCTGTAGTCCGTGTCCAACTGAAACAGGAAGCAGATACAATGAATTCTGAAGGAATGGAAACCTGGAAGATGGGCCGAGCCCACTCGCCGATCAGTTTGTTGGCAATGGATTTGTTCTCTTTCGTCTCACTCGGATGCTTGTACAGCAACATGACCGCCTTTCCCAAACCTGACTTTTTTAGGACACTCTGAAAAAAAAGCGTTTTGCCTTTTTTTAAATTGGCATTATCATTCAGAGCTTGAGTTTCTCTCAACAATTTCTTTTGTTGCTGGGATAACTTTGTTCCTTCATTTTAATAAATCAAACTGACCAAAAAAATTTTTTTATACGATGTTTGTGAACCTTTTTTTCAATTCGATCAAATTATAATTTTTTTCAAGTGCGATTTGAAACCGATTCGAAAAAAATAAGATATGGAAATAGCTCAAAAGATTAGCTTCACCAGATTGGAAAATAATCTTTTTCGAGTGAGTTATCTGAATTTGATTAAATCGCAAATACCCCGATATTTTTTTCAAATTTTCGTTTAATATTTATTTTATTCGTAGATAAGAATGAGAAAAAGAATTTTCCTCATACTGAAAACAAAAAAACTTTGAAATAATTGACGCTTTATGAATATAATATCTTTTCCGGAAAGAAGCGTACCCTGTCGAGTTTCCAGAAGCGGGGATTGTGGAGCAGCTTGAGGACAGTGAGACGGATGTCGAGGGCCGGCAGACATTTGTCCGGAAGAGGGGCCAGCCATTCCGAGATCACGTCCATCATCCCGTTCTCCACCAGGACGTCCGTCATGTTCGCCTGGAAGAACGTCTTGTGGCGAGTTTGGGGCCAGAGTCACCTTGAGCAGCATCGCCTTCACCTCTGGGAGCATCCGCACTTTTTGAAACGCCGGCTTTCGTTCCATGTTCGAAGTGCGATCCGCCTGGAAACCAACTCAAGTCTTGAATGATAAGGATGGGAGATGGCAGTCAGTAGAAAAGTCCAAAAAATCTGCAAAAAACTTGCGAGAGGAATTTTCAGTTTATAACCAGTGTAGAAATTGGAATTATAAAACTTTCTTTGAAAATATTGCAAAAATCAGAATAATTGAAAGTTATTCAACTTTTCAGAATATACGAATCTTTTAGAAAAATCTTCCGGCTTCGATCACCTTTCTTGTGCTTACTGAAAATCGAAGAAGTAATTTTGTTTCTAGCCGTTAATTTTACCTTCTTCTGAGCTACAAAAGCTTTTTGAAACAAATTGAAACGAAAACCTTTTTTTCAGAAGAAAGAGATTCCAAATTAATAGAAGAAAATAAAATTTTTTTCTAATACAATAAAATAATTTGGCGTGAAAGCGAAATGCACGAAAAATCAAGAAATTAATTCCTGTAATGGTACAGCGAGAGCGCGTTTTCCATTTACGCATTTTTCCAATTTGATTATGTACTTGGTCGAAATGGACTATTGGGTACTATAACGACAGGAAATAGTTGGAATGCAACATTCATCCATTCTAATTTACGAAAAAATTTAATCAGAAAGCAGAAAAGTTATTAGAAAAAAACCAGAAATGTGGCAGCCCCACTGTTTTTCCGTCAAAAATGAAATCAGAGAATATTTTTTGGAAACAAACCTTGGCAGCGGCCTTCATGCGTTCGACGAGTTTCATGACTTCGCCGTCGTCGTCGTTGATGATGTCGATGCCGCCGTCGCCACGTTTTTTCGTCTTTCGCTTCCTTTCCGCTTTCTTTTCTCTCATCATCACGTCGAAGTCCCATTCAAAACTGAAAATTCCGCTGTGATTACGATTTTTCTCCTGAAACCGACCCGTTGCCTCGACGGCCGCCGTCCCGGATCTCGTCGTCATCGTCGTCGTCGTCTTCGCCTTCGTTGCTCTTCGGGGGCTCCTCTTCTGGACGTTCCTCCTGTTCTACGAATTCTCTCTCGTCGCCTGATCCCTCCTTCTCGCGCTCTTCTTCGTCGTCGCTGTTACCGAATACGCTCGAAACAACGCCTTCCTAAGTTTTCAAAGCTCAATAACTTTCCTCTATGGAAAATTCAAATAACAGAAACTAGCTTTTCTTCCCACATAATTTGTATGAGGTCTCAAGAAAAGTAAGGATTGCCGCGAACTTCGAAGTATCAGCCCCTTTCAATGAAAGTAATAACACGGGAATAAAATATTAGTTTTCAAAACTCTACATCGAACTTGGAATTAATCCTTGGAAGCTACAGTCTTTTCAAAAGTCCTTGTTGAGGTTATGAAAGGCGCAAGTGTCTTGCTAGACCCAAACTAACGCTGGAAAGGACTATTTTTTTTCTCATTTTTCAGCTACTTATTGGTTTTCGATTGTTTCGAAACTACAGAAAGATTATTTTGAACCGATCATAAAAAAAATAAAGAACATAAAAGATTTCGAACTTTTCTCTCCTGGGAAAATACGTGATAAATTGAGACCGAAGGAAGAAAAACTACATTTTGCTTCTTTTCAGGTGATTCTTCGCCGTCGGATGCGTCTGAAGCGACAGAAACTCTTCTGAAAAAAAAAAAAACGAGATTAGCACCAAAATATAGATCTCTAAAACCTCTCAGGTTCACCATCACTTTCGTCTGAATCAATCAACGCCCGAGCTCTTTTCCGTTTCTTATCGGGACTCGACGTTTCTGCGTCTTCTTCTTCCTCATCGCTATTGATTGCTGAATTCGATAAGAAAATAAAAAATTAGCGAGTTTCTGCATCACCTCGAGCATGATTATCTGCGCTATCAGCTTCTGCCGAAACTTCTTCTGCTTCTTCTTCATCTGTATTATTTATTGAAAATAAAGCATGAAAGTAATACCATGTTCTTTTCTTGTGAATTCAGCGGTACGACCAGGAGTGCTATGCCCAGAAGTGACCTCTTCAGGGTCGGGAGACGCAATTTCTCGCTGCATTTCTTCAGCCTGGAACAAGACTTATGCAGGAGAATCCTCGATTGAACCTACGTCATTGTTATATTGCTCTTCGATCTCTCCGGCCGGAGTCAAAACGCGATTCTGCAGCTCGTCGATGACTTCATCTGGAGATAGAGGTCCGTCGAGGGAATCCTGAGATTCGTCCTGTGGAGGGTACCAATCGCCTTCGCCTCTGTCTGCCATCTAGAGAACACAGCAACTATATAAACCGGTAGCCAGCAGAACACAAAGATTAAAACAAAGCCATTTACTCCAAAAATGTTCAAATTTCTAAAAAGAAAAAATTAGCGGATGATTTTGTTCCTTTTTTCGTAAAATAGTTTCAATCGTAATGATTTTAAAATATTTTGAAGTTTCCATACAGAAGCTTGCTTAAATAGTGTCTAGCAACACCTTTTCGAGATTGACTGAACATAATGCTCATTAAAAAATATATGAAAAAAATGGAAACTGTTTTAAAATGCGATGAAAGTATTTATACTTCGGGTATACTTAAAATTCTATTTTTTTTTAAATAATCAATTTCGTTCAAAATTTAACTATTAAATTTGGAATAAAAAAGTTAGCATAAATTTTTTTCACGTCTTGAACAGCACAAGGAAAGCAGAAAAGCAAAAATGCGAAGAAAATCGAAGAAATTTTTTGAATGAAAAAACATCTTTGCCTGACGGCCGTAAAAGACAAAGCGCGGCCTGGGAGCGATCGTTTGTGTTTCTCGGACAGACGCGACCCGGCAAGTCAAAACCACGGTTTTACAATGGATTCGCAGAAAAAATTGAATAAAAGTAACTATTGAATAAAACTTAATGACTTCATTTTGTGCAATATGCTCAAAAAATTGAAAAAAAAAAAGTACAGAAAGATGTCCGTTGGCATGAAAAATCTAATATTGCAAGCGATTCGACCTCACATCGAGGAAAAATTTGTAGACTTAATTTATTTCGGTGCAGTTTGACAAATTGAAAGATGTTTATTCTTTTATCACATTCGCCATTTGTACTTCAAAGAGGTAGGGAAATCCGACTTTCGGTTTGACGCCGATGTAAACACTGCACCAAACTGTTGGGTCCAGGAAGACCGAAGCGTTTAGATGAGCCGCCGGATCATTGTAGTCGACCTGAAACCATCGAATTCTAAAGGCCTGGTGATGTTTTCAGACCATGATGGCAGTTATTGCCCAATTCGTTTGCAGGTCGCTCTCAATAGTCCGAACGATGGTCGTAGCGTCGCCGCTGTTCAAAACAGAAATCACAACCTGGAAATTCCATGTACAAAAAAACGAAGAAAAAACATTTTAACACGATCGCTTGTTTCGATCATTTCTTCACAAAAAAAAATTTGGTCTGTGGACCCTGTTTTTGGAAATAAACAGAGAACTTAATGCCGTGTTCAAAGTAATTTCCGCGAAATGCAAAATGGTCTCTGACCCTCCAAAATTTAGTTAACTTTCTCTTTCTCTGACGGCTATTTTGAATTTCGCGGAATCACTTTGAACACGGCATAAGAAATTACCGAGTCTTGCATTGTTTCGTTCCAACAGAATGGAATGCAAATTTGTATCCGATGGTCTTTATTGAAGCAATCGTTGCCTGAAATTACATTTTTTGAAAAATTGTGACGATTTCTCACTGTAAAGCTTATTGGAGAGATGATGTTGAGCCTTTTGAATTTGATCAGGTAAATCCACATGATAATCAACTTCCACGGACTTTTCGGCACGGTCGCCCTGAATTCAATAGAAAAATGTGAAATCTCTTGAGGGAAACCTGAATACAGAACTGTGTTCCATTGGAGTTGGCGCCGGCGGTCGCCCAATCGAGAATTCCCAGGCCTTTCGTCACGAGCCACGATGACGGCGGCTCCGAAAGATTGCATTGGCCTCAAAACTTTTCATATTAGGCTTCATGTTGCTGAAAATTTGCTGAAAATGTCTATAATTTCTGGTCTCCAACATAAAATAAAAACCTACCAACTGCGTTAACGCCGAAGAGGAAAAAAAGCAGGACTAGAGCTGGTGTCGCCACGGACATGGTTTATCAGCAAAAGGTTCATTTTTCCCCTTATCAATTTTCCTAATTCGATCCCTATGTTTATCACTCAAAACGTCTTTTTGTTTCTTGAAAACCGATAACCTCCTGGAAATGTAAATAATGTATCCATAGAAGACTCTGAATTCGGACTTTCTTTTTCGAAACACGTTGCATAGTAAAAAGAAAGCCTTTTAACATGAGAATTGAAACTAGAAAGACTAAACTGAAAACAAATGATGTTTGTACGAAAAATACTCTTGAGAAACACTCTAATCAGCATCATATCCCTTCTTTTTGCAATCGACTTTTGCCGGAAGGTAAGTAGGTTTCGAAGAGGCGGATCGAGAAAAAAAGCTGCAGGGCAGGTGAAAAATGGACGAAATCACCTGTAACACGAAAAAAATCTATCACAGCTCCGACCGTCTTTCCAAGCGTCCTTCTTGCCGTTTGTTTCCTCGTTTGTCATATCTGCTCTGGAACTTTCCCAGGGTCCCTACGGATTGATGTTTCCTTTTTGTCTAACAAAATGCCACAAAATGTTTCTGAAAAAGTTCCTTTGAAGTGGGAACCTTTTTTTCTAGTTACCCAGAGTTGACGCTTAAATGAACAATTAAAACATTGTGAATCACGACCGAAATTTTCCTCATAATCTCAAAATCCTCTGAATTTTTCATATTTTCCCCGAATCACAAAAATTTCATGCATGAAAACTTACGATCTCGGAATGATATCTAAACTTCTCTGTAAGTTAAAAACTGGATATTGTTTTGCTGATTTTGCTGAAATTCGAAATAATCTGGTTTCTATGTGCTCCTTTTTTCTTCGACTTCTGGAGTATGCTTTTTCAAAACTTCTTATAAATAAAAGTTTAACACGCTGTCTCTGTAATTTTCAAAAAGTTTCAAAAGCAACGGGTACAAAAAAAAATTTTATTTTTTGATTTTGATGAAACTTTATCCAGTGTGATAACCCATCATCAGAAATGCGGACGCAACTTTTTGAGCCATTTCCTCTTACTGTAGCCGGATTACGGTAGGCAGGTGGGCACCTGCGTATCTAAGTATTGAAGAGTTATTACTAGGCAACTGATATATCAATCGATAGGTAATCAAATTTTTAGGAACTTTTTTTAGTACATACCATCTTGGGTTACTGTAGGAATTTTTCGAGTTACGGTAATTTTTTTGTGTTTGGAAAGTCGGTTTTTTTGGTCACCCTGGTCGTGGGCATAGAATCGCATCGTAATTACTTATATGGAATATGTCTTGTAGTATGTTCTAAACAATGCCACAAAAAAAAGTTCGAATTTCTAAACCCGTCATCTCGAGATTTCACTCCGAACGCGCGCAACTTGGCACTTTGCGGCGAGGGTTGGTCGTGGTTGACGATTTTTCACTTTTTTCTTCTGTTAGATATTGGTGTAAAACTTTTTTTAGATTATAACTACAGTTTGTTTTTGTAACATTCAAAGAGGTTTGAAGAGACCTATACGCTACATATTCGGCCGAAATTTCGTTTTTGAACTCTATTTTTGGCTTGAAAAAGCGCGATTCGCTCTGAAAAGATTGGTTTTTTTAAAAATTTCCGACGATCCCGCAGTTTCCAAAGCTATTAAATATGTAACTGACATCTTCTAGGTTACAATTGATATAGTTTTGTTCAACTTTTACCGAACCCGTCCAACCGAAATTTAGCTTTGAACTTATTATTGGCCTAAAAAAGCAATATTTGCTCTGAAAAAACCGATTTTTGAAAATTTCCAACTGTACCGCTGTTTCCAAAGCTATCAAATATGTAGCTGACATCTTCCAGGTAAACATTTATGAGACTTTGCTTGACTTTTATCGAGCCCGTCTGGCCTAAAGCTGCTTTTGAACCCTATTTTGGCTTCGCCGGCGGGTCTGAGGCTGGATTTTTGAGCTTCGTAGCTATTTTCTCATCCGTACATCGCAAGAAGTAACGTTTTCATGCAAAAAAAAAAGTTGAACAGAAATTCAGCTGCGAGAATTTCGCCAGTTGGCAGAATATTGAGGCACTGTTGCGCTCCACCGATAACATTCGCCAGAGGCAAAATATTAATTCCAGTTAACTGTATTCAAGATTTATTATTGTTCTATTTTTGTTTCTGATTCTAGTTCTGTTTTTTACTTGCTGTTTTTGACACCTGCAGGATTTTTAAGTGATTTAACATTTATTTTACCGGAAAAATGGACAAAAATTCATAAAAAAAAAACTTTTCATTCGTCAAATAGCCGAAACAATGTATATTCAGAATTATAATCCAAGGACTAAAGAAGAAGTTTTTGAAAAAAAGATCCATCAAAAAGCTTCGAATTACGATTTTATCTCAACATCATAAATAAAAAAACCTTTTTTTCTAGCGATTGTACCTCTTTTTTTCTGAAAAAAATGATCATTCATTCATACAACTATTTTTTTCCAATTGTTGAATTTGAAAAAGTGCGAAACATTCTCAAAAAAACTTGTGCTACGAGGCTCAAAAAAATCCAGCCTCAGACCCGCCGGCGAAGCCAAAATAGGGTTCAAAAAGCAGCTTTAGGCCAGACGGGCTCGATAAAAAGTCAAGCAAAGTCTCATAAATGTTTACCTGGAAGATGTCAGCTACATATTTGATAGCTTTGGAAACAGCGGTACAGTTGGAAATTTTCAAAAAAATCGGTTTTTTTCAGAGCAAATATTGCTTTTTAGGCCAATAATAAGTTCAAAGCTAAATTTCGGTTGGACGGGTTCGGTAAAAGTTGAACAAAACTATATCAATTGTAACCTAGAAGATGTCAGTTACATATTTAATAGCTTTGGAAACTGCGGGATTGTCGGAAATTTTTAAAAACCAATCTTTTCAGAGCGAATCGCGCTTTTTCAAGCCAAAATAGAGTTCAAAACGAAATTTCGGCCGAATATGTAGCGTATAGGTCTCTTCAAACCCCTTTGAATGTTACAAAACAAACTGTAGTTATAATCTAAAAAAGTTTTACACCAATATCTAACAGAAGAAAAATGTGAAAAATCGTCAACCACGACCAACCCTCGCCGCAAAGTGCCAAGTTGCGCGCGTTCGGAGTGAAATCTCGAGATGACGGGTTTAGAAATTCGAACTTTTTTTTGTGGCATTGTTTAGAACATACTACAAGACATATTCCATATAAGTAATTACGATGCGATTCTATGCATACGACCAGGGTGACCAAAAAACCGACTTTCCAAACACAAAAATTACCGTAACTCGAAAATTCCTACAGTAACCCAAGATGGTATGTACTAAAAAAGTTCCTAAAATTTGATTACCTATCGATTGATATATCAGTTGCCTAGTAATAACTCTTCAATACTTAGATACGCAGGTGCCCACCTGCCTACCGTAATCCGGCTACAGTAAGAGGAAATGGCTCAAAAAGTTGCGTCCGCATTTCTGATGATGGGTTATCACACTGGATAAAGTTTCATCAAAATCAAAAAATAAAATTTTTTTGTACCCGTTGTTTTTGACAGTTACAGAGACAGCGTGTTAATAAGGGAAAGGAAAAGCAGACAGATAAGACTGTTTCGCCTTAAGTAATAGGATCATGGAAACTTTTTCTTCTTTCATTGGAACATTAATCAGCAGCAGACACTCATTTGAAAAGTTCTTTCACATTAAAGTTCAGAGCTTTTAAGTCCAATAGTCGAAATGGAGAAGATATCCGAACTGAAACTTCTCCGACGCAAAAGTTGATAAAATTCGGAATATTACTTCTATTTAAAAAAATCCATAAAAAAGTAAACTCTTTACAACATCTTCATTCCTGTTTACAATACCTCAAGAAGTGCTTTTGAAATTTTCTCAGAAAGTGCAACCAACATTTTTCGGAAGTGAAACTACTGGGTAATCTGTCGTTGTCTAATTGCAAGTTTGGGCTCACATGAAGAAGAGCCGATATTTGAGCGAAATTGCAGCCGTAGCGGTCTCCGAGGAGTTCCGCAGGTGTCGCAGAACGCCTTGAGAATGGGCGTTCGGCGTTGCGTCGGCGTCGTCTTCTTCATCGTCGTCGCCTTGGTCGCGCCGCCCGACATCGTCGCTGCCAAGGACGACGAAATCGAGTATTACTACTACGGTGAGATCTTCTCAAAAATGGTTTTCAAGATTGTCGACCACGGAAAGGTATGATTTTCATGTCTTCCTCAAAAGTTGTGACCAGTTTTTGATAGCAAAACTCTCGAGTTAGATGAACAGATAATAACGGAAAGAATTTTTCAGACTTAGATTCTGAAAAAAAAATCTTTTCAAAGAACATACAGTCCATTCAAGACACGGACTGACTTATAACTTATCCGTTGCTATGAACTTATTATTATTTCTAACAGAGTCTTTTTGCTCAAAAAAAAAAACTGGAGAAGAGTGACTGACTGGGAAAAAGGAAGAAATTTTTCAAAAAGCACGTGAGAAAAGGTGATAGACTATCATTGATCATAGTTCTCCGAAATTCTTTTTATTTTACATCAACCGTTATTCGTGTAACGAGAGTCCCTCCAATTTTTAAATCTGCCTTTTTTCTGACTTCTTGAGCCCCTCTCAAAAAAGGTAGTTCATTAAAGGCATTGAAATTTGTTGAAAATTGGCTTGAAAAATTTTTTATGAGCTGAACGAATTTTCTGAATTCCTCAAGCTGCGAACATATTTTATTTGTCAAAAAATAAATGAAAGATTTAAAGTTTTAACTTCTTTTAGAGTTGGTAGAAAAGTGTATTCTCATTCCGTAATTTTTTTAAAATATTGCAGTTTTTTTGAGCGAAATGCGTTATTATTACGGGGTTAGCAACAGTAGCCAAAAATTACGCATCAATGATTTCATCTTCGGAAAAAATTGATAATCAAAGATTGCCAAAGTACAGCTAAATGTAACATACATCTCTCGTTATTTTTATCTTCGCTCTACTTCGTAGACTGAACCTAGCAACTTGTGTTTCGTTTGGAATCCTTGTTTCCTCTCGAAATTGAGGTTGATTCAAAGAGCTTCTCTTTACTTCTGAGTCAAAAATCAGTACCTCGCTAGCAATTTCGAAGAACTACGTTATGTTCGTTGAGACATTGTTTTGCTCCTCTTCTTGTTGTACACATGTCATTAACTATCGGAACACTATCATTTCTCTTGAGAGATAAACTTGCTTTCCTACGTTTTCTCATCGCGACTTCTCAAGCCAGTCATAAAAAAAAACAGAAAATATCAGGTCCCACCTAAGCGATTCCCGCGCTCCCTAGCAACCTTAACAGAGCCGTCGTCGTCAGTTCAAATAACTCAATTCGCTTGAGTAATTCGCTTCAAACTAGAAAACTGAGGTGTCGCTGATGTAATTTTATCTGGTTGATAGGAGTGAAACTTGAAAGCACCTGCTACCGTAATCCTTCAAGTTTTGCTCGGAGACTCCTCTCGGCTTCAAAATGGGCGATTTCGTCGTTTCTGATGGCGTCGTCGATGTGACGACGTCTTCTGAGCCCTCGACACCTGAAACGACAACACTTGAGCTTCTGACCACCTTGGTGACGTCTACAGCCTCTAGCCTAGCTTCTACCTTCCCTACGGTCCTCAACGGCTCTTCCAGCAGTTCAACCGCTTCTTCTACTCGTTTCCCAAGGCCAAAGAACTGGGTAGCACCGAATACAACGCGCGGTACGTACACATTTTCATGCTAAAGCTTTTCTGACCTTCTTTCTTTTTTTTTCTGATACTCTCTTCAATAATAAAAGGACATAACTGGCAAGACGATTCTCCGTTTTTGCACTTATCTGAAAATTTGAAAAAAAATTCTGGTAATTTTGCTTCAAGGCTTCCTGATATCAGAACACAGGAAAAATATTCAATTTCCGAATCAAAACGTTGAAAAAAATGAGAAATATTTTTTTAAAAAAATTGAAAGAAATCAGTCAGAAAGGAAGATAAATGAAACACGATCTGATCAGAGACTTCATGCTCATTTATTGAATTCCACAGATTTGAGATCTTCTTTTTCACTTTTTCGAGGACACTTCTTATTCTTTAATTTTGAAGAACTTTCTAACTAAAATTATCAATTTTCTGTTTGAGTATACTACAAGTGATCGTAAAGAAAAGAAAAGAAAGAAGAAATTTAAAAAAAGCCAAGTTTTGTCTCATTTTGACACTTTTCATTACTTCTGACTTGAATTGGAGGAAGCAAAGTCATCTCTGAAGAGTTTCTGTTGCTCATTCTTCCTCCTTGGAGCTCCCTTTCTGCTATCGAAAGCGCCCTTCTGAATCATAACAAGAAATAATTTCCTTGAGCAGCTGTTTTTCGGGGTTGTCTTGTCAGATGGAGCCTACGGTACAACTTTTTTGGGCAAGATGAGCCCAGGTGCTCGGCAGTTCGAGCAGCACAGCGCTGCTCGTCGAGCCGTGAAAAAAACTCCCCACCTCTTTTATTAACATCTGCGTGGAGGCATACGGTGTCTGAAAGGTGTGTTTAATTCGGTTTTTCGGCCAGCTTCTTGCTTGTTTCTACTCACTTTTCTCTTTCTATGGACATTAACAAATTGCTCAACAGTTCCGTGTTCTCGCTTGAGTACAGGGACATTCTAAACAGTCTCACTGCTGCCAGCCTTTATTTTAAGCTCAAAAAGGAAGATGAACAGAGACAGAGAGGTTTGGACCGACTTTTACTTCTCAGAAACAGGAATTCTGTTTCTGGACTTACCTAAGCTTGTATAATGCTGGGAGTACTCTACAGTAAAGTTTGATTATTTGAGTTTTTTTTACAATGATGCCGAATGGAAAGAGATAGTTTGAGAAGTTTACCCTTTTCAATACTTTTTTACAACCTCGGTGTGACCAAGAAAATACACCGTTTTCTCATATATTTTTTCTCGTGTATATATTTTACGATTGAGTGTTATCGAATAACTATTACAATCAGAGCTTCTAAAATTCTGAAAAGAAAAAGATTTACTCAATCGACACTACAGTACTGAAAGACGTTTCTGACTAGTGAGTCAAAAGGATTTTCTTCTTTATTTGAAACTTTCTCCATGATTATGATCATTAAAAAATAGGGCTGCATTCAAATATTCCAATAAAATCTCTCTTGAGATAGAAAAACAAAAAATTTTCCAAAGGAGAAACTTCCCTCTACATGAGGTTGAACATCTCCAGAAACAGAAAAGAAACCTAGACTGTTCTGGAAAGAGAGAAGTATTTGCAGACATGGAGGCGGGGACGGCCGTTCAACTTCCGGAGCAGACGGTTTTCGGCGTGGTTTGCTGCGTCTCGGTCGGCGTGCTCATCGTCATGCTCTACATGGCCGTTTTCGGGCAGAGAATCCGCAGCACGGCCATTCGATGGCACGTCATCAACTGCAGCATTTGGGGCATCCTGCATTTGGTACATCTCAAAAGATATCCACAGCAGTAATAAATTTGCAATGATTCGTTTCCAATGGCAATCAGCCTCATTTCAAAAAATTAGAACCTTCTTTCCTTTTAAGAGCGCTATCAACTAGTAATAAGGTTGAATTCCTTGAAAAGTATGAGTGAAAATGAAAATGAGCTCAAGAGAAGAAAAACGAAACAAGAAATATAAATCAAAAAAGTAAGAAAACATCTTTTTCAAAAAGCGGTAGAAGTTTTGAGGGTGAACACTGCTGCAGTTGACCTTCTGGAAATCTCAAAAATATTTGACCTATCAGGAGTTTGTTTAATAATTTTACAGAAAATTTTTGCCCTACTTGTAAAAACGAGAAACAGCTGATTTTTTTGAAATAACGTCCGAAATATGAATATTATAAGTATAATGTTCTGCATGCAAGATTTTTTGGTTAAAAAGCCCGTTTTTTTGGGTGCGAATTTTGGAAAACTCTGTTCTGACAAGCCTGTTCTCAGCCTGTACTGCAAACTGAGATATTCTATTGTTCTCCTTTCCGTTGCAGTTTTTATTTTATTTTGACAGCAATCGATAAAATGCCCAGTTTCAAGAAAAAAAAAGTATTTTTTTTCCTTTCCGAAAATCATAGTTTCCAGGTTTCCTACGCTTCCTTCGCCGACAAGGCTCCCTGGCCCCAGTACATCAAGAACGAAGATTGGACGGCGACGAAAAAGCAAGTCGAATGTTTCACGCGCTCCGTCTTCCCAGCTGGTCTGTTCTCCATTGGAGAGGTCTTGGTAGGTCCATCTTCAGGAATGGTATTCGTCTATCTCGAAGCGATGGTCCTCACCTGCGCTCCGAAACTCGCCAACAACATCTTCTTCAACTTCATCTTCTTCCTTTTGCTCGTGCCGTTTCTCAATGGCCTCATGATTTTTTGCTACGCGGCTCATGTAAGTTTACCCTTTTTAAACATTTGTAAAGCTTCTGCTCTACTTCTGAGTTTAATGATGAAAACTGAAATAAAATAACGCCTCTTTGAAACCGTTGTGGAACTAAAATGAAGAGTTTTCCTCGAATTCATATCCTTCTCTTTCCCCAAACATTGCACTTCCAGTTCATGACCTACAAATGGTTCTACGAGCCGATCGACCTGTTCAACCTGGTGACATACGTCCTTTTCTGCATCATGACGTTTGTCTACGTGATCTGGTGCTTGATCGGAAGCTGCATGTGCTGCGCGATGGCCAGCTCCAAACATTCATCTAGCAGCGGCGTAAGAGACCGAAATAGTAGAACAAGTCGAAAAATAACTTCAGCGGTCACTTGGAACCTTCCTGGACATGTGGATGATGGCTCCTTACGGCGTCGTCCCATCCATAATGTACGGACCTTCTTTTGGAATGACTTCTATCGGATTCGCCATGAAACATCTTCTTGTTTGGCTCACCAAAACTGGTCTTCTCGATGGCCCTGGCGCGGGTGGTAGTGAGTTTCGGAAATAAATTCAATTTTTGAGATTTTCTTGCCATCAGAAATATTAATTCAAAATCAAGCTTTCAAATATTTCTAAACTTTCAAATCAAATAAATCTTAACTCTGAGGTTCACAACGAAGCAAATTTTTGCAGCTGCTTTTAAACCGTTTTATTGAATCAAACGAGCGTTTGTAACTCAATGTTCAACTTTTAGAAAATCCAATCAACGTAATTATATTTGAAAATAAAAGTTCAGAATTTCTCCAACAAAATTGAAAACCTTTCAATTAACCATTAAAAAAAGGAGCTTGTGGAACCTATTTTTTCAAAAGGAGGTGGAAGTATGCTTTTTGAGACATGGACCTGTCGCTGGTCTTCGAGCTGATGACTAACGCTCTTCTGGCGTTGCCATGGTTCGTCCTGCTGTTTCCCCTGGTCCAGTCAGTCCTCACGGTTGTCTGCATCCGATGCTTCCGCGAGCAGGTAATTTTGTTTTTTAACTTTACTACTCATTTCCAAAAAAGGAGACGTTTCGAAACATAAAATTAGCGGGTTTCCATGGAGACTCGGTTTCTTAACGATAACAACTGCTCAAAATCACCTGCTTCAACATTTTTGGTCATATATTTTTTTCCCTAAGCTTTACTAAATGGAAGAAAGGAAGATAGCAGAGGTCTTGACTAGTTTCTCAATTTTTTTTTTATTGCGCTCAAAAGAAAAAAAAAAGTGCAAGGTTCAAAATGGAATTCGGTATTTCATGAAAAAAAAGAAACTATTTCGATTTCAGTTCTTCTTCACCGTCTCTTGTGGAAGAATCTACGAAGGACCGAAGGCCAAAGTCGGCGCCCACAACATGAAGCTTCAACTGGAGAACGGTAGGAAGTTTCGCTTCTTGCCTCTCCATCCGAAACGTCTTCAGGACTCGGAGCACCGCCGTCGTACCCCCTCGGCACTCCGAAATCCGCTTGAGCCACTGATCTCATCGACATCCTGAAACTTCAACCTTTTCTTTGGGTCTTTTACTCGCTTCTCCCAACATTTCACCTTGGATGATAATTCTGCGAGAATAAATGGTTCTTGTTGGTTTTGAAACAGTAGAAAAGTATATTTTCCGCGCTCGACAAAACCAGCGCGTTCGCACTTTTTATTCGTGCCGCGGTTGTTTGCGGAGGCGACGTTTACTGGCCAAAATAGCACTGATAAGATCAGATCGATGGGATGGCTTCTCCGTTGCTCGTCTCTTTGATTCTTGCCGCAAGCTTTCAAGGTTTCTTTTATCTTATCTTTCAATATCTCAATCAATCGAACATAATGCACTTGGTTTTGCGAAGCTGTCATTTGTAATATAAAATCATGACTGCACTTTCTCGCAATATTGACAGAAAAAAAAATTCTTATGACTAATAGCTTTGAAAAAAATTCTTGAAAAAAAGGAACTTTTATTTGGATGCAAAAAAAGAATGGGTAATATAATAACAACTTTTTCTGCAAATTTCTAAGAAACCATTGTGATAAATACTCAGTAAAAGTTTATGCATAAATAACACCTGTTCTCATGATGAAAAAAATGGTGAAAAAGTCATGTTCAAATGTCAATTCGAAATGCAGGTGCTATTTTGATGAAGCTAACACAAGAAATTAGATAAACTTGGGACTTCTTTTTAGATTTGCCAACAGAACATTTTTCATTATTTTCGTGAAGTCGCGATCGTCATACAAAATGATATACGTATGTAGATAATATTCTAGAAACAATTTTCTTTTTAAATCCGCTATAAGCAATTTTATGAGTTATTTGTGCAGCTAAGGTTTTTCAATGTTTCCAATCTGAGTAATCCTAACTGCGGCAGAACTTTCTTAGGTTTTCATTGCTAATAATTGCTTACTTGTTTTTGACGAACTGCAGCGGGATGGACGTTGAAGTGCGAGACGTGTGACGGCGACACTTGCGAAGACGTCGACCGATGGATCGTCGAGTCGTGTCTGCCGTCGACCGCGCATTGCTACCAGCTAGGCACCAAGGAAGGCAAAGGTAGGAGCATTACTATGAGTACGGTAAAGGATCTGTCTGCAGTTTTTCGCCGAGGCTGTGCAGACGTCCCTTGCAACCGACTGCCCGGTGTCGACCGTGACCTTATGCTTGAGATGACGTGCACCACTTGCAACCGAGACATGTCAGTACGAAGCTTTTCCTTTCAGGAGACGTCAAGGGCACTAGAACCTCTTGAGTGTCCAATTAATCTTGAAGCCCCTCCCATCTTCAACTTTGAAAACCTCCTTTCAGGTGCAATTCCAATCTCAAAGCCTATCAAAACTCGGGAGGCGGCTTAACCTGGAAAAAGTCGGCTGTCAGCATTTTCTCCTCATTCTCTTCGATCTTTTTTTGTCTTTCAATTCTGTACGCAGTGTAAATAAATTATTCAATGGGTCAATTCACAAGAATCAAAAGCACAATGATAAATATGGAAAACCCGCAAATGGTCCGACTTGCATTCACAATGTCAATCTCAAGCTCCGAATCGTGACAAGAAACAAAAAACAATTGAAATTCGAGGAGCGTTGGTTCTAACAGAATTTCAAGTTCTACCTCGCAAAGCTATCATCATCACACGCAGGGTTATTTTAAAGGTAACGATCGTTATAAGATGTACCATCGTTAGTAATATGAGCAAAATGGAAAACTTGAAAACTCACAAGAAAAATAATTAGGTACAAGACCCGAAACTCAGAAATTGTCGATGAAAATGAGGAAATCATGTGTTGAGTTTGGCGTAACGCATGCCGTTACGGTACTCGTGGCCGTCGTCCCGAGCGCCGGCCTGCAGATCGGCCGACTGCCATTCTGCGCCCGCGGAAGTCCCGCCGGCGCCGTCGAGGTGACCGCTGCCGAGTCCTCTGATTTCCACCTCGTTGCCTGTATCAACTGCAAGTTCACAGCAACACGTTTTGTCATTTGCATGCAGCACAAGAACAACGAATAGTTTAAAACAGTTGAAAAAAATGATCATACCATTAAACTTTTATAGAAAAATGAAATATTCAACTTTATCTGTAAATAAAAAGACATGCTTCATCGTTCATCTACCATAGGACGCCGAAGCTCTTTTTTTAAAGGAAAATATGAAGCTTTTTTTTTCCTAAAGTGAACCTTTTTCAACTCGAGCCACTATGTCAAAATTTTGAACTCCTCTTTTTTCTTCCATTTAGCGAGTTACATTTCAAAAATATATAACATGAGGGGCTTATTTTTCAAAAAAATCTATTTCAAGTATTACTTCACATAAAAAAATTATAAGTTATTTGACTTATAACTATTTTTGGGGAGAATAATAACCTGAAAAGTGTTTTTTTACAACTATTACTTCACTTTTTGTATACGGAAACTACGGACAAGAAAAATATATATAAAACCAACCATAGGCCGGATTTTCAAAAGCGACAGAAGGATGATGGGCGCTGTCGTGTCGGCGGCCAACGATCTTTCCAAAAGGAGCGGGAAGAGCTCGGCGACGTGCCAATACGAAAAGAACTGAACAAACCGATAAACTTCCTCCATAATTCATGGGAAGTCAATCCTTCTTCTTCATTTCCTCTTTTCCCACCTGCCACAAAGATGCCGCAGAAGGCGAGGATGACCAGGATCCAGAAAGCGGACGAGGAATCGCTCGAAGTCCTCCGGTCAACAGACTTTTCGCCAGTTGCTGGCGCGTCGACGAAAACCAGCGGACTGTGGCCAAGAGCGTTCGCCGCCAGGACGCCGATCTCGTAGTCGCTGCCCGAGTCAACTTCCAGCTCCAACGACTGCTGCAGCGACTTCTCCATCTGCACTATTGATCGTCACTCTTGGCCAGACATGTTCACAAAACCTGCCAGTTCTCGTCGTCCTTCTTCCGGTAGTAGACGGCAAAGTATTTGTAGTTTGTCGTCTTGGGATAGTCCCATTGAACCTTCAAGACTCCTTTGCCGTCGCTCTTGAAACGGATGTCGCTGACGGCGACCGGCGCCTTCTCGTGTCCTCTCACAAAACAACCCATGATCGCCACGGCCGACGTGGAGCAATCGACGTCAGGCGCGAAGGAATCTCCTGAAGCTTCCCTTGGGATCGTGAGTTTTTTTCAGCCTCACCAGAACACAGAGGCAGGCATTTGGTTTGAACGTTGTTCGCAATACAACAGTCGGAATGATCTCGGATGTCGGAAGAACACTTGAGAAGGGACGCCGCGTACTGCGTGCAGTTGCCGACCGATTTTGGAACCTCGAACAGAATCTTTCTCTTGGGATGAGCCTTGATCAGTACCTTCCCGATGGAACACGCCTGAAGACAGTCTCCAGCGATGCCTTCGTCTTCGCAACAGCTCAAGATGAGACGAGGGTTCACTGGCAGGACTTGCGCCGAGATAATAAGCTGGAAAAGGGAACGGTTATGAGAAAGAACTGAGCGATAAAGGGAACCTCAGAGGTAGCCGAACCGACGACGACGCCTTTCTCCTCGACTGTGCATTTGTAGATACCGGCGTCCTCGGAGTTCACCTTTCTCATGTTCCATCTGGCGACGTATCCGATGTCTGACTTTTTCAGAATCAAGAAGCCTTTGGGAGCCTTAAAATAAAAAAAAGATCCTTCAATGAAAAAAAGACTCACCGGTTTGTCATCTTTCTCGAACTTGAACACTGGCTGACTGTTGCCTCCGCGGTAAACACACTCTATTTGGACTGTCTCGTCGTCCAAAACGCGGAATTTATCTTTAGTCATTCGCACACTCGGTCTGTCTGAAATTTTGAACCTCTTATACGAAAAAAGGATTAACATTTTCTTTCCAAAAAGCAGGGAATGTCCTTAGAATACTGAAAAATTTCTCAAAGTTTCATACCGTTAATAAGGGAAGTCAGTTAAGTTTGGAATTGACTAAAAATTTACCCTGAAACTTTCTAAAGATACGGATGAATATTTCTAAAATTCGATACTTACGCAAACGTTTGTTTGCAAGAATTTTTCACTTGGATTTTTTTAAAAAAATTTTTGGTTTCCGGGGTTTTTTTCTGATTACTCTTTTTTTAACGCGAAAACTTCGGTATCCGGTACCATGAACTAGGATTTCGAAAGTTTTTTTGAGTAATTTTAGGAAAAACTTTCAAGCTTCGCGCTAAGATGACCTCCCTAGTGCTATATTTTTCAAAATATTTACTTTTTCAAACTTTTTTTAAAAAGTCTTTCCATTGCACAACTACAGACCAGAACAAAAATTCAAGGGAGAAAAACGAACTACTGAGAATGAGATGGAACATCGTGACGTGTTGACGACCGTCCGTGTCCGAAACGGAGCACGTCGCCGTGTCGATCGTCGCGTCGACTTCCGCGTTCATCGTTACGGTGTTGACCCCATGGTCGTTTTGGACCTGACGACGACTCGAAATTCAGGTTTCACGGCTTCTGACTCACCACGCGCGGGCCAAGAGACAAATCGATGCTCAGATGACGTTCCGAGTTCGACGGCTTCGCTACTGTGCACTTGATGACGAGATTTTCCCCTGGCGAATAGACGCCGTCGCGATGATCCGGAGTGACAGTGATCACAGGTTCAGGTAGTCCGATCGAGTCTGAAGCCAGTAAGGAACAATGATCATTAATTTTTGAACTTTCACAGAAAGCGTTACAAGAAAAACGATCTTGAAACGAATTGTTGCAATTAATTACTTTTTTGATTCTCAACATTAATGATTACATTTTTCTAGGACCTAGCTGTGAATGGAGAAATTCAAGAAGAAAAAAAAAGTATCTTGAGCTAATCATCTCATAAAAGCCGGCGAAACTTTTCGCGGCCATACAAACTCAAGAAATATTTTTCTATTAACCTTGTTGGGCCAATAGCGTGAGAATAGAAGAGCTTCGGCTGGTACGATCTTCTTCCTTCGCCGTCACGTAAACGTAGTAAAGACCGTCTTCTCTCAAATTCTCGATAACCATCCAAGTTTTGTTTGTGAGGACCTAAAGCCCGAAACTTCTTAGTTTCAAAGAAATTTTGGTACCGTGGTCCATATAGAGCTTTTTTCGGTGTCCAAATAGAAAACTGTGTACTCGACGTTGCTTTGAACGTTGTCCTGGTTGCGTCGTTTCGTAACCTGTAAACAGCGGTTCATGGAAGGTATAGAAGACGCTTCTTCTCAGTGAACTTCCTGGCTCAGTTGGATGAGGATTTTTAACAGCGTAATTTCACTATACTTTCGTGAAACTACTACTAATCCCTATATTAATGTAATAATCTCAATACTTTCGTATTGAGAATGATGTTGATATCATATAATTATGAAGACCTTGTTCCAGGTGACGTTGACGGCCGGCCCCGTGTTCCAGACGACCTTCAGGCCCAGAGGCGCCATCGGACGGTCTCCTTCGTAAACTGAAACCGCAAACTCATCGGAAAACTCTTTCGGGTGAACCTGTAGTAGGTTTCGTCGTGAAAGTCACGTTGAAAGATGGCGGACCTTCGCCTTCGTGGTTGATTGCAATCACACGAGCCTAAATTGAGCTTCCTATGTTTGAGAAATTCTTTTTTTCGATACCTTATAATCCGTTTCGGCATTGAGACCGGAGAAACGGTACACGTCAGCAGTGCTGTTTTCAGTCGCTTTCAAATTATCGCCTTCGAAAAGCTGCAAATCGAGCAAATACTTTTCGCAACGTATCGCATTAACTTTGAGACTCCTTAAAGTTTAAAATATTTGTAAAAATAGGTAAATTTTCTCACCATTATATGCTCAATTGCTTCATTTATTAAAAAAATAACGTTTAGGTTTCTGTAAATTACAACCAGTAGTTCTGAATTCCAGCAAATTGTGCTCACAAACTATTTTCAGCCTTTAATATAAAAATTCGTATAACCTTCCAGTAAATAAAAAGAAACGTTGAACAAGGCAACTCTTCACATTAATTTCGATTTCATACCTGGATTCTGTAAACGATGATGTCGTCACGGAAATCTTCCCACATGATCGTCGCCGAGTCCGATCCGATAGCAGTAACCTCAAAAAAGGCAGTGAAATATGTATCAAATTGCTTCGACAGATTGATAAGAGGATTTTGTAAACCTTTCTACTTGCTCACTCAACTTTTTTTGGTTCATATTTTCCAAAAGTACCAACCTCAAGAGTCTCGACGGCCGCAGGCAAAACGATGTGGGCTGAGGCGAAACAGGTGTGCAATTTCTTCATCTCGGACAGGCAACTCTGTTCGACCTAACAAAAAGAAACCATTATTCTAGTAAATCTGAAAGAACTACCGTGAAAGGATGTTTACAGGCGTTGAGGCAGTTTTTCGAAACGTTCTCTTCCATACAGCAGCTGTAAACAAAAAATAAATGAATGAGAATAGTTTCTTTCATACCGTAGATTATCTCTTCCTTCAGATGCGCATTGAATCCAGGTATTGAAATTGGCTGGAAATAATATTAAGCTTGACTTTTGAAAGCTGTTTCAAACGTTTGCACTCCTCGGAAATGGAAGTGGTGTTGTAGAAGCAGTGGCCCATGCAGTTTCCTGGCATTTTCTGTTCCTTACAGCAATCCTGGAAGTTCTCGTCGGGGTGATGTTGATCTGCAGGATTCCATTTAGAAGCCGAAACCTAGAGTTCGAACCATTGGGACAGCAGAAAGTGAGACTGGTGCCCTGTCCCATGCACTGGAATCCCGTGGGACAAGGTTCCTTCTCGTTGCAGCTCAGATAGTCGCCGTCGGCTGGAAAATCAAGGAATTCAGCCAAAGTTAACATTCATGAAAAAAGTAGGCTTCAAAATTTCTGCTTTTCTGTCATAACATACAGTGTGTATTAAAAATTCATGATTTTTCTCGTGATTCTTTTTACAGAGAAAGCATTCAATTGGAGACATTATTTTTCTTCAATCATTTTTTATAGTTCTGAACTATGATGAATTTTTTCACTGAAAAAACTAAACTTACATAAGCCCCCAAAAAATGAAAAATTTTCTTTTACGCTACAAAACCACACTATCGGGTTGAATATGAACAATTGATTGATACCTGAAAGAGAGATGGGGACGCCGGACTTGCAGACGGGATGGCCAGCGGCCTGTTTGGTGGAAAAGAGGATGGCCGTGGAAGGCAAGGAGACGCCCTTCTCGGAGTGCGACTGCACCGTCACCACGTAGTCGGTGTCGGCCTCCAGGCCCAGCTCAGTGTGGGGCGATTTCGCGCCAAACACCTACAGAGCATCGTTCAGAAGGAACTTTCTCGATGAGACAACCTCCTTGACAGGCGCGGCGTGTTCGTTCTTGCGGAAGAAGAGCGTGTAGTTCTCGACCAAATGGGCGTTGGCCAGAGGTTCCGACCACTTCACGACGACGCTGTTCGTGGTAACATCGCTGATAGACACGTTCACCGGCGAAGACGGATGAGATTCTAACAAAAAGAGATTTCTCTAAGAAACTCTTCCCATTCATTACCGTAGCCCTCGCGCACGCATTGGTAGATGGCTTGGAGGTCGAGGTTCAAGCAGAGGACCGAGTGGACGCCGAGTTCCTGGGTGCTACCGGCGCAGATGTTGAGACAGTCGTTCTGGACGCCTTTCCGGCGACAGCACTCCGTGTGGTTGCGGCCGTCGGCGATGCACGGCGAGACCTGAAGACGTGGAGAGACGTCTCCTAGTTGCTCTTTACCTTGGTCCACTCGGCTCTGCAGGTCGTGGCGATCGAAATCGTGGCGTAGGCCGAAGGGTCTTCGGCCACGTTGCACATTTTCGTGGCGCAGAACGACGAAACGTTGTTGGAAGAGCAGCATTCTGAAGTTTCACATTTCTTTTTCTACTTTTGATTTCATCCTCTAGATGCTTTTCTCAACTTTTCGCAGCCTTTAAAATTTATTTCTCACATGGGAAGTCATTTTAACGCTCCTACTGGAATTTTCTTCTTTCTTTTCTCTTCCTCAAATTAGCTCTGTGATAGAATTTTCCTACGACTCAAAACTGCATCGAGTTGACTTGGAAAATTATTTTCAGTCGAAAAAGCTTCTGAACGAAGACGTACTCATGACGTCTGGGATGCTGTCGTTGTTCTGGACGGTGTGGACGTTGGTCGAAGCGATGGATCTGACGCTGGGAACGCTGGTTCCATACTCGTTTCTGGCGGTCACGTAGACGATGTAGCGAGTCGCAGACCGCAGGTCCGACAGCGTCATGCACTTCGAAGTCGTGTTCTTCTGAACGACAAGCTGAGAATCGCATGAGAAACGGCCGTCGAACATGTTGGAAGGCGAATTCGCGAACTGTAGTCGAGTTGCTGACGTCATCTCGCGTCACGATGAGCATCGTCGACCTTTTGCTGCGGCTGACGGTGGCGCTGACCGAGTCCGACAGTTGATCGTTGAGATGGCGCTGAAAAGGAGGAGTATTCAAACATTCTAAGGTTATTTTCTTTTTTTTTGTTTTATCTGAAACATGGGGCTCATTTGAAATGAACGACATTCTGGAAAACCATAAATAACTTTATTTTTAGAAAGAAAGATTTTCCTCACTTCAAACTCTTCCTCAGCTTCTCTCTTAGTGCGATCGTGACCGCCATCGGAACGATCAGACTCGTCTTCTTGAGTATAATCTTCATCTTGGGTGTCACCGATGTCAGAATAGTCTCCAGTAAGAAGTGGTATTCCCCTGAAAAATTGATCCAATAACTGAAGCCGCATAGTAAAGCATAATTAGGATGAATCTTCTTACATGGCCTTTTTTCCTTATTTTTTTCGACAGTTCTAAAATAAAGCATGCTTGATGACGTAGAAAATCTACAAAATGCTAAAAAATATGAAATGGTTCGAGTTTTTTCAAGTTTCTGATTTCCATAATTAAAAAAATTATTCGAAAACCTGTTGTCTGATTTTTTGTTTCACTATCCGATTCTAAAAAAATTTAAATTTCAGAAATGGATTGCTGTGCATTTCATGTTTTTCTAGCTTGTAGGAGAGACAATCAGAAGAGAAACGGACATTTCGCCGCCGAGAAGTGGGAAGTTGGGGATTTCCTTGTAGTAGACGGCGTAGTCGAGGATTGGGAACATTTTGTTCGACTCGTGTTTCTCGGGCTCCTGCCAGCAAACCGACAGTTTGTCGTGCTCCAAGGCGTTCACGACGATTTCCTTCGGCGGATCCGGATAGGGAACTGAAACCTTTTCACCTTTTTTCAAGCTCTCGCCAAAGCCAACTCAATGAGGAAAATTATGTTGCTAGCCTTCTCAAAATCTTCGTTTTTCGTTTACATGTGTCATGTAAAACTAAAGAGAAAATCAAAATTTTATTCCAGAAAATGGTTAGAACGAATTTGAAAAGGCTAGCGTTAATCTGAGCAATATACAGGTTTCTTGACAACACATTTATACATTTTTCTTTTCATACATGGGAAACTTCAGAATAAACAAGATACGAAAATCAGGAGGTTGGTATGGTTAGTTTTTTTTTCTTTTTAAAAAATAGATGAAGATTCCGACAATCTTTTTTTTTCAAGCCTAAACTGTTAATTTTCAAAAAGATTTTTCTCGGAAGCCTATGGGGTTCAGCAAATATTCTTTCTTGTTTTCAAGTATTCTGACGTGGGTCTATAAACCACTAAAGTTTCAACTCGAAACGCGTACCCGAGTCCGAGTAGTTCCCTAGTTAGAACAGCTTAACTTTATTGACTGTGACTTTCAGAGTCTTCATCTAGTATAGAAGAAGTACTGACTTCTCGGAAAATATATTGGAATAGTAGAATCAACTTCCTCGTGAATATAATTATTGCCCGAAGTTTTCGATCCTTTTTGTAAACCTTTTCTTTGGAAAAATATTCTCAAGAAATAATTCCGAAGTTTCCAGAGAAGTAGGTGTAGGAGCCATGCATGATATTCAGCTTTTCATCGAATCAAATCAAGTAAAAGCGTATTAGAGAAGAACTTCACCAGACCTAAAGCGATTTTGCGTTTCTATGAATCAATTTGCTTACAGAAAAGAACAAGAGCAAGAAGTGGCACCAAAAACAAAACCAGTCAACACAAAGCATCACATGCAAAGCCGAGAGAAAAGAAATAGAAGTTCAGCCGACTGGCTTGTCGATCATGAAAGCGGAAAGTTGGGAGCTCGGACGCAGCCTATTGCGTCCGGGTCCGCGATTTTGAGGCAACATACGGTAGGCGCGATCGAGGCACGAGAAGATCTCGGGAAGGTAGTAGAGACACAGACGGTGGGATCGACGCAGCATCTGAATCCGGCGTTCTTTCTCAAGTCGAATGGTTCGTTTTCGAGTTCTAGTGATATCTCAACCTCGATTCATAATCTTCATTTTTTTCTTCTCATTAATTTGCGCAATGAGGAAAATTCTGGTGAGGTAATCTTCAAAGCCGTTCATTATTTTTGGAGTGCTGTATATATATCTTCCTTCTCTCCACTGCTCATTTTTCATTTTCTTTTCTTTTCCGTTCTCACGATAACTCATTTATCACTAGATATCCAATTTCAAAGAAAATACTGACAAGCCTCAAAGAATCTTTCAAAACTGACCTGAAAGTCGCCAGAGCAAAAGTCGTAGCAGAAGCTGGGCACGAGCTGAGTCTTGCAGCAATGGACGTGGCTCCTGGTGCCGCCTTCTGTCGCGCAGGACAAGAAATGTTTGTAATCGTCGGTCTTGCAGCTTAAACCAAGGGTCCTGCGAGTCGGAGAGAGCTGCCGTACCTGGTCGGGTCGAAGTGGTAGTTCTCCATCTCGGAAGGCTTGCACATGCCGCGGCACAACGGAGAGATCCCCTTGTCCTGGCAGCACTCCGAGTGATCGTAGGAGATGTTCTGGTGGAAGCCGCCTTTCAGTCCCGATTCTAAACATTTAGAATTAACTCATCTCTCTTTTTATCATAGCTCAATGAAAAAACCACAAACCAAGGACTTCTACTTGGAACTCCAGGAGTTCAGACTTGTTGCCGAGTTGACAACGGTACCGGCCAGAGTCTTCGAATGTGAGATTCCGGAGCACGAGAGTGTATTCTTCTCGTCTACACGAGCAACACTGCAAGAAATAGTCTCAGAATACGGCGAAGGTACTGGGAAACCTGGTTATCGACGCAGGAGAAGCCCGCGGCACAAGGCTTCGAGTCGTCGCATTCTCCGGCGCAGCCTATAAAATAACTTCTTCACAACTCTTGGAATATTGACAATCTTTTCAAAAAGAATTTCAGTCTTCAACTCAACTTTTTCGAAAATAATCGGATAAGGTTCACCTTTTTCATAGTCGACATCAATGGAATGTTGCAATTTGTAAGATTTCTCTTCGTTGTTTGAAGAATTGAGAAACTTTGTCCCGTTGAATATTTGGACGTCATCTTTGAACCAGACAACCTGAAAACATGTTTTCAAAAAGGAAACTCGATAAGTGTAAAAACCTCGACAAACAACGCGAGTTTCTTCTCAACTAATTAAAAGGAAAAAAAAGAACCTATGATTAATCAAAGCAACGAATCGTAAACAAGACATATTTTTTCGAGTTAAAACTCAAAATCTCGCACAAAAAATTAGACTTGTTTTCGAATTTTGTGCAAAAATAAAAAGAATTTTGCTTGATTATTCGTTGACCTCGAAAGAGAAAAACTTCATATTACTCGAAAAAGATTTTTCTTCGAAAATGATGAAAAAAAGAATCGAAAGACAACCTCTGACGAACAGGTGTTGAGGACGCACTGAAGTTGCGTGGCGAACCCCTGGATGACGGTAAGGAATCCTTCGTCGTCCGTGGTCAGATGCGGCGACTCAGAAGTCGTCGCGACAGAAGACGTCGAGACTTCAGCCGCCGACGTCGCCAGGAGTGACGTCAGCAGCAGCGTCAACGGCAATGACGCCGTCATCTTCACGCTCCTAAATCCCAGATCTCATCAGAAAAAGAAATTCGAAAAAGAGTATTAAATGAAACGGCGTGTCGCGGAATGATCGAAAGGTGTACTTGTATGTCACTGGGAACCTGTTCTCTTGCAACTTTTTTTGCTTCTTTTGAAACGGTAACCTTGGTTGAGTAGAAGGAAGGAAAGATGCGATTATGAAAGCACAGTTTATTCATAAAAAACTTCACAAAGTTGAGAATGCATACTTTTTGAAGATGAACTTTTCATATAGCATTATAGACGCATAGGAGTTGGAGGTTGCAGCAGAACGGGAAATTTCTGGAAACTCTAGTAAATGAGATCTTTCGGTTTCGAGAAACAAAAGTTCAAAAAAACGTCCTAAACTGTTTGACCCCATTAAAGAGCTGTACTGTTTAACAAATACAATCAGTAAGCTCATTTTATGCTCAAAAATTCGCCATTCCCAATTTGGAGCATAAGTTTTTCAGTTAAAACTTCGAAAAAAAAAACATCTATTTTATATTTCTCTAAAAAAATACATTTTTTTCGGAAAAAAATTCAAGTTTTTCAACCCTGATACGCTGAAACAAGCTCATCACCAATATTATAATCTTTGACATAGAACAAGCGAACGAAACGAATGAACTGCGGCTAAGAAAGACGTAGAAAAAAAAGAAGGAGGCTTCTCGAGAAAGAGCGCCGCTCCTGAGGCGAGTTCTGCAGAACAAAACAATTAATGTCATTTCCGAGCAATTAAGGCGAAGAAACAACGCAGAAAGGTGGCGAAGAATTCGAAAAAATTGTGTGAAATCACTAGGATTCGGTCATATTTTCAGGGCCAAGGACATTTGAGTCGCCAAGCGAAAAAATGGGGGCTAATCAATGGCGTGTGACCTTTCAAGGCTATGGAAATAGTTCTTGCTTTTTCTGTTTCAAAACAAAAAACTTTTTGAATCGCACTTCAAAAAGCTTAACGACTCAAGAAAAATAAGGAAACATTTAATTTTTGAATTATAGTCCATTCCAGATAAAAAAATATTTTAAAAGGACTATTCCTCTTGATAACATATTCAATAATTTCTCAAGTTCGTAACTGTCCTTGGATGAGTTAACGAGCAATAAATCTTAAATTTTCACTTTGACTCAACACACCAGCACAAAAACCTTGTCTACCCTTGTAATTGTAAAAGTCTACCCTTGTAAAATTTGAGTTTCAAAGATTTGCAGAATTGAGCTCACGAAGAACATATTTTTAGGAACTATGTCTAATAATTTTCAGAAAAAATCGTTTTTTTTTCTGTCATCCTCTATAATACAAATGGACAGATATCTCTTAATTTAATAGAAATTCATTAGATTCCCCGAAATTGGCGACAAATTTCTAACTTATTCCATCAGTGATATGCAATAACCTTGTTTCTCTGAATGAGAAGGATAAAAATCAGATAGAAGCTTTTTTATTTTAAACATATTCTCGAATTTAAAACAAACTTCAAAAACTTGAAACTACAAATAGTTTCAAGTTACTCAAGTAGGGCACCAGGCTTCCGTGAAAAATCAACAGTGAGGATGCACAAAATAAATGAACCAGAAGACAGGTAGTAGGACGGAACTTTTTATAGAGAATCGATCGGCGCGCGACCTTCGTTTGGGGCCAACTCGTTCCGATTTTCGAGTCTAAACGACTGTTGTAACTGTTCTTTTGATGGCTATTGGCACTCCTGGTTTCGTGGAAGTCGTCAGAACTGTTAAAATGCGAAGGGTTGCACTGATTATGAAGAAAAAAGCTAGAATTCTCATTTGCAACAATTATAAAACTTTTTGGAAAGAACCGCAGAGACAAACTCACTCCTGGATTAACAAGAAAAAAGTTCCATATGAATCATAATGACCGCATTCATCTCTGATAGGTTCGTCTGAACAAGTTAGAAACTAACAAGGAACTAAAGAGGGCCTCATATAATCCTTTCGGAGAGAATGCGAGGTTGAGCCAATTAATATGCGCACGCTTTTGCAGCTCATTTTTCCAGTCAAGGGTCGAAAACAGCCTTATTCCATTTCGGACCTATTTCGTTCGCAAACATCCACTCTCAACCCTATTTAAAAACCATGTATTAACTGATCGATCAAAAAAAAAAAGAAAAACTTCCAACTATCGATAAGAGAAATAGAAACAAAAACGAAGAGCAGACGAAGCTTTCGCAGAAAGAGATTGAAAGGAACAAAAAAAGGTACTTGGCTCGCGGTAAACATTTCTTGCATGCCATTTCAATCCTTTTTAGCATCCAAAGTGGTAACGAGAAGTTTGAAATAATTTGAACTAACTGGACTTCCCTATCTTTTCAAATTCCAAAAAAGGCATAAATTTTAGAAAAAAAAGAAAAGAAAAAAAGAACCAATTTTAAATTATAAAGTAAATGAAAAAAAAAAGAAGTTATTGAAACCAAGCGTCATGAAGTCATTTATTTTTGAACTGATGTTCAACTATGAAAAGGAACGGATTTTTAATTTCTCAAAACGAATAAACTGAGGTTTTAAACGATTCGCTTGAGTCAAAGTTTATTTTTTGCATGTATCTAGAGAATGAAGAAAGACAGAATTGATTTATTGTTTCATTGGGTTGGAAAAAACAATGGCCGAGATGAAAGAAGTAACAACCAAAAAAAAAGAGAGAATGGAACGGACCAGCGCGCGAAGAATAACATTTTCTCTTCACTTTTTTTTTTCGTAAACTTGAGTAGCTCCTATGAACATCAACAACCCCATTTTTCCCGAAACGTCTTCAAATACTTCTGACGATCGAATTTAAATCAGTTAAATATCGAATCTCCGCTAATGGACAGAAAGCTAAAAAATGAATTTGTTGGAATTGAATGGCAGTGAAGTTTCAGGCTCAATTAAAAGACAATCGAACTCTCTCATTGAAATGGGCAGATTGAAAGGAAAACTTTCAATAAGAATTTGAGAGAAGAGATATTAGAAGGCGAAAAAAAAACGACGGTCGCCTGGGAAACCATTTCTAGCACACCTGGCCTTCTCAATTTAATCTTTCAGGATCAGCAGCGCATAAAATCTCAGTTTCGAAAATAAAAATTGGAAAAAGCGGATTCTGCAAAATCATTGAGTATTATTATTCCAACGAATTGTCATGTTCCCACAGAAACTTATAATATTTTCGAAGGTTATTTAGTTGAATCAGAAAAGGAAACAAAGATTTTTCCTATAGGAGAACTCATCTGAATTAATAATGAAATTACTTTCAAAAAGTATATATTTTTTTCATTAAAAAAAGACCTAGAAGAGGCCCATTTATTATAGTAATATGAACAGCAAGAAAAAATGTATGATTTTCAAACGTTCTATTTCGCTGCAAGCTTCAGCAGAGTCATAGTATGGATTTACATCGAGAAAAAGAGAAAGCTTGCCCGGTTGTTTTTCTCCAAAAAATGAAATCACGAGCGATTCAAGTATATGCGGCTTTTTGAAAAGCTCAGCTCTTCTCTCTAATGATAAAAACTTTTTCCGTCACTAGTTACAACTACAAGCAGGGCCTTGAACTCCGATTTTTAAAAGTAAGACTCAAAGTTAAAGTACGAAGATGGAAATAGAACAGAGCCAGAACGAGGAGGAAAAGAAAGGGAGGAACGGACGGAAGCGGATAAAGCCCGTGAAAAAAAAAACGAGTAGAGTGGTCAGTTATTGACTCACCGGCGGGCCCGGGCTTACAAATGTTTGTGTTTTGTTAGACGAAGCGCGGAGAACTCGAAAGAGACGTCAACAAAAATGGAGAGTCCCGTCAGAGTCAAAGAAACTCAGCACTATGACTCGTTTGAACTTCAACATCAGCTCAACTTGTTGAGTTCTTATTTTAAAAAATGCAACCTGCTTTGCAAACTTCAGAATGGCATGGATAATTTTAAGCTAAAATTTCTTATTTTCGAAAAGGCTATTTTAAATAGCTCGCGCAAAGTTTGAAATAATCATTTTCTATTAGCATTAAACACAGCTCGAAGAATACTCTCAAAAAAACAGAAATAAAACAGAAGAAATAAAAGGGAAATTTAAAAAAAAAAGATGAATTTTTTCGTATTCAAATTTTCGTCCGCGGCGAGGTTTTCCATGGAGCACGCTTGCTACGTCAAGATTCGTTATTCGTCGTTACCGAATTGTAAAAAAAAAACGGGCGGCCTTATTGCAATAATATTGAAGCTTATCTTTAAACACGCTTTTCAACAGTGTACCCATCATTTACTTATAAATCGTTGATATAAAGCAAAAATGCACAAACAAAAATAAATGAGATTTTCGGTTAGAAGAAAAACGAAGTTTGCTCATTTCAAGTTATACATCAATTCTTGAGTTCTGGAATTGGTTCGATCGGTCTTACTCACGAATTTGAACAAGATCTTCTTCTTGCATGAAGCTCTTAAAACCCGTGTATTCATTAATACCTTTTTGGCTTCTTTTTACTTTTTCCTTCAGCCATGTTTCGATTCAGCTGAATTCAGCAGGTCTTCAAAAATTGGTCCCTTCTTTGTAGTGAATTTTTAAGGCTGTAACGGAGTTTTTACGACACCTAAGATAGCCACATACGACGCAGGCACAAGCACAGATAATGTGATTATTTCGTTGGCACTACCGAAGTCAGCTTTCTTTCTTGGCATCTATCGATTTTCGCTTTCCTTAGTCGAAGACTGAAAAATAATTTTTTTTCATTCGCCTTTTCAAAATTTTGAAAACTAGAAACTAGTAAATCGACGCTGTATATATTTTTTTCTGATTTTTTCGGCAATCAGCTTTTTTTGCATTTCGGCAGTTTTTATAAGCTCAAAAATAGACATGAAATAAATTATACAGTCAGTTTTGTGGCTTTTTGACCGTTTCAAGAAAGAAAGCGAAGTTGATGAGGCAAGATTATTCATCAAAAAACTGAATCTTTTTCTTTGAACAGCTTTCAAAACTCTTGGAAAGTTTTTCACTTATTTTAATTTTTGCACCAAAGTTTCTCAAAAAAAAAGTTCTGAACGGTTTTTATCGAATATTTTTCACTCGATTCTTATTTTAATTTTCCGAAACTGAAACCCTGATGAGAAGTAGGGATGAAGACGACAGTTCTGCTGTTGGCCGCAGTTCTGTCCTGCGCAAATGCTTCGTTTCTGCTCGACTACACGCTTCCCGACAGCGTCATCCAGCTGATGGGTCTTCGCGAAAAGCCGACGAACGTCTGTTCCCGAATTTTTCTGGAGTCAAACTGCGGATTTTCAGAGAGCCATCTCTGTCTGCCAGGACATCCAGTTCAACTACTGCCAAGTAGCGTCAATGTCAGTTATATGAATTAGCTTTGACTCAGGCGAGGTTCAACGAGTTTTTCGGCTTCTCACCTGAAGTGAGCTATCGCAACGGCTCTTACATCTACACAAACGTGCAGAAGTTCCTCGAGATGAACGTCACGGAGTTCACCAAAGTCTGCAAGTGAGTTTAGAAGAAGAAGAAGCCTTTTTTTCAGAAAATTTTAAAATATTCAAGTTCTTCGCATCATAGTACTTCTTACAGTTCAGAATGTTCGCTTTTTGTCGAAACTTGGAGATTTTTTATTTTTCAATCCAACCCAGAGGTGAATCAAGAAGGGTCTCACTTTGCTGTTTCAGCACTCGGACACAATTCTACCAATGCCTAGGAACGTCTTACTATTCCTGTTTGAGTCTTTTCACGCTCCTCAACCGTCCCAATCCCGACTTCCCTAACAGTACTTTACTTCATTTTAATTAAATCTATATTACAATATCAAAATTGCAGCTTTCGACTACGTCCGCACGTTCCGCGGCCTCGAGTACGCTTGTACCGGCGGATTCCAAGGCTAGTAGCAAGTCCGAAATGTGGAGTGAAATTTGAAACTACAGAAGTAGCCTTCCAGTGGGACTGCCTCGGCACTTTCCCCACAACTAACAGCTACAAGAACTGCATCACGCAATTCAACGCCACCGTCGGCAACGACTTGTGCTCGTGAGTTTTGTGAGGTTCAGAACGGTGCTTCTGTTTCAGGAATGCTTGTTCAGCGCCTTTTTATTTCAAAAAACTTCTCAATCTTTGAATTCAGAGCTGTAGACGCAACCGGTCAATGTTTGAACGACGCTTACCGTGCCGCCTGCAATGATGCCGGAGTGAGTCTTGTTCTATTTTTTTTTCAGAATCCCTCACCTTTCAAGAAATGAATCAAATTCAATAATTTTGAGAAATATAAACTGCTCCTATTGTCATAAATCAGTTTTTTTATTTAATTTTCAGTGAATTCATTAGTAGTTTTGCTCATTTTTGAATTCGAAATGTACTATCAAAGAAAAATCGGAAGACGGCCTTTTAAAATAGCTTTTTTTTAACTCAAAAGCGAACATTCATTCAATGTTTTTAGACCCTAAAAAGAAAACTTCATCATTTTTGTGTGTTTACAGGCTGGCTTTTTCGGATGTGAGAACTTCCGGTCGACATTCAGCGACGCTTGTTGGGGTCTTCGTTGCCAAGTCAATCAGTTCTAGTTATGTCACCAATGTTTTTTTCCCCGAATAAAATGCCCTTTTTCTCTCTCATCATTTTGTGCAGATAAAAGCCTCATCATGTCGTTCCTACGTGTCCGATAAGGTAAAGGCGTGTCGAAACCGCCTCAGACCTCGTTTCTCGGCTCGAGGGAAAGTATGAAATGTGATGCGAATGTTTTCTATGATTCTGGGAGCCACATTTGAAGTTTTGGAGCAGCATTGTACTCCGATGTCTCCAAAGCGAAACGATAGCATGATGAAACTTTTTCAAACTGGGGAAAATTCTCAAAGGAAGCATTGGGTGAATCGTGGCACGTAAGGGGATTAGTGCCCTATCAGCAACGATAGATTGTCGATAATTGGCTTTTTCTCGTCGGTTTCGCCTCGCCGTCATGAAGCAGCTCATCTTACTCTTGGTCGCCACAGGTATTCACACTTCGTCAAAAACGTCTTCTTGGAACTTCATCAAACCAACTTCGAAAAAAAAAAAAACAATTTTTCAAGAACATCTACCAAAGAGTAGAGATTTATGCAAAAATTTTTTTCCAGCGAAAATTTGTTACTTTCATTGGAGAGCGTTTAAAACAATGCAATTATGAGAAAGTAAATTGAAAACAAACTTTTCTTACCAAGTCATTCAAAAGCTGGATGAATTCGAAGATTTACAGGCATCTGTCTGTGTGATGTGACCTCAAACTGCGACGGTAACAAGTTTGTAATTTGTCAAAAAAAGTTCTCCGATAGCTTGGGAATCGACCAATCTTACAATTGGTGAGGACTAACTTCCCGTTTTTTTTCTGTTCAATTAAGAATTATGAAACATATGTAGAAAGTTTAGGCAAAATCCACTGGGTCTCACCACGCAGATCCAGAACATCTACATCAAAGGTGGACCCAACGGCCAGCGAGGTCTTAACGCCGTTTGCAAGTTTCAAGATCGCTTTTTTCTAATAATCAATTGAACATTCAGCGCCTACAATTCTTTCATCCAATGCCTCAGTGACAGTGCTTTCACTGCTTTCGAATGCTTCGACCCAAGGTATTCGATTTGCTCATTTTTTCAGTTAATGATTAATGAAGAACAGTTCAAGGACAACTAGTGAAAGTATTTCTCGTTTCTGCTTTTTGAGCTCGACTCTAAAGTTACATACATCAGAAGCAAACTGTTTGAACGCTTTTATGCTTTTCATGGCTATTTGTCAGGTGGCTGATAAAAGCGAGCAGTACACCAAACCAGGCTTATTCCTACGCCTTCCTAATGAACATGATCCAGTATCAGTGTGGTGCCGGCTTCTACAGTTTGTGATTTTCAAAATAAACCAGCAAAAAGAATACAGTTGCCTCGGACAACTGGTCATGCATGCAGCGAATCTACGCCGGCAAGAACGGCACAATGACCGGCTGCATCACAAACTTTGTGCTCAATACTCAGGAGGATCCTAACAATGTAAGCCCCGAGACCGTTTTTTTTAAAGACAGAAGACTTTCAGGCGTGCTCCTACGTTCAGAAGGGCATGGACTGTTTCGGAGACTCAGCACGTCTTCAGGGCTGTCCTGACGAGCTGCGCTACTACGGCTGCGAGTCCTTCAAGCAGTACACGGCGCCTCAGTTTGCCTACTGCACCACTCAGCAATGCGTCGGTGAGTGTTGAACCGCATAATATCTTTAACTAATATGCTATCCAGAACAAAAAACTTCGAACCATGGAAGTCATGTTTTTTTTTAATATTTACTTTTTGGCAATAAAAACCCCATTCATACCGTTTTGATTATTTATTTCTTGAAGAGAATATATTTGTTAATTATCCGCCTAAATATTAATTTTATAATTAATAGTTAGGCGGATAATTAATCTCAAAAAATAACTTGGCCCCCCTATGGTACTAATATTATTCATGTTGTCAGAGATTGAATCTACTACAGTTTCGTGTATCCTTCTAATGATCATGAGAGAATAATTTCAGTCATCAAAGACTTGAAAAAGTACAAATAACCTTGGAATTCCCCAACTAAACTTTTTTCTGACTCAACTTGAAATTGATGAAAACGCCAGTCAGAGTAATGTTAAACAATGATTAACTTTCAGTCGACACTACCTTCCGCTGAGATGTTCGACCACGTAATAAATAAACTGTTTATTTAATGTCGTTTCACCTACGCAAACTCACACAAAAAGTGAACAATCTGCACGGAACACACAGTCAATATTTCGAATGTACAGCGTTAGCAAGTGAACGGGAATGATACTATAATGTTAGGTTCTGTGGGAATTAGAGAATATCACATAAACGCTTCACCGATATCTGTGAAGCCGAGAACACAGGAAAAAAAATTCTACTTATACTGAACGATGGTGAAAAAATCAAAGCACTTTTTATCGGCATACATTTTTATTTAAAAGAAAAAAATTCTCTAAACCAGCTTTATGAGTCGATGAGAGTCGGAGCATCTCCCCATTTCTCAGAAATCCAGCGAATCGTTTTTACATTGATCTGAGGTCCGATGAGGGGGTTCAGCTGGTGAAGGAATACCTGTAAAAATTCTAAATGAATAAGGAGAGCTGAAAATACAAACAGTGAATATATTTAATATTCTCACAGTCAAAAAAAGGAAGAACAAATCGAAAACTTATAAATTAAAATCGATAAGTGCAAATTCATTAATAAGACGTCCATATATGCTTTCTTCACAAATATTAAAACGAAAACTTGAAAAAATTTATAGACGTGATTTGTGGCCATAGCTGAGGAACTAGAGAAAAAATATTTTGCTTTCACCCATTTTGTTTCGCGCTATTTCAATAACCAGATTCTTCGAAAAATAATTAAGCTGAGGTATACCTCATATTTTTATTTTGTGAAAAAAAACATGATATCTGAAGAGAAGAAAATGAGAATTTGAAAAGAACGTGGAAGTTTCTTCAGGAATTTCAACCAGTAACCAATCTCGCGTCTTTTTTCTAATCGTAAAGGTATAAACTTTTAGTGATTTTTAAAATTTCGAAATTAAAATGTACTAAATACGAAAATCTTTTATATAAAAAAAACGTTCCGACCTCAAAAAAGGTAAATGTGAAAAAAAAAAGTATAAAAAAATAAAGACAAACCATGATCCAGAACAGATGACAACAGACAGCGGTCATGATGATCATCAATTGGATGATACCTAAAAACAATGTGTTACATTTTCGATAAAGAAAAAATATTACCTCTGTTAGGACCCTTTGGAACCAAAAGAGGACCTCCGAATCCGATGAGTGCCCAGAATGCCGTAACAGACACGAGTGGAATAAGGATACCCATCTGATTGTTTTAAATATTGAATCTCTGCTTAAATAATAAAAAGAATGTGAACCAAAATAAAAGCGTTCGTGACAGAAATGATAAAAAAACCTTGCAACGATTTACGGAGCGGCCGGAGATCAATCGCGCGAGAAACACGCACTACGCACAACTAGCCCTCTCTTACAATGGACGATTTCAGTACCAATTTGCATTATTTCCTTGCTTTATATGATGCGAAAAATTTCAAATTTTCTAGAAAATCAGAAGCGTACATGAGAACTTCAAAATAAATCTTCAAACACTTAACTTAAGAGTAAAAGTTGAGCGTTATGGCGTGTTTTGCAATTCGGCCCCACGATCGAAGACCATGCTCCGCCCACAATATTTGTGCGCATGCTTTTTCAGTTTTTTGATTCAACATATTTCAACCGTTTGAAAAAATTTTCAAAATTTCTTGTCTAAAAAAAAGTAATCTACAATTTATTCAGGTATCTGTACACAATGGGTAAATTGTGTCCGCTGTTGGGACCCAAAATGTCTGCTTTTTGGTGAGTTTTTATTTTTTAATTTTGTAAATTTTGTTCATTTCAGCATGATCATGTCGTTTTGGGGCGTAGTCTTCCTCGGAATACTCGGTGTTTTCTTTTATATTCAGGTTGAAAGAAAATTAACATTTGGTTGAAATCTGAATCATTTAAGGCGGTAACTCTTTTTCCGGATCTTCACTTCTCTGACGAAAACGCTGTACCATCCACAAGGTATATTTTTTGCGTTTTTCTCTCTATATTAACCTCACATTGGACTTTTTGATTGTGTAATTTAATGAATAATTAAAAAATTTTTTTCAAGCTGATTTTCAACTATAAGTGGAAAAGTTATATAAACAGCAACTCTAATTATTGTTCAAGCGAAATGAAAATATACACCTCAATTATTGCGTTGAACAGTTTCAATTGAGCCTATTTCAGTGACGTTGATCAGAAATACAGCGAAAAGGCGACACAATGCTGGATTGCCGCTGGAATGTATGCCGTCACTTTGATAGTTGTTTTCTGGCAGAACAAGTACAACACAACTGCGATATTCTGATTATTAATCGTGTAATTATATTTCTTTCAGAGTTCTATTCATAATACCGGAATGCTTTTCACCCTCTAGCATAATTATCACTTGCTGAAAGATTGAAATCTCCATCAAAAGAGATAAATCGAGTATTTTCACTTACGTTTGAATAAATAACTAGTATGCACATTCCAATTTATTTACATCAATTGATTAGTTTCCTAAGACTTCTTTCCATGAAGTAAAAGCTTGATTCTTGTAGATATTTTTTATTACGAATAAAATTTTCGATGAGACAGAAACATGGAAGTAATGGAAACAACGTACCAGTAATGCCGTGTTCGAAGTGAATCCAAGAATCCAAGAAAAGCCGTCAGTGAGGGAGAAAAGATGACTGAATTCCGGAGAGCCAGGGACATTTTGCGGAAACTACTTTGAGCACGGTATAAGGAATGCGTAAACAGAAAAACCAAAGTCTGTCTACTTGAGAATGGTAGCGGATCGCTACAAGGATTTACTTCTTGTCACACTTCTTCTCTCCGTCTTCTTCGAAAGGATCCATGACATCCTACAACTTATGGTCTCCAACTATCCATAAATAGCTTATATTGCTTAACATTGCCGGGATTCACCATAGAGCTTCGGATAAAAACGACCAGGTAAAGGAAATGATCAGCTTGGCTTGCGACACAACTCTTTGAAATGAAACTTTATTGAAAAAATGTATCAGTGATAAACAAGATAGTCACAAAAAAAAACAAAACAAGGCAGGATACTGGGGAATGATAGTGGATCACTGCACGAATTTACTTCTTGCCAGACTTCTTGATTCCTCCGCCAACTGCAAAATGAAATTTATCTCTTCATAGTCAAGTAAAAATGAAACCATACCTAAAGGACCTTTCTGAGAAGCCTTGGCAGCCAGTTCTTTGAGTTTCTTCTGCTCCTCCTGCTGCTTCTTCTTGAACTCCACGTCTTCCTAACAAAAAAGTGTGTTTTGAGTATTAGAAAAGAAGAACTAACATCGGTGAGCTCCTTCGAGTCCTTCTTCGGAGCCTTCAGCGGCTTGGCCTTTCCACCTTGACGTCCCGACATTTTATCTGAAATTGAAGAACGAATACTCATTTTGAAAATTGGCCGAAATCGAAAATTCAAAGGCAGCACAAAAGAAATTGGCAGCGATCTTTTCCTCCGCAGGGCGATTCTCTCTTCATATCAAGCCGGTGTGCACAACAACATCGATGATTTCTGTACTCTCCAAATGGTTCGAAAAAGTCTGTCAGCTTCTACAAATCCTATGGCTGTGGTTTTTCGACCGTGCTATCCTCTATCCTTTATTAGTTTATGTCGCTCCAAGAATAGGAATCCAATTTCTAAACTTGGGATATTGGCCTTTAAAACACGATGCTGAAATCCATGATGACGTTTCGGATGACAACGACGAAGAGATGATAAATTTTGTTCGAGATAATTGTGCACAAGAAGGTAACGAGGACGACTCTGGTACGTTTTTCTAAAAAATTCCTAATATGGCATACCGCTCACGAGTTTCTTCGATTCTAAATTTCTCAGAAAAATTAAATTATATTTTTTTATACTAAATGCAGAAGTTTGATTAAAATTCAAGAATTGCTCCCCAACCTTATAGCTTTACCACGCTTATGGCCTTCTAATACGAAATTTTAGAAGGCAGAATAGCTCACATATACTTGTACGAGAAAACTCTGTCGATGCACAACAACTACCCAGACTTCGACGGTCTCGACATACTAGAAGTCAGTTGCGGACAGGGAAGCGGAATAAAATGGATATCGAAGTTAGTGAAACTAGAAATATGATATATTAAAACAATATCTCAGAAAACATAGGCGAATCGGGAAAATAATCGGTGTTGACAAAGTTCCACTGAACAAGAAAGAGCTTTACCACAAAGGCGATGCTCAAGATCTACCTTTCGACGACGAGAGTTTTGATGTCGGTGAGCAACAAGACTTAGACGAAATTCCACAACTTGACAGTTATTAACGTCGAATCTTCCCATCTTTACCGCGACTGCAGCGCTTTCTTCGAAGAATGCTTTCGTGTGCTCCGGCCTGGAGGTCAGCTGTGTTGGACCGATATCCGTTACCCCCACCAGGTTCGAGAATCATCAAGCGTTTGTTTGGCCGTAAAAAACTTTTTGATAAAACTAAGCAGCACTTTTAAAAACAAGTTTTCCGAAGATAAAACATCCTGTCTTAGAGCTATCATCAGCCAAACGCAGCAGTTTGAAGAGATTTTAGCAGAAAAAATTTGCCAACCTTAAATACTTCGACCGAAAATAAATAGAAATAGTGAAGTTTAAAATAGAGACGAGAAAATTGCAGATCCATCAAGTGCAACGAGAGGCTCACAGGGCCGGTTTTCGTTTGGATAAATGGTACGATATTACAGCCAACGTCGTCGCCGGAATACATAGAACTTCACGGAAATACGATCGTATCTTGCACAAGGTTGAGAATTAAGATACTTTTTCCAAAAATTGTTTTGCTGAAGAGTCCCTTGGTGGTGCGGATGTTCGCCTCGTCTATAAGGAGCACTTATTGCGCTCCTGGAACGAGCACCTACCAGCGACTCGTTCGACGACAACGCATTTATATAGCGGCTATGTGGTCAAAACCTATCAACGAGATTGCCGAAGAGGAAGAAGAGTGAAACGGATAAAAACAGCGTAAAAATATGAAATCGTTCAATGAACGAGTAGTTTCAACCATAAAATTAATTTGAAAAATGAGAAAAAATTTATTTTCCATAAACATAAACCGTATAATTTCGTGTTGATTGAAAGATCACGTGTGAACCAACAATCGACGCAAATTCGCACCAGCCACGTCGTGATTTGGGAGACCTCATGACATAATAAATACAAGGAACGGTGTTAAAATCAGAATACAATTCAATGGTTCTAATAAAAATTTTTTATGAAAAATAGAAGGAAACCATTAAATCACGTCGAAGGCGCAGTGTTCCAAATGAGTGGTACAATAGGGGACAATTTAAGCGTTAATAACACGGGCGAGTTTCTGGATTCGATTCAGTAAGATGTCGCCGTCTTTGATAACGGCTTTGTACAAGTGATTCTTGGAGTCGCGATGGTTCATCTCGATGACGCCATTGACGGCGTCGATGCGGCACTGCAGCTGTCCAGTTCCGATCAGACGGTGCAATTCGCGGTCAACGAAGGCTCGCGAAACTCCAAAGTCTTTCGCCATCATGTCCATCCGCACCTGAATCCATTTTCAAATTTTGTAAGATTCCCCAAATATACCGTCTTGTAGGGCGTCAAGAACTGCTCGTAAGCGCGATGTCTCATTGCTCGAGAGTAAAAATTGAAATGCGGCGACAGGTAGCGGTCGAATTTGAACTGAAACATGTCATAACAAAGTCCCGTTTTTTGCATCTATTGAATAGATGAGTTTTATAAGAACAATTTCCAGCCGAGAAAGAAGCAAAATGCAACTTCACATTTGGGAATAATAGAGAAAATTATGCTACTATATATGCAACAATGAAGAAAAAGTTATACTAATAATAGAGAAAAATATACTTGAATATTCACGATAGAAGTTCTTACACAGAGTAAATCTTGAAAATAACCCGCATTCCTAGTTCGGAAAACTCCCAAATATATGAAAAAAAAAGAATCTATAAATAAAGGATGTGTAAACCAACTTGTTGAAGAGCTATGTCTCCTTACGGCATGTGATTTTTATTTTATTATACTAAGTCAATAAAAAAAAAATCCTTTAGAACAATAAAAAGCAACTCACCCGTTCACTTTCAAGCTGTGCCAACTGAATGAAAAAAACGATCATAATGGCAGTCATAATAAGCTTCAAGATATTCGCGGACGGGGATCAGAGAGCCGTTTATTCCGCCTCCGGTTAACTGTAAAAATTGTTTCTTGGAAACTTCTACAACTCCACTGCATAAACAAAAGGAAAAAAATTAACAAAAATTTCAACCTAAGAATATTTGAAAATCACTTTTGTAAGTACTCAAAGGTAAAAATTACCTGCTCCTGAATCTCATTGCATTTGATCACTTTCGTTCGCAAGTCGGGTCTCTCTAGAGCTGAAAGGATAAAAAGTAAGAGAAATCATTGAAATCATTTACGAACCAAACGTAGCGGTGATAACAGCATACATGACAAGGTTTTCATAAGTCATGAGCTCGTAGGAGCCAAAAGTAGGGACAGCTTCGAGGAAAAGATTGGCCGCTCCGCTGAAGTCTCGAACCGACATTTTGTAGAGAGCTTCATAGGAACGCAATCGGTTTTTCCTTTCCCAATCGCCACCCTGAAAGAAAATTGAATAAAAAGTACAAATATCCTTCTTAATTTGAACAAAGGATCGTGAATAATACCTGCTCCATGAGCTCCTTTGCTTTGGAGAGGAACTTGTTGATCAGGTGATGATCCAGGAAAAACAATCCGACGCGGATCATGGCAAAAACGAGATCAATGCGGTATCCCATACCCACTGTCTTTTCGTACGTTGCCTAGAGAAAAAGTAAGAATCCGCTTGAATAATCAACATACTGTGTAAGCTTTCTGGGCATTTTCCTTGTCACCGATCTGGCAGTAATACTCGAACTTTCGCAACAAGGCCTGTCTCACCTCCGATTCCCCTGAATTCACCTTAAGTGTATGTTAATTCAACTAGAAGTAAAAACCGAGATTTTTCTCTGCGTCCTCTATCTCGGCATCAATATCCTTAATGACTTTCTCATTTGCCGCCTTCATTTTGGACAGCTGCGATTGATCGACCTGAGTATTCAACTCGGAACAAATCAATTCGTAGAATGGAGCCATATCGTATTGCTTTATAGCCTGAAAAAGGAAAACTAGCTAGCTAAAGTTCGAAAAACGAGCCTCCTGAAGAACTGCAAGCTTCTGAGTTTTAATGTCCTTGTCCAGCTCTGGATGGTTGACCAAAAAGCGAACTTGTGCTAATTCAAGATCGGGATGCTTGCAAATGACCTTGAATTTTAAATTCTCGTCATCTTATTATTTCAAATCGCACCTCTTTATCGTAATTTCCATCATCTACAGGAGATTTTTTCGATTTCTGTGGAGCAGCCATTCTGAACGTCAAAAAAAAAAGATAAACACACGAAAATCAGTCAATTGAAAAAAATCCAGAAGATCTATTTTATTTTTCAATCATCAAAAGTAAATCTCGGTATTTTTAATATTAAAACCTATGATATAATACACTTAAATGTTCAACGCTGCACGCATGTTTAAGACAGTGCTGAGGCGTTTTGCAATTTGTGTGAATCCTATCTCTCGAGGTATAACAAGAGTATGAACGTCCTGATGAGTGCGGAACTTTCTGTTCTATTACCAAAAATTTTTTTTAAACTACCGCGAACACGACCGGCGTATCTGGTTTGAGAAAATGATAAAAGACCTTAACACGGTTAAGAAAAAAATAGAAGCTCAAATTACAAGCTTGGACGACTTTTCATTACTTTTCCCCAGTCAGCCATTGATTTTTTTATTTTTTTATTTATTTATTTATTTACCCTATCAAAGTATGCAACTATAAATTAACTCTAGAAATTCTCAAATAAAGATTTTTCGAACTTTCGATCATTTTTTTATAAACAGACTTCTTTTTGAGCTCTTGAGAAATGACAAAAAAATAAATATAGCATAAAAAAATAAATAAAAAAATAATTGAAGGTTTTTCAGAAACAATTTTAAAAAAATGAAAATTTTGAAAAAAACTCGCGATGATGATTTTTCTCAGGCACTTGGCACGCGCCGTTATTGCACTTGGCGCACACTTTTTACACCCGCGAGGGGTCTTTCCCAAAATGCAGAAATCTGCATCGGGGTTTGAGAGAAGAGGAACATATCTGCATGTCGGAAAATATGAAAGAAATGTTTTCTTATAAATCTCTGAGGTTTTATTTGCGCTTCATTCAATTTTTGTGTAATATTAATTAACTCCGAGTTTTCAAGATGTCGCTGAAAAATAAAAAATCTCAATTTCAATCTTAGATGCTCGGGCAAAGTCGGAATGGTGGATAATGGCCGCTGAAAGGGAGAGGCTCAAAAAAGGCCGCAGAAAGGCAGCAAAAAGACAGCGAAAGGGAGCAAAGAGACTCCCTTTATCGAGCCTTCTATTTTTCTGGGATTTTAAGGCTCGAGAAATGGTGGAGAAAGGGAGAGGCAGCAAAAATGGTGCATAAGGGCTGAGAAAATGGAGCAGAAAGGCAGCAAAAAGAGAGCCTTCGTCACCCTAAAAGGAACATTTCTATGGTCCTTTATGGACCCTCGGAGGGTCCTTCCGACTTTGCCTATGTGTACATGAAAGTTTGATAATCATTACCACAGACTATCCAAAACAATTTATGTGTATGTTCAATGATCCTACGATTTATGAAACATTCGCAGAATCTTTTTCGATGTTGATTGAAGTGACTCGTGTCATCTTCACTGACGTAAGCAACTCGAAAAGTTTAGGAAACAGCTCAAAAAGCGAGCCTGAATCAAATACACGATGTAGATGCGTGAACTTGAACTTCCTGAAAAGACTAATAAAAACGAACAAAGCTCGGCCTTCCACATCAAAAATTCGTTTCCAGTTCCAGAATAGTCCAAAAATTACGATCTCTTGTAGAAGAATGAAGATGAGGACATCTTGACAGAGTGGGCCTCAATTGCGTTAATTTTCTTCTTATAAGAATGTCCGTTTCGAGAACGCGACCTTGATTACGTGCAAACAAAACTTTTAAATCTAAATAGTTTCAAAGAATCTCAGGAATTTTCATTATTTACTATCTTGAGCTTTTTCCTATTTTCAACGTTTTTCATCCTTCTAATTCCCATTTTCTGTGAGAAAACTCATTCTGTTGCTTCATTTATGTTTGACCAAACGGAACGGCTGTTCAGGACGAAAATCTGGGCGAGCAGGAAGAGAAAACATGGAAAAGAAGCGTGCACTGGAACCGGTCGATTTACCTGTCATTTCGGAGAGACCAACCGGCAAGGTAGAGATTATAGCGAGGCAGTTCCAACCATTTTTTGCCTTTTTTCCCAGATGCCAACGTTACACTTCCACAAAAGCTTCTTCGGACTTGTACCCACCCGAGAAAAATCTTGTTGAAACAGGGCAGACTAGGCTCAAAAATTTTTCAGAATACTGCTTTTTGCCAAATTTTATCTTTCAATATCGCCTCGAATGATTTGGCTACAAGAAACACCAAAACACGTTTGTTCAGCAAGAACAGTTTTAAAAAAACGGTAATCTGAAAATTTTCAATGAGATTTTTCTCGGTTTATTATCGGGTTTAGCAAATAATCCTTTTTGTTTCCAAATATTCTGACCTAGTTTTATAAACTACCAATGTTTGAACTCGATGCTCGTGTTAGAGTCCCCGTATTTCTCTAGTTAATTTTTTTTCCTTCAGCTAGACATTATAACTCGAAAACTTTTTTCATGGTATGATTGAACCTACTAGATCAAAACAAACGGTTTTTTTCTAAGTTATATGAAAGATGTCCTGTTTGACTTTGCGGTAACCAATATATACTAAGATGGAGGAAAAGCTGAGTGGCCCTTGATGGTCACTGTTTGTCAAGGTGCGCGTTAATCGCCTCTTTTCAGCACGTCTCTCTGCGTTTCCAGCACTTCAGACGCGATCATCAGCACCTTTTCTGCTTTTCCTCGAACCTAGTTCAGTTTTTTCGAAAGGGTCTGGCTCATGGTCTCGTCCACCCTTCCTGATAACGTTGCACCGGAAATGTCCTTCGGCTTGTGAACCAAGTAGGCGTTTTACGAGAAGAGTCTCTGAGTGAATCAGGCTTCAACCCATTCGAGAATCGACTATCACCCGTACACTTTGATCTTGACGCATTCGCGGCGGCCTCGTTTTATCACTGTTTTTATTTTGTTCTGTGTGCTTTCCGAGTCATTCTCCTGTTTTCCTTCTGTCGTGTTTTCACCTTCCAGTTTCCCACGGGCCACACCTACGGTCTACAGCCCCAAAAAGACTTTGCAACTTTCTTTCTTTGCTTTTCCTGTATTCCTTTTCTTATTGATACTGCTTTACTAGTTTTGGTGCCTCAAGCCAAGCGATTTCTGGAAAGTCTAAACATATTTTTTTTTTGTTTGAGAATTTTTCTCGCTGAATGAATTTTTTTTTCGAAAGTGACACATTAATTTGATTTTCGTCGCTCTGAATGTGAAATAAATGTAGAGAGGTTTTTGAAAATCAAATAAATTTGAAATAAGCCAATACATTTTTAGGAAAGTTCAAAGCCTCTCATTTTCTAGAGCAATCAACAATTCAGTCTGGTATTCTCATTTTTTAAATTCCTTTCTGAGTTCAAAATTTCGTTAATTCGATTCGAAAACAATTTTTATCAGATTAATGCTTTTGATCACATCATCAGAGTCATGATTTCCTTTTTGTTTGCCAGTAAAAAAATTTGATATGATGATCGGTAATTAATTTTTGGTTATTTCACCTTTTTCAAGCTGTTTTTTTATAATTTTTGTAGAGATAAAACAAATTTAATCCATAACTGAAATATGATACCAATCAAGAAGATAAGTCCTTTATTAACCTCTCAAAAATATCTCATTTGCTTGGAACAAAAGATCTAACAAATATTGCATTTCTACGAATCTTTCAGAGTTTTTTTTATATTCCTTATATAAAATCCTTTCTTCCGGAAAAAAATTTTTTCCAATCCATCCTTCCATTCAACGACTTCTTCTACATATCTTTTGTTTTTTTAGACCTTCCGATGAAGTTATCTTACTAGCTAGAAAGTTAGACTTACAGTCTGTTTTCTTACCCGATTTAATAATAATATAAATCGACTAAAACGTTTTCGGACTTTTTGAAGTGGATTGTCTTTCCGATTTTCAATTCCTCGTTGATCGTAAATGAAGAGCGCCCGCCCACTTTTCGTAGGAACCCAACTGCAAACAGTAGGAAGCGGCGGTTTGCCGGCCGAAAACGAAAGGTCGAGTAACTCTGCCGGGCGAAATCCCTCTCTTTCTACTTGTTTTCGCTTTTGGCTTGTTTTCACGAGTGCAAACAACCTTTTTCCAGCTCTCCTTGTACGCACCGCAGCTATGACGGCCAAGAAAGAGATGAATAAGAAGAAACGAGGTGAGACAGTTTTTTCAAGAAGTAAAATTTCCCGTCACAAACTTGAGCCAGTTATATAATAAGCAAAACATTGTACGAAGAGAAGAAGGTGAAGGCTTTCTTTTTTTTTTGTCCCAAGCTAATGGATAGATTGTAAGTGATTCCTTGTTGTACAGAAGTTTTAATAAGGTCAAAGAAGTATACGTAGATCCTTATCTCAAGACTCTCAAATTGAGAATATTTTCTTTTCATAAATGTTTATTCAAGACATGTTTTTTGTGAGAAGAAAACTGTTTTAGCAGCCGCCTTGAACATGTCGACGATATCGCACAAGTTGACGACGGACGCGACGCTGTGCTCGCCGCCACGAGCGCCTGAACCTTCCAGTGTCTGCTGCATCACCGTGCACAAAGGTCCGGCTTCTTCTTTTCAGTTTTTTTTTTCAATCATTTGAGCTTAAGTTGCGATTTTCGGCATATCTTTCAATGCGATCATGTTATTCTCTTTCTACGTTTACGCCATTATCCGTCTCATAGAAACAGCCAAGGATCGGAAGCTCAACACCGAAATAATAGGTGAGAGTCCTAATTATCTCAAAGAGGACTAGAATATCTATTCAGCTGTCGGATCTTTGATTATGTGTTTCGTACTGTGCTTTTCTGTGATTTTCGTGTGGGGAGTGCTCAGAACGCGGCAGCGGATGTTCATTCCTTACATAGTCCTCGATGCTTTCCTGCTCTTCGCTTTTGCAGGTTCGTTCTCAGAAAAGTTAAAGGAGCTTCGAAGAAATATATAGGGCTCAAACAAGTTCAGATATTATTTGCTATATAATCGGTGAATTAAGAAATAAATGGCATTCAACTCTCTATGAACAACAATTGATAAAAAACTACGAGTGATTCATCAAGATTTCCGACTCAAACTGATTGTTCTGTTCATTTAGTGGTCGCGAGCATCCCAACTTTTTTATTGTGACTATTTTCCATTGAGAAAAAGTTTGATTGGCTCCGAGAGAGTGTTTGTCCAAACGGCGATTATCTGCTTCACAAACAAGTGAGCGCATGATCCGCCGCCATCCTTCTTTTTCCGAAATATCAACTTCCATTTCAATAAATCGAACCCCAGCAAATAAAAAATCAATTGCAGGAACCGTGACCGCGACCTTAATAACTGTCGCCGACGAGGTCCGAGAAGAAATTAACGGAGGGACCGCACTTCAAAAATCGTCGACATTCTTCTTTTCAGGTATTATTGAAGCCAATTAGTAAAGAAGAAGACATTTTCAGAGCAGCGTTGCTATTCTTAACGATTCTGGAAGTTTTTTTCCTCTACGTCTACATCAGGGCCTTCCTTGACGTTCGACGATTGAATGTCTACCGAAACCCCGTTTAGAATTCACACTCACAAAACAAAACAGGCCAAAGATAATCTTTCATGTTTTACCACACGGGTTTTCATCCCTTTTGTTGTACATATAAAGTTATCGTTCTTCATCAGAAAATTGATTCCTTCACGCAATAAATACCAAAAAAAAAAATAAAGTTTAAATCATTGGATCAAAACTAAAAAATAAACAATCTGAAAGGCTCAAATTTCCATACTTAGTCGGTGAGAACTTTGAAAAATTGTTAATTTCAACAACAAAAACAACAGAAAAACATGATAATGATAAAAAACTAACATAATTGGGATATAGATAAAAGTTATCAAATTTCTTCGTACCTCATGATTCTCACAGGTATCTGCGGCTCCTCCGGCATCCTACGCTTTCTGTCGAAAGGAATCAGGCGATCCATCTGAACCCGTTCTGATTACAAGTCTGATTATATGCTTTTTTTTGACATAGAGGAATATTATAATTCATGAAACTTCGACTTTAGTACAGACCTATTCAGAGACTGTTTTCATGAACTTGCACGCAGTGTGAATATCGTTCTGATTAAAATTGAAGCAGAAGCAGGAAAGCGGCACACGATTTACCAAAAAGTTTTAATAATTTTGCACGTTAATTGAGAAAATGTTTATAATTTTGTTTGAGAGGTTATATAAAAGGTTCTGTATGAGGGAAAACTTTTATAGACTATCAAAATGAGACAAAAGAAATAATAATTTCATATATTCCGTGTAAAATCTTCACTCGAAGTGGTAGCTCTCATTCTGAGGCTTCCACCTAGAGCACGGTCTCCGGGCTCCAGCACAACATCCGCTACATTCTGAGCTCGTCAAGGCGCAACTGGATGGACTACGCGCAGAAGAACGAGACGAAGGACCGTAAGACCATGCTTTCAACTCTTTCGACTACACGTTTGGACTTCTAGCTCGCCAAAGGCGGTTGTTCGTTATAGCTTTCAAAGTTCTTGTTCACCGCCTAGTCGATACATCTATGACTAAACCAACAAAATAAATGATTTGATTGATTGATTGATATGATAACTTCTTCATCTCAACTATTCGAGAATCCCTCAGAATTAAAAAGATACCTCAGGCTTGTTGGTAGTTGCAGCGGCGTCATCTTTGAACTGGACGTCTTCTTCTTCGTATTCCTCCTCGGTCGAAATTACGTAGGCCTCCACGACGGTCTCCTCGCCGTTGTTCTGCTGCAGCTCGAAGTCCTGCATCGACTCGAACTCGCGCCATTTTCGCTCCCGCAGCTCTGCCGCCCTGCGAGTTTCAGTCGAATGTTCGTGGCCCAAGTGTCCGAAACACGCCACGACCTCCAGCTCCCCGGTATAACGCTCACACATCTGAAAACAAACAAAAATTTTCCGATGTATTAAATTCACCATGACTTGAAATTTTCTAATTCCTAGGGAATTTCTCGAAAAAAGTTGATGTACGCCCTTCTGTTAATAATTCATGCTTCAACATTTACCCTAATGAAAGCAGGACATTGCTCGCAGCGTCGTCCTTTCGAATGTCCCCGAGTGTTCGAGTACAAACATTTTAAAAGAGTCGACTTTTTCCCATATCTAAAACAATCATTTTTCCCATACTAAATGATACGAAACCTCAAATGATTATCGGTGGTTCGCGTATAAAATTGGGAATCTGTCTGGATTTCCATCGTTTTCCGCCATTTCTAGGTTTATTACTTCTCAAACGATTCAAAAACTATTTTACCGCGTACGAAGCTTTGTCAGGGAATCGATCTCTGTGAATGCGAAAACAGTCCGAAATCGTTGTCTGAAAACAATCTGCAATAAAACCAATGAAAACAAATTACCAAGTCTCGATGGCAGGAATCGACGTGGATAGCTAAATCCATATAAGTGAAGAAACTGGAAAAAAAAAATTTAGAAAAACGAACAAATAACTCATTTAAGTCTGTACGAAAATTAAAACGAGATTTTATTTATTATTTTTATGAAAACAATCCTTTTTCGAGCTTTGACTGGCTTCTTGAAATTGTTAAACCGGGAAAGTATGATCAAAGTCCCCCTATCTTCACATTTAAATACTAGATTCTGCTTTTTATGCACGAAAAAGTATTTCTCCGATCCTTTTTGAGAAAGAAAAAATAAGATTCTAATGACCTCATCCCGCATCCGTAGCTTGGACACACAATATTATCAATGCTAGTGGTGGGAGGAAGTTCGACGTTGTGCAGACGTTTCTAGAAAAACCAAATGAAACACATTTTTTTTTTTTGAAGGATACCTTATGATTCATTAAGCCGCTCTTTGAAACAAATTGAATATCACAGTATTCACAAGAATATATTGTTTGTTTGCGCTGCTAAAAAAGGATTGATGTGAATACGGAAAATACAAAAAGGAGACAAAAACCAACATTGTTGCGATTGCGCTGACTCAGAGAAATACGGCGCTGCGCTTTGATAACTTCAATCTGCTGCTTGCTGAAGCCGTGCATATCGAACAAGTGAGCGTAGACCTTCCTGTAGGACGGAAACTCGTCCATACAGCTCGAACAAATAATTCTTAACTATTCATAAGACAAAACAAACAAAGAAAAACTTACTGGCCGTTACCGGAATCGTAGATAGCGTTTTGAACGTAAAACATGGGATCCATGACGTCGCACGGCACGTCAACCGAGGAAGACGTCCCTTCTTCTTCGTAAGCTTCTTCATCGACGGCTAACATGTCCTCTGGTGGTACGCCCACAAGATGCATTTCTCGCCGAGTCTCCATATCTAAAAGGTACTGAAAAATCAGGAGAATTCATAACGAAAGAAACAAAAAAAAATTCAAAATTTGAGAAGACACGGAAATTTAATGATGAGTTCTTTTTTGACATGAAAATTTAAAATAATTCGTATTGAAAAAATAGAAACTAAGCTTGTATGGCCGCATCTTTATCCGAAAGTTTCAAAACTAACAAAAGAAAAATAGCTTGAGTAAGAGTATTTTATAAATTGAAATTGAGAGCGAAATCTCGGAAAATTGAAAAACCGCGATTCTTATTTCACTTTACTGTGAATGAATAGAGAAAAGAACGATAACAAACAAAAAACAAAAAGAAAAAAATGAAATTGATCGAATCGAAAAAAATGAGGGAAATCTAAAAATTATCGGTGGAGCGCAAATGTCGTCGGCCGCGATCGTCCGGCCGGAGGGAGACTCGTGCATTTCACCAGTCGACGGCCGCGAATACACCACTGCACTCTCTTCCTCCTTCTTGCGCCTACATCACATGATGCTTTGCCCAATAACTCAGGTTTCGGTCGCTTTTGGAGTTTCAGAACCAAGTCCAAAGACATCCCCCTGCGATTAGAAGATTTTCAGTCGATTTTTACAAAAAAACAAACTTTTTTCAAAAGTTCTTAGGATTGTCTTTATGCATCTCCTAATAAGACTTAAATTTTTCTATCCTGTTTTGATGTCCTGTTTGAAAAGGGAATAGACTGTTCTGACGTTTAACTATCTCAGAGCTAGTCATTTTTTTTTCTATCAAGTTCCTGAAAGCTCTAAAACATGGGTTCAATAGTTGATGATGTCTCGATAGTGATTTTATTGCGCTCGACTGATTCCGGGTTCGAGTTCAATCACTTATAGGAATGTCAGAACGGCGGCGATACAGTCCTATCACTGATATCGGCCAATTCTTGCCGTTCACTTCCCCCAGTCCGCGATAGAGATAAAACGTTACTGTCAGCTGACCAGACGACTAGAGATTTTTTGGGGCTTAATTTGTCGAACCCTGCTGATATTTGGAAAATCCCTACAAGAAAAACGAACAGTCAATGCGAACTCACTTTCTCTCTTTTGTTTGGAAGGTTGAATGTTGTTTCTACGGCGTTTGAGCAGACACAAAAACCTCAAAAAATCAATGTATAGTTTTGTGTCTTTCCCAGCGCATGGATCCCTGTCTCAAAAGATCCATCCCTACATCTCGGGTCGTGTGTTCCAAACCATTTCCCACATTTTCGCGCATCTCTCCTCATTCACCTTCTCTTTATACGGTTTTGTTGCACTACAGACTTTTGATCGTTTGTTGTCAATTTGCGTTCGACGCCACATAAGCTCATTTAAAATACTCTTTGCCTCCGTAAAACCAAATGTTCCACGTATAAGGAAAAGAAACCCAGAACTCTGGTCTTTTAAGTTTCTGTTTGAGTTTTTCTCCACACAGCGAATATTGTTTTTTTATTGTTATTTAGTAATTTTTTTAAAAATTTATTTAAATGTTCTGAAGAAATTTGCATTTTTTTCTCAATTTCTCATTCACTGTGCACACTCAGAAAAAGAAAAAGAAAAGAAGAGCCATTTCCATTTAGACCTTCATAAGTTCTTGTAAAAGAAGAGAAGTAATTTGAACTTTTTTCTCTTAGAGAATTTATATCAAGTGAATCCCTTGATGAAATTTTTTTGTTCAATTAAAAAAAGTTTGGAAATGTAACCAAAATGTGCTCTTTAGAACTTTTTTTCGCGTTCACTAATCTCGAGGTTTCCTCAGAATTGTTTTTCTCACTTTCCAATCAAAATTGATACCTATTGAGAAAAATCACAAAAATCTTTCTCTTCATGTTTTTGAGACGTTCGTCATCGTTATTTATGGACCGTACCATTCGTACTTGCTTATCTTTGCGAAGATTTTCAGAAGTCCCGAGCAACCTCGGCCTCCGTGTGTCGTTTTTTTCTTTTTCGTGGCGAAAGAGAGAAAAAGAGCGCTGCGCTACGCACTCGTTGTTGTTGTTTTGAGCAGCGGAGACACGGCTGCGAGTGTTCTTTTCTCTTTTCTTTCGTTTTTGCCTTCGTCGGGACATTTTCTGGCAGCCAGGATGTCGTCGCCGAGTTCCGGCAAACGTCGCATGGACACCGACGTCATCAAGCTGTCAGTTTCATTTCTTTTTTTTTTTCTCGAATCGAGTTATTTTTTTCCAAACGGAAACGGGCTTAAGTAGTCATTTATGAAAAACTCGAACGTAATAATAAAACATAAAATATTTTCTATATACCATTAGTACTGATTTGACTATTTTTGTAACTTTTCTCATAGTGCAGTAGTAAGTCAGCTTTATAGTTCATTGGCGAGACAGAATTGAATTAGGACCTTGACATTATAAACGAGACAGCAAGCAGAAAGAAGAGGTTTAGACGGACTTGCAGTGTTGTCCCGAGCTAGTGGTGAAGGAAGCACACAGAATCTCTTTCTTATTTGTCTTCACAAAAATTTCAGTTTCACTCTTCAAAACGCATTTTTAAGCCACATTAGACTGCTTTTATTCATTCTCGCAAAAAGTTCTCAAGATCGACTGAAAAAAGCTCCTACGAGAAAATAGAACATAAACTCTGTTTTCTCTTATTGACCAAGGGGATATGTTTTTATTGAGTTTGGTTAAAAATTATCTCCAATTTCAATACTGTAACTACTGTGGACCATACTTTTTTCTTCAGTTGTTATAATCTGGAGTTTCTTATCCGTTATTTTGGTCTGCGAGAAAGAATAGCGGGGAAAAGATTTCTCTCTCTCGAGAAAATTTGCTCCGCCGACCGAGGTGACGCGGGAGAGCACTCAGCTGACCGTTATCATCAGAATTGCTTACATGAGACTCACAAACGAGCACCACTTTCCCGAAAAATAGATCTACGAGGTTTGGCGGAGAATGTTTGGCTCTAACTCTTTCTTCTTACGCTTAGGATAATTAATTTCTCCAAACAACAGAAGAAAGAAAAGGTTGAAGCAATCTTCTCGAATTGTTATTTTCGATTAAGAAAGGGGTCATAGGGGGAAAAAGATGAGATTAGTGACTCAAAGTACTCCGCAGATCTAGTCCGATCACCAAGCCTTTTTTCGCCTTTGGTGTTTGTCAAAATTCGATTTTTTTTTTCAATCTATCAGAGTACAGTTTTGAAGCTGTTCTGTGTGTGATCACTGCGAACTTTTGGCAAATTATTTCTATTCAATGAAACAACAAAAGAGGAAACCATTTCTTTATTGTAGCGCGGTTTCCTCGCGAATGTCTCTTTCTCCATGCATTCTCTGCGAGGAAAGCAATTCCTCATGGAGCAGACTGCGTGGCGTCAGCTGACTTGGCGGCAAATGTGCCTTGCGGCGGTTGTGACCGGCACGTGGGTCAGAGAATCGCCTGACCGTCATCGCTCTTTGCACCCGAATATGACCCGAAGCGAGGGCTTGCTCTGTTTTGTTTCACTCGTTTCCCTCGGCATCTTAAGGCTCAGAAACCAAGTTTGTTTTTCTAGATAAACATCTTACTAGTCAATTTCTGAGTTAGAAGTTGGTAATTTGTCCTTTGGAGTTTGAGATGTTTACTCTACTAAGCACTTTAAAGAAAGAATGAAGACCAATCGAGTAATGTTATTTTTCATTACACAAAACAACGCGAAATCGTGGAAAATAAAGACGAGCCTGAAACGCAGAACCTGTTTGTGACGGAAATTTTATCCATGCTGCGTCGAACAATTCCATATTTCGCTATTGCCTTTTCCGTTCTTTCTCTTTCTTTTCTGCTTTTTTAACGTAAAATAACTAAGCTCTGCTGAAATAAGGTTTGAAATCAGTCAAATTTAAGATTTTGATAAAATATAATAATCGTATAGATGCGCTGAGCCAATTCGAGGTTCGATTTACAGACATTCTTTGACTGTTTCTTCAAGCAAAGTATTGAGAAAGCAAACAAATAAGGCCAACAGAATATTTCTGCGATGTTTTTGTAGACCAGGAGCACAGGAAATATAGCCTACAGCTTTTGTTTCGTTCTTTTCAAGCCGAGGCCAACGAACGAAGCGTCGCTCCGTCTCTAGTCTTTGTGTGTCTGCCGCACTAGGGCCGTCCTCTCTCGGCTGTCTGTCTGTCTGGCCTTCTTTTGCAGTACTTTGCCATTTCGAATGCAATGAACAGCTCGCGGCAAACATCTTTGGGGACACACTTGGCCAAAGTCTTGAAAACATATTACGAAAAGCAAAAAATGGTTGAATCAATTCTGAGAGAAACATTTCTCTCTATCGGAGTGATCAAACACATGAAGATAAAATCTTCGATCTTAATCGAAAAGTTTCAGGATTGAAAGTCATCACGAGGTGACCATTACTGGCGGTCTCAACGAGTTCAGCGTCAAGTTCTACGGCCCCAAAGGAAGTGAGTCTATATTTCATTGTGCTATTTGGCCAAAACAAAAGACAAAGTTTTATTTTTCTACAATGAGTTTATAGTAATTTTTGAAGTTAGTATACTGATATATCAAAAAAAGCACTTAGCTCGAAAAAATTGCTTTAAAAATTAAAACAAAAAAGTTCTTCCAAAAAAACTCCTAATTTACAATTTTTTGAATGACGTTGTGCGCCTTTCCGCTGCTTTTTTAGATTTTTGGGATCTTCTGAACATCTATTTCCATTTAATTCCCCGCTGTTTGTTTCATTTTTGAAAGTTCTTTTTTATTCTTAAACAAGGGGCCATAAAAGCGGCGTTTCTTTTTATAACTTTTCTGGGCTTTTTTCGCGTATGCGCATTTTTTCACTCACGTATAATGCTGCACTCTTTCTATCTTGTTGAAGAAAAGTGGAGAAAAAACAATCTTTGAATGATAAAAGGAACGTTTTGCAGCTTCGTACGAAGGCGGCGTCTGGCGAGTCCGCGTCGATCTTCCTGAGAAGTACCCCTTCAAATCGCCGTCTATCGGTTTTATGAACAAAATCTACCATCCGAACATCGATGAGGCCAGCGGCACGGTTTGCCTTGACGTCATCAATCAGGTTCGTCTCTTCTCAGAGGATTCCTTTGCGATGGGTAATTAACACCTATTAAAATAAGAGCGATAAATCACGATTGCACCTTTTCGAGTCTGTTTTAGTACCTGTGCATAGTGTAATTATCTATAAATAGACTAGATGATGATCGTGTCTTCTGTTCTAAAGTCTAACGAATCAAATTCCTGTAGCCTCTCAACCCGAAAACCTTGAAAAACATTTTTAAAAGGAAGATAGGGGTTTTGACCTACAAGTGAAAAAAAAGAAGGAAACTATTTTTTGGCCGTCAACCTAAAATATTTTTTTCGAATCATTATAGGGCTGTTCTAGTATTGGTACGCTATGCTTCCTGGAATTTTTTTTCTAATAATTTCAAATTAGAAAAGTGGCTAGGCAACGATTACAACGTGAAACGTGTAAAATAAACACTAACCTCTTGGTCCAAGTGCATTAATGGATTGTTGCAGGTAAAATCCAGTTTGAAACTTGAAATTATTACCTTTTTTACTCACAGTATATCAGTGAAATACCTTATAATTTGAATGAAACCTTTTTTTGCTCATATTATCGAAAATTTTGAAGGCGTGGACGGCGCTTTATGACCTGGCGAATATCTTCGAGTCGTTCCTTCCGCAGCTTCTCACGTATCCCAACGCGCAAGATCCGCTCAACGGCGACGCCGCGTCGCTATATCTCCACCGGCCGGATGACTTCAAGAAAAAGTGTCGAGGTATCGAAAAAGATAAGATTTGGCTTTTCAAGCTGAGTAAAAAGGGTTGGGAAGAAAACGAGACACTGCATTTTTTTTCAGATTACGTTGAGCTGTATGCTTCTGAAACTGCGCTTCAGCGAATCTTCAATGACACGAAAAAAGAAGCGGAAGCGGACGACGACGACGACTCGGTGAGCTCGATGTCCGACTACATGGACGATGACGGCCTCGACCTCGTCGACAACATGGAATTATAGTCCTCTTGAGTCCCCCAAGCCTTTCAGGTCCTCTCATTTCGCTTACTCAAATCAATCCGTTTGCCTTTTTCTTCCTAGTCTTGCCGGCTTTCTCCTTTTATCAAAACTTTCCCATTTTGTCAGTTTTTATAAAATTTTGTCGTTCACTGATTTGGATAGAGCCGGCACGAAAACTCAGTAGATATTGTACATAACTGCATATTCTCCAAAGATAGCTCCTTTTTTTCGGTTTTTTCTCTGTGCCTTTAGTGGGCGAGTTACTCACGTTTTTCTCTCAGTAATGTCACTTTGGACCCCCGCGATTATCTTTTTTTTTTTCTTTGAACTTTACCACTCGCGCAACTGCCTCCTAGGCTTCATCATTGTATGTAATTCCTCTTCTTTCGAGGAGCTCGAGCTGCACCTCGCCATGCTCTCTTTTTTTTTCATAAAGTCAATTTATACAACCGCATTCCTCATTAAAAACTCATGGAAATAGTTCATCTGCTCTAGTTTTTATGAAATATTGTGATGTTTAGACTTTTATTTCGATAGTCCTGTGCGCCCACGCGTATTTTAAAACGTTTTCTCCTCTCTTATGATTCGCTTTCACATCTGGATTCGTTTTGTCAATAAATGTTTTTCAAGCAAGTTATGGAGCATGGAACTTCTCGTAAAAGTTGACTCTGCAAATTAAAAAAAGAAAAAGAAATGAATTTTTTTGGGATTTTATGCAGTGAAAACGACGAATTTTGGGAAAATGCAAAAATATATCAAAATTTTAAATGATGAAATCTTGTTTGGATTACGGAGTGCTGTTTATAAACCGTTCACATAAAAAAATTGGTGCTGAAAATTTTTCGTAAAAGTTTCAACTTTGAATAAAGTTATTTGCGATTTAGATTAATATGACGTTCCATTTCAAAGAGTGTACAAAGAGAAGACTTTTCAACGCTAGAAGTCTTTTTCAAAATTAAAATCATCCATTTATCACAACTATAACTTCCTCATGAGGAAAGCCGGGTCGCCGAGTGATGTTTTTTTTTTCTGCCATACGGTAGCCTCAGAAGCGTGGGCACAAATTGCACCGAACCTTACGAGCAAATTTTTTCATTTTTTTTCTTCCGAGTTTTATTTTATATCGAAATGCTTTTATTGGTTTAACCAAATTTTTGGGTTAGTCTTCTCATAATAATAAAAAAAAGCTTTAAATATAATCGTCTAAGCAGATCGCTTAATTTTTTTGGAGAACTTTTTTCCTGTGCGTTCAACATTCTTTCGGCACTTGTTGTTTTGCCGTGTTCAAAGTGGTTCTGCAAAGTTCGAAATAGCTGTTAGAAAGGGAAAAGAGCAATGAATTCTAGAGAGCCAGAGATAATTTTAAGTTTCGCGGGAGTTACTTCGAAAACGGCATCAGCTTTTGTACGATTGTTGAAATCAGCCAATTTTTTTTTTCATTTTTCGTGGCACGGAAAAAAAACTGTTCATCCAATTTTTTACTTTTACAACAGGTAATAAATGACAGCGTCAGACGATGAAGATTTTTCTCAGTTACAATCAGATCAGAACAGAAAACAGAGGAAGGCAGGAGGATGGCAATCTCTTGGTAAGAAGTTCGTCTTTTTTATTCTCAAATTCTTCGTTTTGTTCCAGGACTCGATCACACTGTTTTCAAAGCCATCGAGAAAAAAGGATTCAAGCAACCGACTCCCATTCAAGTTTGTTTTTTCAATTTTTTTTTTCGACTACACGTTTGGACTTCTAGTTCGCCAAAGGCGGTTGTTCGTTATAGCTTTTAAAGATCTTGTTCACCGCCTAGTCGATTACATCAGACTAAAACAACAAAATGAATGATTTGATTTGATTTGATTGATTATTTTGAAGAAAAAGAAGTTTCAGAGGAAGACAATCCCGTGTATATTAGACGGGAAAGACGTGGTGGCGATGTCGCGAACGGGAAGTGGAAAGACTGCGGCATTCGTGATCCCCATGATACAGCGACTGAAGCGCCGTGACACTAAAGGAATTCGCGGATTGCTGGTCTCGCCAACTCGAGAGCTCGCTCTTCAAACCTTCAAAGTCGTCAAAGAGGTTTTTCTTGTCATTTTTGAGCTTTCAGAAAGTAGTTCAACGCAGCATCAATCTTTCAGAATCGTATTCATAACCTAAGCAAATTTTATAGATGCTAATCATCTTGTTCAGCTCGGTCGATTCACGGGACTGCGATGCGCTATTTTGGTTGGCGGTGACGCGATAGAAGACCAATTCTCTACCATTCATGAAAACCCGGACATGTAATTAATGATTCCGTTCGAAAAATCGGTTCGATTTCAGTCTGATAGCAACTCCCGGCCGTTTGCTCCACGTCATCGTCGAAATGAATCTGCGGCTTTCATTTGTCCAATACGTCGTTTTCGACGAAGCTGATCGACTTTTTGAAATGGGTTTCCAAGACCAACTCACAGTGAGTTTTTCATCCCGCATATATAAAATGGAAAATAGAGTTGTATGATCTTTTCTGACGAATTTGAAAACCTCAGAAAGCTATATGTGAAAAAACCAGTGTTTCAAAAACTCGAATAAAATTTTGCAGCATGAAAACAGTTTCAAAGTTAGTGGAAACCAGTCATGTGTTTTTTATTAGAGTTTAGTCTATTTTAATGAATAATTTTTTTGAATAAAATGTCTGTATCTTTTAAAAAAACTTCATCATATCTTCAAAAAGAAGATCTGCTTCAGGAAACACTGAAAAGGATTCCGGAGAGCAGACAAACGCTTCTTTTCTCGGCAACTCTCCCCAAAATGCTGGTCGATTTCGCAAAAGCCGGCCTGACCGACCCGACTTTAGGTATTCATCAGTTCCATAGTGTTTTCTCACCGAATTCCATTTTCAGTGCGGTTAGATGTCGATGAAAAAGTGAGTGAGCAGTTATCCATGATTTTTTGCACGTGTCGACCTGACGAAAAACTCGCCATCCTTTTGCAACTTTGCAGGTTAATTTCGCTCGCCTTTTTTTCTAAACTTGTTTCAATCAAGCGCTAAAAAAATTTTTCAAAATAGTAAAATTTAGCATAATGAAAAACAATTAAAATGCAAGTAAACTCCAATTGTTACATCAAAGTTGAAGAATTACATCGAAATATTTGTTTAAAATTAACAGTGACTTGAAAAAAATTTATGTATAGATTCAAAAACCTTTCTTGACTATTTGAGCGAAGAAAGTTTCGAAATTCTTCAGTCAGTTTATTTATAGTAGTCATTATTTTTAATAAAAAAAGAGCGTCGAGCAGTGACTACTACAAATATTCACTGTTGGAAGCTAATTATTCCGTATTTGCATGATTTATTGTTTTTTTTACCATGAAAACTGAAATTTTTCATTAAAAAAGTTTAACGTTTAAAGATCTAACGTTTTAATTTTATCGGTGAGGATCTTCTGCAATCTTCATTTATTTTCAGCGAGCAGATCATTTTTTTCTATTTTTTTAGCCAATCGGCTTTAGTTTTTTTATATCTATCTTTTGAAAAAAACTGCCTTTGATTAATTTTCACTTCATGTGCAAATTGAATATTGAAATAATAGTTTAAGATAAATTCCAGGCGAATGGACGTCGAAAAGAAACAAACCGTCGTTTTCTGCGCAACAATGAAACATGTAGAATACGTGGTGGGAATCCTCAATCGGGCCGGAATCGACTGTTCTTTCGTCTACAGTCAACTCGACGCGACCGCTAGGAAAATGAACATCGCAAAGTTTGCACTTTCTCAGAAATCAATTTATTTATATGAAAATGTTTCTTTCAGATTCCACCAGAAGGAAAACAACATTCTTGTCGTGACTGACGTCGCCGCTCGAGGTGTCGATATCCCTCTTCTTGACACAGTGAGCCTTTTTCCAGGTTTTTATACATAATAAACCATGGAAGCTTTTGATTTTATTAGAATTCGCGGTGAAAATAATATAAAAAAGAAGTTTTGAAAAGTTTGATGAAACTGAGATGATTTTTTCTTCGAAATTCCATAAGTATCTTTTAGTCGGGTCTGTGAGCACATAATCGAAATACAGATAATGGATTTTCAAGGTGATCAACCTGCATTTTCCCCCGAAAGCCAAGCTTTTCGTGCACAGAGTGGGACGAGTAGCACGTGCCGGCCGCTGCGGAACCGCCATTTCCCTCGTCGCCAACGACGAATTGCCTTATTTGGCCGATCTTTTCCTCTTCCTTGGCAAACCGATGCGGTTTGCCGTAGACTCAGATCAACACCAAGGTATTTTACCCACTCAGATTTCAACCGAAACAACCTGTTTTAGATAGTTTGACTCTGATTGGACGTGTTCCAGAAAATATGGTCGCCTTGGAAACGGAGTTTTTCAGACATGTGCACGATAATAACGAAGAAATGGTTTTATAGCCTCAATCATATTTTAATTGATTATCTTTTCCAGCTCGATTTGAAACAAAAAGCGACAAACGCGATGATGAAGTACACGAGAACCCGACCTCCTCCATCAGCAGAATCTGCGAGACGCGTCAAGCAGGAGATCCGGTAACCGGTCGAGATTCCTTCTGAATTTGCCTTTTTTCTAGGCCAAAGTCTCTGGAATGCGCTCCTCATCCATTTTTGAGAAGCGAAGACGACAAACAGAGTAGTGACATTCTCAACCAGATTTCCAACTACAAAAGTCACTCGGTTCCTTTTTTATCTTGTCTCAGTTTCAACTTATTCGGTTGTTCAGACAATCTTCGAAGTGAATGTGGGGACAAAGTCGCAAGCGGCCCTGGTTATGAAAGAGAAACGGAAAGCGCACGAGAATCACATAAAAACGACGGCGGAAAAGAAGGTTTCCGACGCGGCAGCCGCCTCTGAACAGCTGGAGACGAGCAGCGCCAAGTCTGGGCTTCAAGTCGCCGACGACGAAGAATTGGTTCGTACGGCATTCTAGTCATAGGGTTACTGCAAAAATCGAGGAGTGTACGAGTGAACCCCTAGAAATTTCCTTTCTGAGATTTCTTTCAATGTGAGTCATCTCGCTTTCCTACTTTTTCAAGAGTATTACTACTAGCTTTTAACCTCAAATAAAAGAAAATCCTGTCTCGAAGTCGTTTTTTTGAAAATGATGCTTTTCTATGCCGGCTAGATTTTCTTTTCAGTGGAACGGCTTTAATTGCGTAGCCTGATTTTCAGCTACCCGCTCCATTTTGTTGAAAAGACATCCAAAACTCTAGGATGAGATGACAAGAATTTTGTCAGTGAGAAATTTCAGGAAGACGTTTTCACAAACGTGATTGGAGCAACCAAAGCGACGGTAACATCGGAAGAGAATCCCAGGAAAAGAAAGGCTTCAAATGGGAAACGAATAGACAGAAGCGAGCAGATGCGTCTTGAAAAAGTTTGGATGAAAGGAGAATCTGAAGTCTCATCGATGGGTGCAGGAGCGACATTACATCGCCTATTCCGCCGCGGACTACAACTCCGAGAAACAGCTGGCTCTGGAGAAGGTGGACTTTGGACGGCAGGCTGAAGGCGTCTCCGTCGACATCATCGCCGACGACGACCGCGGAATGTACAAGCAGACGCACGCAAAAAGATGGTTTTGCCCTGTTTTCTTCCCTCTTAAAATGGGGTTTTTTCAGGGACCGAAAGCTGAAGAAGTATGTCGGTCCCTCTGGCGACGACTCTTCGAAGAAGAAAATTCGGACAGAAGACGGAACTTGGCTGCCGGCCTCCTACAAAACAGGTCGCTATAAGGAGTGGAAGCAGAAACAGAAGATCGGCTTTGGAAATGTTTGTTTTTTTTTTTCAAATTAGTATAATCACCATCCACCTGAGCTTTTATTCAAATCGTTGAACTGAGCCCCTAATTCCTCTTGCTCAGTAGCAGTTTTTATTAACGTCCCTATCCATTATATTAAAATTTTCTTATCGAGTTGCTTTAGGAAAACGCTGAGGACTCTGAAATGAAGGAAAAGTCGAACCGTTCGTCCAACAGGAAGCGAAAATGGGCACAGGCCGGTGGCAAATCTTCTGGTCCCAAACATTCTGAAATCAAGAAGCCTGAACAGATTCTGAAGGTGCCATCAAATTTTTTTTTTCCCATGTTCAGTTTTTATTAGGAGCGACAAAAGAAGGATCGTCTCCAAGATTACATGACGCATCGAAGAACGGAGAATCTGAAGAAAAAGGCCGCATCTTTGAAGAAAACTGGAGGGAAAACCGCTGGAAAAGCTGGAGGGAAATTCCAGAAGAAGGGCAGAGGAAAACGCTGATATTATATTCTGATTCCTGTTTTGTTATTGCCTGTTGTTGATTTTATTGTTATTCAACGATATTAAAACTTCTATTTCACGTTTTTTTTTTTGGATTTAAATGCTGTAAGAGACAGTTTTATACTTTTTCCATTCTTATCTCCTCTCATATACCGTGTGTCCGAATTTTTTAAATCTCTGCGCTTTTTTAATTTTCGTTTTCCTAGTCTTTTTTTAAATATTGTGTTAAGATTTCGGATGTCCTAATTCGCTCTGGGGAACTGATTCACTTTGGTTTCACAGTCTGAAACAACCATGGAAGATTCAGTTTTTGAAAGCGATAATTATAACCTGGATAACCAAAGTCTGAACACATTTTGTCTAAAAGAGCGAAATAACTCGAAAAACCTCGAAATTCAGAACATATAGATGAATCGACTGCTACACAACGATCCGCAGACGTCGTTCAGTGCACAGCAGAAGCAGGACTTCTTACAGCAAAGCATCCTGAAACAGGACCCCGTAGTTATTATTTGGCAGTTCTTTTGGATTAATAAAGTGAACTCAGAGCCGGAACCAGCAACAAGGCGGCGACGAGATGCGTGGTGCTGCTGCGACGGTCCTCGACAGGGTAAACCAACTCATTTCCGGCGGTTCGTTTCCTGAGAACCTATCAGAACTCAGCTCAAAAGTTGTCTCGACTTTTTGCTTTTTTTGGATGATAGAACGAAAATATTATTGTTGGCGTAGGGAAACATTACAGCTTTTAGTTGACGCTAACTAAAGTTGAGCGACAGACAGACAAAAAATAGGAAAATTGTTTGTAAATAGGTTTTTTTTTTTTTGGAAGTTTTTTTAATTTATTTTCAATTTCAAACGGCCAATTTTCAAAATTCATCCAAGGTTTCGAAGACGAGTTTAGAGTCTGTGAACTAAGAAAGTAAGATGAAATTATACTCCGCTTTTTTTTGAATATTGTTCGTTTTAAGTGAATTCTTACGGTCAAGATAGCTCCACAGTAGTTTCTTTCGATTCTCCGACGCTCTTGCTCAATGGAAATGGTCAAAAGGTAACTAAAACTTGTAATTCTCGGCTCAAAACTGTGCTGCAGTTCCAATTGCAACTGCAATCGATCGACGTCGCGCCGACGCAGCAGCAAATGTCCCAGATGGTTCAGATGGCGAGTGGAACGACGCCTTCCGGATCGAAAAAGAAGAAAGGCGCGGGTCCTGGACGCCGTCCTGCACTTGACGCCAATGTATGTTAGGATCACTATTCGAATTATTCGAATGGGAGTCGTTGAAATCAGGGATGCGTGGCAGTTAGACTAATTTCAGAATTTAGTCTTTCTTCCGTCTTTTTTTCTTTATTTTGAGGCTATTCTCGAAAAATTGATTGAGGACTACAGGAATTCCGAACTAAGTTATACGATTTATCTAAATAACTCTCCGCTGAAGTTACGCGAAATTCTGGGTGAACTTCGAAGAGTCACTTTTACTAGCTTTGCAGGGAATGCCAAAGGAGCGGCCTTTCGTCTGCCCTCGCACGGACTGTCAACGACGATTTTGCCGCAACGACCACCTGCAGAGGCACATGAGGATCCACACCGGCCAAAGGATGTTCCAAGTTCGCTTTTTTCGGCCATTCCCTTCTGATCAGAATGTTCAGTGTCGCGTTTGCATGAGGTCGTTCTCTCGGTCCGACCATCTGGCTAAGCACGAGAGGACCCACAATGGCGACAAGCCTTTCAGTTGCAACTCCTGCGGAAGACGTTTCGCCAAGATCGAAGAGAAAAAGAAGCACGAGACGGTTAGTCATACAAAGCGCGGAAAGCCAAAGTATTTCTCTGTGAACTTTTCCTAGTTTGAAATAGAAATGGTGATCTGTGATTTGTTCAGAAATGCCAAGCGAAGCAACAACAACAGCAGCAACAACGACAGGAGGCGGAAGAGCTGCAGTTGGCGCCTTCGCAAATCAGCATGTACTCCTCGCAGGTGAGATCCGCGTGGCCCTCTGTTGCGTGTGTGTAACTGTGTTCCGTGTGCAACAGATGCTAATTGGAGGAGGCCTGCAACTTCCTCAACAATCTTCCTCGTTGATGCCGCCGTCGCAGTTCACCAAGTTGCAGCAGGTACAGGCCAACAGTCCCCTCGAAATCAGATCACTCATCTCGCCCAACTGATTTTTTTGTCTTCAAATCTTTCTTAAACATTTTTTTTCAATATGTACGTGCCAAATAATCAGAATACGCAGTCTTTTGCTACTGTTGTCATCAGCGATAGAGCTTCTTGTCAAAGTTTGTGAAAATTATCGATCGGAAACAAGTAACGCCTTGGTAGTGAAAGCATTTTTTCGTTCTCTTGTATTTTTTCATGATTTTCATCATCTGCTCCTTTTTTTTTGCGACTATAGATATTCGTATAATGCCTGATATGGGAAGACCAATTTTTTGAATTATTTTTTTCAGGAACTGCTTTTTTCATTTCACCTTCAAAGCAAAGGAAAATTGTAAAATATTCTCCTGTAAAATTTTCGGATCATAACTAGAAGATCGAAACTTTAACGCATTCTTACTATAAGAAAAACGTCACACGTCATAAGAAATGCCCTCTAAGTGCGAGTATCTCACAAATCAAACCGTAGATTGATCTGAAATTGACGTTGGAATATTATTGCATGTATTTAAAGGGACTTCGATAATCAAGTGCATTTTTTTGCAATCGACCCCATTATTTTTCTCTTTTCGCTTCTAGTAGATTCCCGATTACATTGAAATCTTCAGATTTTTCTTCATAACCCCGAGCGTAAATTTCCATGGTCTCTCATTTGTGTTTTTACGTATCGAATGTAACTTGACATTGTATATTTCACAATTGAAACGTGTTTTCCATCTGAAACTCTTCGCAATCTCCTTATTCTCCAATTGCACATTTTTTCAAAATCGCTTACGCTTTGCCTTCTAATAAGTTTTTATTTTATCACATGTATAAATATGCGCTTTATACGAAATCTATTTCAATCCTTCATCGTGAGGATCTCCACAATTAGAACTTCGCCTTTCTGAGATGTTCACAAAGGAACATTGTAGTGCATTATCATTTGATTGCATAATACTAATGAAAGTGATCAAATAAAAATACATTAACCGAACATTCAAACGCAGAATGAAAATTAGGTTTAACTGGATAAGAGAACCAACCGTTGGCCTCTCCAGACTTTCAACCACTGTTCTTGTCGCTCTTCCTGGTGGCTCGATGACATCGAAAAGAAGTAATAATTATTTTCCATCTAACCCAAAAAAAAACTCACTGATTCAGGTATCATTGGCGCATTTGTTGCCACTTTCGCGCCGGCAAGTGGCAGAGTTATATCTTCAACTTCCTCTTTAATTTTCTGAAAAGGGCGATAAGAAAAATAAAAAACGGACTTTTAGATATCAAAGATATATGAAGAAAACACGTGCGAAAATCACACGAATCCATAAACATGAGAAAAAAGGAATTCTCTAGCTTTTTAGTATGGTTTTTGGAAAGTAGATACCTTAGAATCGACAGCTTTTTTCTGTTGAGCCGACTGCCACGCAGGGCCGAAAATAGCTGCAGAGTGACTTTTTTCGTTAGACGACCCAGAAGCATTGCTTTTCTCGTTTTTTTGATGCTGAAAAAAAGAAAAGAAAACTTGATTAAGTTGAAAGCTCAGAACGACCTTATGACCGTAAACCCGTCCTCCAGCTCCTCCTGAGCTTGATTTGAAAGAGGCCGGCTGAAACCCGCCTTTTTCGATGTCGTCGATGGCTTTCGACCTTTCCGCCAGCTCTTCGTTTGTCAGAGCTGTAATTTTTTTATTTTCATGTCGCTGCGGAACTTTCCGTCTGCAACGTTTCCGACTAATTCTTCTCCGACTTTTTTCCCTCATCTTTTTGGTTTATAAAATATCTATTAACATTTTTTTTCCTTTTTCTTTGTGTTTTAAGCATGAAACAACAACCTATTTTATATAAGAAGATTCAGAACGAAGAGATTATCGAGAGAAAAAAAAAACGTCGGAAAAGTAATAGTCGGAAAGGCCGCCGTTCGCTAACGATATGAAAAAATCGGAAAAGTCGCCGTTCGAAAATAATTCGCTGACTTTTTTTTCTCATACCTCCGAAAATTCTTCACCTTGAAGATATTTTCATGCTTAAATTTCCGTTCAGAGTTAAAAAAAATTTCTTTTCTGATTGTCCTAAAAGTGAATTCCCAAGTTGACTGACAGATCTCAGAAAAGATTTTTCGGGAAAAAAAGAACATAAAAAAATTTTGAAACTCACGTTCTTCTTTGACAACTTTCGACGGTTCCAAACGGCTGATTGAACTTATTGAAGACTTTGCAGAATCGAGTTCTGATCGCATTTTAGCTCTCATTCTCGAAATGTTCTGAAAAATTAAAAACAAAGCTGGCTTAAGTTTAGAATAGTAATTTGAGTATAATGAGCCAATAAAATTGAAAAACTAACACTCTCATGGTCATTTCTGGATGAATTTCTGTCTCTATGCCGTTCGCGATCACGTTCACGATCTCGGTCGCTTCGACGCCTGAATTCAATTCTAATAATCATCTTCATATGACATCGAATAATTTGAAGCTCACGGAGACAAATCTCTGTCGCGGTATGAACTTCTTCCGGGCGAGCGGTGACTCATCTCTGCGATAAATAGCTTATTTAAATCCACTTTGTGATTATTTCAACCCTCCTTATGAATCTCAATATTTTTTTTGATTTTTCCCATTTAAATCTATGAAATTTGCAGAAAACTTGGTTGGTTATTGGAAAGTGTACAAAAACACAACCTTGTAGAAATTTGAAATACTTTGAAAAAAAAATTATAAAACTTTCGAGGAGGGATAGAAAGACGCAAAAAGTGCGGATTGACGTTAATTTCGATTTTTGGCGGTAAAAAGTGGCGCGTTTCTTGTGTACGCGCCAAGTTCCATTTTTTCTCTTCGGATTGTTTTTCGCTGCTTCTCAGGTCCCTCAATTATTTTGTTATGCCGTGTTCAAAGTAATTTCCGCGAAATGCAAAATGATCTCTGACTCTCCTAAATTTAGTGATCTTTTCCTTTCTCTAACGGGTATTTTGCATTTCGCGGAAATTACTTTGAACACGGCATTAGTAATTTACAAATAAGTTCATAGTAGAAAAAAATTTCCCTTATGCTCTATATACCGGCCTCACTTTCGTTTCATTAGTTAAAATTTAACAATCAAATTCAACGTGTTTTTTTTAATAATTCAAGCATACGTTCCGATCCAAATAAAGTAGTATTTGAACTGAACTTATCTGGAATCCTTCTAGATTTTAAGGCCGAACGTTTTGTTTATGCGAAAGTTTGGGTTGGTATATGATCCAGTTTTTCTAAGAGACTGCATTTTAGGAAATGTTCGAGGCAAAGCTCGCCAATGCCGCTCTTCTCAAGAAAATCGTTGAAGCTATCAAAGTAAGTGAATTTATTGGATTTTTGATTGAAAAATAGTCATATAAATTTTTTTCAGGACTTGGTAACTGATGCGCCTTTCGATTGCTCAGAATCGGCAATGTGCTTGCAAGCAATGGACTCTTCGCACGTAGCCTTGGTTTCTCTCAAGCTCGAGGTTACCTGAATATGAGTAATTATCTTTTTAAAAAATGTTTGATTCAGGTAGGTATGTTTGACACGTACCGCTGTGATCGCACAATCAATCTTGGGCTCTCATTGGCAAACATGTCCAAAGCTTTGAAGTGTGCCAATAACGACGACACTTGCATGATTAAGGTATCATTGTACATTGAGAAAAGGATTGTAAGTGGAGATTTAGTACGAAGAGAACGACGGCGATTCCATCACATTCACGTTTGCTGATGTCAAGCGCGACAAGACTCAAGACGTAACAGTTAAAATGATGGACATCGACAGCGAGCACTTGGGTATTCCGGATCAAAGCTATTCGGTCGTCTGTGAGATGCCTGCTTCGGAGTTCCAAAAGACATGCAAGGACCTCGCTACATTTTCCGATTCATTGAACATCACTGCAACCAAGGTATATTTCTTTTTTTTTTTTTGGAGTTCAGGCATGTAACCTTTTTAGGCCGGTATTGTATTCACTGGCAAAGGAGATATTGGAACTTCCGTGGTAACATATTCTCCTTCTAGCAATTCCGACGATGAAAGCGAGGTGGAAGAAAATTGTTTTAGTAATTATTTAACCATGTACTTTTTCAGTCTGTTTCACTAGAAGTGAAAAGATCCAGTCAACGTCAACTTTTCCATTAAATATATGAATCAATTCACAAAAGCAACAGCTCTGTCGGACAGAGTCAGACTTTCTTTGTGTAACGAGGTGCCCGTTGTTGTCGAGTAAGCGAATATCAGTCAAAAATTAACAAATGAATAAAAATTGACAGATACCCAATCGAAGACAATGGATACCTTCGATTCTACCTGGCTCCTAAAATCGACGACGAAGAAAATATGGACTAACTTGGATGAAAAATACGGCTTCTTGTTTACTATTCTTAACTAACACCATTGTACTATGTTTCCACATAATGTCACTTTCTACCGCTTTGTGAGAAATAAAATTTGAGATCTCATAATTTATTTGAATGTAGCATTAAATATTTGAAGACACGTATTAAGACAATTTGGAATTGTGAACCTTGATATAAAGCAGGCGTGGTCTATTCCTTCGTAGATAGAGGGTCGATCGGACACCATTTTTCCTAAAAATTATTCAAAAAGGATATTTCACCACTTTCTTGAAACATACTCTGGCTTTCTCAACTTGAGAAATTTCGGATCATCTTTTTCCCAATTCAGTGTGATTTCTATTCTCTCCTCGAAATCGTAGCTGGTGCTGACGCGGATTTCGTTTATTGCCACTTTTCCACGCAGCCAGCCCTATAAGTCTGTCATGATACTGTTTCTCATGCCGTGTTCAAAGTTACTGCGATAGTTTCAAAATTGACTCGTTATATTCGTTTAAAATGATTTCGGGAAATAGGCTGAATTGGAATTCCGGGAGCCTTCTTTACAACAATATAGACGATTCACGGCTAGCTTGGGACGCAAAAAGGCGTGACCTGTCTGCACTCTCCACCAACCAAGGCGCTGTCTCGTCTCTTTTCGTGGCAGCACTTTTCTCGATGGCTCAAGCCTGCCGTGAATCAGCTATATATCGTAATATATGAACTTTTACGGTGAGTTTTAGGCGCGAGTTTGAAATTTTCGTGGAAAATGCTGAAAATCTCCAAAATTTTGAGTTCCCGCGTAAAGGTAAAAATTCATATATTGCGATATATCGCTGCAGGAGTTTTGCCTGTCTCCCGAAATTATCTTAGTTCGATAATGCGTCGATTTCCTTATCGCCGAAATTACATTGAATACGGCATGAGAAAAACAAATTTAAAGTAATAGACATCTTCAAGAAGAACTTTGATGTAAAACGCGGATTTCTTTGCAACATGTCTCACCTTTATGATGTTATTGACAGCGAGAGGAGTGATGTTGATAGGGAAATGACATCGAAAAATATCAATTGGCACTTTTTCAGGTTAACAGACTAACTGAACGACAGGACAGCGACGGATGGCGTGGTCGAGCAAGTTGTCGTCGATAGGCATCACCATCTGACGAAAACTGTTGGCAAGTCTGAACTGTGGCTCTAGAGGAGTCCAGCCGCAGAGAAGTCCGATCGAGGGATCCAGAAGACACACCAGAGTCTCGTCCAGGTCTGGCTCGTTTTCTGACGGTGACTTCTCAGTGCTCAGCGTTTGACAAACGTCTTCTCGGCTTGCAAATCTGAGGAAACAGTAATATTTATTGGGAAACCTAATTGTGATCAAAAATATGAACCCTTTTTTGACCGAAACTAAATTTCGATTTGTTTCATGCTTTTGTCAATTGGATATTAGAATCAGAACAGGGAAAAAAATTTTGAAAAGGGGCCTGGTTTCACTATTGCATCAAGCGGTGAATGAATAATCTAGTGAAAACAGAAAAAAAAAATTGAATCTACCTACGTTATTGAAAGTTTCTCCAGTCGAATCTTCTCGCTTTTGAATGCAGCGAAGAGAATGGAGACGAACTCGCGGATGTGATGAACAGTTCTGAGGACAGAACGGCCCCAGAAGCTGCCTAGTCCGGCAGCCCTGACGACGACGTCGCGACTCGACTCCTCGCGAACCAATTTCGCGCAGGCGTCTTCGGCCAAACGCGAAGTCATGTGTCGATGGACGTGAACGTGAACATGGCCGTCGTCCAACATAGGCTTCTTCCCGCGTGTCGAACTTCTCGAGGACCTCGGCGTCGACCTCCTTCTAGAAGCTTCCGTCTCATCGCCGCATCCGAAAGATGTGTGCAGAGTGAACTACAACTTAACGAATAAAATAAGAGTTTCGAACCAGAGATTCAATAGCATCAGTAAAGATGGCTCTATTGCAGGAACCTCTCTTGGACGAAAGGTGCGGAGCAGTCGGTAGATTTGAGCGCTCTCGTCAAGCGGCTGACACACGAGGTATTGGAACTTAATTTGAACAAAGAACGTCTGTTTCTGGAATGAAATGTGAACCTCCTGAACGGACCATCTTTTGTCACTCATCGCTTCCAGAATAACTTGTTCTAATGCAGAAAACTCGGAATTCTGAAGAAACTTTCTTTTTCTAAAATTAAATATTTTCACATTTCGGAATTTTTTTTTTCTCAAATGTGCAGTCACCTCTATAGTAAGTAACCGGACTGATAAATTTTTCGGCATTTCCGAAAACTTCAGAAGAAAATAACTGAGTTGTCGATGATGGTTGTTGAGCGAAAAAGGTCCAAGTTCCGCCTTCAGATACCTGGTAAGTTCCGAGCTATTCAAGAATCATCGATAAACTAAAAAACTCGTTGTCCCGATCTTCTGGAGCCTTGAACGAATGCTCGATATTTTCGTGCTTTGCAAGTTCAAAACGAGCCGTAACCTCTTGGTTCTTGTCCTGAGAAAACAATCATTTGTTTTGATATATTTTTTTTCAAACCATATAAAGGTGAAGACTTTCGATGGAGTTTTTCATATGCTCTAGCAAAGTCTGATATGATCGTTCCAAAACGGGAGTCGCCTGAATTTTTTTCCTTACGTTGTGAAAATTAAAACTGGTGAAACTTCTTTCAACGAATCAGGAGGCTGACTTTAACTGCGCTGAGTTTTTTAATGTTGGTTCTCCAGAAAAAAACTAGAATTTAAAGATTACCAAAAAATAAACTCAACATTCAACTTTTTTTCTTAACTTTATTGTGATTTTTTTGTCGATTTGTGATTCATCGCGCACTGGGCCGCTTGTAAAACCTGAAAAAAAGTTTGTAGCTATTTTTTAAAAGAATCATGCATACAATACCACAACGAAATTCTGATAATTTTTATGACATGAATCAAAAAAAGAAATTCTTCAAAAGATATTTTAATAGGAGTATATTAAAAATGTAGAAAAAAAATCAAACGGCTAGTTTCAGTCGTTGCTTGTGATTGAGCATAAGGAGTAATTTCGGGAGCTTCGTTAGGAGGAGGCGTGACGCTGATAACCATATCTTCCTCTGAAAAAAATAAGATATTATATAAATTTGGACTTCGATTAAATTCTACGTATAAAATAAACTTTGAAGAGAAATTTCTTTCGTTTACCTCCGTATTCAACATCTCTTTCCATGACGAGACCCGTTGGAGAGTATCTGGAAAACAAAAAAAAATAACTAGAACAAAAATTTCTAACTTTTGAACAAGGTTATTTCGAACTCGCAAGCAATATTTCAGCAAGTAAAATTTGCAGTGTAAAAATTCGTTAATAATTGTTTAGGAAGCTTGATATTAAATTTTGAAACTGAAAGAAGGAAAAAAAAAAAAAAAATCGAATTATAGTCACATACCGTAACTTAAGCTATCGAAAAGCTGCTCCAAGGTTATCTCAAGTAGCCTTTGAAGGGGCTTCGACGCTAAAAAATTTACCAATTTTTTGGCAAGTTAATTTTCTCTGTTTTAAAATTTTCTCATTTTTTTTTAACGTTTATCACTATATTTAAACCATGGCTAGCATTTTAATAGCTTCATTCAAAGATAATAATTACTTTTGAGATTTTCGAGTGCTAGTTTATTTTTTCTTCAATATCGTTTTTATAATTTTCAGCTCAATTTACAGATATGATGGAAATCGGAAAGCAGAAATTGGCGCCAAGCTCTAATGTCTTCCGTCAATCATTAGAAGGAAATTGCTCATAATCTCCGTCAATTTCAAAGAGCTGTGCAAGTTGGTCTTTTCATTTCAAGCCCTTTATTTTTTCCTCCGCGTTTTCTTCATTCCATATTTGTAAAGTTTTACCTCTCTCGGTTCATAAAACGTATGTAAATTTTTTTATTTTTTTACTCTTCAGTTCGAATGAAATATTAACTTGATGATTTCTTTTGAAATTTCTGCGACCCAGGTGGTCAAATAAAATGAAGTACTATACGGGACGCATTATAATCTCGTATAGTTAGTACGTGAGTGTTATCCTTTTTGAAAATTGTCTAAGAATACTTCGTGCGTTTTGCTCGACAACTCCCCTTTTGACATTTCCAACCCCTATGTCCGAGTTTTCTGAAGGCGTTGAAACGATTGTCAAAATTTGCGAGAAGCAAAAAGAGAAGAACTCGAACTCATTGCGGGAAACAACATGCTCTTTTGAAACTTGCAGTGGCAGCTGCCTCTAGTAACCTGCGACCTCTGTTACACCACCCATTCTTCTCTCGATCCAACTGCTTCTCTCCGATCAGTTGCTGGAACTTCCCCAAAAAGTCTTTTATTGATATCAGATCTATTGAACTTTTTCGAAGCATCAAGTGTTTCGACTCTTAGGAACTCGGCAAATTGACTGATGCCACGCTTATTTCGAGCCCACCGAGATCGTTGTCGTTGTAATGCGTCGGCATTTTTTCCTATGTCTAGGAACTCTCAGTGTTTTTCTTGCATGTGCGAAAAATTCACGAGTTATTTTTCTTTTCCACATGAATTCAATTTGAAAATGTATGATTTACATTTGAAAACGGTGTTTATTCTAATGTCGCATAGTCATTTTCATAATTGAAATCCACAACTTTTTTTTGATAGCGTTTCACATAGTTCAAGCTCACAACTTTTCTTTTCTTTTCACAACCGGCAATCTGATTTCCACGTCTTCGCTTTTTCTCCCACTCCTCTTTTTTTCTTTCATTTTTGAAGAAAAGCGGCGCTTTTACATTTGGTAACTCTCCGATGAAATTCGATTATTCAGGCTTACGGAAAAACCTTCTCCCTGACAAGTTGGAACGAATAACTGTGAATTCAGTCGTCAGTTAAGAAGAACGGCGTCGACTCGCCGCACGCCGCATGAAAATCGCGTACGATGCGACTGGCGGCGAGGCTCGTGGCGTATTTCCTTGTCCTGCTTCCCCTAGCCAGCCGAGGTCTCCTTTTTGGCTTTTCTCAATCTTTTGAACCACTTTTGCCTTCATATCTTTTTTCATCGTCAAATTTGCAGCCGATGCGTACGATAGCTGCCTTCATTACCGCTCTTTATGTTTACGGAACACAGAATGTCTTAGTTATCTACAGAATTTTAGAACTTCATGTGGGCTTTCTATGTCTGGTTCGTTGGTTTGGGCTCTTGTAGATTTTCATCCTAGTTTTCAGCCTGCACAGGTAATTCGCCTTCCGATTGTGTCTACTATTTGAGAAAGATTCGAAGCTTCTTTCCCACGGATACCTGTGCTTGTTATCAAGCTTTAGGTATGTGTTTCTTTGGAATCTGATAATTCGTGAAAATGATATAAGATCGGAATAACTAGGTTTTTAGCGCTTAGAAAGAACTTTGAATAAAGTTGAAAGAATAACCGCTCTGGAGGAAATATCATTTTTAAAATTTTTGTCTGTTCAGGATCTTCCGAAGAATGTGACTATTTTCGTCAACTCATCTGGAATCATCCATGTGAACGGCGTCTCAAAGACTTCGGCGAGGAACTGCTTTTATCGCAAAAGTTTATTTTCATAGAAAAAAATAATAATTAAAAATTAAATTGGGGTATGGAGCATTCTTTTCGACATTCGTTAGTCTAGTTTAACACGCGGTATTTTATATTTTGAAAACTTTATATTAGCTTAATTTCCTTGTCGAAACACTCGTGGAACTCTGCATCTTCTTTATGAGTAGATAAAGAGGTTAATTTGATCTTAGAGTCCTTTCCGTCACCAAAAATCCATACGGGAGTCGCCGAACAACGCGGACGCCAGCCGCCGATCGCGTGAAGCAACTGAAATACCAGCTGAGTGGAGGTAACGCTATAAATGGTCGAGCAAAAGCCCGCAAAGAAAGTCTTCTTGTGAAGGAACGTGAGAGAAAAAAGAAAAGTTTCCAAAAAAGAAAGTGGTTCCTCTTACTCCTTCCATAAAAGCCTTTTCTTTTTTCGTAAACATTTTCATTTTCCTAGAACTTTTGTCAAATGAGAATACTCCGACTAAATGTACAAGTTTGAGAGCTGGAAACGCGATCTTCGCTGCAGACTCTGACGTGCGACGCGGCCCTCAACGAAGTTTGTCTCCGGCACGTCTCCTGCAGCCAATTGTGGCGTCTTTTCCGCGCCAGCTGCGACGTCGACCAGGACAACAAGTGTCGCATGGCCGATAGGTTCCACTTTTCCTTCCTATTTTCGAAAAAAGGTTCTCATAGCCATGTCAAGCCCATATATGTCGCCTTGTAGTCAGTCTTAAACGATTTGCTCGGGCTTCAAAAATTACATAGGCAGAGCATTTTTAAGATGGTCAATACCTATAATTGAGTCTTTTTTAAGCAAAGTTTTGTACTACCTGAACTTAGAGTCCTTTCAAAAGCTTTGTGAAAAAGCCACAAAAAGCTTCTCCGAATGATCTAAAGTTAAGGTTCTGTTCCTTTTTTTTCAAGTTATTTCGATTTTGCCCCTAGTTACTATGTTTTTTTGCAGGGAAGTCTGTTGGCAGTCTTTTGAAGGCCTTTCTTGGACGGGCCTCGGAGATTGCCGTTGTGCGTCTTCCAATAGTTCCGACTGCCACTGGATCCGCCTCCACACCAACTACAACAAGTGTATTTGTCAGTTTTCTAAGTTTTGGTTCCATGTAACATTTTAAAATTTTTTCGACTGTGTTTTCTAGACGAGATATCGAAGTCGGGACAGTTTCCGGCGCTGACAACCCTCAACGAGCAGAGACAGTCGGCCTACCGTCAACGGTACGAATTGCGCGAATCTGACGGTTTTCCAAGGTCTCAGACCACCTCGAGAGTCTTTTTTGAAGAATACGTCGCTTCGACGACGGCCCGTTGGACGACGACCACTCCGATACCAACAATGGCCTCAGTTCCATCCACGACGCCCAATCCGGCTTGGTGGAACCCGGCGCCGACCAAAATCTTGGTCAGCTACAAAAATATCAATCCTGAAGTATCTACCACTCGAATGCCTTATGTTGAGGTTGGTTGCAGACTTTTTTCAGACAAATTTCAAATTAAGTTTTTTTTATGCTTTTATCGCCGGAAGATTTTTGTAAATAACTACTAAATCATCTCTATTTTCAATAATTCATTTCTTGTTTGTTTTTTGTACGAATTTATTACAAAAAAAGCTAGGAACGTTTAACTTGAAAGAAGATAGCTCATAAGTACAGAAACAACTGATTGAAACTTCAGAAGGATTTCGTGATCCTAGTAATTTTTTTAAGTAAAAATAGTTGAAATATTGTTATTGGGGATTTTTTTGAAACTTAACTGGATTCTTTGTCGAAAATTTTTCTCGGTAGAGCTATTCATAGAAACAATTTTTGAACTTCACTACTGTGATTATTATTTTTTCATTCCTACTGTTTTTGGGAAGAATAACTCCACTATTGCAGGGAAGAATGATTAATTTTTTCAGCCTCGACAAAACGAGAGACCGATTTTGAGGAAAGAGCAGACGGCGGCGGAAAAATCCAAGTTCAACACGTTAGTATTTCAACCTTTTTTTGAGCTGCGAAATTTTCTTCTTTTGGTTTTTTTCTCCTTTCTTTCTTTCGTCGCGTTTGCTGCTCCAACACCTTTGTGTGGGGTGGAAATTTTGCATTTTGGATGAGAGCGGCGCCATTCTTGCCGAGTGCTTTTCCGGCGTCTCTGAATGTTCGCCGATTGGAGTACGAAGAGCAACTTTTTTTTTTCACGCACCCTTTCGCTTATTTCTTTTTTTGGGAGCCAAAGGTCTGAAAAATGTCTGACACGTTACCGGGGCAGCTATTCGAGAAAATTTTTCTTCTCTTTTCACGTTTTTTTTTTTCAGAAATTGGAAAAACGAAAGAGATCATCGCAGGGATACAGCCATTGATTCTCAGGTTACCTTTTTTGATTTGGCAAAATAAGCGCAAGTGCTCATTAACGGATTAGATCGAGAGAACTTGTTGGATGAAACTGAATGAATAAACTGAGATTTCAGTCTAACAGTTTCAAACTGAATGTCCGGATCGAAGAAGGAAGAAAAGTCGAATCTTCGGTGGCCTTTGTTCAGCGGAATACTACTACTCGTAAGTTCGTTTCATCTTTCATTCACTAGCAATTTCGCCGATTTTTGACTACATCGGCTTCTTTTTTATTTCCATTTTTGATCATAAGTTTTCTTCAGTCAAGAGTTGTTCAAATTAAACCGTTCTAAATTCTTTTTTTGTGAAACGAACAGATATATCTTGATCCATCAGATTTTTGACAGTATTTCTCTTGATTTTTTTGCGTGCCAATATTTTCAAACGCACTGCAAATATTATAGGAAAGAAACCTGTAAAAACTCAAAATGAGGCTCAAAAAATCTACCTTTTCCTTGTAATTAACAGAGCTCTATACAGGAAGGGTTTGCGTTGTTTCAAAATGAGCTTCAAAAATGAATCACGCTTTGAGTTCTTGAACCAAATATTTAAACAATTCCTGGACCTACTGCAGTTGAAAAGCCTCAAACCTTTGCGTAGAGTTTCTAAAGATCCTGAGAACTTTTTTTTCTGAAGTTGCGCCGTTATTATCCAAGAAGCCTCGCGGATGAACCGAGCTAATAGGAGGACTTAACAATTCTAATAAGTGAAGAATCTGGCCGGGTGTGTGGAAAGTAAAAGAGGAGGGAGGTCGACGGCTGGTCGCTCCGCCCCTTTTTCCTCCGCATTTTGGAGCTGCCGCCGCTTCTGCTACTGAACTCGACGTCTTCAAAACCACGTCTTTGTGTTCCTTCTGAAATGCCGATATGTTCGTTCTGTTCGACGTGATTTTCGTCGTTTCCTTCGCCTTGGCTCACACCTTCGGTCCAGTCATTTTTTTCAATATTCGTAATTTATTCACTGAAAAAAGGATTATTTAAACAAAAGGAATAGGAAACCAATGGAAATTTTGTTTTGTTTTTTATCGTCTTTTTTCTTAGCTTCACTGACTCCAACGCAAAGGATTAGACGTAACGATTTGCGTCCCCCGTCTGCTTTTATTTGTTCGGATTATGATCGTAGTAATCTTTTGAAATTTCTTTTTTTTTTCAATTATTAGTATTCCTTTTTTTTTCGAAGGGTTTTTGTTTTTTGCTAATCTGGTGTTCTGAATTTTCAAAGCTTTCGAATATCAACTTTTTTTGAAAAATCTTTGATAATTACGAAGAGATTACTACGAGATCACTTTCTCAGAAATAAAAGTCAGTTCTTTTAAAAGTTAGTAATATTTAATCTTATTTCGTTGAAACTTCATGAGGGCTTCAGTTACCGACAATGTTTCGATTACGTCGCAACAGTTTTTCGTTCAGGATCTTCGTGCCATGATGCGATTCGGCGTTGTGAAACGGTGGACGAGTGTCGTTGGCACCTGGGAGAGTTGCGAGTTCGATGTTCGCCCAACTCCTGCCGTCGTGAGGAATGCTCCTCGGTCCGTTTTGCAATACGATGAAATTAACAGTTCAAAGTTCAATTCTCACTCATAATCTGTAGTCCTGATCTATTTCCATTATGATAACTTTAAAGTTGTTCTTTGTTGATCGTATTTTACAGAAAATTTTTTTTTTATCATCAACTGTGAATTTATGAGCAAAGAGTATTAGCAATGTATGAGAATCAATTTTTGGGACTTGTTTTTGTAAGTTTTTTGCGGAGCTCAATCTCATCAAATTTTGAGAAAGACACCTCTTTCTACTTTGAACTATAATATCTAGTTGAGAAAGCTTTTGATTTTATTTTTAGAAGATAACTTTTATAAATGTAAAATTACAGAAACATTTTTCTAGCAAAAGAATTTTTGAATCGAAAGTTGTAGGCACTGCAGCGATTCGCGACTTACGTACCTTTCGCCATCGTGGAATCCGTCATGTTCTGCCATTGCGCCGCTGGCGACGCCACTTGCCTCGGACAACAGGTTAATTGGCTTCATCAAGATTATTTCTAGATTTCTCCATATTTCTTGTCTTCTTTTTAAAAACACACAATTGGAGCCTATCTTTTATGATTATTGTTTATTAATATGTGTTTGTTCGTTCTAAGAGTCAGAAAACGCGACTTCTCCCACGTGTCCTGTTAATAGACAATTTCGAACCGCCAAATTACTTTGGCTCGCCTTCTCGCCTCAATTTTCTTTCTATAATTGACCTTCCGTGTTTCCCTAGTGAGGAATCAACTAAAAAGCGTCTACTCTTTTTTTTTTCAACTTTGGGAATCATATTTGACCGTATCTCAGTAGTTTCGTTAATTTCAATAGAATTATTCGTTTTTGAAGCCGGGTCTCTCAAAGCCGAGTCGTTTGAGCAAGACGAATGTGGCGATTATTTCGCCTCTTCTTGAGAAATTTCACAAAGATGTCGAGCTGCCTCTCTTGCCTTAGAAAAGTGCTCTTCTCAGTGAAATTCCAATTTAGGAGTAGCAAGAATTAATTTTTGTCAAATTTCTTCATAAAGCAGCGAAAGTAAACATTGCGAAGTTTCATAGAAGAAGTTTTTATTTGAAAGAACTTTCGAGATTTTCTAGCTTCTGCAAGGTCCTGAAAACTATGAAGAAAAAACAGAATCACTCGCATAATTAAAAAAAAAAGAAGGAAAAAAAATTTTCTAGTAAAAATCTATCAAAACTCGATTAAACATTTGCAAAATAAATTTATAAAAAAAGAACTCACGTCCAGGACATGCAACTCGATTCTAACAAGTTTCAAAAACTTTCTCACGATAAAGGTTTTCGACACATTTTCGAATATTTGATTTTGAGGTTTTCTCGATTTTAGCTTTCGTCTGCTCGGAATTCGTGATATTAAAGGAATTTGTGACGGATGAAGTCTGATCGAAAATCGCGGTTTTTAGGAATCATCAAAGTTAAATTTTTTTATTTCTCTCGATTTTCCAGCTCTTGACCACTCGAAGTTATCTTCTTATTCTTAGTGCACCAATTTTAAGCCGCAGTTAAAAAAATAAATAAACGCCCTATTTTTTTCTTTCTGAAAGGAAAAATTGTGGGTTGCTGTAAAATTAGATCGCATCACTGCTTGGAAAAATTTCGGGATTTCACTTTTGATTGGTGGTTTCTGATTAAAAGAAAAAAAGGAAAATAAAAGTCCAAAAAAGTTAAAAATCTTTGATTTTCTGTCATAGAACACGGAACTAACGAAAGCTTAATTTTGCGCATTCCGTTTCATGTTTGATTCGAGCGATGACTACAGGAACTTCTGTACCCGCGCTGCCTGTACAGGTCGAGTGCAGCCGTGACGACTTGCACCCAGACAGCCGCCCAATGCGACGCCGATCCCCGTTGTCGGTCCGCGAATTTCTTTCATTTTCGGACGGAAGTCGCAAGTTCAGCCATATCCGCCATGCTCTCTCCGCTCACTGTCGGGTCGTGAACGGCGAGTGCGAACAAAGGTCTTTGGACAATTGCAGGAGGACCATCTTATCGGCCAGGTCTTTTTATTATCTCATAGGACTTACGGTTTTCATTTTCTCGCTTTACTTTTATAGGAAGTTTTCAGTTGCGCGGTTTTTTTTTATATTTCTTGGCAGAAGGATAGGTGACAAAAAGCTCTCTTTAACCCGTTGATGGCTATGATGAGTCTGATTTTTATTCAATCATTAATTTTTTTTACGATAAACAGTGGTGTAACAAAGTTGTTTTCCATTTTTTTTAACAAGGTATTTTGTTTCTATCAGTTCCAATTTACTATTTTCGTTGCATTCTTCGTTTCGACTTGTAATTTTATTTTCAAAAAAACGTGAAAAACCAGAAGCATCCTAAAACTCCTGGTGGAATTCTCAAAAGAAGTGTGTTCATTTTTTTTCTGCATTCATGATTTTCGAAAAGACGTTTCAATGATGATAAATTTTTGTGTTGTCAGGGCTACTGTTCTTGAACAACCTTGCTTCTGTCCTTTATCCGACGTGACTTGCTTAGCCCACCAGCGGATGATGATACCGAACAACCCTTGCATCGGTTTGAAGCTGCGAAGAGTTCATACAAAGGCAAATCTCAGAAAACGCAATGCTTGAATACTCGCGAATCATGGGCTACAACTCGGCGACGAGTCTCGAAACCAACCGGGTCCCGCCCATCGCTGACTCAGATTTGATCAACCTTCCAATGGTGATTCTAAAAATTTCTTTTTAAGAGAGAACCTTTTTTTAGAAGCTGGAAAACTCACACAGCAGCCATGGCAAATCGGGTGCTCACGCTCAACGACACAGTCACATGACCACTTCGACCACGACGACGCCGTCTCCACCGGCTGAGCCTGTGATTCCGACGCCTCGAGCCTCGCCGAGAAGTCTTCTCCCATCGGAAGTCACAAAAAGAAGAGAGAAGTCCCGCAACCGAGGCCGTGTCACTCCGACGCCTCGCTACAAGACATCCACCGCCGTGCCTGTCACGACTACAACCACCACCACATCTACCACTACCACCACCACGACCACGACTTCTGCGCCGTCGACTGTCGCGTCTGGACGCGGGTTCATCTCCATGCTCGTTTCCAAGGTGCTCAACTCTGGAGAGGAGAACGTCGAAAACTTCACGGATGAGGAACATGAAACGCCGGTTCCCATCGAAGAAGTGCCGGAGCTCCAGGCACAACCTGTAATTATCAAGGAGAAGACAGACACGTATGATTCCAATTAACGATTCCAGTGTTGTTATATGGAGTTACAGAAAGTGGCTTCAAATCAAGACAACGTTGACGCCTCCAAAAGCTTCTGAAGCGCCTCCTCCGTGGGTTTCGACGTCGCCAGGCGCTCCAACGACCACGACAGTGTTCGTGACACACGCGCCTCCTCCGGCAGGTCATCTCAGTTCAATTTAACTTTGATAATTCTTCCAAAAAATGGCTTTTACAAATCAAAAGCAAGAAAAAAAGGATGGAAAGGTGATAATAAAAAAAAAGTGAAGTTCAGTTGAAGCGAAAAGAGTTTTTTTTTGAGAATCGAGACGATAGAAAGTAGGAGTACAGAAGAGAAAATAATTTCTTTTTGAGATATTTCTAGAAAAACGAGAAGGCTGCCCAAAAAAAAAAATGCTAGCCTTGAATCACGACGCGTTGTTTCCAGAAGGCTGTTACACCAAAGACGCAAACGGTCGCGAAATCTTCACTCATCGTGGATCCATCATCAGAGTGATTTCGAATGAAGTTATGCTGAAGATGAAGATATAATTCAGAGGTACGTCGACTGGTCGGGCCGATGTTCGACGTGGTGTGAATGCGAAGAAGAGGACCGACTCGAGTGCGAATCTCTTCCTTGTCTTCAGCACGCCACCTGCGACGCCCCACTCACCACTCTTGGTTTGTTTCTCATCTCCCAGTTTTTGGAGGCACAGTAAAATATAGGCCCAAAGCTTTTTTTTTCTAAAAGTCTATTCCTTGCTATTGAAAGCCTCAACGTTTTGAAGAGTTCGGCGAACGACTGTATGTGAAAGGCCGAGGAGCGTGTTACTGCGAATCGGGAAAGTTTATCTGCGAACTTCCCGAACATGTTCCAGAGACGTATCCAGGTTATTTCGAAGCAAGAATCCCAAGTGTTCTCTACCAGCCGATTTCAGGACTCTACTTGTCGATAGGATACTCGGAAGACGACGCCGAGATGCTGCGGAAGTCAGTTCCTCGGGAAATCCTCGATCGTGCCGGATTCGTCTCTTCCAACGCCGCCACCGACATCGCCAGCCATTTGCAGATCGCTTTTGAGCGGATTCTCCCTAAAGTTGTTCGATCCTCCGGAAGCTATTCACGAAGAAAGCTTTCAGGACCTCCGGTGCAGAATCGTGACGATGCCGGAGATGAACGACGGCGGCAACGCGTTTTTCCGCGTCGAATGGTTTGGCATGAACGAACTGCTCAACCACACTTCTGTGCAGTGGCATTCCGGCGGTGCTGAGAAGGTAGTTTTTCGTTTCAGGGACAGAATTACTTGAAAGATCATTCTCTTTCTATACACTCCCTCATTTTTTTATTGCTCAGATTTCATTTCAATTACTGGTTGGAGTATTTGAAACTTCAAGATAAGAATACTTCTCAAAATCTAAAAAGAAATAATCAGCTATAAATTGGGGACCCATAAAAAAAGAAAACAGAACTGAAAATATTTCAGTTTTTCAGGTGTGAGGTTCAACTTCCTTTCTGAACTTTTTTTTCAATTTTGATTTACATCAAAAAAAAAAAAATGAGAATATTTCATTTTAAGCCATATCGATTATTTCCAGAAATTTACGAAATTCTAAAAACTTGCAGATCTGTTCACCCTATGTCCTGAAACTCGCAGATCATTTTTCACTGAACGAAAGTCCGCGTTTTCAGTTGGTTCTTTCTACTGTCAAACAAGTCAAAGTTAGTTATTTCTTTTTTCTCTACAAACTTTTTCGAAATTTGAATTACAGGTTTTGGACTACCTCAATGGCCTACCTTCTCAATTAGGCAATCCTAATTTCAATTTTATTTTATTTTTGTTTACTTCAATTTTATGGATATTACATTTAATGCATTTGATCGCTGTGTGATATACGTCTACATTGCCTTAGACTTTTACGCGTGCCTTTTTTGCCATTTTTCCGCATATTTTCGTTGCTATCAAACGTCGCATGAAACTTTTTTTTTTCAAAATTTCATTCAAAGAATTCGTAAAGCAATTAAAGATGAGATCTTTGAGATAGAGACTAGCACTGGGTATCAAATTGTACAATGTTTTAGCACAAGAAGAGGACTTATTTTAGTATTATTGATTGGAAAAATAGTTGATTCACCGCTGATCGAAAGACCATTGCAATCCGGTGAGAATGAAAATGCGAGAGTCTTCAAATAATCTTTTAGCTCCTTTTTGTTTTCCGATTCAGCGGTGAATCTTGAGATATGGCTTTTATGAGTTCAATAAATGTACAAACACAAAAATGTTTCCCTGAAAGAAGAAAGTTAGTCTTCATCGGAAGATTCGTTGACCACGTCTTTGGCTAGTTCGAGGACATGGGAAACTTCGCGGACTTTCCCGTCTTCGCCAATTGTCCCCGGCTTCACCAGACCTCAAGAGATAGAGAATCTCGGCAGAATGAGTTTTTCAAATTACCAGCGTCCATCATGCGATGCATGGCTTCGACGAGCTTCAGCGCTTCGTATTCTTTCTGTTCTTCGCTCATTCCCGCAAGAGCAGATCCTCTGTCCGCCGCGTACAACGTTCCAGTTACCGGATTCACACTTCAATTCACAACTTCAGTGTTATTGAGAACAAAGATGGTTTCTTAGAAACATTTTTTTTAAAGCAACACACTCTTCAACTTTTTGTGCTCGTGCAAAGTCCGAAACGGTAGTAAAAAGGTAAAAATGAAGAAGCTACAAAAAGGCCGCATAAAAGGACATTTAGGCTACCTTTTTGCGGCCTTTCTTCTTCAACTAAAATTTGGAAAGCCCAAAAAAGGATGAGAAAAGGAAGAGGAATCGAGAAAAAACCTTTGACGGACGGCATTATAATCTTCGGTTTCGCTGTCCTCGCTGTCGGAATTCTGTCTGGCGGAGTTGATTTGTCCCAAAAGGCCAGAATTGGCCAACAATCCTGCCGAATGTCCAAATCCAGTGTATTTGATCAAACGTGGGACTGAAAAGTTGATTTTTTTCCGACTTTTAGAAAAATTCATCAATTATAATAAAGAATAATTTCGTAATTTTTCAAGAGAAGTCTGAATGGGATTATCACCATTTTCGACAAATTTCAGTGACTTTCATCCCTATCATTCCAGATGTTTTTGAAAAGCGCACAAAAAAAACGATAGTTTCGGCTATCAAGAGTTCACTGGAGCACAATTGCTGTCTTCATAGAAGATTTTTTTATGAATAATTTTGGAGTATCAATGAAAAAAATAGAAAAAAATGTTTCGATAAAAAAATAACAGTAAATATTTTCTCAGTTTCTTTCTTCTCGCAACTTTTTCAAATGAATGAAAATGACCTGATCGTTTGCAGAGGATGAAAAGGAACTCGGAAGTGAGTTCCTTGGCGCAAGTCGCCTGAGTCATCACCCTGACCAGCTTGTTCCGAATCGTCGTGCCAAGCTCCGGTCCCACCAGAACGTCCGACTTTTTCAGAGGCGGTAGAATCTAAATTTCCAAAATGTTCGCAAAAACTAGTGCTTTTCATATTTTTTCAGCTTTTTTTTGAATATAAAATCATTTTACGTGTTTCATTTCCTAAACCGGTAAATTAACTGGTTAAAACCGGTACTCGTTTCACTCTTATATTATTCTCGCTAAAGCTATGTCCCTTTAATAGTATCTCATGTTGTTCTAGGTATCCGAGAGAAATATATATCGAAATATTCAAACAGTGATTTTTACAAGGAGTCGGAATACTGCTACCTTAAGACGACAGAACCGTCGTGCAGGCTTCGAATAAGAACAGAGACGGATCAAAGCAGTCAGATACGTTTCCAGAAGCCCGTCGGTCATTTTCGAGTTCTCTGAGTCCTGCAGAACAGGCTAGTCTTTGGAAAACATGATCAAGGCTAATAACTAACACTGTCCAGCTTGGATTCGAGCCGTTGGAGAAGTTTCTCCGTATACGAGAAATCGTACTTCTCCGCCAACTCTTTTTCGGTCGTCTCAGTCGTCACGTCGGCAGCTGATTCGCTACGCTGAACACGGCCGAGTTTAAAATCTCAATTTCACACCTATTCTCATTATTTTACAGGAAATTTTCATAAAAATTATTTCAAACGAACTAACTTTGAAGCGCCGTACGTGGAATAAATCTCATCAGAAAAAAATTTCCAACAAACTCCTAGTCATGATAAATTATCATTTGAAATCTATAATACTAGTCGAGCATTCCCTTGAAATCCTTTGCCTCATTTCAAATATTTTTGCATCCTTCATAATAACAACCGTAAAAAGCAAAAAAATCTTTGATAGATTGAGAGAAAATGTTAATTATTACAACACCCCATGCTTTGAAAAATTTGAAGCTAGATTTCTTATAAAGCTGTCCTCTTTTTCTTTAAATTTTCCTGTAATTCAAAAAATTAAATTCGGAAAGCCGGTAGAGAAAGAAAATGCCTTTTATTTCTGAAAGTAATATCTGAGTTCCCACGAAGATAATTTAGACTCTCTCAATCTACCTTGGGACAAAGCGTGGGAAGATGCGGATGAACTGGCGGCGTCGAAAAGACGTTCACAACGGCCTGTTCCACCTTTTCATCATCCGACGTCATGAAAGCGTCGTGAAGCATTAGGTTCAGCTCAATAACTTGATTCTGGAAGAAATGGGAATAAATAATTGAGAAAAGCAAATTCGAAAACCTCTGAAAGAACGCTTTCGTTGGCATGACAAAGTATGTTGAACAAAGTTTTCAAGCTCTCCATCGCTCTTTCTTTCTGCGACGCAGAACCTATAAAAAATAGAACATTTTAACTTAGGCAATGTCAAAAACCATGGTTATCCTCTTTCAGAACAATTTTAACAGGTTCACAAAGGACGGATATCGCCTTCTCATCATTCGACCAAGCCGACTGGAAAATTCAAAATTGAAACAAACAAATCAGTTCATTTTTGTAATTATTTTCTGCTCAAAACATTTACTAGGGAGCGTCCATAATCTATAACGAAACAAAAATTGGCACATAAGCTCGATAAATGATTGAAAAAAATTTAAAAAAAATGTTGACAAAAAGACTATAATAAAAACTTACGAGATTCAATAGTGAAAAACTCATCTAAAAATCCAAACAATCAAGAACGCAGTGAAAAGTACGAAAAGAGATAAAAAGTTCAACATCCGTATTTTGAAACCTGGAAAGAGCCAGAATAAGCCGTGGAGATGAAAGAGAGACGCAGATCCATGTACCAAAAATCTTCGACTTCTTCTTCAGGAGCCCCTTCCAGCCATTTCAGAACAGAAAATTTCTCCGCTGCGAATTCTGACAGGCGACTTTGCAATTTCGAATGGCAGCCTGTCCTGTAATTAAATAGAAAAAATATTCTTTCAAAAGAAAAGTAACTGAAAAGTTAGACTTTTTTGCGTGTTACAGACGAAAACCGAAGCAGAATCTTGATTGATCTGCTACTTTTTTTTCTCTATAATGTTTCTGAAAATGACAGAAAATATAATGGAGGGACCTAAACGCCCTAAAGGTCTTCGAACTATAAATGAAAAGTTACAAAAGTTCAAAGAAAACTAACTTTTCAAAGTGTGATCGCATTTTGGCTGAATGAAACAGCGTGTTTATCAAGCATTTCGATGCCTCTTTCGCACCTTGAAACATCGCAAACATTAAGAAAAAAAAATTCAAACTTACTCGGGATTTTCACGAAAATCTTCTGAGATTCTGTGAATCCTGCATGGTCTGTTATGTATTTGCAGACATCGTTGGTGAGCAGAGTCTGCAATTTGTTTTATGGGTTTTATTTTCTAAGGTGAAACTCACATCCAAGGACGTTTGCTGGCGGGACAGTATTCGGATTGTTTCTAGAAGAAAAGGCGCCAAATCGGAATCCTCACTTTTTGATTCGATTATTTTGGCCACTTCCTGAGAAAGTTTCATTCCTTAGATCTCTGAGAAAAGAAAAAAAAAACCTGACGTGCAAAGTAATCGACGCCGCCAAAAACGCTCTGAGCCGCGTTTTTGGCGTTCCATGCAATAAAAAAAGATTTAATTTCCTCCGAAGAGTTTTTGCTGAGCTCTTCCAACTGGGACACGTCCAAAGAGCCCGTTTCCGTCATTCTGGAACAAAATTAGTCTTTTACGATTCGATAAGAGAATGCCAAGGTATCAACGTAAGCGACGTAGGTTCTTCTGCGTTACTAAGGCAACCGAATTTGTGCGGTTAATCGGTAATAGCTTGTTAAAAAGACTTCGAATGGAGCGTTACCATTGAGACGAATATGAAAAACGTTGTAGAAATCTTAAAATTTATAGAACTATTGAATTACACTTAGACGTAACGAAGAATCCTAATCATATGACAAAAAGAAAAGTTAAGAACGAGTTTTCGGCATTTCATCGGGTCTCTTGTTGCTTGGCTGCGTCACACGATCCTTTTCCATCGTAACCTAAAAAGGACCAAAAACTTTCTTGGAAAGCGATGAAAAAACAAATCAGTATCAAATTTTTTTTTAAAGTTCTTGTTTCATATTTATATGGGACGAATATATACGATACCTCTGCTTGATAAAAAGAATATTTGTCGAACTTCAAGTAATCGTCGGCCTTGTAAAGTTTCCAGTCAGGATTTCCGCCTAAAACAATTCGCTTCACTCCAAACTTCGTAGATTAACTTCAAAATAAACGATGATCAAACCTTCGTTTTTCTTAGCGGCTTCGGCGTGTTCGATCCCCGTCGTCGTCTTCGGTGCAAACGACGCAAATGAGCGAACCGTCCGCGTTGCCAGCATCAGTCGGTTCATCCTTGAAATAACGAAGTTCAGTAAAAAATTAAGTGGGAGAGGCCCACAACACTGACCAATCGAAATTTTTAAACAAACAATTAATTCTACACAGTAAGAAAATTTCCTCTTTTCCGAATAGTAACAGCTAGAAAGCCGACCATCGAGGTTTTATATAACTGTTGAAATTTTCAGACTTTTCTTTAAGAATACTAAACAAAAATGCAAAAATGGTTATTCAAACAAAAATATGATGCCATATTGAAGCAATATCGCGGAAATTAAAACTTTCTCCGACTCTTAAATATTTTTCAATATTTTTCATTCTCTAATGGTTATTTTCAGTTTCACGGAAATCACTCTGAACGCCGCATAAAAAAATAAGCAAAACAAAAAAATTAAACAGAATTTTGTTAATTTTTGAAATCGATGGGCTCGGCTTTGCCAGCTGCGCTCCAGCGCGCACGTTCAAAGACCCGCGAAGACAAAAGTTTGAAAGACTTCTCCGAATTCCTTTTTCCATTAATTTTTTTAATCGTATTCATTCCCGTCATGTTCCGTTAAAAATTGAGTAAAAGATCGAGGCAGTTTTATCAATGCGGTGAACAAAATCCTTGTTCACACAGAATGTCTTTAAAGAGGTCAAACCATTAGAAGCATGTTTAATATCCGGATATTCTTTTTTAAAAGTGGCTAGGGTTAGTTGAAGTTTACTCTCATGTTACTGAGTTTTTATGTTTTGATTGCGATTGCATGTAAATATGATTGTGATCGGTCCTGAAACTTTTTTCATTCATATATTGTTCGTCCGATCTTTTTCACCGTTTTTGACTTTGGTAAAATAGTTCTATAAAATAGAGTTTGCAGGAGTAATGACAGACACTAAGACGCAAAACGCCATTTCTCTAAAAGGATCAGCCCAGCTTGTGAAGGAGTTTTTTCGTTAGTTTTACATGTATTGAAAGACATTAATTTTCAACGTTTTTTTTTTCTTGTATAGTATACCTCTTTTGGGTTTTCGGATGAATTGTTAAGAGGTCTTTTTTCAGACTTTGGGATCAATAGTATTTTATATCAACGTGCATTATATCCGAGCGATACTTTCCGTCGAGAGAAAAAGTATGGTCTGACGCTTCTCGTGACCCAAGATGCCAAACTGATCGCCTTTCTCGAGCCCCTGCTGCAGCAAGTGGAATGTTCGTCAATGAAATCTTGGAAACCAATTGAACTTCTTTCTATTCAGATTGGTTGTCCAAAAAGCAGCTGAAGAGATTGGTGATGGTGATTTCCGAGGTCCGATCCAAAGAAGTCGTCGAAAGATGGCAGTTCGACATTCATACAGAAGATGTCGACGAGCAAGGGTTAGTTTCAAAGATTTCTCCGTGACCTTGTGAAAAGTTTTGTTCAACCACTTCATTTTTTTACTCTACAGATTGCGGAAACAAGTCTCAAAAGCTTAAAGTTCCAATATAGTACTGCTCGAAATCTCTAAAGCTGGTCAGACCAGGTTTTGAATCATTAGTTCACTTGTTATGTATCCTCTGTTGGATATTTTTAACCTGCCTTAATTTTTGAAAATCATGAGCCAATCAGGGGTTCGCTTAGATTTATAGAACGGTAATGGATTCCCTTTGTGTCAAACCTTTCGAGATTTTGCGACGTTTTGGCCCGTTGCGCAAGAAATCCAACAGCGGCACAAGCACTCGAATTAATCCCCAATCCAACACGCTGGCGCTACTTGACTCGCCAACCGGCGCTATCTGTGCCTCTTTTTTGGCCAGCAAATTGTCCAATGACCCAGGCGACCATTTGTTTTTTCAACGGATTTCCACTGTTTGCAAACCATGTGTCCGAGGCGCGAAACGCATACTAACAGCCACTGAAATGCGATATCTTCACTAATTTAGCTAACGTTCAGAGAAAACGCGACGAGGCAAAAGGACGAGAAGAAAATCCGACAGGAGATCAGCGACGTGTTACGGTGAGGGTCTATCTTCATTTCGGAGTCTTTGGGGGATGGATTGGTTGGGAGGATATATCCTGTAACTGTATTTTGTTAATCATCTTAGTTCTGAACAATGAGGATTTTGACGTTGTCATAATAACGCAACGGTAGGAAATACGCCAAAAATGGTCTGTCCATATCTAGGCCGATTTGGTTAGCGTCTTTCTTTGAAGACTCGCCTAATTTAGTTACACGCAAAGCTTTTGGGGTCTTGAGTGGCCGATGACCCGCTATCCGACCGAAAAAGTGAACGGCTACTGTAACCGCGCCTGGCTAATTACTGCCAAATAAGGGACCGTGGCTCGCAGCATTTATTCGGGATCATCATTCAATTGGATGACCGGATGGCCCTACCTAAACGGAATTAACTTTTCTTCGGAGACAGCAGTTATATGTGCTCTTTTGTTCCTCTCATTGAGATATAGACGCGGAGATGTCAGAAAAGAGACTGCCAGAAACTTAGTATCGTGTAAGGACAGAATCGGAAAGCTTTTGAAGGAGATTCTTTCAATAAACGAGAAGATAAGTAGTAGCAGTAGTAGAAATTTTAGCTTAATAAAAAAAATAAGCTCAGATTTGTTCATCTGAAACATTTCGTGTTGAACTGCAAAGCGATTTTATAAACTCTTTATAATTGAACTAAATGATTGAAGATAAGGTTTTCGCAAATTGCTGTGCTTTCCGGAAAGTATTATTGTTTTATAAAAATGGTCAAACGCTCATAATAAAAAAAAAAATCTTGAGATCAGATTGACAGACTCAAAAATCAGTCAGCTTAGCTATGAACTCCCATCTGAAAGCCCAGTAGAAGTTCGCGAATTCAGACAAATCACGGCCTCGGTTTCCTTCTTGCCGCTGCTCGAGGAGCCTGTCTCATTCGATGTGCTCATCTACACGGCCAAGAACACGGAAGCTCCTGAAAACTGGACCGAAAGCGGCGCTTGCCTCATCCAGAACTCGGAACAGGTCCAACTCCGATCTTTCTCCACTGCTGTGCACTCGGTCAACACAAATGTCCAGTACAAGGCTGATTAATCATATGTATGTATATTATACCTCTTCCTACTTGAGTATCCCATTTAAATCGAAAACTTAATCTCATTTCTAATGTTAATTTGATTGCTGCTTGTTTTGTTCTCTCCAGAGGACTTCATTTGATCCTCAAAAATTTGCGCTTCGCTTTGTGCTCATGTCTTTTTTGAAGTTACCGTAGCACTGCCTCTAGTTGTTACCATGTCTGTTGTTGTTTCTCCTGATTTACTGTTTCACAAAAGTGACCTCATGTTGTCGTCAAAGGAATCTTCTTGTAATCTTCTGACGTTTTGTGTATAAACAAGGTGTACAGTAACGCTCATTAGGTGCGGTCGCAAACCGTAAAAGAAGGAAATGTGATGCCAATTAAAAGGACAATCCGCTGCGGGTGGTCCGTCTTTGGCTGTTACCGCGGAGCCATACATTTTTTGAACAATTCATCATTTATTCATAACTAAATGGTAATAGTAACAATCTTTGCTGGAAATTAGATAGGATGCAATAAATAAATGGAGAGTTCTACCAGTATTTGGTAGCTCGTCTCCCTTTATGTGGTACTCATTTTGAAGCATACACGGTTTGAAGAAACTCAGTTAAAGCTTAGTACAAGTTAGAACCTGTTATAGAGATTTGGCGATAAAGGAGTTTAGTTGCTGCCGAAGATTTTCTTATCGCCGTAGTCGTGGCTGGGATAGGAGTGGTAGTAGAAGTCGTGGCACGGCATCATGGCCGGCTGCGCGTAGGCGTGCTGTGGCGGGGGGAACGACGGACTCGTGTACGGCGTCGGGTCCACCGACGACGCCTCCGAGCACGGCAGCGAGCTGAAGTACGGCGTCGCTTCTTCCGACGAAGATGAACTAGGCGACGACGACGCCAACATTGAAAGCTGCGAGATGTATCTGAAAGGTTCAATTTCAACTTTCAAAGAATGAAATTTCTGGGTCGTTCAAAGAAGATAGCGATAGTTCAAAAAAATTTTTTTGAGGTAAAAAAATCTATTTTTAAAAAGAAAAAAAAATTAAAGTTTTGCCTTGTTCTGACCGATTCCTGTGCCTTCAAACCCTTTTTGTAATCAATAAAAAAATAAGTTGAAAAGAAATAAGAACAAACTCTTGAGCTTTGCGGAGCGTCTCAATTTTGGTCATTTTGGGCTCGTCGGGCAACGACGGAATCATGGATCTGAGCAACTCCAACGCGTCGTTCAAGCTGTTCATACGACGTCGTTCCCGAGCGTTCGCCTGCAATGAAGTTTTTTTCGTATTGATTTATTTTCCTAGAGAGCCTCCATTCTGATGAATAGTTTGAAGATTAATTTTAACAATACAACTGAATTTTGATTTAATCAAAGGCAAAAGCTACCTTATCTCTGCGGACAGTTTTTGCGCGTTCGATGGTCGCCGGACTGCGTTTTCGACATCGATATTTTCTTTTCTCTCGCTTTTCCTTCTGCAATTCAGAGATGAAATATGACATAAGTGAAGAAAACTTACAGGTCTTTCGGAGAGAGATCGGCCGACGGACTGCGACGACATCGAGAAGCTTGGCGAGGCGTGACACGACATCGCGTCGCTGAATTCCGCGATCATTCTGACGTCTTCTCGGCACGAAGGACAGTCGAGGTTCTGAGGAGCCAGATGACGGTTGGATTCCGTCGAGAAAGTAGGCGGAGCCTCGCGAAAGGTGGGTCTGGAGCCTTGGTGCAAATGACTCGGCTGCCTGGGAAAGGGGCGGGGTTTGCAAGAAAAAACAATTGAAGGAATAACAGAAAATTTATAGTTTGATTTCATAAGCTTCTCCTATCCTTAATACAATAGCAGAAACTTCAAAAGGTGCTTGAGGCCAAAAAAAAACAGAATAAGAAAGAACTCATCTAAAATCTGTTCAAAATTTTTTTTCGGTTTTTTCATGAAGGTCTCCAAGTGAAGAGACATTCTAGTTATATTTTTGGTCTTTCAAATCGTTGAGAAAAATCAACGAAAAATTCGGAACTGACTAATTCTTCGCAAAAATAATATTTTTTTAAATTTCGTAAGGTATCTTTGAATTTCAAATTCGTCACAGGGGAGGTCATTTTACTTTGGGATTGGGATTTTCCTGAAAAATGGCCAGAACATTTCTTGATGTACCAGATGCAGATCCTGGAAGTCTCAACTTGCACAACTTTCTAGAAATACGGTCTTCTTCCTCAAAATAACTTATTTTTATGGATTTTGAGGGTTTCCTTTGACTTTGAGGCGTCTTTTCTCAAAAACGTGGAAGTTGGGCAGGTTGAGACTCTCAGGATCTGCATCTGGTACATCAAGAAATGTTCTGGCCAATTTTCAGGAAAATTCCAACCTCAAACAGTAAAGACCTACCTTGTCAGGGACTTTACTGGCACATTTTTTTTAGAATAACATTAATATGTTTTTTTTTTCTTGCTTGTAACATTCCGAATTTCGAATAAAACTATTTTGAGAAATATCGTTAAAATAAGAGGTTCAAGAAAAAATGATCTCATTCATCATAAAATGTCAGCAGAGCCTGAGCAATAATCCCAAAAGATACTGTAGCAACTAATCTTGTTGAGCCTTTTCAGGCTAAACAACTGATTTTCATGGGAAGTTTTCTTTATAATAGACGAAATAAGCCTGAGTCTACTTTTTTTCTGTTGAATCGTTTGCCAAATTCGCTGATTTTTCACAAACAAAAAAAGAAAATCAAATTAGGAAACCTTTTTGAAAAAAAAATTTTTTTCTTCTTTTTTTAAAAGATTTTTTTGAAAAATGCTCTGATTTTTTTGAAAACTATGTAATAGGAAAGATCATTTTTCACAAAGAAGATTTGTCGGCACATATCCAAACCTCAAAAAGACGAATTAACATGTCATCTTCCTCCTTCGCCTTGTCAGAAAAGTCTCAGACTGCCACTAAAGGACTGGAAGCCGCCAAAGAGTGTCCCGTGGTCAGCACCAAGTTGTGAAGAATGGGAAATTCGCGTCTGCGAGGTGCGACGCGGGGAACGCGACACCTGCGAATGGGAAAGCCCCGGAAGCGTCGTCGCCGTTTACGACTTGCCTCCGTGATGATGGCTCCCCGTGGGCCTTTCAAAACGTCCGCAACAAACCCTTCATCGTTTCGATCGTTCGGGAAAGATAGCACGCGATCGAATGGTTTGCAACAAGATCCGAGCTTCCATTCAGAAATACGTGTTGACGATTTTATATTACAAGATGGAAAAAGGGAGGTCGTTTCAGTTCCAATTTCGAGAGCTTTTTGAAGATGTAGATGGAGATCCAGAACTGGAATTTTACGCAGGATGCTAATATCTTTGCTCAGACTTTCAAAGAGTTTTTTATCAAATTTATAGAAAATCAAAATCTTTAATAAAATAAACTGGACTGAACATCTTGAAGTTCCCAATCTTCAAGAACTTTCCAGTTCAGAGAAGAAAGAACGAAGGTTTTGCAACTGGTAATGGTTCCCATGAAACTTTTCCCTTCAAAAATTTTTTTGAAAGTATCTGCTTTCTCTTGGGCATCCTCTGTACCGGCTGCCTGGCCGACTTTCGCCGGACAGGTGTGTTTCTGGAGCTCCCGCCGTGTTTCGCCGAGCTCGCTGGATTATCCGCGGCTAATGGGATTATCTGTCATCCGTGCGTTGGCATAACGTTACGATAGTTGTTGGCAACTTTGATACACGATCCGTCGGCTCTAAGACCAACAGTTAGACTTGACTCGAGCCAAGCACTGCAGGTGGCAACTTTGAAGTCTGAGCTTGAATAAGACCGATTATGAGAAAATAATGGGATTTTCCTATTGCTATTATGTTTATTGAGAAAAGAACATAATTCACAGAGGATATGAGGATTTTAGTTTTTTTTTTTCCGATACTCGTCGTTGTAAAAAAAAAAGTATCGCGTAAAAATAAAGACGAAACTTCTGAATGTGAAAAGAAATTTCGTTCAATGTTTCCCTTAAAGTATGGAGCTTTTGAAAATTTTCTTCAACAATTTTTCATTTCCTGACTAGCTTTAAAATTATCCCTCAAACGACCTTCCTTGTTCTCATCAGCGGATGAAGCTGGATCCAAATCAGAGAAAATCATCTTAAGTGACTGAAAATCTCGAAAAATGGTTGGAAATTCGTTTCTGATTTTCAAGACTTGATTCCTGACACGAGCAACACCTTGATTTGGGTGACGCAACGAGGTTAATTTGGGAAGACAGAAGAAAGGTGTCCGGTCAAGCGTCCGTTGTGCAATGCTTGTATCATTGCCCAACCCGCAGGCTAATTGGCCGCCATTCGAACGCGGCCCATTGAATTTGCTGAATCGAATGACAGCCAATTGGACACGTGCATGCAAATCGAGAAGCGCAGTCGTTTTCAGCGCCTCGAGATTTCCCTCATTGGTTACGGTGGTTGCAGCGGAGCACAGATGGCAGCGAGTAGCCAAGCCATGACATCCCGCGTTTATGATAACATTAGCCAAAAATTATGAGGCTATAGGAAAAATGACTTCATTTCTAGCTAGGCTTCTGGGAAGGTTCTGATTTCTAAAAAAGGAGATGTTGAACTTCAATATTGACTCGAATATTGATTGTTTAAGGTCTGATACAAATAAGTTAAAACATTCTGTTCGAAGCAAGTCTGAGAAAGAAGAAGATAAGACATTTTTAGCAAAATTTTCGAGCTTGAAAAAATTTTGACGTTTTGTAAAGAATCACTTCTTTTGGGCAGCGGTCTTTTCAGAATCAGAAGTTTGAAAAACCGATCCAGCGAACATTCGGCAATGATTTAATGCGGAAGGATTTTTCAAAACAATTTATTTTGAAAGCATTTTATGCATCTTTTGCTTTTATTATGTCAGAATAGCAGCAAAAACTGAAAAATAACCGATTATCAACAACTAAAGCTAAAACTGTAATAGAAAATTGATGAAGCATTCTAATCTGTAATCTTTTTCGTGTCTTTTTTCTCGAGCTCTAGTCTCATCCGTTCTTCTCGAGCATCTGGCGATTCCAAAACCTGAAAATTTGCTTTGTAACAAATATCTCAATCTTTTTCAGAGAAAAGTCCTTCGGAAAAGCGGCGTTTTTTCTCTTTAGTTTCAGTTTTGGCACACAAAAAATATTGTTTTTGTGTTAGACAAGTACCTGCTGCCGGGCCTTCTGCCAACTTTTTTCGTCGCCGCTCCAGAGTTTCCGGACAAGATCCTCTGCCTCGTTGATCGTGTCGTATATACCCGCCAACAAGGGATTCTCGTCCAACTGCCAATCGATTTACTTCGGATGATAAAAATTCAAGCAAACCGCGTCCCATCCTTTCAGAAGAGCCAGTGTTCTACCGTACTCAGCGTCAGAGACAACCTGATCAAAACCATTTCCTTTCTACAGCGTGAAAAATGAAACCATTTCATCTGGAGGGTAAAGTGCCGCCGCGACGTAACGGCCTTCGGCATTCAGAAAGTTGAAAGTTGCGATAGCGTCTTCCTGGAACCAAATTTCGAGCTAATAAATTGATTTTCCGTTTTTTCGCTGGTTCAAAAAAATTTCTGACTTTGAAGTTTCTTTGCAAACAATTTTTGGAAAATGATTGATTTGGTAGTTAATCTCATATTATCCTTGAAAGTATCAATAAAGAGAAACGAGAACTAAATATATAGTAAAATAGGAAGCTTTTTCTCAAATATTTAATTTTTAGAGAAGTTAATGCAACTCGGCCATCCTGGTGGATCATTGGCTCGATCTACTTTTTATGAATTTACTTTTTTTATTTTTCATCAAACGGCTTCTCTCTTCTCTTATTATCCATTTCTACAAACCCAAAAAAAGTGAATAAAAAAACATTTTTATTTTTTTAATAAATTTTTTTATCGATTCCAGATTATTCAAAAAAAGAAATATTAATCGATCAATATTCAGTGATTGCGAAATGAAATACTCTAACTATACGAAACAACATTTTTTTAATATGATATTCGAAGATTTTTAAAGCAATAATTTATTTGTTTTACAGATGAAAAACAATCAAAAATGCATACCGTATCCATTATCTCAAGACCGATTTTGTGTTCGCGCAAAAAAGGCGCCACCCGTCGTCGGACCCTGTAATTTCAGATTTGCGGCGGCGAGGTGAGAAATCGACAGACTGGTCGATGTTCTTTTTGTCGCCGACTCCCACGACCAAGATGTCGATCTTGGGCTCCAGGGCGGCGAAGAGCTGCAGAGAACGCGGCGCGATGTCGTCGGGCGTCGGCACACGCCACGATAACGCCGTCTTCGGGAACAACGCGATCGGTCCATACCTGAGAAGCTGATTCTAGGTTGGAATAAAATTATTCCCCTACATTTTATTCATAACTTGTTCATGATATTATACAATTTCTCAGCGCAAAGGACTCGCGTTTCGAGTCTTACAAAAAGAATTAAATGAGATTTAAAGATCATAACAGTTTTTTCGCATGGACAACTACTCACTATTAATTATTAATAAAAAAACTGATCCATGTGAAAAACATATAAAATAAAGAGAAAAATGGACCGGAAAACCGACAAATCAAACGAAAGGTCTTCAAGTAAATTCGAGTCTTCTTTTTGAAAATCCGTTTTGGCCATCAAAATTTTTTTCGAAGTTTCTTATATTTCTTCAAAGGTTAAAAAAAGTTCGAAAAAAAGATAATTCCAAACTGTCACACCGGTCGTTTTTTTGAGAATTAGGTGAAAAAAATAAGGCGAACTAAAGATGTTTGAAAAATAATTTTTGAAATATTTTTTTAAAATAATCGGTTTTTTTGACCCATTTCTCAAGTTTATGTTCAGAATCGGGTTTTTTCGGAAGCAACCTCGGATCTTCATTAGAATCGGATTCTTCATACAGAAGGACTGACGTACAAGAAAGTGCCATCGAGAAGTCTGAAGCCGTAAGAAGAGAGCCCGCGGACGCCGATTTGCTTCGCCGCGAGCATCTCCGCCGAGAGCATGCTCACTCGACTTCTGTTGCTCATGTCAGACTCGCCCACCGGAGTCATGTGGAACTCTCCCAGAGCTCCTGAACTTTCCGTCCTCTCCATTGTTGACGTTTTTGGACAGACCTGTGTCGGCTCGACGACTAGAATCATCTGAAAGAAGGCGTCGCAACTCACGACGTCTTCTGAGTTCGCCCCAACTTCGCGTGCACCTCGCAAGGCTTTTAGGAACGTTCATAGCTTCAATTTTTCTCTTATAGTCCGTATAATAACCGTATAACAACCTTTGACAAAAAATCTTGGACTGAATAAATTATCAATTACTTAGGAAAATTTAAAAATGTTATGCCGACTCGCAATCAAACTATTTTTCAAATAACCAAAAAATTGTGCAGTAAACACGAAAACAACGTTTCAAACAAGTCGAAAAAGAAGAACTCGAAACCGTTTATATAACATTATTTACACTTTGGTGGAAAGAGTCACAAAGCATCAAATAAGAAAAACAAAAAATTTGAGCAACCATGTGAGCATCGAATAATAAAGCACTATAGAAAATTGGAAAGAATGGAAGAATTATACAGGCGTTCTTCGCTCATCGCCATCGACGTGGAACTCCTCGTCATCGTCGAGGTCATGGTTGACGACGTCATCAGCGCGGAAATTCGCCGGAGGAGTCATGAAGCCGTGGTTTTCTGCGCTCGTTGTCGTCACTACTGGCGTCGTTGGCGCCTGAAGTCAGCTGGTGAACTACACGAAAATGAGGATTCAAAAAGAGACCTGCTGCCAACTGGGAATGGTAGTGACTGCGGGCGTGGCGATCGGCGCAAAGTTGTGCTGACCGAGGAGAAGACTCTTGATGGTCGATATTCCAGCCTGAACCGTTGGATGGGTCTCCGAACGGAAGACGAAGACGAACCTCGACGCGATTGAGGTCGGTGTCGCGATTAGATATAGAGTAAAGGGCGCGGGTGATCTCGGCCTGCTGGGAAGCGAGTTGCTGCGTCGTCTGCGACACGCTGTCCATTATGAACTTGATCGAGTTTTGCAGGTCGTTCACTTGAGACTGAAACTCAGAATCAGTGCTAATGTTCAATTAAAGGACGGGCAAGTATAGAATGGATAGAAAAGAAAATGATGGTTTGACATTCTCCTCACATTCTATTTGAGCTAACATTGAAGAAAGAGTATCTGTGGATTAAAAAATCTTAGAAAAGAAGGAGGATTGAGCGAAGGAAAATAAGTATTGATATTCTACAATGAAATGGCAAGTTTTGTGAAAAGCTGGTGCTGGATGAAGTGTAGAACGTGAAGAAAAACTCCGTCTTGACTATGAAAATTATCCTGAAGATCAGCAAGATCTCAAAACTATTTAGCAATTTCACTCTTTTTTTGTACTAAGCGAAAACATTCTTCATTTTTAAAACACTGATAAGATATTTTTGTAAGGAAACTCTCAAAAAGCAAAATTTGATCATAATTCCGAGATTCTTATATTTATTTATGTAGTCTACTCTCAAAAGAGCTACGTTTTTGAATTCAATTGATTATCAAAAATAAAAAACCTCGAAGTAAAGAAGGTATTTTTCCAACGGACCTGAAGCTGTCTTATCTCTTCGGTAGCAGGATCAGGAACGTTGAAGAACCGAGGCAAAACGAAAGAACGCAGGAAACGGTAGCCGGCGTAGGAAGCAGCCGTGATGACTACGGCCGACTGCGCGAAAGACGCCACTCTGAAATGCGGTATTCATGTCAGGATGTTTCAAAAGATTCATAAAGGAAAATTACCTGTTAGGAGAAGGTTGTGGGGGATAGGGATAGGAGCCCTGAGGGTAGGCGACAGGTTGGCCGACCTGCGACGTCAGTTCCTGCGATGGAATCGAAGCCCGAGCTTCGGCTATTTCGGCCTCTGTCAGACCTTTCCCAATTAGGAACCTTCTCTGTTCGTCGAACGTCGTTTCACGTACCTATAAAGTTGAAAATTGTACAGCTTTTCCCGAAAAATTTCAGTGAATTCGAACTTTTTTCCACTGAATCAAGTGAATTGATCTTGATTGTAAAACTTATTAAATTTAAATAATCTTATTGCATATATATTTTTATAGCCAATTACTTTCAGAAAGGTACTGTAATTTCAAATTTTGTAAGTTCAGCAAGCAAAAAAAAAAAATATGAAAGTGAAAAACATTTGCAACTTTCCAAAAATGAGATGGTAATCAATAAACTCTAAAAATGAAATGTCTTCTTTTGCTTTGAGTTACTCTCTCTACAAATCGTGAAAAAAAAAATGCAAAGGGGGAGATCTAAACCATATTGAAATTTCAAGTCCAAAAGTAACGGTAATCAATTTTCCAAGGTTTGATTTGCTGATATTCCGAAAGTTTTGAAAATTTTGATGAAATGAAAACCTTTGGAGTGAGCATGAACTTCCGAGCCGCTTCCACCATGTCGGCTCTCGTGCTCGTCATCTCATCGTTCATCCTCAAACTATGATCAGCAAGGGAAATGAAAAATCACCAGCAAAAGTTGGAAGAAATATTTAAATGGAAAGCGAAATCGGTTTAAGGAAAGAACTACAGAAAAAGTCAAAATTTCAGTTCAAAGATAAAATCGAAACGAGAATATTAAGTTATTCAAACGAAAGTCCCGAAACAAAAAAAGAAGGAAAGAAAAGGAGAAAGACTACAGTGTTGCCTGGAACGAGACTCTTATCTCCCGACCGACGCCCTCCGTATCTTTCGTAGTCTCCTTGAATCAAGCGGCAGTCATTGGACATTTGATAACTTTATTGATTTTGTTAGTGAATACTCGAATGGAACAAATTACTCGCAATGGGAAACCACGATTCCATTTCGCCCATAATACAAACTCTCGGCAGTCAATAAATTAGAAAATATACATTCATATAAAAACCTATTCACAAATTTTCTAAAAGATTAGAGGAATCGCATGCTTCAAACTTTGAGGATTCTCTTGAGCAAATCCAAACTTTCGTGAAGAGCTTCCGAGAACTTGGCGGCGTCGCGTTTTGACTGCAATCAATGGATATCGGAGGAAAGTCGAAAAAAGGAGCACCTTGTTGCTTGAAATTACGGCGCCGAGTTTGGAGGCGACTACGTTGTAGCCGATTCCGAAGCCGTCCTTCACAACTGGGCCAAATCCTGGATTTCATGACTTTTAGAAGAGGAAATCCTGAAATAGAAACCACCAAAGACGATAGTTTCCGTGGAAAGAGTACTTGTCGAGAGGACGAACTGGCCCATTCGCTTGTATCCGTCGTCCTCAAAATGAACTTTTTGTAAAAAAATTAAATAAATTATTGACCCTCCGTCTCGAAAAAAACTCTTACTGAGATCACATCAAGTGTACTATAAAAAAATCTCTCTCAGTCCCTTTTTAAAAAAATCAAACAACAAACTGGAGAAATAATTCATCTTTTTTTCTTCCGCTATCCTGAAAAAAAGTAATTCGTTCAAAACATAAACTTTTTCTACTCAACAGCATGTATTTTTTTCAAAAGGCCTGGAAGAAATTTAAAAGCTCAACGATTTTTTTAAATTTCATTTTTTTCCTTTTCTTAATGGAATTGTTCCCGATTTCGAAAAAAATTTCTATTCCAAGTGTTTTATAAACACGACGTCATAATAAAATATTAGTATTTTGATACTTCCCAACTAAATATTCGACAAACTCCAAAACCCACCTCAAAGAACTGAGGGAGATCTTTTCCTTGTCTCTGAGCAGTGATTTTCAGACCAAGAAGGTGCCGATCGAATCCCTGGCCTAAACATTTTTCCTCTGAGGGAAATGAGAGGAAACGAGACCCATAGAGGCTTCTTTGACTAGTTGACCGTGCTGATTCGAACATTCGGTGAGCAATGGAAGGACGTCTTTTTTGCCTTCCACAATCGCCAATGTCGCTTCTCGTGTCGCAGCCGTCGCCGATCTGGAAAATCCAATCATTTGCTAGAAAAGCCCGCAAAAGCTTAGATAAAAAATTAGGTGAAGAGAAAAAGAAAAGCAAAATTAGGTGAACAGAAACTAGACCGGATTTGCCCTTCAGGAAAACTTTGTAAAGATTTTCAATCTAAACATCAGATTTAACAGGCTTTTACTTTTTGCTTTTCAGCTCGTTGAAAAACTCATCAGAAAATTTTCAGAGAAATAACTTAGGGTCCTTAGATTTCGTGGAAAAAGAATATCACATAGTTGCGTTTTAACCGATTCATGACACGCTTAAATTTCTCTTTTCTTTCGTGAAATTGAAAAACTTTTGGGCTTCATAACGCGAAACTGAAATACAAAAACTGAAAAATGTGTTTTCGAAATTCAAAGACATCAAAAAAAAAACTGCAAAACTTCCTCAAGTTTCAATAAATAGTTCTGCTATGATACCTTTTCAATGAAATAATTTTTCTGTGGCAGTATCCTTTTACCTCATGCATTCGGTGCGGCCTTTCAGGAAAGCTGCAGTTGAACAAGATTCATAGGTCGGTACGAATTCCTTGTATGTTTTATAGAAGGCGATCTACAAAAGGAGCGGAGATCAGAAACATTGAGAGAACTATACCTGAATGGCCAGTTGCATAACGGAATCCGGGGAAAGCTTGGTCTTCTTGATGGATCCACGCGTGAGACCAGGAAATTCCATGGTGGCGAAGTCGAGGTCCGCGTTGGCCTCGACGTGAGACTTTTGCGCATCTTCTATCCGTTTTTTCAAAGAATCCGTCAGTTTGAACTCTGAGGAAAAGTTTTTAAGATGAAAAATCAAATCTTCGAACATACCGATCTCTTTGACATTTTCTTGCTTCGGAGACGTTGGAGTGTCGTCAGGACCGACAAAATGATGCTTGTTCGTGTCTCTTAAACATTTTTGTTTCCCAAAACGAATTCGGCCAGAAAGAGGATTCGCTAAATAAGACTTTCGAAGATCTTTCTATTTTCTTCTCTCCTTGTTGAAATTTTCATTTTTTTCAAAGAATAAATAGAATAATTGAGAGGGGAATGTTAAGGAAAAGGAGGCTGAAAAGCCGAATAAATCCATCAGCACCAAAAGAAAGAGCTTCTGACCAATTCACAAGGTAAAGATTCATTTATTGAATCGTTCTAACACAATCTCAACTATTTTTGATAATAAAACCCATTTGAAAGATTTCCTGCAGTTTGTCTCACCTGAAGGACTCTTCCATGAGACGAAGAACAGCGACGCCGTCGCCCCAAGAATGTTCGAAGTTGATAGTTGCCTGGCCGTTGGCTGAAGAAATGAACAATCTTGACGAGTTTGAGGATATAAAAACCGTCGACGATCAACTGGAAACATTTGTCGAACCATCGGTTTTTGGCCTCGTCTCCGATCAGCAAAGATTTGACCAGTCTTCAAAAAATTTATCAAAAGCTTTTCTGAAGAAAATCGAACCTCTTATGATCTTGAGTTTTCAAATCGTCAAGACAAATTGCAAAAAGTGCACCATCAATCTAAACTTCCAAAATGATCGCCAAAATAGTGAAAAAAAAACCAACTTTCTTAAGATTTTCGCCGTTTCCGGCCGCTTCCAACTCCTGTCGAGTTTGTGCCCACAAATTGCGTTCCAATGAAGTCAGCGACCCTTCAGATGTTCAAAAATACAACTTTTCGAATTGGAAAGAGCTACCGACGCAGGAGTCGTTCGGCTTCTCCTCCGTATTCTGCAGAATATGGGCAAGAGAAGCCTGAACTTCTTCGGCCGGCAAGATTTCCCCTTAATTCGCTTTGATCAGGGTCATTTCTCCGTAAAAGTACCTTTATCGTCGAAGATTCTAACGGCAAATAAGGCACCCTTGTACATGACGAGAAAGTGTTTCTGAGTGGTGTCCTGCCAATCAAAAATCGTGAAAAGAAGAGGAAAATGATAAAAACTGAATATAGAAAGTCCTTGTCTTTTTTGGGAACGCGTGTGCCGTTGAACAAAGACTTGTACTGACTCATGTCCAGTGGAAAGGCCTTGAAGGCAACGGCCCCGAACCAAGAAAGGCTCGGCGGCAGCGTTCTGAAGGAGATTCTTTTATGGGGTCATAATGGTGAGCCTCACTTGCAAACTGTCCGGAACAGCTTCGTGTCGCTTTGCTTTGGGTTCAAGTGGAAAACTTCCGGGGCCAGAACATTCTTATCCAAAGAACGCTTGAAACGCGCGTAGGAGATGGCAAAGTTGGTGGCTCGGGAGAGCTATTGAGAGTGATTTCAGCCTTAAGGGACTTCAGAAGTAGAACCTGGTGGTTGAACTTGTTGTCGGGGTCAGGAGCGTACATCATGAAGGGGTTGTAGTTGACGGCCACTGGAACTCTGTCTCTCAGGTACATGTCGAACCAAGGCTCCGAGATGTAACTCGTGTCCTTGTGGTTCCGGTCGTACTCCAACAGGCCTTTTTGCAGTTCTGAACCAGATTTTGAATAAGGCCAAACATCACAGAAACTCACCAGGTCCTTCGCTCTTCTCAAACTCTCGGATCGATTTTTCCGTCTTGTTGTAAACGTCTCCAGGAAGTACGACCTTTGCCGCAGCCAAATACCTGAGAGATTTTCAAGTTTGAGGTGAGAAAAAACAAACCTTTTGACACTGTCGACAAGTTTGGGGATCGGCAAACGACGCAAACTTTTTTGGAAGTGATAGGACGGGATCTCGCTTCTCTGAAGGAACTGGTAGTCATCACCCGTCAAAGAATGCTTGCTGAAATTTATAAATCACTGAAAAGAAAAAAAAAAGCCAAAAAAATTTCGTTTTACACCATTAGGCTGAGAAAAAGGCTTGATAATTCTCTCTTTCTCACCAAAATTCAACCAAATAACTGAAAACATTAGAAGTTATACCATCTCAAGTTTCTTGATGATTGACGGCCAACGGCGATGACATTCGTGGACCGCAGCATGCTGAAATTGTTGTCGAAACTATTAGATTTGAAACAAATACGAGGGAAAAAGTTGAAAAAACATTTGGCGAGAATGCAATAGCAGAAGATTTCTTATCATGAAGATTGAGTATAGAGCTTGAAAGCTCACCTAAAGGTGCACTATTTCGTCTGTTCTCACGCAAAATGTCAGCGGCCAAAAAAAATTTGCGCCAAAGTGGACTTTGAACTTTCGACAAAGGCGCTCTGACAAACTGCTTTGAACGTAAAGAGGTTTCTTCAGGGCTTTCTCGTAAATCGCGCAGCTCTCTCCCGTTTTTTTTTCATTAATTTTTTCAAATTTACAATGTTCTATCTGGTTTATCTGCACAATAAGTTCTGAATTACGTATTTGAAGCTCCAAGATTTTTTTAAACACAAAAAAATTAAAAATTTTTAAGCGAACTTTTTCCAATGATTAAGTTTTTCCTTACTTCTATTTTTTTATAAAAAAATAAATTTATTTTTTTGTAAACTCTTCCTCATTGACCTCAGCTTTTTTTGAAACTTTATTAAGTTTATATACTTCAACCGAGGTTTTCTATCAGTCATATTATTATCTCATTTTTGCATCATAATGCACACTAGAGTTATTCCTTTTCATGAAATTTCATTGATTGAGTAGAAACTTCCGAGCGATGAAGCAAAAAATGAAAGTTTAGTGAAAGATGTTCCGAATGCAAGGCGCTCCCCCTGGACCTCCTCCGCTCAACACTCGCTTTGAAATAGTCAATACTGTCTATAATGATCCTTTTTACTGGTAATTTTCAAAAAGTTGTTATTGGTTCATTTTTCTCTTTTCAGGGGCGTCTTCAAAGGGTTGATTGGATTTGGTTTCGGAGTTGTTGTAGCACGTTCCGTCAGTGAAGAATGGGTCAACACCGTTTAAATAGTTTGTTCGTCGTTTTCCTGTGCCTTTTTTAGAACTTTTTATATAGAATGATTACTGTTGGTTCCGATGCGTTGTTATCAATTTATTCTTATAAATACTATACAATAAGTGAGCAATGTGATGATAATGAGTTAAAGCCAGACATCGAGATCAACATAAAGAACAACAATTTGAATCGCGTTTCTTTTTGACGTCGTCCATATCGATGGAGGTTCTTCTGTTTGACGGACGTGTCTTGTCTAATTTTGCGATTTTTCGAGTGCATTCGTGAAAAATCTCTGTGACATTCGTGTTGCATTTTGCGCTAGTTTCGTAGTAACAACAGTTAAATTCTCTGAAAATAAGAACCTCAGAAGGTATTCTCCTAAGGAAAGAGTGATCGAGTTTTTTTATTTTTTTGAATAATTTTAGCAACAAAATTTTTATGTTTTTAGCATAAAATAATGAATTGCCTCAATTTTAGTTTTTGTTATCAGCACTCACTTAGCTAAGGCGTTGGCTGTTGAGTATTGAACTTCTCTCTCAAATTGAAGGTCTGACTTGTTCCCAACAAGAATCATGGGGACCTAAATTTTTTTGAAATTTCAAAAAAAAAATGTATTAAAAAAAAACCCACCGCTTGAGACTGCTTAATTTTGACGATTAGATCTCTCACTGCTCTTATGTCGTTGAAACTATTCATATCACTTAACGAAAAAACCAAAACGAATCCTTGTCCGTTTCTCATGTACAAGTCGCGCATCCCCGTGAATTGCTCCTAATCACGAAAAAATGCTTCTTTATCACGAAAATGTGATGATCTCACCGTTCCGGCGGTGTCCAATACTTCGAGGCGACAAACTTGGCCATCGATATTAGTTGCTTTTCTGTAGCTGTCCTCAATAGTCGCATCGTAGCTGCTCACAAAAACGCCTTGCACAAATTGCATGGTCTGAAGATTCTTCTAACAGTTCGGAAAACAGAATTAATTTACCAAAGCGCTCTTCCCGACGCCTCCATTTCCGACCACTACTATTTTATACTCTTTCATCTTTGCGTGCTAAAAACGATGTATAAAATTACGTGGAGAGTTTTGAGAAACGAATTGTTGGAAGGGGAATGAAACGCGGAAAAATAGAAGTTTTGGTGGCGAATGCAAAAAGTGCGAGACGGTTTCTGACAAGGAACAATGGAAACTGTGTCGCCGATCACAGGAGAAAAAAGAAGGTTGCGCCAAATGGTAGATAATATTTTTCTGGAGGTAATTCGTAGCAAAGAAACGGAGGCGGGAAGCGGGGGATATACTGTCAAAAGGCGTAAATGCGCTCAGGGTCCGACCAAACAAAACAAGAAACGCCTTGGGCGATGAAGTGGCTTCGGGCCTCGGCGCGATAACACCCAAATCGTATATCAATCGTATCTCCGGGCCTTTGCTTCTTAGTTTTGTGGGATTACTAGCGTTTTGGACGTTCAGAAGCACCAAATCGATATGCTTTCTAGCAAGGGAGGTTATATGGAACTTTTTAAAACTTTCACAAACTCCTTTAAATCGAATTTTTTTTTGAGAATGCGCTTTTGAAAGTTTCAAAATGGCTTTTTCAATTCTGTGAACTTCAAGTATCGGGAAGGAGCAATTTTTTTGAAGTACTATAGGGAGAGAGATTTTATCTTTGTTGATTCAAGTTAAATGAGTCTTTTTTTAGAATTGAACTTTTTCGAATTTTTTTAAAATTTTTAATGACGAAATCAAAAAAACGACCCATCAAATTTGAGACATTCCCTAAAAACAGTTGGACAACGGTTCACAGTTTTTTGGACCTTTTTTTCAGTTTTGAGAATCAACTTTGATCAGGAAAAACGATGAAAGTTCAAATAAAAAAAAAATTAGGTTCTAATTATGACGAACATTATTTGATGAGAAAAAGCGATCGTTTTTTTGTTCTTGGACGAGTTGATCTTCCGGTTTTGCAGAACCGCCGACTCTAAACAAACACGTACGTTCTTAAGCTTCTTCTGTTCGTCCTTGTTTTCTTTTCTGGGGTTTTGAAAACTCAATAAATTTTAGGTTCAAAGTTTTTTCCTAGAGCTCAGCCTCCAATATCCTGAAACAAAGTTGGCGAGAACTTACCTTAATGACTCTATAATTGTCTGCGCTCTCATATTCCTTTAATTGACACCGTTAATTGTTAGCTTTCTGACCTCAACACATCCCAATAATATCAAAAAACACTTGGGACATCAGAAAAACTGGCTAGAGGATTGTGAGAAGCCGACATTGGCCAACGAAGTCGCGTGCGTTTTCTGGCGTTCAGCCAAACTGTCAGACGGCCGCAAACATCGTTGGACCTTTTCAGATTTCCCATGACCCCGTTCTCCGATCGAAAAAAATTCGAGTTCCGAAAATATTCAAACTTATCTGGGGAAAAATGTACGCTACTTGTAAAAAATATAATTTTTTCTTGTCTCTCTATGCATTTAGATTGTATAGAACATTAGACTTATCTGCTTCTCAGACTTTTTTAAACTAGATCTCCACTTGAAAATTCTATTTCTTCCAGTCCATTTTGAAAGATCTCCGCCCCAGCCCACCAAATACTCGGATTTGAGAGGCGCATCTTCGCAAAAGTTATGAATTTGTCGCCGCTCAGAGACTCATCTCGAATTCTGCGACATTTTCCCTCCTTATGAGAGAATCGGAGTCGTGAAATCCCGTCAGCAAACAAGTTTACTACGGTAACAGAATTCTGACGACTTCTTAGAATGCTTTTATACTGAACTGAAGGTACTTACGGCAATATGAAATTAAGGCAAGAAAGATTTTGGGGAGGAATCTCGAGGAGATCGGGGCTCAGCCAAAGCTGAATCAACTATTTCGAAGACAAATAAAGCAGTTAAAACGGGGATTTCACCAAGAACGTTCGAGAGGCTAGTTGGTTCACAAAACTAATTAAAATAACACAGAAAGATGAGGAAGAAGTCTCTAAAAGTCTTCGACATAATTTTCGGACCACGTTAAATAAATAAATCTCAAGAAGAAAGGTGACGAGCGATGGAAAGGTCGAGAGTTGCGGAGGGCTTGGGACCGTCTTCGTCGTCTTCGCCGTCGATCTCCTCCTTGACGTCGTCGTCGTGCAAGTCGAGAAGATGAGCGATGGACCGGATGGAGTGTGGCCGCTCGCTTGGCCTGTCGTCTTCAGAATCGTGGCTCGCCGCCGCTGTGCATCTGAATCTCATCACGTCATCTCTTGCATCCTACTTCGTTCTCACCTGTCCTCGATGGAGGAGACGTCGTCAGAAGCAGCCGAATCCCCTCTGGACTCTTTTCCTTGGTCGCTGTAGTCCAACAACCGATCTTCCATTTTCTGCAATGTTCAGAGTACTTTGTGAGCTTTTTGAATTGAGCCCAACCCGAGGCAAACTGAAGATGTCGCCGATGAGCACGTCCATGGAAGCCTCGCCGATCGACTGTCGGAAGAATACTTCGGTGAGCGTTTCTTGCGTTGGAGTTGCCGCCAAAAGCTGCATGCAACTGCAAACTCCAAGTTATTGTAAAAATTGAAATTTCAGACCTTCTGACAAAAAAGGAAAGTATTCTCGGTCAAGAAACTTTCAGATATGAGTTTTAATATGGTGAGAATCGCAAGATGCACAATTTTATAATTTTCGGGAATAAAAAATTGCTCGTTTGAACACTATGTATTTTTGAAGCATCTACACTCGAGGTTAGTCGGGATTTTCAAGTAATTTACTCAAGAAAGGGAAAAATTTCGCGATAGACCTGAGAAAACGGGAAGGCTCATGCCTGTAGAAGATCTGCTGGAAGGCGGCGAGTTGGAAGCCGAGTTGACAGCCCATCGGCGTGTCTGAAACCCCGTTGAGAAGTTGAACTTGATCGTTTTGTCGCCGAGGCTTTTGTCTTTGACTTTGCGAGGTGTGAATGCGTCGTGAATAATGCGACTGAGTGACTTCGGGCCCTGGCAACGGTCGGCCGCGGCAACCAACCTTTCATCAGCGCGTACAGCTTCAGCATCATCGTCTCGCGGGCGTCCAATCGCATCGCTTCGAAAGATCGCAACGCGTTGGCCACCTCAAGTCAAAGATTCACGATGAGAGCTGCAAGAACCACCAACTTCATTTCTTTTCTCGCCATATTCTCCAGGAAGCGAGCGTTCGCAACGGACTTGCGGCGACGTGATAGCGCGAGTTTCTGCGGCCGTCAGAAGGAAAAGCACCGGCCAGTTGTTCTGGATCGCTGCCAACTGAAAGTTTCTGTTCTATTTTCCAAGTCAAAGTTTTCATTATTTTCTCTCCACAAACCTCAAAAAAATCTTTTTACAATAAAATTCAGTTTAGAGATGCATTTCTGATCATTTCAAAGAGCAACACTTAACTTTTCGAATTGTTCGAAGAAAATATTTCTACTCTGCGATTGTGGTCAAAAAATCTTTCGAGTGTCGATTGAAATTACTGACCTTAACTTGAACAGTCCCCTAGTTCTCATCAAAATTCTTATCCGAATTCAAATTTTAAATTTTTTTAAATTTAAAAAAAAAAAACTTCCAATCGCTAAATTAAATGGCTTTCCTTTTAATTTTTTTTTAAAAATACTTTTGGAGTTTTTCATCCAAAGTCTGCTGTTAAAACAACATTCCTCAACTAGCTTTATTTGAAACGTAGAACTGAAACCTGTCGGTCGTGAGACAGAGCCCCAGTGGTGTTCTGACACCAGCCGACGAGCTGGAAGAAAAGCCGCGCCGCCGTCTCCGGAATCCTTTCCGCGGGTGGACTCGCGTCGCTGTCAGATCCCATGTCCGGCTGTAAACTGGAGTCTTGTAAAAGGTGGAAAACAAGGGTCATATAAAACTAATTTTAACATTTCCCAGTAAATTTCTGTGAAAAGTGCCACAAAAATTGGTCACTGCACGAAAAAAGCTCCAAACTCTTGTTTTCTTAAGCGAACACTGGGAAAAATCAAAAAGTATGTATTTTTTAGCGTCTCCTCGCTTATTTCTTTTGATAATGTTTTCTAGACAAGGTTTGAATGCAAACGAAGGATTTCCGAATCTGTTAACTTCAAAACGCGCACTGGAACAAAAGTTGTTCCCTTGCTGACGTATTGTCAAGTTCTATGGCCATTTGGCACCTATTGTTGTTGAGGGAAAAACCAGCGGAAAACCAATATCGAGCCGATGAAAAGGCAAAAAGCGCGCTGACTGCGATTATCCGCCGTGTTTGTGATCCTCGCGACTTTGTGACGTTTTTCTGGCGGCTACAGTAACCACCAGGATGATAGCGTAAAACTTTTCCGAACGTTTCTAGTCATTTTTATTTTTGAATTAGGCTGGAATTCAGACAAGAAGTTAGGCCACGTGGAAAGCATCTTTCGCAGGATGAATGGTTCATAAGGTATACAGAATTAAGGTGGAATTTTTAAAATGTATGCCAAACACATTTTTCCATTATCAATTTGTGGCTCTCGGAAACAAAGCAAAAACCAGAAGAGGCCGAACCGAAATCGGGGAGCGCGCTTTCTCGAGAAGCAACTGACGACGGAGCGAAGAATTCCGAGGTCCACGTTCGTGTTGGACCGCGTCTTTGTTCATCCCGATCTCCAGGCATTTTCGAAGCCGACATGCTCTGAAGTTTATTCTTAATACCTATCCAGACTATCTTCAAACAGCTTCATCAAAAGTTATAGCCGCTTCTATGGTGCATTAACACATGTCTTCTTCTAATAATGAATCTTTACTATAATAAACTAAGGCTCGACGCAGTTTCCTATTAGATAACGTTTTTTTGAGAAATGAAGAAAAAAATCCTATTTTTAATATATTTTTCGAGTATTCACTGTAACTATTTATACTGAGAGCTATCTATGTGCAAAATCAGTTCATGAAAGGAACTAGATAGAAATTAGACTACTGTAAAATAAACATGAAATCATTTCGTTTTAATTACTTCTAGAGAAACAAAAGCTATAAAGGACAAACTCAATGAATAGAACTCCTGAGTTTTCGGAAAAATTTAATCTAAGATTAGGCCCCTCCCACAAAAAGCGTTCTTGGAGTCGCGCGCTTTTCTTCATGTTTCTCAGCTCTGCGTCAACTTTTCATCGAGATTTTTTGGCGTTTGCTAATGGAGAGCGTTAGCTATAAGATGATATCAAAATTGAGACTATTGGATGAGTTTCCAAAACTTCTTTGCGGCACCTATTTAAGATGCTACGAAAGGTACCTGCACTGATTCCTATGAGTTTTGTCGACGACGCAGCGGCCCTCGTCGAAGCCGCCCTTGTTCTTGCACACGTACTGCCGATGTCGTCGAATTGAACGCTGAATACTCCAAAATTTCCCGAGCTCAAAATAGAGTTTCTTTTTTACTCCCTCAATAACTAACAGTTCCAATGTAATGCTCACCTTGAAAAACCCGGCGCAGCCATCACAGGAAAAGATGCCGTAGTGCTTTCCCGAAGAGTGGTCCTGGCAGACGCGGCACGGCACGTCGAGCAGAATCCGACCTGCAAGTTGAAGATTTGTCGACCTCCTCGCGGGAGTTCGTCCAGCTCGCAACAAGGTGTTAATGAGGGCTCGCACGTGTTTCTTCGTGATTATTCCCAATTGGGTGCAGGTGTGAGGCAAGGCGCTAAGGGTCGATAAGCGCTTCCGCGTAGTTGGTCCCAGTGAAAACAAAGAAGGATGTTTATTTTGCAATTTCAGCGGTAGGGGGAAAATTGGCCGGAATTCAGTCTGAACGTTTCAGATTCGATTAGCCAGGTCGAGGAATATGTGCATCTTTGCTCTATTGAAAAAAAATTGTGACGAAGCTTTCAGGAATGTGAAACATTGGGGTAAAAAGAATTACATAGGAACAACTTTTAAAAAAAATTCTGCTGAAAAACAGCCATCTGTTTTTTTTCTTGGTCTGAGGTAATCTTGGACTTGAAATTTCGTTTTAAAACTCCTCTCACGTAATAACTTAAGCCCTCGCCTTTGGTACCTCTAGCATCGAAACTCCAGTGAGAAATAGAAAAAAGTTCTAACCAATTGCGTGGAAATCAAATATTTATGTTTTCCTTCGAAAAATCAGCTCTCCTGAATGGCGATCAAACGCGAAAGATGACGCTTATTTGTCGAGCCCCAATAATTGCAAATAGATGAGCAACTTCTGCTTCCGCTTATTGCTACTCGAAGCGACGCCTCCGGCGACGTCTCCTGCCAAAATGAAGAGCCGCGGGCACTTCAGAAGACGTCGGCGGATTGTTCGCGCCAAGTTGAGAACAATAAGGCAAGGCTTTCAAGATGAGCCACGAGTGCTTCTACTAATCCTTAGTTAGGACGCCAAAACTATAAAATCTTCAATTCTGCGTTCCGCTGAGCAAATTTCATACCTAGAGCTTGATTGTTTTTATTTAAAACCCTCAAAAACGACAAAAAAGTTGTTTGAGGTTTGAGTTTTTTTGCATTTCAAAAACTTTTCCTTTGTCTAGAGCTCAATAACACAAGCTTTTACTTCAATGTAAAGGAATTTGGGTTGAACAAGGTTCTACCCAAGATTTTTCGAACTAAAGAAAAAAAAAATTGAGAAGATTTATGTCAAACTGTAAAGAAGACAATAATGGTTCGACAGCTGGTAGCACAAAAAGGAAAAATTTCAGCTCTACCCAACTTTTTTCACGTTTAGTGAGGTTTCGAATCGCTTTAAGTGGGAATAAATTATGGCGAAGGCGAAATGTTTGAACCGGAGCAATCTAGCCGAATCGGACGCTTGAAAACATGGCGCATCGAGGATTTCAATCAATAAGTGTCGCTCAACTTTTTTTTTGTATCGCGCATGAATTTCGGTTACTCTGCTCTGAAATTTGCTCAGAAAGAGAATTACACCAAAAGGGAAAAAGACAACAGTTGAAAAGTTATAATAAAAACGTATTATAAAATACTAAAAGTTTTCAATAAGATTATTACGCAGTTAAGCTCATTTGTTAACCAACTAAGAGAGCAAGTTTTCAAAATTTATTGTTTATAAATTGAAGTGTTGAAATTTTCTATCATTAAAGGGAAAATAAAGGGGAAAAAGCCATGCGAGTCCATAAATGTCAAAAATTCATGAGGCTAATATACTATCATTTTCGCGAAAATGATTCAACCAAATCTTTTTTTAAACCTGAAACCCTTTTTTTGGAATCGGAAAAAGTTGTGTGTGAAGAATTCTCAATTAGAAATTTAGAAATTCTTCGTGAATTTACATTTATGTAAAATATAATAAATTAAAATTTGAACCATTTTGAAAGTTTCCGTAACGAAAAATTTGCAGAGAGATTTAATTTTAGGAAAATTGAAGAGGTTCGCGAAAAGAACGCCGCTTTGAACCGAAAAGCGAGCATCGCCATCGGAACCAAAGAAAAGTCGTAAAGGCGCGGCGGAAAGCTCGCAAAAAGGGAAAGTAAAGAGATGAACTGACTGCTGGTGGTGGCTGTGGCAGCAGACATGGTCCGGAGATGTCGTCGGTCGGTGGATCAGATGGCTGAGAAGGCGATTCTTCGGACTGACAGACTGGCTCTCGGCGTCAACTCCGCCCATCGTTGGCGGCCGAGTCGACGGCGCGAGGGGCGTGGCTTCGTCTCAAGTCTACGGTAGGCGACTCGATTCCACGGCGCCTTCTCTGGCCGCAAGCCAGGCTCTTTTTCTGGTAACCAGTCTTTTTTCGAGGCCTTTCCATACTAGTTTATAGCTTTTTCGAGAGAGAAAAAATTACTGGAAAATCTATTTTTATCTTAAAAAGTTAACATGATTAGGCTGTTAGGAAATCATTAACATGCACAAGAGAATTTCGAATTTAAAGCTCGAAAATTGATTCTTTTTCCTATCTCATTAAACACAACCACAGTGTTTTCGTGTGTCTAAAACTGCGTCCGCTTGATTTTTCAACTTTGAAACCACAAAATGTAAAAAAAAATCAATTTATTTCCCGTGATGTTTTGAAAAAAGCTCTTTTTTTGACAAAAAAATTTTTATCTTTTTTTATATTTATTTTTATTAAAAAAAGTTCTTTGATGAATAAGCGTATGTATCACAGGTTTAAAAAAATGGGAGAAAAAAATTTCGCGATTTGGACAACTTTTTGGCAATTATCCAAAAAGCGAACTATTTCAAAAAAATATTTTTTTATATTTTTTTATTCTGAAGTTTCTATTACAGTCAAAAATTTCTGAAATTTTTTTAAATTAAAAAAATCAAAAAAATTCACGTTTTTCCTGGCTTGCTTTGCAGTTTTTTTCGAAGTTAGCGAGTCAAATTTGGAAAAAAATGACCTTTTTAAAAAAATATTGCGTCTTTTTCTGTGTTTTTTTCAGAGAGTTTTTTTCCGCTGAATAGTAGTCCAAATGAATCAATTTTTTTATTAAAAGCTCATAAACTTTTTTCTCAATTTATGAGATTCCCAAAATTTTTGAGCTTTTTATGAAGAACTTTTTTTCAAAAGATATGAGTTTGCGCTATTTTTACACTGTATAAAAAGAGATCTAGTTCTCTAGTCGGTTCAGTCAGGCAAAACCACAACCAAGTGCTAATATAATTTTGAAAAACTAAATCGACAAATTATTATCTCATTTCATCACGTCAACTGGTCGGTCTCATTGCCGCTCTCTCATGGGATAATATTCCGACGCCCATCAGCCCTGGACAAGCTGGGCTCCGTACTGTTCCAACATGGGGAAGCAGTTTATTCGCTGGTACTACCAGTGGACCCACATTATTTCCCAACGCTAGCTGTCACTCCGGGACGTATTGGACAACGCTTGTGGATCGTAACCCGCGCCGACGACTAACTCTTCGATTATACCATGATTCAGCAGAGATTTTCTTCTTCTTACTCTGAAGACTGAATAAATTGAATTGAATTGAATTGAAATCGACAAAATAAAAACCTTTTTCGAGCATTCGCGCCTCTTCTTATTTTTGAAAGAAAATCACAAACACTCAAACAAGAAGAAGGTAGGCAAGCTTTCGAAAAATCCTCATTAGGATTAAACTTCATTAAAGTTTCCTGGCTGAACTTTCTACCTGTTAAATTTTGCGAAAAACGTGAAAAAAACAAGCTTTGTTTATTCACTAAAAATCTGAAAGTTTAGAAGAATATTCCTGAAAAACTTCTTCTATTGTTCTAATTCTACCCTTCTACCCAAAATGTTCACAGTTATAATTTTTCTCTCAAAATGGAATTTCGATGAAAAAAAAAAGAAGATGGCAGCTGCAGTTGCAGACAATTAGAAATTTGCGCAAACGGTTGCGCATACAGCCTTCGAGGAAGCTTTTTTCCGTAGATTTCCTCGGGGAAGCGTTGAAAAGAGTTCTGTTGCGCAACCTTTGTTTCGCCCAAGATGGTCCTAGGCCACCTGCGGGAAAGCTTACAATACAATTCTTTCCATTTCCGGCCCCAAAATGTGAAAAATTGAAAAAAGCAGAAGATACTTTAAATTTTTAAAAGTGTCGAAATGAAATAGTATAATACTGTATAACTACGATGAAGTTTATAGAACTGCGAATGGCCTCGAACAAATAGAAGCAAAAAAAAGAAACTAACGCGGAGGACTCCTGTGAAATGCCAGATAGATTTGTTATAACAGCAACATCTAGAAGCTTTTCTACTATTTTAAGAGTTCGAAACTTCATTTGGCCTTGAACAGCCAATGTAGTATTTGAGAGCTTTGAGTATTCGTGATGATCTTTGGCAAAGTTCTGAGCTGTGTTTTTTTTTTTGGCTTTGCATTTTAAAAAACGAAAACGACTATTTTTTTAAATATTTGAAACGGAAAAAAACTTTCTTATATGGACTATGTGCGGGTATTGTTGTAAAACAGTGAAGAGTAAGATTTTATAACTCGAAAATTTTCGAAAAATCTCAAGTTGTCCAAAGTACGAGGAGGTTCTCTACTGTGAAGGAGCTCTATCGTAATCAAGAGCCAAAAGTTTGCTACCTAAAAGTTGAGCGGTTCGACGTCGCCGCGACGATAATCGCTTGGTGACACCTTTTGGCGACTAAATGGCCGCTTAATGTCAGGAAACGCGGCAACCGGCAAATCCGGCGGGCTCGTTTGCGCATTTTCAACGGTTGGCCACGCGTTCAAATTGGCCTCTCCTCCTGGAAAAGGTATCACGACGGTGTCATTCCTACTTGACGGCTACCGTAGACCTCAGGGCGTGTTTTTGAGGCGAAGGTCTACGGTAGAAAAAAGGTGACTCTTGACAAGTGTTGTTGCCTGATGGAAGCCCAAGTGGCCGATAATTGACAAAAAAATGTTTTTGGACAAGGCACACTTGAAAAAAGTCGTGTGAGAAAAATATAATTGACAAATTTTCTCAAGGTAGCGAGAAGCAGTGGAATAAGAGTGGATTTTTAAAAACCTTTATGGGACGTTGAGCTTTGGAAAAAGCGACCACGGCATCATTCGTCACTGAAAATGACTTTCCGCCAAGAAACCTTTAAAATATCGCCTATGGTTTTACAAAAACTGTTCTGGAACAAGTGTTGCTTTTTTCCAGAAGAAAAGCAAAAATGTTTTCCTGAATTTAAAGTCATGTGCGATAGAAATTGTTATACAATGATATTCTGCAAAACTTTTTTTCACTTAAAAAAATTCTCTTAAAAAAATATCTTCTTTTTTTATCTTGTTTATTAAATCTCTTCGATTCAACCTAAAAATATTTTTTTAAATTAAAGTGGAACTTTATCGAAGTGGAGACAAATATAACTTTCTTGGTTCTCTTCCTCCACGCCACAGATCTTTCTGTGAGCGAACAATAAATATTTCGTTTCATTCATAAATGAGAGCAATATCTATCTGGTTTTAAACAATTGAATGTCAGAAACAACTTTAAAAATCAAAAATTAATCAGACTAACTCCTAAAAAATTAAAAAAAACGCCAAGCGAACTCTGGAATTTTTTTTCTTTTCACCTGCTCCCCCTCTCAGAGATGCTCTCCCATATTTCGCCAAACCTTTTTTTTCTCCATTTTTTTCCCTTTGGCCAACCTCACTCAACATCTGCAAGTCGCGCTTCACAAGGAAAAAAACTTTTCTCCCACTTTTTTTTGTTTTCGCCGCGCAGACCTCCTACCGTAAACCTCAGGCGCTGCCCAACTTTTCATTCCTCGCGCCAATTCGACAAATATCTTGGGGAAGGCCGGCTTTTTCTCGTTTTCAACCGTATCCTCTCTGTAGTTGTTTACCAAGCGCCTTTCCGTTTTTGGCGCATATTAATGGCGTTGAGAAACGGCTCAGACTGGCTTGCGTCTGGAGGAATCGCCTCAGCTGGGTTATATATATAGGATTTTTTTTTTCTGGATTTTTTTGTAGGAGTCTCTGGAAAGGGACTTGAGTAAGGCCTATCAGGCATTTGAAAAACAAAATCCGTGGAGTTTTGAAGACATATGCTCCGGACTCGCAATGGAAATGGCACCATCTAAAATTGAGAAGGGAGCAGCACCTAGACCATTAGAAGCTAGTGAAAATTTGACAAACCTACAGGAAAATGGTCAAAAATTTATCTAAAAAATGAAAAAAAAAAGGAATTTTGGAAACCCTGAAAAGCCGTCAAAGTATTTGTTTTTTTAAGTTCGGTCTAGCTAGTTTTTCCAAACTTTGCAAATAAAAAAATTACAAGAAAATTTTCAAATTTTAAAAGTGACTTCGTTTATTGTTGCCTGAAATAATTCATTCATTTTCGGGAAAAGAAGACATTTTAGGAACTTTGGAGTTTTTCAGAAAACCTTGTTGATGTACTTGATAAAAGTTCCGGAAGTCCCAGCTTGCGATACTCACTTTTCGAGACATTCAAGGACTTTTTTAAATTGAAGACAAAACAAAATTTGAACGTCTTTGAAGTCTCGACCTGAAATGTCGCACCGTTCGATGTCGTTTCTGACGACGACTCGAGCGAGGACGGCCTCGAAAAGGTGACGCAGGCCAAAGTTGAAGCGAGGAGAGCATTGTGCCCTTTTTTGGACAAGGGCGCGTGGCCGAACAATGGAAAAGACGTGATGCAACGGAGGGACAAAGATTCGGACGACAGCCACGAGTTGGGCGGCGGTCCGAGCTCATTCTCGAGAGCCTTTGATTGAAAACACTCGACGACGACGCAACTCGTCGCCGGATTACCCACAACTTCGTGACGGCGGCATCTTCCATCTCGGATTAGGCTCAACTTGTAATGTTTTGTGTTTTGGCGTCTCCGAACCGCCCGTGAGCACGTCTTGCCGCGAAATAAAAGAGTAAAACTTGGAAGCCTTCTGAGCAATATGAGCCCTCGATGTCAATTTTTAAATTCTGAGTAACAACAGTTGAGATTATAAGCCGTCTCCATGAAATATGAATAACAGTCTGAATCTCACAAAAAAAACATCTAGAAAAAAAAAAATAATATTTTGATCCAGCGTCAAGTTCACGTCTTTGAAATCGGAAAGTTGAAAAACTAACTATCTATATTCAAAGCTTTTTTGGTAGAGAAGCTTGTGAACGACAGCCGAGAGCCTAAAGACTTCGATCCCGGTGTCAATTTCCTTTGGAAATATCGACCTTGAAACCTCGAAAAGAAAAACTGAGTCCGTATCAGCGAAACCATAATTTGATGAACTGCGTTTGGGCAACTTCTCTTGATTAGAAACAATAGTATATTCACCAGCCGTTGGTATTTGAATCGAGGCCAGGAAGGAAACGATAGAAAGGTCAAGTGAGTGTTCCATGGAGCGAATTTCGTCTGTTTACACAGGACGCTCGAGACAAATGCGCGAAACGCGACCTACAGTAGTCTGTCAGTTGGGATAACCCAGAACTGTCGTCAGTTTGGGTCAGATTCCGTCGGTTTTTCAACAGTCTAGAGGAATCGAAACTTCAAAAAGGTACTGTTAAAGAGTGAGCTTGATACTTTCTGAGACGTTCTCTTGCGGGCATACAGGAAGATAGGAATTACCCCCTTCTTGATAGTCATCATCTCCAGCCGCGATCAGATTCACAGTTTCCTCTCATGACTTGATAATAATCCCCTTAATCACCTCGAAACGGTAATCAAGAAAGAGTATAAGTTGCAAAAAAAGAAGTCGAAGTTGGCGGTGGATTTGACCTCGACTGAAGGAGTTCTCGACAGGAGAGAACGACACGCACTCGTACGCATTCATGACAGATATCGTGTTTGTTCACTTCATTAGGTGTCCAAGGTCGCCGACACGGATCCGGGAAGTCCTCGAAGGCTCCTCGGCAGCCGTTCAATGGCTCGATGACACCAATACAGGCCAGAACTCATCAGCAACACAGGGTTCTTCTCTTAGAACTAGTAAGATCTATCAGTCAGTCAAACCTAGAGAGCCTCAAATAGCCGTTAAGACTCCTTTTCACGCCATGGCTGAACTAGAGATGGAAGATAATCCAGTTCAGAAACTATGAATTAGCCATGAAAACTGTAGCCTTTGCTCTTACATCGTCTGAATCGAGAGTCATCAGAGGTCTTTTAAGATGTCGGCCTTTCTCGAGCTAATGGCAAAGATTTGAGCAATTCGCTGTTCACAGTTTCTTCAACTCCTTCTTATGAAAAGTATGATTAAAGATACCTCCACTTCCTCATTGAGCTTCTTCTCTTGTGCTCATGGATTTCGAAGCGAGATTATTACTTGGACAAACATACAGTGCAGCTGCAAATTGGTCGGATCAACGGATACGGTAACAGGTCGCCGGCAAACACGCTGCACACTCGAGGGACCGCGCCAGCTGCGGCCAACTCGGGTTACGCAAGCTGCACGTGTATCCGACGTCTGATAACGTCGGGTAATGACAGACAGCGGCGGATGAGTACGTCATCCAATCCGGCGCCTTCGGTTTCGGCACGTCTTCTCATGCCTTTCCTAGAGAATTAATACTCCAATTAAGGAATAATGACTTTACTTCATGATTTGTTTCTTAAAAAAACGTTTATCTAACAGGAAAGTTTCATGAGAATTTATAATATTGAGTAAATAGGGTGAATAAAATTGAGCTTGAATTTCCATATCCTCAGCTTTTCAGGTAACTTCCGAAAAAAAATATAAATGAATTTGAAAAAAAAAAGACTTTTTGGCATTTCAAGATCAAACTTAATGATGAAGCTTCTCTAAAAGAAAAAAACTCTAAAACTCAGGGATTTAGAAAAATTGGAATGTTTGCCAAACCAATCGTACTAATCTCAGAAAATAAAAGATATTCCAGCGAACAAACTGCACGAACAAGAGGCATTAATGTGATTTGGAAGTTCACGCGCAGAGTAAAACATAAACTTTCAAATCAGAAGCGCCAAGAAATTTATCTGAATATACTTTCAAGATTACAGAGTGCATTTCTCGCTCCTCCCTGAGCCCTTCAACATTCAAATTTTTTTTACTGAAAGCTAAACAACAGTATTAAAAATATCTTTCAAAGGAAAAGTCACTACAGCAGCAACTCGAAAAATCCTTCATTTCTGTCGAAGAAACTTCCCATGATCAATCACACCGACGCGGTTCAAGCACAATTGCAACAAATACGCACTAACAAGTGGATGAGAACGCGCAATTTTTGGTTGCGCGAGAGGCGGCAGATTAGGCCCGACACAAAGGTGATACAGGTGTTTGTGGCAAGCCGAAACAGATCCCTTCGACTTTCTTTATTCGAGAGAAAGAAAGAAAAATCAACAAAAAGTCTCAACAACAACTAGTTCTACGAACCCGCAATGACTTTAACGATTCAACAAAGTTCAATCTAACTAACTAATTTTTCTCTTTGATTTTGTTGAGTTCTTCCCTGAGAGACTCCAAGTCTTTCGGACTGAGATCAGCTCGAGCCATCAGCGACTCCAGAATCGACGGCTTCTTTCTAGTGTTGTCCGACTTCTTGGAATCTCTGTGTGTTTCTCGCTTTTCCTACACATGTTCGAATATAATAACAAAAGAAGCTTTCGATCACCTCATTGGCGTCTTTGTTGGAACTCAAAAGTTGCATGAAGCTCTCGACTCCTTCCTGGATCATGGAGTCGAGCTGTTTGCTGGATTCTCTGACTGACGGCTCGTCGGGCAGCATGTCCGGGAATCTCATCGAAAGCCACATGTACTGGTCCAGAACTTCGTACACCTTCAAGCTTTTCCTCGTTTGAAAACTGTGAGACCAATCTAATTTTGAAGAATCGTATAAGTGACGCTATGGATCCATGCAAAAATTTTCGTCCAAACTCTGGAAAAAATTAATCGTTCTTATACATCATCTTTTGCAAACACCAATCGCAACTTTTGTTTTTTGCGACACAAAAAGGTTGTGAGAACCTTTTTGAAGGCCAAGAGTTTGCTATTTCCAATCCCCCTCAAGATTGATCGAACACTCCTTTATTAGCGGTAATTAAACGGTGAGGTGAAAAAGAAATTCAACTCAAGGTGTCTGATGTTGAAAATTTAGAACATTCAAAACGAATTTTTATTTCGAAAATTTCATTTATATCCAAAGTTTCCGTCTTTTTTCTTACTATCTTTTCTCTAAAAATAAAAATATTATTTGTAGTCTCTTTTCGACAACAAAAACGCCCCCGGACCTGTTCAAGAAAGACGAGGTCGGCGAGAGTTTCTACAGGTTTCGGAGGCCAGTCGAGCATGTCCATCAGCCAGTCATAGGTCAACGCCTGACCCGTGGAAAACCTGTGGAAACCAATAATGTAACTGTTTTTTTTTTCGATTCTAGAACCTTCTGGCCATCTTAACAAATGCGGCTGACGTCCATTTGGAGTCTGTGTTGAGAGGAGACGTGCAAAACGTGTAACGGACCTGAAAAATATTCGAGTCGGGCTGAAACTCGGGGAATGTAACCTTCAGAGGAAGAGGAATTTGATCTATGAGTTCTGCGAGCTCGCGCATCGTCTCCACAGTGCAGATGAAGAAATGGTCCGACACAGAACATACTGCAAAGCCTTTCAAATATTCACATAATTCTGTAAACCTGACTGACCTGAAACAAACAAATCCAGAAGGCGAACAAACGACGCTTGCGGCAAGTGGAACGAGAAAGTTTCTATTTGATCGTACGTTGGCGCGATTCCAACCGCCGTGATTGGTTCCACCTAATAAGAGGACAACTCTAAATTCAATTAAAAAAAGGAGCTGAGGTGCAAACAAGCTTTGATTTAAATGAATATCACATAAATCAATTATCTCGTTACATCTACCTAATAGTATGTGTTTTTTTGAAAAAAACGTATAGCTTTTTCAAAGTTATGAACTTAAATAAAGATGGATGAGACTAAATGTTAACAAAATTGTTGCCGTTTCTGGTCTCCAAATTTTAGGACTTGAAAAAACCCTTATCTTTAGGATCCTCTCGCAAAACATCTAGAATTTTTTAGCGATCATGTCTGATTGCGATGAACTTTTTGGGAAGCAAGCAAAAAGGAAGAAAAATAATGAAACAAAAAGAAAAACACATTTTTCATTTAAAAAAAAAAGAAGCAGAAAAAAGTGATCAATGATAGGAGGAGTAGATTTGAAAAATATACTATCAAAAAGTGATATGAGGTAGATAACAATAAAGCTGACGTGAAGTGAGTCAAGTTTGGCTTTTTTGAGGTGGAAAATGGGAAAACATCGTTTTATGAGTTTTTTTTTCTCTTAACGATTCTCAAATTTTTGCTTAATTTTTTGAAATCTCCTTTCAAAATTTCTCAATTAGGAAACGAACAGATAAAACTTGCCGGTTGCGATAGAATCTCTTTCAAGGTCGGCAAATCTTGAGGTCTCATCGTGGTCGCGACGCCATCCGCATAAGCCGTACCGAATCTGAACAGGACAAAAATAACGTAAGGCTTTTTATTTCCCACCTTCCAGCTCTTCCCGCAATTTGCAAGGCCGCGTAGGTCGGCAATAACTCGCTTTGTCGCGTGCAAGTGTTGAAAATCACTCGGCGAATGTTGAGGTTCAGTCCCATCCCGATGGCGTCGGTGGAAACCTGAAGACTGAGCTCATTTTAATGTAAACTCGGGCTCTTCAAAAAATCTGGCTCGAAATTTGACGCGAAGAATCACGCGCTATTTGAATAGGTAATGCGAAATTTAGAGCTCTTTTCCAAACCCAAAGAAGTTTCGCAGGAAGTCAACTTCCACATTTCTAACAATATTTGAAGACATTTCTTCCCAAGTACTGGCAAGCAATAAACAACGCAAATTATTTTAAGACAAGAAACGATTTGTTTTGAACGATGAAACTACTAACAAGGACATTGCAAGGGTCGTTGGGGTCGTTGAACTTGGCGGCCTGGGCAAGCTTGGTTCCGGGCGGCAAGTCCCCGTAAATAACCGCCGGTTTGATTCCGTGCTCTTCGAGTTTGCGCGAATTGAAGAAAATTGACTTTTTCGAGAAACAAACGATGCAATCGCCTGGTTCAATCTGAAGAAGAGGAAAATTTGACATAATTATGTGGGAGCTTTATTTCACTCAGATACTTTCTATTGCTTTTTTTGTCCTTTCCAAATATTGTGAGAAGCAAACGAATAGGTGAACCTTATCGAACGAGCCGATGGCCTGGTCGCCGATCCTCAAAGGAGTTTTCCGCTCGTACCGATGCACCTGAATTCTCTCTGCGTGATTTCAGAACGCAAAACAAAATACCTCGACGTCTTCTCCAAGAGGCTCCAAAAGTTTCCGGACGATGTCCACCGCCGCTTCTTCTCCGCACAAATGCACCTCAAATTTTGCTTGAACTGAGATAAAAATTCAGTGAAACTTCGTCGGCAGCAGCTCCTAGAAGAGCTCTAGTCCAGGCCCATCCTCTTTGATCGTCCCTCAGCATTTGAATCTCGTCGATAACTGCAACCTGAAAAACTATGTGAATAACTCAAAAATAACGGTAAAACTTCGATGCGCATCTGAGTTGAAAGCATTTCGACAGTGGAAGAAATATGCTGAGAGGGGTGGAGATTGTCTTTCGCGAACCTTCGGGCAAACTCTTCGAGTATTGAAACCTTTCGGAAAAGAAATACCTGCGCTCCTCTCCAGTCACCAAATCACATGCAATTCCTAATTCGTTGCTTTTTGTGAAGACCTCGGCGGCCAAAAGTTTTAATGGTCCACAGTAAATTCCACTTTTTGCTTCGTTGAACCTCAAAACGCGATGAGAATAAATAAGAGAGAAGATATTTTTTATTTACCTTTTCAAAGCGTGATAAGTTTTTCCAGAATTCGTGGGACCAGCATGAAAATGAATTTTTCTCGTGATACTCCGAGCTTCGGGATACCAGTTCTGAGGCTGTGTCAAATCGGAAATCATTCGGAGGTCGTCGATGGCTTCGAGGTGCGGGAAAACCTCGAAAACTGACATTTTTAAAACTTTAGAGAACTGTACCTGTCGCGCGTGATCCAAGTAGTATGGATACAGCATGTCGACATCTTTGAGGCCCTTCGTGATGTCGTTCAGGAGAATGAGGAGAGCCGTGTCTATTTCTGCCTGAATAATAGCTATAAAAAGTTTGATTTGACACCAGTGAAAAATATGTATAGGCTTCGGTTCAATTTTTTTTTTTTTTGGAATTATCCGCTCCTAGTTTTTCATCTGCTGAGTTTTTTTCTGTGAGATACAAAAAAAACGCCTTAAGACTTCGCTCAAACGGCCGGTATGCTAATGAATTTTTACCATCTATTTACAAGATAATATAAATTAAACTGGATAACAATTGATTTGCTCGAAATTGGTGAACATCCAGGTCTTGCTCTCATTGCTACGATTTGAAAACTTTTGGATATAATTTAGTGTCATGAAAGTTTTAGAGGTTCGACAACGAACACACTTGAATTGACATCAAAAACTTCGATATTTTTCGAAAACAAGCGAAAAAAGAAATCCGTTAAGATTTCATTTTGAGAAGGGCTTCTGCACCTTTCAAATACCAGTGTTTATTTCTAATCGAACGGCACACAAACTGACCTTGTCGCTGACGCAATAATCACGAAAACTGCGGAAAGCAGAAATGAACAATTTCCCGTTGATTCCATTCTCTTTTGCCAGTTCCCGGACCATGGGCCTCCGCATGAACTCATCCAAGGCCAATCGAATCGAAGCCTGAGATAATTTCAAGATCCACGCGATCTGCCCCGGCTCACTTCATCAAGCCCTTCTATCCACTCGTCGACGTCAACATTCAATTTCGCTGCTGGCTTCACTTTTCTCGGCTCTACCAAGTCTTCAATACTTACAGGACGGCGTGCTAATAAATATTTCCTGATGGAGAAGATCGGGTTGAGCTTACAAGTTCTCGTTTTTCTGAACGACGGCGCTCGATTGCTCGTAGACTTTCCAGAAACACTTGCGAAAGTCACAGAAAAAGCGCTCAAACGAGGCGACACGCAAAAAACTCGTCGCAGTCCATGTGTACAGAGCATTAGACAAAAAATTCTTAATACTTTTTTTTCAGTCGATGATTTATTTTCAGTTTGGAGATATTGATTCGCTATGATAAGTAACAAATTAACGCTTTGAATTAAATATGATGTCAAATTTATTGAATTGAATTTTAAAAAAAATGAAAAAAAAGCAGACCAAGTTATTGAAAAGCATGGAAAGTGAAAAACTGGAGAAAGTGGTATTTATGAACGTCGAGACTGGATCATTTCGCGAAGATTTGACTCAGCTTCCAGCAATCCTTTCTCGAGATAAACTCGTTGTTTGTCAATCGTTTCGATCTTTTCTCTGAATCAAAAGGATTAGAAACAATAACAAAAAACAACTTTACTTGAACTCCTTTTCTTCTTGTTTGTGACGCTCAAGTTCAGAAGGTTTATCTGTCAACAAAAACATCCTTCCAATACTTCGATAAACTGGCAAATTGTCAGGAACTTCCGAAACCGTCCTGTGGGCAACTTCGGAGACTCGCTGCTTCTGCAGAACATGAGATTCGGTAGGGACTTTGTTCAATCAACATACCTGATAAATGATTTTCTTGTTCGTCTCTCCCAGAGAGATTCTACCCCTTGTTTCATTTGTCTTGAACTGCAAATCTTGGAAAGCCTGAAAAACTAATGAAATAATATCATCCAAACATCAATTACCTTCTTGAGTTCCTCGTCGGCCATTTTTCTTTGCAAACGTACACAACTCCTATAAACAAATATAAAAAAATTCCAATCAAAAAAATGTCAAACCGCAAAAAAATTCCCTGCGACAAAAGAAATTAATACAGATTGGATATATTTTTGTTCTAATACTATAAACATTGAGAGCTGTTTTTTTAAAAAGAAAAAAAGTTGCGATTCATTAACAGCGAATAAGTGAAAATTTTTTTCGAATTCTCAAATAATTAGAAGCACTTTCGCTAATAAAATAATAAGAGCAAAAACTTAACATATTGAATTCATTTCGCGGCATGTGAAAAGCGAAAAAAGCAGATATAAATAATGCAAAAATTATCATGCAGTGTTCAAACAATTTCCGCGAAATTCTAACTTATCTGTGACTCACCAAAGTTTATTGGCCTTTTTTCACTCTCTGGCGACTGTTTTTAATTCACGGAATCACTTTGAAAACGGCATTAAATTACAAGATTATTCAAATATACCCTTTACTGTAAATCTCAAGAGAATTTGGGTTATTTCCAACATGCTAGATGTTCATGGTGCTTGCGGAAAGGGAATGGGTTTTACGGTAGGAGCCGGCCGTTCTCTCCGAAGGGCGCACTCTCGTTCAAAAGGTTCAAGATCATAAAATTTTTCTCAAGGCTCTGTATTTTTTTCATAATTTTGCAAAAAATAAGTTTTTTTTTCTTATTTGAAACGTTTTTCGGAGCTTCATTTTGGGAGCTCTGTCGGATTTATCATTTTGTCTATTCAATAACTCTTCTTTCTTTTTCAAGGTAAAACATGGGCGTCTTCAGTCAGCTCTCAGAATCTTCGAAGGCCAATCCATTCAGCCTGCCGGTCAGGACTGCCAGCTGTGGCTCAGCGTCTAGCTCATGTAAGTTATTTTTCTCCTTTGGCTCTTAGTTTGCACATTTCTTTTTTTCTTTTTTTCGTTTTAAATATTTGACTTTTTATTTTTCTTTTTCTATAACTTATAATTGAATTTTTAAAAAAATGAGGTTACGCGGTTTATGATTGTCATTTTTTTGATAATCAACGTCAACAACTATAATATTGCCACTGGAAATTAGCTATATCACCAAAGTGCGCGGAATGTTATCAGTATTAACGAAAGTTACTAGATTTTAAGGATCAGAAGATTGGCTAACCCTTTTTCAACTGAATTCTTTTTTTCAAGTTACGTCTCTTCACTGAAAAAAAAATTTTTTTCGCAGTAATCAGAAAAAAATATTTGGAAAAAAAGGGGGGTTGTTTTTTTAAATAAAGTAAATTTTTCAAAGTCTGCTTTTTACGTTATTCTGGTTCATCGTTGGTTTCGTTTCTATTGCGATAGAAGAAGCCCGATCTGTGAAAATTATCGAAAAAAAGTTTGATTATTTTCGAGATAAAGACCAAGGCGTTTTTTTGCTAAAAAGATCCCTTCATTTTTCAACCTTCTTTTGAAACGCATGTTATCTAAATCGGATAGAAATTTTTGAAAAAAAAGAGGAAAAATTATCACAAATGTTCTCTCAAAGCATCAAATCATCGGAACATTGTACATTCTTTGAATAGTTTCAAACTTCGGGAAATTTTTTTATAATATTTTTGTTTCAAAAAGTCTTACAACAAGATTCTTTGTTTTATATCAACAGTGGAATTGCGTATAGGGGAAGCGTTAAATGTGAAAATTAGGATGTATTTTTGACTGATCGGTTCAATTTTTTTTTGTGTCTTTCACGTGAAAATCATCCCTGAGGTCGAATGACGAGAAAAAGTGGTTAGAGACGCAGAATGGGCCGCGCGCATAGAACGAGAGGCAGAGAGGGAATTTTACGTGGCAATGAGTCTGGGGTAGCATCTTTAGATACTTCTGCTTCATGTTTTTAAATTTAATGAATGTTTGTGCGAAATTTAAGGCGCATATTTTATCGGCTGACCTACTCTAGAATGACTTCTGAGACTCAAGAAAAAAGTTTACCTTTTATTACTCTTGCGAGAGCTCCGTACTACCAAGGATCAACAATCGGGCTATTCATTATTCTCTGTTCATGGGTTGTTCTGTATTTTTGGGGGGTTATGCAATTAGTTGATGGTATTCTCGAATGGTTGTCATTTGATTCCTCACAATACGTTGCACGGGTTTTAATAAGCATTGTGACTTCCACCATTCCTCCTGTTCAAGGTAAATTATATCCATTATCAAAGTAACTGAATTGAAAATCATGTCAATATTTTTTGTTTTCAGCTGAGCAAGTAGCACTCGGTTCGGCTAAGTACTACGCTTACTGTGCCCTTGGTGGTGTTCTCTCGTGCGGTATCACCCACACTGCTATCGTTCCTCTCGATCTCGTTAAGTGCCGAATCCAGGTTTAAAGTGTTCTTCAACTTTTTTTCTCCTTTTTCTTACCTCTTTTAGATTACAAAAAAAATTTTTTTTTTTGAAACACTGGATCCCACTTGAATTTAAAAAAAAATTTCATTTTTTTTCTGTTTTAAAAATTAAATTGAGTTTACTATGCAGAGTTTTTTTTTTGCTGTTTGTTTGAGAGCAATATTATTTTTTTATTCAGAAGGAGTTTTCCTTGCGCTTATTTTCCACAGTTCGCATTCTAGCTGGTTTTCGTGAGCCTAATGTTATGTGAACCCGTGTCAAGCAAAAAAGTCCTTTATCATTTTTTGCAATGAAACATTTTTTTTTTCGAATTTTTTTTCCTGCTTTTCTATGTGCCCCTTCACCTCGTGAACTCTTCAAGAAAAAAAATATTAAAAAAAGTTTGACTTACTAACCAATATATAGAGAAAATAGTTTATCGATAAAGTTTTATTCATTTATAAACAGTCAAAATTTATCATATTTCCTTGTAGTGTATGGAAAATTTTAATTATTTTTTTTAGTTTGAAAGTTGATTTGAGTGTCTGTGAATAGTCTTGCGGTGTTTTCGAATCCATTTAGCTAGCTGTAAAAATTATGAAAGCGCTGATGAAACATATCATTTTCAAAGTTTAGTATTCTTCGATAGTTCAATTTAAGGTCAACCCGGAGAAGTACAAGGGTATTGTTTCTGGTTTCCGAACGACTGTTGCCGAAGAAGGAGTTCGCGCTCTCGCGAAAGGATGGGCGCCGACTTTGATTGGTTACTCTGCTCAAGGTCTTGGAAAGTTCGGTTTCTACGAGCTTTTCAAGAACGTCTACGCTGACATGATTGGAGAGGTTTTTTTAATCTACTATCGATGCAAAAGTTAGATTTTGTAGGAAAACGCCTTCCTGTACAGAACCACCCTGTACTTGGCCGCCTCTGCTTCTGCCGAATTCTTCGCCGATATGCTTCTCGCCCCTATGGAGGCGACGAAGGTCCGCATCCAGACTTCTCCTGGAGCTCCGCCAACTCTCCGTGGGTGTGCTCCTCTTATCTACCGCAGTGAGGGTCTCACCGGCTTCTACAAGGTAATTTCGCCAATTATGAAGGTTTTTAAGTATTTCTTTTAGGGTCTTCCTCCTCTCTGGATGCGTCAGATCCCTTACACTATGATGAAGTTCGCTTGCTTCGAACGCACTGTTGAACTCTTGTACCAATACGTGGTTCCTAAGCCACGTGCCGACTGCACCAAGGGAGAACAGCTTATTGTTACCTTCGTTGCAGGATATATTGCCGGTAGGAACTTTTGAAGACTTTTTTGAAAAGCTCTGCTCAAGGTGTTTTCTGCGCTGTCGTTTCTCACCCCGCTGATACGGTCGTCTCAAAGTTGAACCAGGACGCTGGCGCTTCTGCTGGATCTATCCTGAAGAAACTCGGATTCGCTGGAGTCTGGAAGGGACTCACGCCTCGTATCATTATGATCGGTACACTCACTGCTCTCCAATGGTTCATTTACGATTCTGTGAAAGTGAGTTATTTTAGTATTATTTGCTATCGATAATATAAAATTTTTAAGGTTGCTCTGAATCTGCCTCGCCCGCCACCACCACAGATGCCGGAATCTCTGAAGTTGAAATTGGCCGCTCAGGGCAAATTGTAGATTATAGAAATAATAGTATTTCTATAAAGATTTTATCAATTTTTTTCTAGTACGATTGTTATACGTTGTCAATTTTGTCTACGTTAATGCAATTTTTTAAAATTTGGGTTTCATCAGAAAAAAAACCAGTGCTCTCTCGTTTTATTTTTCGTGTTGAATACGTTTGTTTTTAGAATCTGATAGTTCCGAAAATAAATGATTGTTCTTTCTGAATCTTCGGTTCTACTCAATGCAACTCAAGGAAAACTGCTAGCTTTAAGGTGGGTATTCGATGTCAACTTTCATAGAAAATATTTCAGGAAAAATTTTAAATTTTCATTAGCCATTTTGTTTTTGGATGTGTTTATTGGAATTTTTGTCCTGGATAGTTTGCCAAATAGCAATATTCTGTATACGTCTTTTTGGTCGACGGTGGACAACTTCATCGAGTACCTGGATTCTGTAAGACGCCGAGAACTTTATGCAGAAACTTTTTCTCCTAGGTTATAACATGGATCACGAACAATCCCGCGGGATTAAAACTTAACGAACCGGTCAATACAACTTTGTCGAGCTTTGTCCGTTACCACATCTACTTGTGGAAAAGTACGGTTTATACCACTGATTATAGCATTTCAATCCTTTTTAGCTTTTGTGGAAGTTCTGCGGATGCCGCAGGTCGTCGACTTTGCCCTCGGCGCCGCTTACCTCGGAGCTTCGACTTTCGCCGCCCTGACGGCCGACATTTTCCAGATCCTAACACTTCACATCCTTTGCTTCGATGCATATGCCTCAAAGTTTACATCTTGTTTTTCTTGACGAATTCTGCAAGTTGAAGACTGTCGCACGTGTGCTGGAGCACGTTGGTCGCGCTTTGGGGACTTGTACGAGGAAAAAAGTGGAATCCACTTCGGAAGAGAACTGATAATGTGAGAACAGTTTTTTTCTGGAGCTCAATTAAAAATATTTTCGTTCTCATATGCTCGTAATCTAATCAACAATTTCAATAGTAATTTTTGAAGGACGATCAACTGGATGAGGCCTAACATAAGCCTTGCGTTAGTTTTTGAATTGAAACGAGTTGCAGAAAAACTTTTCTTCAATTTTGAATTATCTGTTGTTCTGAATTTCTTATAACACAAATGAATCTAGAGCTGGATGTATATATAATCTATTTACTCTCGAATAAGATCTTAATTATTACATTTTTCAGGTTGTTCTGGAGTCACGCGAGCAGTTTATCGGAACCTCTCTTTTCACAATTTTGCTCTTCCTCCTTCCCACAATTCTAGTTTATTTCGTCGTTTTCCGAGTGGTTTGTTCCAATCTCATCTAAATTAATTGAATATTTTCTTATGAATAGAACTTTACAATAAAATCAGATGAGATTTTCAGCTGCGAATCAGCGTCCGACTTGTTCTTGGCTCTGTTCGAATTTTGGCACGACTGCCAAAAAGTCTTCACGATTACACACTTGGGCCTTCTTGCTAGTGAAAAATTCCAATAAATCTCTATTTTTCGCTTGGGTTTTTTATGGTCTCGTAGTATTCAGTTGGAATCGACTTATCAGACCGATATCGAATCTTATCATTAGCTCCGTCGTTCGCACTACCTGGCGCTCGGTTCGATCGATTTCCATACTTGTTTTCATCCCATCGCTCTTTCTTTAGAGAATTAAAATACTCCTTTATTATTTCTTTTTTTGACTTTTTGTTTGAAGTTTTCAATTCTCGTTCTATTTTCATCCCAAAAAATAACCTTTTAAGTGTATTTTCGAAAAAATCTATTTTTTAAAATTGATTTGGAATTCCGTTTATCGTAAACTTCAAAAAGCTTCTATTTTTTACAGTTGGTGAACCTTTTTTTATCTATATAGTCAAGTCAAGCTGATCAAGTTAGAAGATTTTTTCAAAAGTTTTCTTTTCAAATGAAGTGTTCGCGGGTGATCTTGTGCTTATTTGAGAGAAAAAAGTTGTGCATCTTGATCTCTAGTTGATCAAAGCTAATATTTCATTCAAATAAACAATTTACGACATTTTCGAAATAATGAAGCTTAATTTTATCATTTTTTTTTACGCATTTGAGATGAATATAAAAAGAGGACAGGTAAAAATAAAAGTAAGCGAGTTATCAGGGAGAAATGAAGAATGAAACGATCGAAACTAGATCATCTTCGATAGTGATATACATCAGAATTGTTTTTGTGTTTCAACTTCGTTCCCAGTTTTTCATGCACTCTTAAAGCGTTTCTATGCTCTCAGAGATGCTTAACCTACTTTTCGTGTTTAGAAATATTTAATCCAAATTTTGAACGAAGAAGGATCGTAATTCGTGACTATATATATTCAACCTCTTTTGCTCTTACGTGTTTCTGAATGGATTCTACTTTTCGGAGAATTGCAGATGACGGAGACGTGCAGTCTCCTCTCGGTCAACCAGTCGGACTACGGCGCTGCGGCGTCGATGGCCCAGTCGGCCCTCGATTCCGTTGATCCCATCACTCTCACCTGGCAGAACATCAGGTTCTTCCGCTTCCCTCGACCTATCGATTTCCTTTTCCAGTGTCAATGCCAACGGATCCTCCAAGAAGATTCTCCAAGGAGTTTCAGGCATCGCGAAACCAGGTCAACTGATGGCTTTGATGGGCGCCAGGTTATCCATCTTTTGAAAATAAATTATCGAAGCTTTAGTGGAGCTGGAAAGACAACGCTGCTGAACATGCTGCTCGCGAGGAACCTCAAAGGCCTTTCGACGGATGGAAACGTCAGAGTGAACGGCGTCGAGGTGAGGAAATCTTTCCCGACACTTCATCCGCTTCTGCAGCTCGGAAAGAAAATCACTTCGATCTGTGGCTACGCTCAGCAGGAAGAGCTGTTTGTGGCCACGCTGACTGTGAAGGAATACCTCAATATTCAGGTTGGAAGTTCCAAGACACTCTTTTGAGTTGTTTCCAGGCTCGACTCAGGGTTGACGGAAATGAGGAGAAGCGGAATCGACGTGTCTCTGGCGTCATCAGCCAACTCGGACTTGTCAAGTGTCAGAACACGCGGATCGGTCAGGTCGGCGTCAAGAAAGGCATCTCTGGTCGGTTTTCGACTTTTCCTTCTCCCTACAACTCCAGAATCAGGAGGAGAAGCTCGTCGGCTGACTTTTGCTTGCGAGTTGCTGTCCAACCCGGCGTTGTTGTTCTGCGATGAGCCGACCACCGGCCTTGATTCTTTCATGGCGGAAAGCGTCGTCCAGGTGCTCAGTCGCCTTGCCAAGTCTGGCAGGTTTGACAGCTGAATTTTTTTTTGTCTCAGAATTTGAAATAGTTTTTACCATTTATTTACTTCGCCTAACTTTTTTCTTCGTAATTTCGGAACAATAATTTTCCTTTAAAAACGTGGAAGAGTCTTTATAGTAATTTGTCACCTTTTTCTCTCAAAAAAAATTATGTCTTTTTTTGAATAATATTCACCTCTAATTTTTTCAAAATACGGCTACTTCTTACTGAATTTTTTTTTTGATTGCACTTTTCTCTCTTTCCCTGAGTCAATTAGAGCAATAGATTTTTTCAATCAAATTAATAAGATAGATGGGTTTTTTTAACTGAAACTTAGGAAAAATAATGGTTTTGTTTTTCATGAAAGGTTTCGATAGTTTTCTTCAGAACTGTGATTTGCACGATCCATCAACCGGCCTCGCAGCTTTACCTGATGTTCGACCGCGTCATGTTCCTCGGTAAGTCCACGGCCAAATGCCATACTCAGCCTAAGCCTTCAGCCGGAGGACGGACGGCTTTCCTGGGTTCGCCACGAGACGCCATCCAGGTTTTTCTTCATCAAGTGCAGATTGAAACTCTTTCCGACAGTTCTTCGAGAAGTGCGGCTTCCCTTGTCCCCATAACTACAATCCGGCCGACCTCATCATTCACAAACTGGCAGTCATTCCCAACGAGGAGACCGAGTGCCGCGACCGCATTTCCACAATTTGTGACAAGTTTGCCACCAGGTAACCGAAATTCTCGTCTCTCGAAGCTGCAAGCGGACATTTCAGTGAGTATGGTCAGATTCTGGAGTCAGACTTGCGGTCGAGCACGACGACGGGGACGCCGCCAGTGGGCCGTCGGAAAGTTGGCGTCGCTACGCAGATTTCAGCTCTTCTGCGGAGGTTTGAGTAATTGGAAATCATGAAAAACCCATTTCTAACTTCTTCATACAGAAAAGCTAAACTTAATCTCTCAATAACTTTGACTTTTTTTCTCTAATTTTAAAAGTTTTGTGATGCCGCTTTCAAAGCCATAGTCCGTCCGTCTCGACTTGACAGTTTTCGAGTGTCTGGGTCTCTCTGTTCCCTCACCGGCGAGGGCAGAGAAACATGGAAATAGCGGGTCAACAAGAGAGGGTCTTCGAGAGACTAAGAGAGCCCAGAGAAGTCCCGCCCTCGCGAAAAATGGACTTTACCTTGATAAATCTGAGTAAAAGCGGCGAATTAGATTGATGGAACCACTTTAGAATACTTACCAAAAATATTTAACAAAAAGCCCTAGTATCTATTTTGCCGCACGAGTCGAATCAGCTCTGATTATGACATAAATATCTAGAAGATTTAGTTTTGAAAAAAATTGAAAATCTCTTCGAAACTAGATTCATTCAGAGCGCTCATCGATACGTGGCGAAATCCATCACTGACTCGAGCGAAAATCATTCAAAAAACAATCATGGGCCTATTCATTGGTCTTCTGTACCTACAGGTTCCCTTAAAAACGGTCCTTGCATCGTATTTCTGTTCAGAGTCCCTTAACGTCGGTCGGCATCAGCAACCTCAACGGAGCACTTTTCTACCTCGTCTGCGAACTCACCTATTCGACAATTTTCGGTTCGAGAAGTCGACTATCCCTACATTTCAGATTGTAGGAATATTGAACTTCCTTCCGACGGATTTTCCCCTCGTTTCTCGCGAATACCACGACGGCCTGTACTCGGTGTTCAGCTACTACATCGCCCGCTGTATTTCATATTTGCCGTTGTTCACTGCCGATGGACTGGTGATGCTGCTGACGAGTTATTGGCTGGTCGGCTTCTCGAGTTCTCTCTCACAGGTCTCTCAATCTCCGCTTGCGCCTTTTACAGTATTCATCAGGTTCTCTACGCATGTCTCATCGCGTTTCTGATCGAACAATCGTCCTCAGCTTGTGGAATCATGCTCTCATGTCTCGCTCCCTCACTTCCGGTAGAGTTTCTTCCTTGCTAGACGACCTCCCTCCTTCAGATCGCAATGTCAACAGCTGGACCGATGCTGACGCTTCTTTCACTCACCGGTGGACTATACGCCAATGTAGGCTCTCTGCCACCATACATCAGCTGGATTCAGTACCTGAGTTGGTTCAGGTTAAGAGTCAATATCTGCCTGAGTAATAAGGTTTTATTTTTGAGGTATGGCTTTGAGGCCTTCGCCATCAATCAGTGGTCGAGCGTCGATGGTCCCAACTCTACTACCTGGACTGATAAGGTAGCTCTGATAGAATTTATCCACTAAAGTATGGGTTCAGGATAGAGACGAGGTTTTGGCGCAGTTCTCTTTTTCGGCCGACATGTTCTTCCCTGACATCGGAATCATGACAGCGTTTGTTCTGTTTTTCTACGCTGTCGGATATTTCGGCCTGACCTATCGAGTCAGTAAAGCAAGATAATTTGAGCTGTACATAGTGGATCTCAATTATAAAAAAATTAATATTTATATGAATCAAAGAAAGTAAATATTTTTTTGACGGTACACGTATTAAGTTATTGAGAACAGCTGTCACATACAAGAAATCACAGAAGTCGGAAGAAACATGGAAAAGAAAAAAGTGTTGGATATTAGAAGGTAAATTCAAGTAGCAAAGGACCAAAAATCTTCACCCAGTTCGACTTCCTCCGTTAAATGCTGGACGATTCTGGCTGAGCCGAAAAAGTCGGTTACTCGGACGCGAGTTGGGTCTTTGGAGTACGTATCGCGGCGTACGCCTGTAAATGAAAAATATTTGAGGAATTTCAAAAGAAAATTTCTAGTCCTCTCGTGAATCAAAAAAAAGTGAAAGTCTGACGAACGACTTAACTTTTTTTGAAACCAAAAGCCTACGAATCAAACGAGTGATTTTTTTTTTTTTCAAAGCACGGCCTGCAAGAAGCGCTTTTTTTTTAGATTAGCAGCCATTAGTTTTACTATTGAAACCAAAAAACCATCGTTGAAACCATCGTTGTCTTCACCACTCCACAAAAAATCGAAATAAGAAAGAGATGTCGAATTCAGTTTTCTTCTTCGATGTTTCATCTAACCATAAGAAAACGACTGACCAGTAGCGGAAAGACACTTGTGCTCCGGACAGGAGTCGATGTAGTCCTGCATGTTGGCGGAAGAGTTCAAAGCCTTGACCTCCTTGTTCATGAAGGCGACAGTGAAATGTGTGTACCTGGAAATCGCGGAGAATCAGGCAAAGAAGAGATCACCTTACCTGTCGATGACGTAGACGCCGATGTCCTGGTCGACGTCGTAGGAGTAGCTCTCCTGATGCGTGAGGCTGCTCGAGAGAGAGAGCACGTTTGGACTCGCGATCCACTCGTACATCGAGGCGCTCCTACAGCTGTCCGCTATCACCAGCATTTCATGATACCCAAAATAATGGATATTGAAAACAGATCACAATGAGCTCCACCTGTTGCCTTCGTACATACTCTGTACTGCGTAGGCTAGATCTACATTGGTCAATTCTTCGGCGTCTTGGAACTTCATGAAGCTGTCTCCGCCATGACCCGTCAGATAAACCTCAAGAAAGTTTCAGTCCAGTATTTCGAAAGTTCTTCTACCAGAACGTTGCTCTGATGATCGGTAAGAAGTCTCTTCGAACGAGGTGTTGCTGGCAAATGTCTTCCGGTAAGAACGCGGATAAAATTTTCAACCTAAACGCCTATATTTTGCGATTGGTAGACGGGAGACCGAAGAAATCGAACTACCGAAACTTACAAAGGTTTTAACTTCAATATGACATTTGTGAATCTTCAAATTTAACTATTGAGAATAATAACTAAGATATAATGTATGCCGCTTACACACCGCAGAATTTATTTCTCGTTAGCCTCAATATTATGCTTCAATTTTTTTTTCTGCACACGGTTTCAAACAATTTTCAAATCTTGCAACTTATTCCAACCATAAAATGAGTTTTGAAGTTATAAATATTCCTCGTATTTTTTTTTACATGCTACTGTATCTTTCTTCGAGTTATAAAAAATTATTAAAAAACAAACCGTGACTTCTTCGCCCCGATAATCAACTTCCACATCACTTCCGTACAAATTATTACCTGCACGAGCAGCATAAACTTTCCCTGAGTAATTAAAAATTTAAATAAATTGAGAATAACTTCTACCTGGTCTTGGATTTCTCGCGTTGCACGGCACCTCTTCGGCCAGCATCATAATGATGTTGCTGAAAACAGATTTATTATGAAAAGGATACGTCACTACTTGAAAGTGAATGTGGAATCGTTGCGATAAGAAGAAGGCTCACTGTATCAATTTTACCTTCTTGCAATATCGTTTCTTTTTTGGAATATACTATTTCGAAGTGCTATCAAGTAATCTTGTCTCTTTACCTTTAGGAAAATTTCTCATGCATTGATGCTGAAAAATATTTCAAAAACCTGTCAGGGATACCGAGACGCTTCAATGTGTGGTAGAGGGCTAACACATTGGAGACGTGGCGGTAGTTGAACCAGAATTTCGATGTGCACACCAGAACTGCCCAGTTGTTCGTATGACCTGAAAATCGAAAGAAAAATATCAGAAAAAGAAGAAAAACTGACCGGGAGTATCGAAAAGCTCCTCAATTCGTAGCTGGAGACCCGTATTGAGAACGGCTTCGAGTAATATTGGAATACAGAGGAGAACCGCTAGGTCTAACCGCATCTAAAAGAAGTATTTCAGAGGGAATTGAGAAATTAAATAGATATAGCTGAAAAAAACATGTTTTTTTCACATAAATAAGAAAATAAGTAGAAAAATCTTTATTTTATTGGATTATACGTACAATTTAAATGTCCACGTTTCTCATTCCGAACATTTTGAAAATTCGCGGACTTTCGTCTTCGTCTTCAAAGACCCAAAGCTGACCATATCTGGCGACGTACAACGATTCGATGTTCTGCAAAAAAATTTCAGTCAATAAAAATAATAATCGAACGTGAAAACTTTAATTATAGTCCGCGGCAACCGCAGGACAACGGATTTTGCTGATTCTTCCGGAGTCGTAACGTCTTGTCGCAGCAAATTACTGATCTAGATTACCAAAAAATTTGAAGTGAAAGAAAAAACAAAATAAAAAAAACCCGATAAAGACAGTTTTGATAAATGTTGTACTCCATATGAAGAAACGTGAAAGAATGCATGAAGAAAGGCAAGTGGAAGAGACAAAGACATACAATCTAAAGCTTCGAATGAATCCGGATATTTTTGATGAAAAGACCTTCATTGAAGTTGGATCGCCGTTTCGGTTGAGCGTTTTCAGCGTTTTCCGGTCATAGGAGCCTTCCGACATCACGACGTACCTTAGCTAACCCTTCCCAGTTGAGGACTCGAGTAATTCATACAAACTTCCTCTCTGGCGTCTTCAGAAAGTGTCGATTCCAAATTCGTGGTTCGCAAACTACAGTGCAAGGATTCACATCCTATCGCCTCCGTAGATGACTTTGGTATTTCTATTATTGACTGAAACTTCTTTCTCAATTTTTGAAGACGACTCTCCATTTTCCTAGTTTTTCTTTCACCAACTCCTTCCAGAAATGTACTGCGCTTAAAAAACATAACAAGAATGACAAATGCAGAAATCTTGAAAGGCTCTAATAAAAATTTTCTTCTTCGGTTTTCCTTGAAATTAGGTCCTAGTTCTTCAAGAAAAGCAGCTAAAATTTTTGATTATACTAACAGTAAAGTTTCTCTCTAACAAAAAGGTGTGCCTCGAGAACTTTTCCATTTGCTTGCCTTTTTGAGACGATTTTTACGAAAATTAATGACATACATATTTATGAGGCATGGCGGCGAAGGGCGAATCTTCGAGGAGAGTTCCCTCGGGACAAAGACCCGAAAGTCCGGCACACCTAAGTGTCGCACGGATCAATTCAGAGTTAAGGCTTCGCAATGATTCGAGCGCTTTCGGAGCTATTTCTTCTGCTGAAAATCCCAAATCTTCGTGTCAGAGCTGAGGATAAAAACCACCTTGCGAAAACCCGAACTCTGTAGCTGCCGCCAACATATAATGACGGACGACTCTGCGCAAAAGTCGACAGCACTGTGACTTGGTTAAGGGGTTTGGAACTAGCGGATTCCCGTAATTCTGAACCGATTCATAATCAAATCAAATCAAATCATTTATTTTGTTGGTTTAGTCATAGATGTATCGACTAGGCGGTGAACAAGAACTTTGAAAGCTATAACGAACAACCGCCTTTGGCGAGCTAGAAGTCCAAACGTGTAGTCGAAAGAGTTGAAAGCATGGTCTTACGGTCCTTCGCCTCGTCCTTCTGCGCGTAGTCCATCCAGTTGCGCCTTGACGAGCTCAGAATTTAGCTGATGTTGTGCTGGAGCCCGGAGACCGTGCTCTAGGTGGAAGCCTCAGAATGAGAGCTACCACTTCGAGTGAAGATTTTACACGGAATGAAGATTTTACACGGAATGATCAAAGTAAAAAAGTAAAGAATGAACGGTCATAAGATATTGTTAAAATGAATAACTTACGCCACTCAGAAAGTCTGTCTCGAACAATTTCTCAACGCTTTCCATTTTCTTCTCACTTTTTTCCTCAGCCTGACTGATTTTTCGTATTTTCCTTCTCATTTTTTTGACAGCGGTCACCCATTCGGTTTCTTCATCTGCTGAGACTGAAAAAAAGTTTTGGATTCTTAATATATTAATTATGTTTTGCATGACGATTGCTGTATTGGGACCGTTATTAAATAAAAATAGCACTATTGTCGGAAGTTGAGGCAAAAACGAAAGTTTTAGGTGTATCTGTATTATTTTCCGTCTAAAGATGCCGCTGAATGGAGTAAAAATAAGTTCGCGAATAGTGAATGTTTTTTTGTTCAAAAATCTTCCCGTCTTGATTTTCTCTTATTCTGCCAGGTCAAACAAGATTCCCTTAATTGGTTTATTACCTGAACTATAATAAATCGCTACGTGATGTCGTTTTCAAAGTGACTCCGCGAAATGCAAAATACCCTTTAGAGAAAGGGAAAGATAACTGAATTTTGGAGAGTCAGATGCTTTTGCATTCCGCTGAAATTACTTTGAACATGGCATATAAATTAACCTGTACATGCCTCCTTCAGAATTGTAAATTCGTCCTTCTCAGCCTTCGATCCGATCAGATTCATCTTCAAATTCGTATAGATGCTCACCGGTTCAACTTTTTCTCTAGCAGTATATATATATATATATATATAGAAAAAATGGTATTTCTAAGAAATCAGTTCCAAAAAAATAATTTCAAGTAGAAGTCCAATATTTCTTATAAATACTTTTTGCTGTAGTCATTATATACATATGGAACTATTGGATAGAAATGAAACAATAATTCTTTATCAGTTCAACAACAAAAAGATAAAGAGAAATAACAAATATTTATCGGTTGGACTTGGCAACACGTTCGAGCTCGTCCTTCTTCTTGATGGCGTAGCTGTTAGAAGATCCCTTAGCGGCGTTGATAAGTTCGTCAGCCAGGCACTCGGCAATGGTCTTCACGTTGCGGAACGCAGCCTCACGAGCGCCAGTGCACAGAAGCCACATAGCCTAGAATCATTATTTAAATAGAGTTTCGAAATGTGGAGAGAAAACCTGGTTTACTCGACGGAGTGGGGCAACGTCGACGGCTTGACGACGGACGGTACCGGCACGTCCAATACGGGTAGAGTCTTCTCGAGGACCGCTGTTGATCACAGCATTGACGAGGACTTGCACGGGGTTCTTCAGGGAGGTTTAATTAATATCAAATGATAATAAAATTCAATGCTATGTTCAAAGTGATTCTGCGAAACTCGAAATAGCGACAGAGAGGGAAAAAGATATCTAGTTTTGTGCCAGCGATAAATTTAAAATTCGCGAAAACTACTTTGAAAACGGCATGAAATCATTACTTCGAGGATTTTTTTTTCATTGAAACTGACAGAAATTAATTCAGTCGAAAAAATAGGTAATGTATCCACAATTCACGGTCGAGTGATCAAAAGCTATCCTTCATTCTCAACAAAAATTCAAATTCTTCAAAAATTTTAAAAAGGCTCCTTGAATTTCTGGTTTTCTACAGTCATATGTGGAACAGGAAACGATTCTACATCTCGAGAACTTTATGACTTTACGTGTTCATCGAACAAAACGTAAATTGCTTTGAAACGCGAAAAATTGCTCCAACACAAAAATTAGTACTGTTTTGAAGCAATTTTGGCTCGCCGGTGAACACCATTTTTCGTTTTGAAGCATGTTCCGTTTCTCCGATGAACCCGCCATTAGAAAAAAGTTTTAGCAATGTGTTTATCTTTCGTGACCAAACTGATTTCGGCGATTTCAAAATTGAGCCGTTTTTAGTTTGACTTAATTTCACAAAACGTGCAAAATTTTAAATTTGAGTTATGAATAAATCTGGATTATAAAAGTAGACTTAAACGGGCGATATTCAAAATTTGGACTTATTTGGAAAATTTAAAAAAATTTAACTCGACCGTTAAAGTCGCTATATCCTTGTAGCGCTCATGCCGTGTTTGAAGTGATTCCGCAAAAGTCAAAGAGAGAGAGAAAGAGAGAAAGGAATAACTGAATTTAGAACAGTCAGAGTTTTCATTTCGCGCTAATTACTTTGATGCCATGTTCAAAGTGATTCTGCGAAGTCCAAAATAGCCTTCATAAAAGGGAAAAGATAACTGAACTTTGGAGAGATACAGATAATTTTGCATTTCGCGAAATTACTTTAAACACGGCATGAACAAGGCATCAAACTTTCAAATGGCTTCCGAAATGCCTTTTCGCGTATTAATTTTAAACAAAAAATTTGTGACCGCCAAAATACTTGAACAAAACTTGACACACCAGTTTAGACCTACAGAGTCCCGTCCGGTTCGCACTGCGCCGTCTCCGCTGGCCATACTAGACTATTTTTTTTTCAATCTATGAAAAGGAACAAGGCTATTTCCGACACTATTAGATAAAAATTTGCAGAAAAAAACGACTTTTTACTTACTAAAGACGTATTTTGCAAATAAGGCCATTTTTTAAAACTTGCTGGCTTTTGCAAAAACCTTATTGTTGCAACTAAATTTGTATTATTGAACGTTCGAATTTTGTTGTCCAACTTGTCTATTTTGTCGTACAAAAAACTCGTTATTAACGAAACAACACTAAGCCAATCCGCACGGGCTAAACTGATGTGATGACTTTCGGGTTATTCCAGAGCGTTGAAAAAATAAACCGGATACCTCGCCAGTGAGAAGATGGATGATCTCAAAAGCGTGCTTGACGATTCGGACAGTCATGAGCTTTTTTCCGTTGTTGCGACCGTGCATCATCAAAGAGTTGGCAAGACGCTCAACAATGGGGCAAGCCGCCTTGCGGAACCGACGGACCTAAAGATACAGAATAAAAAGGTGAACGCTTCTGATTATTGTTTACCTGGTAGCGTCCAGCGGAGTGGGGAAGATATTTAGCTGACTTGTCCTTAACGGCGATGTAGTCGACAAGGGAAATGTCAGAAACATTGACATTATGCAGAGACCACTTTCCAAAAAGATTGACCTTAATAGAAGACATTGGAGAAAATAATGAGGCGAAAAACCTCAGGAGCATCAACGACGACGGCCGGGGCGTCGATAGACGCCATTTCAGAAGCCCAGTTATCGGTAGCCATCCTAAAAAGTTGAAGAAAATTTGAAAACTCGGAAAAAAAAACGAAGCGAAGATATTTCCAAGCAGACACGAAAACTTATCTGAAAACCTCATAATCTTAATATATACGCAAAATACAATGCGTCTAAAGAAAGGTATTCGCTTACTACATTATATTTATTGATAAATTTTGTTTGTTAGATTTTTTTCCGCTCAAAAAAATCGAATTCAAATTTTTGTGCTATTTTTCATCATTATTATCCATCAATTAAAAATGAGAAAAGATGTTTGGAACAAGAGAATGTTTTTCCTTTTTTAGCTATATACATTAATTGCTAAAAAAATTTTTATCGCTTTCAGAAGATTATTTTTAATTTTTCATTACTAGTGCTGAAAAAAATGAAGCGACTTATAAATTACAGTAAAAAATAAATACATTTAGCGTTCAAAGTGGTTTCGAGAACTCCTAATCAAAAAAATGAGAGTTCCTTGACGGATGTCATTTAACCTTTTTTTTCCGTCAATTGATAACTTGATCGACTTTGCCAAATAAAGAGAGTTCACTTTGAATATGCTGACAGAAAAGTGAAGGTTAATTTTAAAAATATTTAATGGAACCCAAAATGAAAATAAAATCTTCTATGGGAGCTCGAAACGGTATCTCGTGATAGGACCTGTTTCTTCCAACGTAATGCGCCTTGAAGGTCAAATACTGCAAGCACTTGCCCGCCCGTTCTCACACTATGCGCCTCTGACGCGCAAGTTTGGTGGTATGAAAAAAAAGCCAGCGAATTTTCAAACGGCGATTTTTCCGATTTTTTCATATCGCTAGGGAACTTTCCGACGGCTACCTTTCCAACAAATCTTTTTACGACTTTTTTTCTTGATAAACTCTTCGTTTTAAATCTTCCTATATAAAGTAGGTGGTTGGTTCATGATTAAAACACAAAAAAATGGGAAAAATGTTTATAGATGTTTTACAAACTGAAAACTATAAGGGAAAAAAAGTCGGAAAAAGTTTCGTCGGAAAGGTGGCCGTCGGAAAGTTCCCTAGCGATACGAAAAAAATCGGAAAAAGTCGCCGTTTGAATTTTTCGCTGGTCTTTTTATACCACCGCAAGTTTAACACCAAAGACATAAAAAAAGATTAAATTTTTGTAATAATTTTTATTTTTGAATGAGACTTCAAATAAAAAGCAGTTTTAAAACTTACGGGAATAGAAGAAAGAATTTTTTTCCACCTTCAGCTCACCACGACTTGAATGAAGAGATTTTTCAGCGTTTACAAAAAGGAGCATTCTAAGATTTCATCTTGTTCCGAGAAGTTTTATGGTTGAGCCGTATATGTAGTACTAAAAGTGTGAGAGTGATTTGAAATGTCCTAAATAAAAATAATTGTGCTGGCCTATCACTTGCTAATTTGAATCGCTGGAACAGGTTGACAAAGTGAGGTATTACGTGCCTAATTCTTTGAAATACGCATCATCCGTCCATTCTTCAACCAAGGAAAACGGAAGAGGATGTCGACAGGTATCGCAGAGCAAGTTGTTGTTGTTCGCTTCTGCGTCACGTCTGATATTCAGGCGGTCGTGCAGCCAGATGACCGTCTTCGTGTTTGTCTTCACCTGATTCACTCCGTCCGGCCTTGGACCACACCTCTTCAGCCTTTCGTGCTCCGTTCAGAATCATCCTTACTTCTCCTCGGAAATCTTAAATCCCGTTAATCAGAAAAATTCTTCAAGGTTCTTGTTCAATCGCCTTAAAAAGTAGAAATAATGAGATTTTCAGTTATCCTTCTCGCTTCATATTTATGTCGTCAAGTTTGACAGAGTCGGACACGTTTACTACTTTTTGCTCACTGCCATTCTGTTTATGTGCTTTTTAATGGTTTTTTTTGAAATGTAAATGCCGGTCAAGTTGCAGAGACTGCAGACTGGTTACATTGTTTCAAGTCGTAGAGAATGAAATATTTCCAGTCTGGTTGCATTATAAAGTTGAAGATTCTGAATCAGATCTTATCCGGAACTGAGAAAAAAATAGCCTGCAATTTTTCTTTTTCTCATGTACGATACAGTCGCAGGTCTTGGAGAATTTTTAATTGAATTCCCACTGGTTTGGAATATAAACAAACGCTGAGAAAGACGAAATTCTTCTTTTCGTGCTGGTTTTACTCTTAAAATGCCGACGGAGGACTACGAAATGACAGATTTCAGGCGTACTACTATTGTACATCAGCCTGTTCTTTCCCCTGCCCCCAGAGAAAATACGGTACGTTTTTTTTGTTTTGTGAAAATTCTGATTCTCAAAATAAAAGAGATATGTTTAGCAGAAAAAAAGTTGACGCGTCCGTCTTTCGTCGAAATTTTTTTCAGTTCGCGGCTGTCCTAATTTTTTGAATCTTGTCTCAAAGTTTGAGAGAGTACAATAACTGAACTAGGTTTTATATTTTGAGTCTTGCAAATTTGTTCGGAGAAAGTGTTGGGTATAGACAACCTCTACAACCGTCTTACTCACTGTGAAATTTTTGAAAAATGTCTATGCTCCTTGCACAGAAAGCTTTGTACATATGAAACTTTCAGTCGAACTCTTTAAATTTTAACCACATATTGGTCTATCGGCGTTTGCTATTCGGTTTTGGTTCAAAAGCTAACGCTGGAAAACAGCTACCGGATAGCTACGGTAGCACAAACCAGACTACCTAATAGCAATCGCGAATGTCAGGTAGGATACCGATACTCTCCAGATACCTGTCCGGCAGTATACAGGTATCACCTCTATGGTATCCATGGTATCTATGGTATCTACTTGTAAGATAATAAACGACCACCGATCAGTTAAATGTGATTGGTTTTGAAGTAAATACCCGGTAGTACATGTTTCCAATTCCTTCTTGACCTTGAAAATTCGCAACCAGGTTTCAAAAAAAAACTACACCCCGTAGACAACGTTTGAAAGTCCTAATGAGTGGGAGACCCTGTGAATCATTGAAAAAAGTTGTATTGTAGGTAGTTTTCAAAATTTTCATAGTGCACCTCAGCTCGTTTATCTTAGACTCCACGAAAGTCAAAATTTCGAGGTTTCGAGCAGAAAGATTTTCTCTTGTGAGCTATAAAGAATATTTTAGCTTGGTTTCCCGTCAGAATCCGGAAAGTTTTGTTATGTGCGAGACAAAGATGATTTCAGGCATCTGACTCATGTTGTCATAGTCCAAAAAGGAGTTGAAAACAAAAAGACGGTGTTTACACTTGAGGAGAAAAATTATTTATTTGATGGCCGCGTGTGCCGGCGACAGCTGCCGCGAGAGGCAGCCGCGTGCGTTGGAGCGACGAAACGTTTGACCGACAAGGCGGTTTCAGATGCGCGACAAAGGACGCGTGTGCTGTCTGAACGGCTCGGCGGCGTTGGCGGTCGTGGCGCTGGCCCTTCTCACGGTCTGCCTCTTCTCGGCCTCGTTCCGCCACAACTCCGACAACAACAAGGGCACCAAGTACTACGGCCTCATCCGCTTTTGCTACGAACCGCCGATCGACCAGCAGTCCCGTGATGGTCAGTTCATTCATCTTTGAACCCGCGACTATATCTTGAACTCAACTCCATTCTTATCGTCAGTTTTTTGGGTTTCTTTTTCTGAAAACCTTCTCATTTGAGAAAAGAAAGCTAACCTTCAACTTCCGTTTATCCGTATCCTCAAGTTCTTAAAATTTTTTGGTCAACCTATCTTCATAGGAATTAGTCAATAAACATATTTCTAAAATCATTGAATTCAGCTTATATACATGTTTTTCCATCAAAAAGAGATTTTCAATGTTCACAAGTATCTGTAATCGAAGTGTACTATCGGGCTCACAAGGGTTTCATTTAGATTGAAAATACTCTTCTGGCTTTAAATATCTAAAACTTCGAAATCCAATCCATTTTTTCCAGTATGTTGATTCGAAATGAGCATTTCAGACGACAGCAACTCGAAGACTTGCCATTTACGTAATTACATCCGTTCGGCACAATGTGAAGACACAAAGGGACAGCTTAAAGAGAGTAAATCGACGCGAAACTGTTTCGGAGGTACAAGTTTTGGTTCAGCATGGATACTGCATTGTTTCAATTTTAAAAATTTATGTTACAATTAAATCTTACGAGGAACAGTTTTTCGAAATATATTTGAACGGTTTTTTGCTTGGGGTCTTCATGTTGGAAACTGAATTAGTTGTTTTGAAGACTTCGAGTTGGCGTCAGTCATCTTGATAGCGATAGCGATGGGGTGCTGCTTGCTGTCGTTGGTCTTCACCATTTGGACCATCTTCACCTCGTTCGGAGCCTTGGCTAACAGCGTCGTTCTCCTCGCTGCAGGTTCACCATTCACGAAAATTGAAACCAATCTATTATTCAAGCCATTTCATCTCTTTCCGCGTTTCTCACCTACACATACTACTACGAGCTGAAAGAGAACCAGAGCGAAATCATAGCCGGATACCAATATTTGGTATATCTCACTTCCTCTATTGAATACTATTTCTTTTCAGATTCACTATGGCTGGGCCTACTATCTCTTAGGCTCGTCAGCCGCCATTTTGATCGTCGCTTTCGTTTGCAGTGTTTTCGGTTCGGCGTTCGTCCTTGTTAGTAAAAGCCGGAAAAGAAAATCAAAAGTCCAGAGCATATCATTGTAATTTTCACGGGTTTACCTGCAACAACTCGTCGTCATTTCTCAACCAAGCCTTTCCAACATTACTAACTATTTATCGTTGATGTATAAACTTTGATAAACGAAGAGAGGACTTCCAACCTAGAAAAATCCCAAGAGCCTACCAATGATGTGTTCAGAGAAAACCGAAAAGGAAAAAAAGATATCGAAAATTTAACCCGATAGAAAAGAAAAGCCAGGAAGGGTAAGAAAAAAAAGCACCCAAGTTCACATATGAAACAGTACTAGGAACATGCAAGAAAGGTTCTCGAAAGATATACAAACAGAGAATGAAGTAGTTACTTATTATTATTATTATTATTATTAATATTTTTTTGTTAATCAGAAATTAGAATCTTCATATGAATAAAGGATCAAAATTTCGGAATGGAAAAAAAGTGTGACTAGTATGCCTTGTTATGGGAAATAAACTTGACAGGTCAAGAATGACTGTCTTAAAATGCTGAAACATGAGTTTTTTGTTTTGAACAAGTTGATCAAGAACGGTAAAAACTTTGGAATATTAGTTATTTTTCTTTGCGGAGTCGACGTTCTTCTTGTCGTCGTCTTGCACCAAATGACCTTCATCGTAGTTCCACAGAGCCGAGAGCTCGCCGGTCAATGCGGCCACCGTCAGAGGGACCAGAAGACAGCATGGCACCAGATAAAGCAGAGCCGGTTGGGCAGCCTCAAATTCTCTCATCTCAATCCGCACACAAGTGATTTAACCGTCTAGTTCTTGTCTCTACAGAGTGCTAAAAGTTTTAATACCAAACATTAATTACGACTGAGCTTTCTATCCCATACGCTCGTAGACCGCGAATCTGATAGTCGAATTCATGAGCGAACGGAAAAAGGCGTCTTGGAAGCGGTGGGACAGAACATAATTTCAGGACATGAGAATAGACAGAAATATGAAATTTCTTCGCTAAATTGATTACCTGTCTTTTCGTTAAATAAATAAGCGAGTCCCGATAAACATTTAAGAGCTGAGAAAAAAATTGAAAAAAATAAAAATAAAAAGAAATCAAATTATTTGGTCAGCTTCTTGAAATATATTGGCGTCAACCGGGTTTTTCTGCTATCTGTGCTCTAATTTCATCAACTTTTAAAAAAAACATCATATAGTATGAAAAAAAGTTTTTTTGGAATATGAATATATACCAAGAATATTATTGTTCTTTTTCGATAATCGAAAAAAAATTTCAAAAAAAGAAAAAAATAATTCTTTTTTTCTTTTTCTCGTAAAAATCTCTCGTATTTCGTTCGTAATCTACTCTGCTTTCTAGAAAATTTCTTGAATATTCTAATCGAGTGATTTTTTTAATAAAATAAAATGCTGATAACCATATGAACGATGGATATAAAAAAATAGGATATTTGTTTAAAAAAAACGGAGGTAAAAAGTATATTATATATAAAGTATATATATATATATAAATTATAAAGTATAATGTATAGTATAAAAAAATGAGAGACTGACCTTGAAATAATGCATGACGTACATGGTGAGAAGCAAGCCGACGGCGTAGGCAATGATTGTGATGGCAAAGAAGTAACTGGAATTCAAATTACTGATTTTTTTTGAGTTCCGAGCCTTGTTCTTACCGCCTTCCTTTGTTGGCCTTCTTAGCTTCTGACCCTTGTTCTCCCACGCGATAGTCGAAACGGCGCAACAAGGCGATGAAGATCCCAGGAATGACAATGTCTCCCAAACCTTGAACTCGAAAATTATTCATTCTAAAAAGGGGGACATTTCCAACCGAGCATACTGTATTTGTTAGCCTCTAGAAATCCGTTGCGGTAAATATCTTGAGGGAATTGCAGCAGAATCGGAGCATTGATTCCCTTGGCCACTGAAGTCATCACATCTGTCGCGAAAACCCAGAAAATGTCGTAGATAAACAGTCCAGCCAGTAGCAAAGTGCCTGCCTAAAAACGAAATCTTTTTTTATACTGTTTTGGAGAAATTGAATTTTTATTCATTCATCGAATTTCAAGAAAACAAAAGACCATATTCAAGATTTACCTTGAAGCTAGCCAGATGGAGACATTCGATTCCGACGATAGAGAACGCGATTCCGATGATATTGTTCGTTATCCAATGACGGCATGTCAAATGAGAGATCAAAACCGGAGAACAGAGAAGAAGGGCAATCAGAATATGTCTGTCGCAATCGAGTTTGAAAACGTATTCCTTAAATTGTTTCAAAGTGAAGATGTACGAGGTAAGGTAGAATACCGTGTCTTTGGTCGATGCCTCTTCCATGTCTCCTTCATCCATCTCTTTCAGACCTTTTTTGATCGAGAGAAGGTAAGGTCTGTTGAATCGCAGACATTCGGGTACGAACGGAAGGCGATTGAGCAGGAAAGTGAGAGCTGGCTTCAACAAAATGGCCAAGGCGGAGATACCTAAACTCATCCCAACTTTACAGATTGAACTATCACTAGTTTTCAAATAATTTGTGGCATCTCAAAAAAACTTTTTCAGACTTTCAGTTTCTTTTTTTTGACTATATCAAAAAATTATAAAAAGGTACTTCGAAAAAATTTTTTTTCTTTAAAATAAAAACTTCTAACTAGCTTTCTTGCTGTGAATCTTTTTCATTCCTAATATGCGTAAGGTGTTAAATTAACTATCGTGGCAATTTTTTTGAAGATGGTAGTATGACTCAAAAAGTTTCAAAAAAACTTATGAAAGAAGATTTTTGTGAAAACTTTTTTTATTAAAACTAACTTTGAGACGCAAAAAGCCTTGCAAAACTATAATAAAGCTGAGAACAATCTTCGCCTCGGGTGGTTCCAATCAAAATGGTTTCTTTTAGAACTTCAACTCAAACGAATCATGAGAAAAGTTACAAAAAAAAACAGAAATTTTACAACAAACCTTCAAAACAAATTAAAAAGGTTAAGATTATCATCAACTCGTCTTTTCCGATCGCTGGTAGTTTCTCCAGATACGTTTGCAAGAACTCGTTTATGTTAGATGGGAGTCTCTTCAAGAGTCTGAAAGAAGTAAGTGTCAAGTTCCTAACATAGGTAAAACGGAAAAGTTCCTTTGAGGATCCTTAAAGGATCCTGAGAGTGAGATAAAAAGCTTCCTTTAAAAGCTCCTAAAATGATGTAAAAAGTTTTTGAGCTCCTTTTTCATAGCCTCAGAGGATCCTTTTTGAATCATCTCGAATCTTTTCAGTTGCTTTCCAGCATGCTTTTTGTTAGAGGATGTGAAAAAGATGCAAAAAAGAAGTGAAACGATATAAAGAAGATCTGCTGGGGACCCTTTCAAGGTCTTTTTTTGAGAAAAGCTTTTGGGGAGCTTTTCAGTTTTGCCCGAGTAACACAATTTTGATCTTTTTTTTTTTTTGCAAAAAGAGCACCTTTGGAACAAGGTTTCGTGAGCGACTCCTTCCGCGGGTGTCATGAAATTCGTGATAGTTGCGTTGATTTTCTCGATATAATTCTCAGGAACATGCAACTTTTGCGCGGCTGTGACTACCCAATTCAAACGTTCAGCAGCTGGTCTGAAAAAAGAGCCATCTAAATAAACAAATGAACTAAAACTACTTGAAGAAAATGTAGAGGCCGAAAAGAACTGCCGAAGCGGACAATGGGAACTTCTTCGCCTCAGACATTCTGATCGAGTTCTAAATGGCGTTTTGAGGTTTTCTAACGTTGTTATTCTCACCTCAATCGGCCTCTTCTTTCTAATCATCCGTTGAACAAAATTGGCAGAGCGAATTCCACCAATCACAATGCAAATTAAAGACATTGTATATAAAGACACCGAAGCAGTTAGCTGGAAAAACAAACAGAAATTAAATAATATTTTCCCTTACTACTGTTCAACAGCGATCAATTGAAAATATTACCTGTTCTTGGAAAGTGAAAACTGTAGCATTTCCTGTAGCATTCGTATCGCCAGGTATAGGCGATTTGATGTCCGCCATAGTTACTACCCAGTTACTAAAAAAAATTTTTTTTAATATTCAGCGATACTTCGATGAAATTGAGAGCAATACAATTAAATTGAAAATGAGTTGCAAGTGAAACAGTTGTGAATCAAATTCAGGCGAATAGAATGTTGTTGTATCAAAGTTCTTTTTTCCCAAAGCGTTAGATGATCCATATCATTGTAAAAACAGCAGTGATAGGAAGCAACTCAAAGAAACAATTTAAGAAAAAAATTTTTGATTAAATGAAAGTATTAAGATTCAAAAAAAAAATAGAGAAAGGGAAAAATCAATTAAAATTATGCCGTGTTCAAAGTAATTTCCGCGAAATGCAAAATGGTCTCTGACCCTCCAAAATTTAGTTATCTTTCTCTTTCTCTGACGGCTATTTTGAATTTCGCGGAATCACTTTGAACACGGCACTAGGAAGATCAAATAAAAAGTTCCGCGGGTTTTTTAAAGAATGATAATTAACACAAAAACTCGACTAACTTATATAGAAAAACAAAAATGAAGTAACTATTACATGATCCACGTGTTTGATGGACCAGCCCACGTCATCAAGGGTGGAGACTTTATGCGACGTCCTCGGTGCTGATTGGATGAAGAGCTCCGATGTCCCGCCTATTTCAAGGAAAAAAATGTGCACGTATTGCATTCAATCGGAAAAAGTGGTGGACGAGGAGAGACGCAGACGCTCAAACCTTGCGCCAAGGCGATTAGGGGCGTGGCCGCGTAGGACACGTACGAGCAAGTGGCGAGTGCAAATAAGTCGAGCGGACTATCGGTTATTCCCTTTATTCACTTCGGTCCTGGGCGCCGTCTGTGGAGATGAGGTATCACGAGGTCGCCTTGCTCCTCGTTACCATTTTGGCAGTTTTTGGTAAGTGGTTTTTCTCAACCTTGTACACTATGTATTGACTGAATGAACGCGTTTTGATTAACGTAGCTATGGTTTTCGAAAACGAAAGTTTTGCTGGAAGATTTTTGAAACTTTTTTATGTCGAAAGTCTCCAGAAACATAAAATAAAGCATTCGTTTCGAATTTCAGCCTTCTACCCTTCGTCTGTCCATGCTGAAGATGAGCTGGACGATACACCTACACTCAAAACGAAAGTGAACAGTGGAAAAGGAAAAGGAACAGACGAGGATGTTGTGGCCAGGTAAAATTTGAAAATATTGCTGTAGCTTTTCGCTCATCTATGCGAACTAATATTGCATTCTCGTTTTTCAATTTTTTTGATTATTTGTAAAACAGTTATTGAAATGAAGACCGTGTCTGCTTTCCTCAAGTTCATAAATTTCCTTTCCATTCTGGTTTTGACAAATTCGAGTGTTTTTTTTTTGCAAAAAAAAAACTAGCTTATCTTCCTTTTTCCTGATTTTCTCTTTGTTTTGTTTGCCGTGCCAGTCAGAGAGACGAACTATGGCTTCACCTCTGTCTGCGTTTATATTATTTGACGGGAGTCAGATTTTCTTTTCCCTCTGTCTCTCTGGTCAGCACACTATTTCGCTCTGCGCACATAGGCGACTGTCCGTTGGTATGTATACTCGGTACCTGCCCGTTCCGCTTACTCAAACATACTTCTTTCTCGGAGTGTGTCAACTAAAAAGGTCGCGGCGTCATTAGGGAAAGACCGCACGGCAAATAGATTTTGTTTGGGGCACTCTTCACAAAAATGAGAGATAAAAGATGGTGAAATGGGCAGAAGAATTTTAAGAAAGTTGGTCAAGGTCAACAGTTTTTGCGGTGATTGTAATTAATTATCGCTTGGTTGAATGGAAAATTGGTAGAAAAGACTCAAAACAGAAGCCATGCATTAGAAGGATTATAGAATCCTTTCAAAATATGGGTTTAGCAAAATTGTTTCGAGATTATTCTTGCAGAGAGGAGGAATCGATCAAGCTAGATGGTTTGTCTGTAGCCCAGATCAAAGAGCTTCGGGCGAAGGCCGAGAAGCATGAGTTCCAGGCTGAGGTATTAGTGAATCCAAGAAAATTTGAGTGAAAGTTTCAATTTAGGTTAACCGCATGATGAAATTGATTATCAACTCTCTTTACCGCAACAAAGAGATCTTCCTTCGCGAGTTGATTTCAAACGCATCAGACGCTCTTGACAAGATTCGCCTGCTCTCTCTCACGGACCCTGATCAACTGAAAGAAACCGATGAAATGAGCATTCGCATTAAGGTATCCATTGGTTGAAAATAGACGCTGGAACTGAGTTTCAGGCCGATCGCGAGAACAAACTTTTGCACATCACCGACACCGGTCTCGGTATGACGCGTCAGGACCTCATCAACAATCTTGGAACCATCGCTCGATCTGGAACCTCGGAGTTTTTGTCGAAGCTGATGGACTCGGCGACGTCTTCTGACCAACAGCAGGACCTTATTGGACAGTTCGGTGTCGGTTTCTACTCTGCCTTCCTTGTCGCCGATCGCGTCGTCGTCACTACAAAGAACAACGAAGATGATCAGTATATCTGGGAGTCTGACTCGGCTAGCTTCTCCATCACCAAGGATCCCCGAGGACCGACCCTCAAGCGCGGTACTCAGATCACCCTTTATCTAAAGGTATCAGTTCTCCAGACATTTTAAAATATCGATGAACATTTTTCAGGATGAGGCAGCTGATTTCCTTGAGCCTGACACCCTCAAGAACCTCGTTCACAAGTACTCGCAGTTCATCAACTTCAACATTTACCAGTGGCAGTCCAAGACCGAAACTGTGGAGGTAAATTGACGTGTTTGAATTATACTCATCGTGCGAATTTGAGGAGCCAGTGGAGGAAGAGGCCCCGAAGGAGGATGGCGCTGTCGAAGAAGAAAAGGAAGAAAAGAAGACAAAGAAGGTTGAAAAGACGACTTGGGACTGGGAACGCGTCAACAACGTGAAGCCGATCTGGATGCGCAAGCCATCTCAGGTCGAGGACGAGGAATACGATGAATTCTACAAATCAATCACTAAGGTTCGTTCTTTCGAAAAATTTTACCAAAGTTATCATAAAAAACAGGACTCCGACAAGCCGCTGGCCCATGTGCATTTCAATGCTGAAGGAGAAGTCTCTTTCCGCTCGATTCTCTACGTCCCCAAGCGCTCTCCTAACGATATGTTCCAGGCAAACATATCTTTAGCCCAAACATCTAATATTATCATTTCAGAACTACGGAAAGATCATTGAGAACATTAAGTTGTACGTCCGCCGTGTGTTCATCACCGACGACTTCGCCGACATGATGCCCAAATACTTGTCTTTCATCCGTGGTATTGTTGATTCTGACGATTTGCCTCTCAACGTTTCTCGCGAAAATCTTCAACAACACAAACTTCTCAAGGTTGTCCGTCTACTTTTGCTAATATAACTAATTCTCTTACAGGTTATCAAGAAAAAACTCGTCCGAAAAGTGCTCGACATGCTCAAAAAGCTGGATGGAGAGCAGTTTGATGAGTTCTGGAAGGAGTTCAGCACCAACATCAAGCTCGGAGTTATGGAGGACCCTAGCAACCGTATGCGTCTTGCTAAACTTTTGAGGTTTCTTGAAAAATAATTTAATAGTTCAGCTTTTTTTTTTCAGATTCCACTCTTCTCAAGACGATGAAAAAGTGACGAGCTTGGCGGCTTACGTCGAGAGGATGAAGGATAAGCAAGACGCCATCTACTACATGGCTGGAACGTCTCGCAAGGAGGTTGCCTTTTTTCAATTGCAATCAAATAATGTTAAATTGAAGGTCGAGACTTCTCCCTTCGTTGAACGACTTCTTGCCAAGGGCTACGAAGTTCTGTACTTGACTGAAGCTGTTGATGAGTATTGCATCCAAGCCATGCCTGAGTACGAAGGCAAAAAGTTCCAGAACGTTGCCAAGGTTTGTTAATGAAAGATACTCGGAGAAAGTTGTCGCAAATGTGAGTAATGGAAAATATTCTTCAGGAAGGTGTCAGCATCGACGATGGAGAGAAAGCGAAGGAGGCACACAAGGCTCTGGAAGAACAATTCGCTCCTCTGACCACCTGGTTGAAGGAAACGGCCCTCAAGGTAGACACCAAGATGTCTTTCTTTCCAAACGCTGTTTTAAGGACGTTGTGGAAAAAGCAGTTGTGTCCCAAAGACTGGTCAAGTCGCCTTCTGCCCTTGTTGCTTCGAGCTACGGCTGGTCAGGAAACATGGAACGCATCATGAAGAGCCAGGCCTACGCCAAGGCCAAGGACCCTACTCAGGACTTCTATGCGAACCAGAAGAAGACTTTCGAAATCAACCCCCGTCATCCAGTGGTGAAGGAGCTTCTGAAGCGAGTCGAAGCCAACAAGGAAGATGCGACGGCCATCAGTACGGCCAAGCTTCTTTTCGAGACGGCGACTCTTCGCTCCGGCTTCGCTTTGCAAGATCAGGTACTTTAAGGAAGTTGTCAGGTATTAGTGTTCCATGCATTAGGTCGGCTTCGCGGAACGCATCGAGTCTATCCTGCGCCAGTCTCTTGACGTGTCGGCAGACGCTCAAATCGAGAAAGAGCCGGAGATTGCGGAAACTGAGGAGACCGAAGAAGAAACTGCCACGAAAGATGAAGTCGTCATTGAGGAAGAACACTCCGAATTGTAGACTTCCTTTTCTATTTACTTGTGATACTTAAATGTTTTTCTTTCTAAGAGTTTTTTTCTTCATTATTTTTTAATTTATTCGTCCTCCATCTTCTCGTTGATCTGAAACGAGTTGTTCAATGCAACAAGTGCTCGTTGAATACTTGTATTATGAGTTTTTATTTATTTTTTAATGATACAAAGTTGTGATTTTTTTGCTGACTTCAGCATTTACTTCTCGAGAAACTACGGTTCTTATTGTTCCTACTCATGTTTTAATAAAGTATTTAAAGCTTTATACGGCCGTTGAACCAAAAAGCGTGTCGAGAAATTTACAGAGAGATTATTTTTTTCGATATATTTTCTCTTATACGAGGCGCCAGCTGCTCTTGTATGATGAATTTCTTACCGATCCTCGATACCGCTTCCATTTCAAGCTTGAAGCGCATCTGCCGAAGTTTTTCCAGCTTAAAAAAGTTTTCGAATTAAGAGAATCAATAATCGATGAATAAACGTCTAACCTCTTGAATAACTTGAGGTTCATCGAGATTTTTCACACGTCTTGTCAGTTTTCGGATTTTGACGAAGTCACTGTTTTGAAGTGGAATGTATTGGTTGTCGGAAATAGGGCAAAAAGTCGCGTCTGATGGGAAAAGTCTGGAAAAAAGTGAGTCTCAAAACGAGAATCTAGTCAACCCGATCCATTTCATAGAGCTAATGAAGGCCTCGCGTCCTTCACATTTTTCATGATAAGAGCCATACTTGTAAGTAATATAGATCTGGATACCTAAAAAGAACTTTCAAAAATTAATGAGAAAAATATCACCGTGAGGATCAGCATCAAAGAAACCGAAAATGGGAATCCCTATCCTTTCAACCAGATGACGGAGAACTTTTCGAGTACAAATGTCCGGATATCCTTTACCCTGAACACCAAACTCGGATTTAGTCAATGAAAACTACCGTGACAAGTAGGCTGTTCGGAAAATAGGAGAAAAATCCTTCATCTATGATTTTTTGAAAAGTAGCTTCTTTTTCAATAACAAGAATGAACTCTGCGTCGTTGATTATTCTATAGTCTATCAGATTTTCTAAAATACCATAATAAGAGCATCTTTCAATAATATGTGTATGCCTGTGATCAAAACCGGCTCTAAACGAGCGTTGATGATCCCCGACTTTTCGACCGACAAAAAACTGACAGCTCCTTGTAAAATCCCCTTGCTGCATGAGACCTAAACCGGATATCGAAAAAATCGAACAATATGGTGGATAAACCACATTGAGATGGATTCGCGTGAAGTCGAGCAAGTCACAAATACTCGTCACTGAACGATCCAGGCTCGACTGCTTTTCGTAAAGCATCTTTTGTTCATAGTACAAGTCTCTTAAGAAAAAAAAACTAAGCTCTAAAAATTCAGCCAACCGTTTGGTAGATTGCTGGTTCCGGCAAACGAGCCGGTACACTTGGTTGAGACAGACTATATCACAAGCTAGCTTTTTCTGCATGTTCGAGCGGTAGACTAACTGCTTCTTTTCTTCGTCACCACTACTATAAAAAGAAAGGTATATTTGTAAAAAAACCAGCCTTTTTCAAAATTATTACTTTTTTTCGTGATGCCAGTTGACTTAAGAAGTCTAAAAAAACGAATTCCATTTTTTCCAGAGCTTCATCCTTTTCACTCTGTGCATTTTTCATCCTGTTTAACTCTGAAAATCACTAAATGAAGATTTTCAAGATCAAACCTTTTCGATACAACAACTTATAAACCATTGAAACTTTAAGAAGCAAGAAGTTTTTGAGAAACGGAAATGAAAATAGAATCAAGTCTAAAAAAACGACAATAAAATTTTGAGAACTCATAGGAGTAAGAAGTTTGTAAGAATTCTCAAATTTTGAGTGAGTTCACTAGACGATGAGCTCCCACATAGTATGTTCTAGCAAGAAGAAAGGAAAAAAATTAAAAAAAAACTGAGAAACGAAAAAAATTGCGAGAAAAAAATAAATAAAATGAAGCACTCGCGCTCCATCGCTTGGAAGTTTGAAAAAAATCATTTTTTTCACTATTATTTTACCTAGTTATATTTTTTATCAGTTTATTTCGAATATAATCGTATTATGTACTGTGAGAATAGGTTTTTCTCTGAGTTTTTTTCCAAGCACTTTATCACAAGTGCACTTATATGAATCCACACTGCTGTTATTATTTTGAATACATTTATTTCGATCAACTAAAAAAGACAAAGGTGAATCGAGAAGTCGATACAAATAGCTACCGGCACCCAAAATAAATGCCGATATCGCAGCGGGCCGCACGCGATATAGCCAAGGCTTCTCGCTGCGATCTCGTCAACATGTCGCTGCGACCTCGTCAAAGTCTCGCTGCCATATCGCTCCCTCTCAAAAATTTGAAATTTGAAAAACATTTTTTTTGCTTTATTTTTGACTTTTATGATGAAATCAATCAAATTCAAGAAAAAAAAATTTTTGAAGAAAAATTTTTCATGCCGTTTTCAAAGTAATTTCCGCAAAATGCAAAATGGTCTCTGACCCTCCAAAATTTAGTTATCTTTCTCTTTCTCTGACGGCTATTTTGAATTTCGCGGAATCACTTTGAACACGGCATCAGAGAGCGATATAGCGCAAGACGTTTGCGAGATCGCAGCGCGAGGCGAGCGATATCGCTCGCGGCTCCCCTGCGGTATAGCGTTACTCTCGCTGCGATATAGTCCACAAAGTTGGGTGGGGTAGCAACTTTTGAAAAAGTCAATCGGCGTATGGTAATCGGTGGTCGTTTGTATGCGACCGGGTACTATCTCTATGGTACCCGGGTCGGAGGTCGATGCAAGTAGCTACCGGGTAGCTACCTGACATTCGCGATTTCTTTTGGAAAGTCTGGAATTGCTTCCCGGGTCGTTATTTTTTGTGTCAGCTTTATTCAATAAGACCCTGGAAGGCTTGGGAAGGTGTAAAAAAACACTGATGCTATATAAACGACCGATGTGCCAGCCAGTGGCAATCGCGAAACTCAGATACATACCCGGTAGCATCCAGATACCGATCAGGTACTATCCAGGTACCATAGAGATAGTACCCGGTCGCATACAAATGACCACCGATTACGATGTCGCCGATTGACTGGAGTTGCTACCCGGTGCATACTTGTATCTACCTCTCGATTCACCAGTGGAATTCCTCCAGTTAAGAGGTTTGATATTCGCGCACGGGATGTTTTAAAAATTCTTTCGTTTTCTCTTATAATTCTTCTCCATTTGACTAATATTAAATTTTTATGTTTTTTTTTCGTATTAGGAAACATCAGAACTTCATTGCTTGATTATTATCTTTCCTTTTTTATTAAAATCTTTTCGATTTCGAATTAGATTAATTCAAACTTTTATGTTGTTTTCCAAAAGCTTTTCCGAAGGCTGTGCGCATTCTCGAACGCCTTCAAGGCTGAATGAAAAGACGGCGAGCGGGGTAGCCAGAGTCTCAACAGAGCGTTAATGCTGACCCACGCCACACTCACCTCGCGTGTCTGCGTCCATTTCGCAGCCCTCTTCATTCCTTCAAATCGTTCCTCAATCTCTTTTTGAACGTTTTTTTTGCTTTAGAGTTTTTTTTTCTGTCTGACAGGATGAGCGTTCTCAATAGATTTTCTTAAGCGAGTTTGAAAATTTTTTGTCGTTGCTATGGCTACTCATAACTATTTCAATAGTTCTTTTTTATCTAGGAAGTGGTAGTGATTCGTGATTGCTCGTGAACGGTTGCACGATGAGCAGGCCGGCTTACGAGCAGTTTACGGCTCAGCCACCCCAGCCTGCCGGCGACTTTGTCGTACAGCAACAGGGAGACGGGCAACAGGTACCCTTTCCTTTTTTCCAATAAAACTAGTGTCATTTCTTAACTTTCAGACACAAGAGCTCACGATAGCAAAGTTGGAAAACTCCATTTCCATCATGGAAGATCAACATTTGACTGCCGATCCACGATACGCCAAAATGCAAGCCCTTAAGTCGAAACTCACGGGTAAAACGTTTATATTAGAAGGATTTGTACGTCTTGTTTGCAGGTCAACCCGAAATTGCGGGTCCCACAGTCAGTCCGACTCCTACTCCCACTCCGCCTTCTCAAGTTACCAGCTCTCAACTCAACCAACTTAGAGCGCAAGTATGTTTTCTTTATCGTACGTCCAGCTTTTTTCATTTGCGACTCAGGTGAGCGCCTACAAACTTTTGGCACGAAACGAATCGGTCCCACAAACTCTTGTCTCGGAAGCCGTCGTTCTCAAACCGAAGTCTACAACCATCTTGCCAGAGCCATATGAATACTCCGGTGAATCGGAAACTGGCGAGAAGTTGCCATACGATTTGATGAAGGCATGTAAAAGACTCACTAATAGTTATTGAGGTAGTTTGTTCAGATTTTCAATTTGCACCAACATCGTTGCAATAGACCGACGGCTGTTACTGTCCCCGGTGGAATCGACCCCATGTCGATGATGAAAGAAAGAGAACACAGGTTTTCGAACTTTGATTCTTGCCATTCACTCGGTTTTTCGCTTCAGAATCCAAAATCGCATTGGAATACGCATCCAGGAATTGAGCAATTTGCCTGCTGACATTCCTCCCCATTTGCACTTGAAGGCAGAAATCGAGCTGCGAGCTTTACGCTTAGTCAATCTTCAAACTCAAGTAAATCGAAGATTATTGTAAATTTACATTGGTTTCTCAAAACAGGTGCGCAGTGAGATTATGAATGCCCTGAAGCGGGACACGACTCTGGAAACGGCCCTCAACCCGTACGCCTACCGAAGAACAAAGCGACAGTCGCTTCGAGAAGCTCGAGTGACCGAAAAGCTTGAGAAGCAGCAAAAAATGGAACAAGTCGGTGTTTCTTTTTTTTTTTTCATTTTACTTAGGATTGGTTTTAGGAACGCAAGCGGCGGCAGAAGCATACAGATCTGATGCACGCGATTATTCAACACTCCAAAGACTTCAAGGACTATCACAGGTTCATGCCTTTTCGAAAAAACTTTCAATTCGATTTTCCAGGAACAACCTCATAAAGCTCCAAAAGGCCAGGAAGGCTGTCATGACGTACCACCAGAACAACGAGCGCGAACGCAAAAAGGACGAAATCAAAAACGAGAAGCTCCGTATGCAGAAGCTGATGCAAGAAGACGAAGAAGGATATCGTGCTTTGCTCGATGAAAAGAAGGCAAATTGTTTCCGTTCATCCGAGAATCATCTGTGCGCTTCAGGATCAACGTCTCGTGTATCTTTTGCAACAGACCGATGAGTACGTCGAAAGTCTGTGTAGTTTGGTTCGTCAGCATCAGACCACAGAGAAGAAGAGAAAGAGGGAGGAGAAGAAGTCTCAAGTCAAAATTGATGGTCAGAAATGTTCAAATTTTGTCTTTATTCAATTTCTTCAAGATGGAGAAGCGCGGGTACATGTAAGAGAAACGGCAACAGGCAAAATTCTGACGGGCGACGATGCGCCGAAGCCAGACGAACTGGAAATTTGGCTGGAAACTCACCCAGGCTACGAGGTAAACTTTATTGAGAAATAGCTAGTGGTATTCAAAAATTGAAGAAATTTTTAATAAAGAAACCGATTTATTTTATTTTTCGTTTTCAAGAAAATCGTAGTGAAAACATTTTATATTGTTCCTGTAGGTTGTTCCCCGCGATCAACTTTCTGACGACGAAGACGAAGAAGTCGAAGCGCCGCAGCAAGTCGAAGAGAAGGACGACATGTACGCTGGCCTCGATGAGGAGACAAAGGCATTTTTCTCCATGTTTTCTCCTCTCATTCAGATTTCTTTTTTTTCTAGGCGAAAATGATCCTCGAAAAGGCGAGAAATGAAGAAGATGAGTACGACCAGAAAAGCAAGAAGCAGATGGCCGACTATTACGCCACGGCTCACAAGATCAAGGAGAAGATCGTTCAGCAACACTCTTCGATGGGTAATGAGGAGCTCAAGCTGAAGCCGTACCAGGTATTTGTTACATGTCTTCCGGCTAGATATTCTTGTGGTTCAGCTGAAAGGTCTCGAATGGATGGTCTCGTTGTACAACAATAACCTCAATGGAATTCTCGCCGATGAAATGGGTCTCGGTAAAACTATTCAGGTTGGATCGTCTTTTTCTTGAAAATATTTCTCTAAATTTTTTAGACGATTTCTTTGGTCACGTATCTGATGGAAGTCAAGCAGAACAACGGTCCTTATCTGGTCATTGTTCCGCTTTCAACTCTTTCCAACTGGACCATGGAATTCAACAAATGGGCGCCTACCGTCACCACTGTTCGTTTTGGAATTCTTCGATTGGCTAGTGAAAACTGTTCAGATAATTTACAAAGGAAACAAGGACGCTCGACGTCGCGTCGAAGCCACTATCAGAAAAGGAGCTTTCAACGTGCTGCTCACCACTTACGAGTACGTCATCAAAGAGAAGGCTCTACTCGGAAAGGTTGTTTCTTTTTCTATCCATCACTCATCGGTGAGATATCAGATTCGTTGGAAGTACATGATAATCGACGAAGGCCATCGTCTGAAGAACCACAACTGCAAGCTGACCCTCATGCTCAACGGCTACTTCCACGCCCAACATCGTCTGCTTCTCACCGGAACGCCCTTGCAAAACAAGGTCTTTTCCTGCTCTCTGCTCAAGACAATATCTGTTTTCAGCTTCCCGAGCTATGGGCTCTGCTCAACTTCCTTCTCCCATCCATTTTCTCGTCCTGCGGCACCTTCGAACAGTGGTTTAATGCGCCGTTCGCGACAACCGGAGAGAAGGTCGAGTTGAACCAGGAAGAGACGATGTTGATCATCCGTCGTCTTCACAAAGTCCTCAGACCTTTCCTGCTTCGGCGTCTCAAAAAAGAGGTTTTCTCTTTTCCCGAGACTTTTCACTGAACTGTGTCTCTCCAGGTGGAGTCTCAACTGCCCGACAAGACCGAATACGTCATCAAATGCGATATGTCCGCTCTGCAAAAGGTGCTCTACCGACACATGCAGAACGGTCTTCTTCTCGACAGCAAACAGGTTTTTATTTCTTTTTTTTATTGCAATTGATATCACTCGATAGTTCATTTTATAGCGAAAGGAAAACGCTTTTACTAAAAATTTTTTTCAAAGTTTTAAAAAATACTCTGGATATTGTATTGGAATATTTTTCTCTTTACTGTTTTGTGCATATCGTTTTATTCCTTCTTTTCTTCCGATATTTTTTCGAGCAATGCTTCTTCGAATTCGTGAGATTTTTTTTTTATTGCAACGCCTACCTGTATGCAAATGAAAAAAAAATCACAACTTTTTCTCAAGAAATGTTTTGATAGTGAAAAAGGAAGCAACTAAAAAAAGGTTATAACACTTTTTAGTTATAAAAAGTCTGAAAGATGAATCAAAAAACGTTTCAGCAATCGGGTGGACGTGCTCTGATGAATACGGTAGTTCATCTGCGGAAGCTGTGCAATCACCCTTTCCTCTTTCACTCCGTTGAAGATTCGTGTCGTGCCTTCTGGAAAGTGGACGACGTTTCTGGGTCGCTGATTTTTGTCATTTCCATACTCATTTCTGTTTTTCAGACAAGATCTCATGCGAGTGGCTGGTAAACTGGAACTGCTCGATCGCATTCTTCCCAAGTTGAAGGCGACAGGCCACAGAATTCTGATGTTCTGTCAGATGACGACGTGCATGACCATTTTGGAGGACTTCTTCAACTGGAGAAGTGACTCTTTTCTGAGTTCGTCTTTTCAGAGGCTATTGTTTCAGACTACAAGTATCTGAGACTCGACGGAAGCACCAAGCCCGACGAGAGAGGCCAGCTCCTGGACATCTACAACGCGCCCAACAGCGACATCTTCCTGTTCATGCTGTCGACTCGAGCTGGAGGTCTTGGTCTCAACTTGCAGACCGCAGACACCGTCATCATCTTCGACTCTGATTGGAATCCTCATCAGGTTTGTCTCATTTATTCAAATCAAAAATGAAAATTAAACTGTAGGATATGCAAGCTCAAGATCGTGCCCACAGAATTGGACAGAAACGAGAAGTTCGTGTCCTACGTCTCATAACTGCCAACTCGGTCGAGGTTTTCACTTGAAAAGACTACTTTGATCAATTGAATCTTTGCCAGGAAAAAATATTGGCAGCGGCTAGATACAAACTTAACGTCGACGAGAAGGTTATTCAAGCCGGAAAGTTCGACCAGCGGTCGACGGGCGCCGAGAGACGGCAGATGCTCGAGCAGATCATCCGGTAGGTTGAGCGGTGCAAAGCCTTCTATTCGACGGATTGAAGGGCGGAGTCGGAGGATGACGACGAGGAAGAGGTTCCAGACGACGAGACAATCAACCAAATGATCGCCAGAAGTGAGGAGGAGTTCAACACCTTCCAGTCGATGGACATTGACCGGCGACGCGAGGAGGCCAATCAGTTGCACAGGTGGGTAGTCAGGCAGACTGCGTCAAAATGTCCATTGCATCTAGCCAATTAAAAAAAATCTGGAATTGGTCAGAGAGGAATATACACGTATATGGTTCTATAGCTTGAGGTTATAATCTTTAATCAAAACCCATGTGAGAAAAACTAACTCCTTTCTATGCATATTTTTCAAGTATTTGCTATATTCAGGAAGCCGCGGTTACTCGAAGAGAACGAGATTCCAACCGACATAATCAAAGCTTCTGATGAGTTTGAAGAACTGGAAAAGGCGCGAGAAGAAGGTCGTGATCCGATCAACGACGTCGCACCTGGAGCGCGGCGTAAAAGAAGAGAGGCGAGATGAGGAAAGAGGAATTAGAATAAAACTCGTCGTGACAGGTGGACTACTCGACGGACCTGATGACCGACGACCAGTTCATGCGTCAAGTCGAAGAGGAGGAAGACGAGCAGGAACGACGCAAAGAAGAGAAGAAAAAGGCGCGAAAGCGGAAGGCCGGCAGCGTCGTCGATGACGAAGATGGCGACGGCGAAGCCAAGAAACGCAAGGCGTCGCCCGAAATCATTCCCAAAATGAAGCAGGTCGGCTTTTCTCAATATTAATGGTCGAGGACAAGATTCAATTAGTGAAAACAATTATATTAAATGTGCAATGCCTGTTTTTCACTCTTTAAAGTGAACAGGCGAAACAATAAAATTAAAATGTTACTTTTTCAGCTTTTGGATGTTATCCTTCAGTACCAAACTCAGGGAGGACGAAGAGTCGCCGAAATGTTCGAAGAATTGCCTTCTCGAAAGGTTTATAAAGCCGAAGATTTTTTTTACTTATTTTTGTTTTTTCAGGAACTTCCTGACTACTATTTGATTATCCCCAAACCCATGGACTTCAATAGAATTTCAAAGAAGATCGACGCCGGGCGGTTTGTAAAAAAAACCAAAATGTTATCAAATGATTTTTTGAAGGTACTGCACGATAGAAGAAATGAGTGCGGACATTGTATTGCTTTGTGAGAACGCGAGGGTTTGTTCACATGGATTATCGGTTTTGAAGATTGAGTATTGATTCAGACGTACAATGAAGAGAACAGCGAGCTTTTCAACGATTCTCTGCTTCTGGAGGCCGTTTGGAAACGGATCACCGGCGCCGTAGCAGCAAGTTTCGCGGCGGTCGCTGTGGTCCGTTCTTTTCTCACTTTTTTTTTGTCTTAGCTTCAATTTAACCTAATTTCACCTGGTTCAGGCAAGCTCTGCCGAACCAGCTTCTGCCACTCCAGAAGCCAGCTCCTCCTCCTCAGCTGCACCTCTGGATGCGTCTTCCAGTCGGAACAGTCGAGAGGGATCTCCCAAAACGGTTTGATTCTTATCTCAGTGTTTCTCCAATCTCTTGGTTTTCCAGGAAGGCTCCACGGGAAGACGCAAGTCGAAGCCTGTCAAACGCAGCGACACCAACGGCGACGAGTCTGATTGAAAAACCCTTGTATAAACTAATTATCGACTTTTATCTCTAATAATTATTTTGCTGTAATCGTAATCTCAGTCCATACAACATGGTTGTAATTCTTGTTAAGTGCGGTCGACGCTGTTTCACCCCGAAATCTCATTTTTGAATATGGCGGCTATCCAATTATATATATACCAATAATTTTTTTGTTTAAACCCTAAACTTCGATTGCAAAAAAACCATTTAATTGATTTGGGTCCATTGGAATTTGATGTAGATTTAATTTACTTCGATCTCTCTCAACGTTTGTTCTGTGAACGTGCGCCAATAAAAACTTCTTTCTTCACTATTTTTTCTCTCTGAAAAACACATCCAATCCGGCTGTTGCGAATATCTCTTTAAAATATTGAATTTTTCACGAATTCAATTCAATATATCCAAAATTAATCCTTTCTGATTTCGGGGTTCTGCGTCGCGTCATGTCAGCTTTGAGAGCAACCAAGGTACCTTTTTTTCAATTTTTATAAAAAAATACCTTTTTATTTCTTTTTTTAAAAAGTTTTTTTGTAGCTAAATGAAGAATAAAAAAATAATGGATGAAAAAAATTGGAATTTTTCTAAAAATTTTTTTAGTTGCTCATGTTAAATAATTAAATTTTTTTCAATATTTGAAAGGTTATCAAAAAGTTGTCGCTAACAAGTGTTAACCTCACTTTGAGGGCCTGACTGCTTTGGTAACTGGCGGAGCTTCTGGCCTAGGCCGAGGTACAGTGGAGACTCTGGCCAGAGCCGGAGCCAACGTCGCCATTTTGGACCTGCCGCAATCGAAAGGCGCCGAGGTGGCCAAGGAAATCGGAGGAAACGTCATTTTCACTCCGGCAAATGTGAGCTTCATCTGAAGATGCGAGCCGACGTCGTCGTCTTCAGGTGACGTCAGAGGCCGAGGTGAAGGCGGCCTTCGACCAAGTCAAGACTTCGTTCGGCCGCGTCGACGCCGTCGTCAACTGCGCCGGCATCGCCTACGCCTTCAAACTCTACTCGATCAGCAAAAAGAAAATGGCCGACCTCGACAAAATTCAGAAAACTCTCGATGTAAGCCGCCTTTTGCGAAGTTGAAAGAAACGCTTATAAATGGGAAGGAAACTATTTATTATTTCATTCAAAAGTATGAAGTTTTCTAAAAATTGCATGAAGTGAAGGTTTTTGTTGAACTAATATAGAAATAAAATCGAGTGTCGTTTTTTTTAAAATTGATATTGGAAGTGTTTCAGTATAAAAAAATTTGTTAAAAATTATTTTAGACAATTCATAGATTTTTCCCCTTTTAATCTAAATATCAACTCCATACTTCTGGACGATTTCCATTTTAAAGATGCTTGAAACTAATAATAAGAAAGAGTGATCAAAAACTAGGGAACATTTGAAAAGCAAACCGACTTACCCATTTTTTTCTGAATGCGGACTTCAAGCCCCGAATTAAACTTTCGGCTAAGGTTTAGCTGGGAAGATTTTCACGGAGAGGCTTCAGGTGAACGTGATCGGCTCGTTCAACGTGATCCGTCACGGAGTGGCGCTGATGTGTGAACACGAGAAGGACGAGCAAGGCCAGCGCGGAGTGATCATCAGCACGGCTTCGGTGGCGGCGTTCGACGGCCAGACGGGACAGGTAGGAGCTGGACGAGGTCCGTACAACCGAGCCTCGTTTCAAGTCGGCCTATTCTGCGTCGAAAGGAGCCATCACCGCGATGACGTTGCCACTTGCGCGCGACTTCGCCGACGACGGCATTCGGTTCATGGCCATAGCTCCTGGCCTTTTCGACACTCCTCTTCTGGCTTCCCTTCCTGAAAAGGTGGGGAGAACTTCTTAAATCTATTCAGAGTAAATTTTCATCGAAGTCATTTCGAGAAGCGTGATTTAATGTTTTTCTATAACCAAGAAAAATGGTTTGGGGCAAAAAAAAATTCACTCGCTCAAGATTTCAAGCTATTATAAAAGCTAGGTAGAATTTTTTTTTTTGTGAAAAGGTCAGATCGATAGGTTCATAGGATTGCCAGCGCACTGGATCTCATTAGAATGAGAATGCCGTACCACAAGTACTCTTATATTTGAAAGATCCACTCTATCTTTTATGTCGAGCACGCTCATATGAATGGGCTGTGTTAATTTGAAGTTGAAGGTTGTAGTTGAACACGTTGTTGTTTCAGGTGCGAACGTTCCTCTCGCAGTTGGTGCCGAATCCTTCGCGGATGGGCGGTCCACAGGAGTACGGCGCCCTTGTGCAGCACATCATCCAGAACGGCTACCTCAACGGAGAGACGATCCGTCTCGACGGAGCTCTTCGTATGCCTCCGTAAACATATTTCCACGGTCCTTTTCTATGCTCATTTTCATGTTAGGGGTATCGTTTTTTCTGTTTAATATTCGTTCTCTACAGATATCTATCATAAATGAATAAACTTTTCAAGAAACTGAAATTGCAACCTATTTGCTCGTCGGGTCACTAGTACAAAGTAGCGCTAAAAAGCAATCCATCAATTTGGCCGCCCGCATTGTGTGAAGTGACCGAGGCTCCGTCTCCTCTTCTCTTCAATTCGCTTTCTTTTCTGGATTGTCGCACCCTCTTCTGATCGATTTCTCATCTGGAGTCGAATTTTTTCTGAGGATCCGCCAGCTTTTTGTGAGTTTAATGTTTGCAAATGAATGTTCAGATGGGGAAATTCATTGCGATATGTGTACACCTTCCTCAGAGAAGAGATAAAATGGCCAAATACTTCTTTAGGAAGTTCAGTTAGTGCGTTTCAACTGAGTGAACGGTCTCCCAAGGTTGAAATTGGAAAAAAAAGGTCTAATTGGACTGGGCCGTACTGCGGATGAATCGCTGACCCTCGTCGCGTGTGGCAAATGAAAGAACAACGCAGCTGGCCTCTTTCCTAGGCCGGCCGCATTCCGAGCCCTATCTCTTTGCATTTTCCTCTTGCCTACTCTCATTTTTCGGACTCACTCCTTCAACATTTGCCAAATTTCCTGACTTCATTCGCAGCCCAGTGAACTCAGCGTTGCTTCCTGATTAAAGTGCCAGCTCTTATAAATAACTTAGCGTTGAAAGTATTATTTGTTCTCAATTCGGAAAAAAAAAAATCATATGGTTTCTTTTTACCGCAAATATTTTTTTATAACTTGAACATTTTTTTCAATTTTTTTCAAGACAGGATTTTTAAATATGACCGATTTGGTGTCGAAAAATTGCGATATGGTGTTTCGATGCATTTTTTTATGAACTTTTTTTCAAACGCTTTGGACAGACAAGATTTATTTACTGAAAAACTGCTGGCAGAAAAATTTTTCTGCTTTTTAGAGCAACATTTGAATGGAGGGTCATTTTGAAGAAATTTTTTTATTTTTAAGTCATGTAATTTTTCTGTTTTTAGTGCAAGTTAACCGAATGCATCAAACTTGACGCAATAAAGTTTCATTTTTTACTGAAAATTTTCATCTATATTTTTTTATCTATATGCCGTGTTCAAAGTAATTTCCGCGAAATGCAAAATGGTCTCTGACCCTCCAAAAATTTAGTTATCTTTCTCTTTCTCTGACGGCTATTTTGAATTTCGCGGAATCACTTTGAACACGGCAATAGATTTCTTTTTATTTTATTCTTCTCAAATATTTATGTCAATGTTATTTGTGAACTTACTTATATGGAAAGGAAAAGACATTTCTGATAAAGCTAGAGACTAGTTTGAAAATATAACCCTTACTTTGTAAGTAGAACGAACGTTAAATTTGCATTTCTGTACAAATCATTTACTTCGATATTCAGTTTTTACATTAATTTTTTTGATCAAATGATTGCGTGCGTTTTATCGATTATCTGAACGCTGTAAGAGACGCGTGTAAAAATTTTCGGCTAAATTTCACGTAAAAATCGTTTTTTATGCTATCTCAAAGTGATTCCGCGAAAATCGAAATAGCCATCAGAGAGTGAAAAAAACTAAATGCTCGATAGTCAGCTGATCAGATCTGAGGTAATTTTGCATTTCGCGGAAAAAGTTTTGATCGCTTCATTAAACTTCTTCATGAGAATTTCGTTTTTTTTTCATTTTGTGTGGATTTTTTGTAGTTTAATGGTCGCAATAATTTTATGTTCATGTAGTTAATGCTTTTTTCATTTTCAAAAAAGTGATTTAATGGAGTGAACTTCAACACAAATAGATAAGTTAACGTTGCCACGTTTACAGAAACGAAAAAAGGCCCAGTGCGTTGTTCAGATTGTAAACAATGTGTTTTTTGCTTTACTAACGGTTTCAGAACCATCAAGGCAAATTGGGCGTTATTTTCTAATAAATGGCTCTAAGAAGCGTAGCCAAAGGTCTTGTTTGTGTAGCTCTGATAAAGAGACTGCTGTTCTGACCTTCGACTTATCTGGTCGCCGTCCGCAGAATTTTTTCGCTTCGGCATGACCTTGACACCCCAGTGGCGCTCTTATCGCCGTTCCTTAATTACATGCTTCCAAACTGTTTTGTTTCCATTTTCATCGATAAGTTCAGAGGCATTCCGGCCACCCTGAAAGTTTCTACGCCCATAAAATTTTATCACCTCTTTTTTGTTGACATTAGCGATACAGACGAAAAAACGCCGTTTTTTTATTTTCGAGACTTTATTTTATGAACTCCTGATAACGCAAAGCTTTGAACTTTCAAAATCGATTATTCAGTTGAATCTAAAGTGTTTGCGTAAGCGATATACTTATTTAGTGGCGCGAGATGGAATTCGCCTGATCTGTCAGTTTCTAGTCTTTCCGGGCGATTCCTTGTTTGCGCTTCTGTCATTGCCTTTGCTTTTGCACCGAGTCCTTCCTTCTTCGTCCAACTTTTTGCTTCTCCTTGTTTGGCGTTACTTCTTTTTTCTTGAAAAGTTTTGACTTTCCTGGCAGTAAACGTTTTTGTACCATGTTATACCTCAGTTTTTCAATATTTTTTGCATATTTTTACTTTTTAGAGGCGGAGGTTCTGTTTGTTCTTTTTTTTGTTTCTGCTGTCCTTTGCGTACGGCGCTTAAAAATGAATCAGTCCCACAGTCGTTCTTTTTTCTACTTGCATTGTTCTTTTCGTATAGCCCTCATAACACATTCCTTCTCGTCTTCGAAATTGAAGATTCGGCTTTGAATCTGAATTTCAAATAGGCTTTTCAGTTACATTCAGTTATGACTTTCTATCACTGTAAAAAGCTCAACGAAAAAAAGAAATTTTTTTCTCATAATAAAAGGATTTCAAGCTTTAAAGAATTTTTGGAAAAGGTGACATTGAGATTAAAAAAACCCGTTCGAAATATCACATTCACGGGCATCAAATTTTCATGGCTTATCTTTATAGAGGAATTTATTTCCGACAATAAAACGTTTTTCACAGTTATGAAGTACAATGGCCTTCTATAAACATTCAAAAAATCTTTGGCTTTTTGTGTGCAATAAAATTTCGTTTGTTATTCTCGATGAATGAAGATTTGTGAAGTCTTGATTAACTGCTGAAAAATCAAAAAAAAAAAGCATGATTAGCAAAATACCGAATTGTTCTCTTAGTTGTAGATAACTTTGCTATGTATATCGAACAGGTCCATCATTAAGTGATTCGACGCAAAACTCCGTTCTGCATGAAGCCTTCCCTCATGGAAAAAGTCGTTTTTCTTTCAAAAAAAAAAAATCGGATATTTTACTCATGTGACCTTTCCAATCGACACGATTACGACTCAATATTATTACCTTGAAAGCCTCGAAAAAGAACTGTCAAGGGCCGCATGGCGATCGTCGCCTCGAACGCGATGAGCGGCGCCCAAGAAGCCTTGGCGAGCAGTGACGACGTCGTTCCGCCCAAGAAGGCCGCCAAGAACACCAACTGCGACGCGTTCATCATGAACGGTGAGGCGATCATCTCCCTCAGTCGCAACTTGTCCAGCGCCTACGCCAAGGTTTGTTCTCTCTAAACAACATTTCCGAGTAGAAGTTTTAAGCACAAAAAATTGAAATAAAGATCCTAGTGCGAGCGTTCCACAGTTCCCAAAAATAGACGGTTTGATGGTGACTCATCGTCGGCATGTCTCCGCAACGCATCGATTAGCAAACGATAAGAAAGTGTTTCGTTAAATTTAAGACTTTTCCACCATAACGTTATCTCAAATAGGAAATAAGACGAATTTATTGTAGAAAAAGTTTTGAGCCCCGAAAAAGATACTAAATGTTTCATTTTGAGCATTTTATATTTTATTATTCAATGAAATAGTTTCGTAATAAAATTTTTCTGGATAATATATCCTCTTTCTCTAACTTATAAAAAAAATTTTTTTAATTTATATTTTTCTCTTGTTTTTATAGATTTTTTTCCTAGAAAAAAAGAAAAAGATGCAAAAAAATTGCCAAATTGTGAAAATTTTTCGATAGAGAATTTACCTCTTAATTATATAAATTTGAAGGTTTTTGATTTATCATTATGATAAGGAAAAAATAAAGAAAATCGAGGACAATGTCAAAAAGTGCGGCATTTTGAGATGGCCAAAGACCAGCTGCCGTCGAACATCGAGGTGAATCCCTCGCCCTCTTCGCTACCGCAGTCGACGTCCGCCGGCGTCGCCTTCCCTTCGATGAAGCGCCGGAGCACGAGATCGCGACTCCCGGTCTCGGTCAGCCAGCCTGACGGCGTGCGTCGAACGGTTGGTCCGGCTCTCCTGAGCTCCACCTGAACTGTTTCAGAAGGAGTACGATACGCCAGAACGGACTCCGACCCTCGTCGAAGTTGAAGTTCCTTCATCTCAAGAAAATGTACGTTTTCTTTCTTCTTTCAGCTTTGAACTTTATTTTATGTTCTCTAAAAATGTTTTTATATTGTTTTTCTACCGTTTAGAAGGCCTGTCAAGTTGACTTTATTGATTTTGATAACTGCTCGATCCCAATTCTAAAACTAATTCAATTTTTTTTGATCTATCCATACGGTTAGAGTAATGAGGGTTGACATTCTTCAACAAATCAAGCTGAGGCTCAGCTTTAAAATAATTAAACACTAACTGATTAAAACTAACTTTTAGCATTTTTCAATATAATATTTAGAATGAATTTTGTCCCCCTTCAGATTTTCGAAAAGCCTTCAAAATGAATTTCAGTTTTCGCTCATGGTTTAGCTGTTCTTCAAAAAAGAAAAGAGCTTTATGCATATTTTTGATCTACATTCGACTTCTACAGGAGAAGGAAAACGTGACGACGATTGACGGAGCAACGGCCGCAACGGGGAAAGGCGACGAGCCGTTGCAGTGGTTCTCCGAGCCGAGCGGGAATCCCTCGGATCTCCCCGTCGGTCGGTTTTTAGCGCATTTCAAGCTATTCGACACGTGTTTTCAATACTCCGAATGATGCTGACGATCTCAATCGCCGTTAACCATGTGTGCTTCTGAAGATCCACTCGAGTATTTATTTCTCTCATGCTGCGTTTTCCTTGTCAAAATTCTTATTGATTTTCCATATTTTTTTTCGCTCGAGCGGAGAACTTTGGTTATCAAGTTGTTTTTCTTATAGTCTCATAATTTTAATTTTATAATTTCATCAGTCTTCATAGGCCGTTGAAATCAAAAGGCGCCGAGATCGGTTGAGCTGCCGATCCCTTTAGGAGACCCTTATCTATTTTTTTCCGTAGCCTGTTCAAATTACCAATTTCAGACCAAGTAATAGCTAATTTGATAATTTGTTCTTTTGTTTTTATATAATCATGCAGAACTTGAATGTGATTGTTTTTTTTTTTCACGAAACCAAAAACTAAAAAAAAAGAGGTTTTTTCCTGTTTTAACTAATTTTCATTTTCTTTCCAGAGTCTCCTGCGAAGGCTTCTGACACCTCGGAAGGCTCATCTTTTACCGCTCAATTTTCTTCTTCTGCGGCAAAAAATCCGGAGAAATCGGAAGTCGGCAGCTGTGACACGTTCATTATCGTAAGCTTTTTCGAAATGAGCCGCGTGTCCCCAATTAGTTTCACGAAACCGATTCCCACCTGACCAAGAAATTTTGCTACTAGACCGATTGAAAAAACGTTTCTCTCTCGAAATTTGAAACGATTTAAGCAAAGGAAAGTACTCTAAATTTCCAAAACCATTGGTAAAGTAATCGGGGTGTCTTAAAATTTCGAATAAGTCAGCCTTGTGTTATAAAAATGTTGAGAAATTTGGTTGGACAGATAATAAATGAACGATATTTTTTCTTGAATAACATTTGGAGACTAAAAATATGTTTTCCGGGCTATTCACAGGTTTTCTGAGAGATGTATGATCAAAACTATGTCGTTCTATAGAATTCAATAAACTGAATTGCGATTCTTATCGTATTTGACAACGAAACGTTTGAAAGTTGGACATTTTATTTCTGCTCTCATGATTTTTGTAAAAAGTTGGTATTTTTTTGAATATTTTCTCAAGCCAGAACCTATATTTTGTTCGAGAAACCACATGTGTTTCAGGAAAAGGAGGAATCGTTCGCGGAGAAAACGGCGACGACGCTTTGCTCGATGTCGCCTCCAGAAGCGTTCACGACGGCCATCGAGTCGCCGGTCCGCCATCCCAAGTCGGTGTCCGCGGCCAACAGTCCGAGCCTCCGTCGGATCCTCGGAACAACCGCCAATCCAGCGTCGCCGACCGCCTTCCACAGCAACTCGGGGACGCCGACCACCGCCGAGGGCAGTCGAACTGGCCTCAGCAATGTCTTCGGTAGTTCTTTCCTCCTTTCTGCGATCCTTAAACCCGATTTCCTGCAGTCGATCGCTACGGCTCGCTCAGGTCGAACACGACCGGAGGCCTTGGCGACGTGCCGCCTGGCGAAGAACGCGACGCCGCGGCACTCGCCGCCCGACTTTACGCCCTTCGCGGATACTCCATATCTGACGTGACAGAGAAGCTCAACGAAATGTCCGAATACCATCTAAAGTCCAGGCCTTCATCTCATTCTCTTTTCAGGAGCGATTCCGCCCAATTGGTTCTCGTCAAGTACTTGGAATTGTTCCAGTTCTCAAATCTACGTATCGACCAAGCCCTACGCGAATTCCTGAGCAGGTTCGTTGAGATATTACTGAGCATGAAATCGATGTAAAACAGTTTTCATTCCACCAATGTGTCACGGGGCTTTCTGGGCTAATTTATGTGAGTTTTCGCAATCAAAAAATGACAAAGAGCTCAGTTTTTTTTCTATTGAGTTGAAAACTGGGAAATAAAAAAAGTTTTTATTTTTTAGAGGTAGGCATTTGTTACCTAATAACTTTTATTTGAATCATTTGGTTTTGTCAGAAATGTTCTTTGATATGAATTTACTTATATAGAGAAAAAAACATACCTAGGTCTGTTTGAATATTTCAACTTTTTCATTCTCAAAATATAAGTTTGAAACGGTTATTTTTTTCAGATTGAATAATTGACCGTACGATTATCTTTTACTAACAGAAGGAGAACTTTATTCTTGAAAGAAGTTTTCAGACTTTCTTGCTATAATAAAAACAAAGTCTAATTTTCTCATCGAGCTTTCAGATTCAGAAAGATAACAAGATAACTGGTTATGCAAATGTTTCATTTTCCAGAGTTGAACTGCGAGGAGAATCTTCTCAAAGAGAACGTCTTCTGAGATTCTTTTCTTCGAGATATTACGACTGCAATCCTTCCTTATTCCCTTCTTTAGGTGGCGTTTGACTTTGAGTTTTCACTTCATTTTGATTCACTTCAACCCATATTATTTTTCTAAAGAGGACCGAGTAATCCCCAAATTTGGCCTTTTTCTCGATTTTCTGGTTTCAGACGACGTGCACACGTTGACGTGCGCGCTGCTGTTGCTCAACTCGGATCTGCACGGTCCAAATGGCGGCCGGAAAATGTCGCCTCGCGACTTTATCACGAATATCGCTCACACGGGCTCCGAGTACAAACGCGACCTCCTGAAACAATTGTACGCGAGTATCCGCGACAACGCCATCGTCCTCAACAGGTTTCACACCATGGATCCGCCCTCAAATCTCGTTTCCGTCACTCTTCTTTTGGATTTTGGTAGAAACAGTTTTCTGAAATTCTTTTGAAATTTGATCTATTAGGCTAGATTCTTTCGAAATTGATTTCTTTAATTCATTTTTCGTGATGGTTTAGGATATTTTTGATAATCGGTAATACGATTTTTTTTTCTTTCAATATTCTCTTTTCGCTGCGTTCTCACACTCAAGAAAGCGGAAGTTAAAAAAAAGAAATAAGGCTCTTCAGGTGAGGGAATTTTCATCAATTTCAAATGAAATTTTTTTTTAAAGCTGACATGAAAAAGAAAAAAAACATGATTAAGGTTGGAAGAAATATAGAAAAAAAATCTACTTTTTTCTGCTGAACAAAAAAAGGTTCAAGTTGATTGATTAGCAGCACGGATCGAACATCGCAAAGCGGATCGACGATCGGAAGACGTGCGACGATGAAAAAGTCTCTGATGCAATCGACCTTCGAAGTCGATCCAGATACCCAGGTGGAAAGACCTGGAATGATTGAGGATTCCAAGAGTTTTCAGGTCGAATACAAGGCCGGATTCCTCGGTCGCAAATGTCTGTACGATTCGGATGGCGCCAAGAGTGAGGAGCCTTCATTTTTATCTATGAATTTTCCCATCCTCATCCAAAATTATTCAAAATCGTTGATTATTTCGATTTTGTTGATGTTTTCAGCTCCATTTGGACGTCGTGGATGGCGTGTTTGGTACGCACGACTTCGCGGTCTCGCCCTCTATTTCGACGTGGACGAGACTCCGAGGGCGCGCAGTCGGTTCGTTCACTCAACTCTTTGGCTTTTTGAAAACTTCAAACTGACTGATTTTGCTTCCGAAATTCTTCTTTTTAGATCAGTGTCATTTTGACGGTTTTCATAGCATGATCATTTCGATCTAACACGTAAAAGAAAAATTCGAAAATCGGGGAAAAAATTAGACTCAAAGCAGCTTAAAAAATAAGCGAAATTTTCAAATCAGTAAAGACATTCACTGTAAAATTAATTTTTCCAGCTATGCAACATTTTCGAACGCAATCATGCTGCATCACAGTTTCGCCGAACCGGCTGCTGACTACAAGAAAAGACAGCACGTTTTCCGGCTACGGACCGCGAATCTCGGAGAATATCTTTTCCAGACCGGGTACGACTCTTTCTTTCCTGCTCCCGATCGGAAAATGATTTGGTATAAATGAAACCGTTTATGAACCCTAGTAAATCTTATCAACGCGATCGAACTCTGCTTTTATTTAATTTCATGGATGATTTTTTTGCGTACGTAGAAACTTGGCGGAAAAAATTATTCTAAAAAAAAACTTCGTTTCTTTTTGGTAGAGTAATTACTGAACTCAAAACGATGTTCCTTTCTTAGAAGTTTACAATTTTTTGCATTGTGGGTGAAAAAAATTTGTGATTTTCAGTTCACCAGAAGAGATGAATCAATGGTGCGAGCAGATAAATTTCGTGGCAGCGGCGTTTTCGTCGCGGGCCTTGCCGGCTCCGATCGCTTCGCAGGGCGTCTTCACTCGCCCCCGCCTCCCGCGAATGCCGAGCGTGGCTCCTCTGTCGCAGCAGCTGAAGTCGCACGAAGCTGCCGCCAAGGAGTTGCGACAACAGATGGAAAGAGCTCAGCGAGAGGCTCCGCCCCTTTCTTCGAAGGGAAAACTCGTCGCCGAATATTTCTTCCGTGAACGCTGTCTACATCTCGAGGTGAGACACTTTCTGTGCCTAGCTTGTGAAGATTTGAATGTTATATCACAAATAATCGATTTTTCTTTCAGATAACTCGCTACACAACCTATGCGAAAATACTTCGACAACGACTCCGAAGCACGGCTGGTCCGCGTCCTTCCGCGTCTTGCGCGACAGAAATTTGTGGCCAAGACGCCGAACTCGACAACATCAGCTACAGAAGAGCCGTCAAGTACTCGCCATAATATAGTCCCTACATATTCTAAAGTCTTCTAGTCTACGGGTTTTAGTGTCTTCTCCGATCCCCTCCTATACTCTGCTGGTGTTAACGGGTTCCTAAACTTGTCAAAAAATTTCCCTATAGCTGTTAATAGTATTTAATGCGCCGTATTACTAACGCGTGGTAATCTGTTGTCTGAATAAACTAATTTAGGTTGAATATTTTATGATTTTTTGCAATTTTTTTTACAATTTTTAAAACTGAAACAACTTGCAATAACAATGGTAGGAAAATAATGGAAAGACAAATTTCAAGGAACCAGAGTGATCGATCCAAAACTAGGCATTTTTCTTGTTGGCCGTTTGTTTCTGTGTAAGTTTATAGTAAGCCCCTTTCCGTTGAATGAGTTCGGAGTGTGTTCCTAAAAAAAGAACATGAGTTTCAGTTAGTTGGAACAGTCTCAACCCTGCTCTACGATAGTGCCGTTGGTGACGACGGCGATGCAATCTGCGTTCATGACCGTGTTGAGCCGATGGGCGATGACTATACAGGTGCGACCTTCTCGAGCTCGGTCCAGCGCCTCTTGCACCACCTGTTGTGCAGAGAGTTAGGGCTGAACATCCTTATGGACGAACCTTTTCGCTTTCTGTGTCTAGAGCACTAGTCGCTTCGTCGAGAAGCAGAATCTTCGGGTTGCGGACCAAGGCTCGCGCAATGGCAATTCTTTGCTTCTGGCCACCGGAAAGCTGAGTTCCTCGGTCACCAACTCGCGTAGCGTAGCCCTGATTTATTTTCGACTTTTGTATGAAGAAATCCAGTTTTCCATATTCTGTCGAAAAAAATGAAGAAAGGAGAATATAAATCAATAGGTGGGTTACTTTAAAGGTTGGCAATTTTTATTAGTTTACTCATATAAGGCACTCTGAGAATCTACGAGCAATCAAAAAGAATTAGCCTAGGCCCTTATTATGAAGAATCTAGACTTTCAAAAGTTTCCGAGAGTATGAGAATTTCGATTTCACACACATAAATTCAAAGTAACCTTTCTTGTGAGCGCAAGCTTCAGTTCCTAACGAAAATTCGGAAAATAATTAATGTTTTCCTACGTAAAATTGCTTCATCTTGATATAAGCAAAGTGGAATACTATGCGAACTACTTTTGGTTTTTTCGTCGCTTTCTAAAAAGTTTTCAAAGAAAAAATATTTCATTTTTCATTTAGCGCTTTTATTTGCCCTGGAAAGAAAACCAACGAACTTCTGGTAGACCAATGATGAATTGGTGGATATTGGCTTTAATGGCTGCGTTTTGAACTCTTTCCATTCCAACTTCTTCTGAAAATACCAATTTTCAAACCCTCGAGGACGTTTACCGCACCGTCCATGCCATATACAATGTTCTCGGCGATGGAACAGTCGAAAAGCGTCGGCTCCTGAGAAACGATGGCGATTTGAGCGCGTGTGAACTCCGGGTTCAGCTGCTGAATGTCGGTCCCGTCCAGAAGCTAGATGCAAATCTCGGTGAATTGTTGAGATGTCCGGGAAGACTCACGACATTGCCGGAGTTGACGTCGTAGAACCGTTCAATGAGCGACACTACTGTGCTTTTTCCGCAGCCTGACGGACCAACCAGAGCCAAAGTCTCTCCTGGTCTGACAGTGAAGCTGAGGCCCTTGAGAATTTCGATTTGCGGTCGCTCTGGATAGCTGAATCGCACGTCACGGAAAGTGACGGCTCCGGTGAGTTTCTGAAGTCCGATTCTTGTTTTGAAAGATGGTTAGTGCTGACGTTTTTGTCCCCTGAAGCAGAAAGACTGTCGATGGCGGACTGTTGGCGGAGCATTTTGAAGATGATTCCTCCAGCAAATGTCGCCTTCATGTACTCTGGGAAGTAGGACGTCGCGAAGCCAAGTGTACTTGCAGAGATCGTCACGGCATACATAACTCTGGGCCGAAAAGGTATTTCCAGTGAAGTGCGTCTTACCGGAGAACTGTTATAGGGCCCATGGTTCTGTTGACAATAAGAGCGAGTCCCATGCGGTAGGAACAAGTGTTGAGTAGATAGAGCACACAGCTGGCCATTCTGAAACGCTTCCCTACGTCTTCTGAGAAGACGTCATTCGAACCCATATGAGACGCCTTGGATGAAGGCGTCCTTGATGGCTTCGCGATGCGGATGAGCGAGCTTCTCGCAGAACTTCTGGTAGAATCTGTCTTCGCGGGTCAGCGCCTGCACAGTTCGCACATTCTCGATGGCTTCCATTGCGATCTGCGCAATCACCGATCAAGGACGGAATTAGAAAAGTATATCAAATCTTCGTACTGTTAGCTCAATAGGATCCTCCCAAATAATATGAGAAAAAAAGCAACTACATACTAACCCATGATCTCAACTTATATTAGGGCTTCTCAATAAGACCAGAATGCCGTTTCATTTCTCACGCTGAGTTTGAATCTGATTTTAGTAGTTCGAGGTCGAAAGAAACTTGTAGCCTCTCATAGTACAGGGGTGGGCATAAATATTGCAAGGTCATTCTAACTTTCTTTTTCGCCAATGGAATTTCAATCTGTTTTTTTTTGTTTTCCACTTTGCGAACCGTCGCTGGTTCTTCCACTAAGATTTTAGGTCAAGCTGCAAGCCCCGAGCTGAGCAAGACTCGTGCGAGTCCGATCTGCCCGATTTCAACACGGTCAAGGAATGGACCGGCTACTCATCAGATTCGAAACCCTTGACAATTCTGCATATTTATATTCGAAGTTGAAGGCCTGGAAATAATTCTATTTCAACCGGGACATGCTGATGGTCTCCATCATCGAGAATGGATGACAAGATCGATCTGTGTCCAAGGGTCGAATATTTTTTCGAGAGAGTCAAGGCGCTCAGTGAGGCCAATGAGAGTCGGAGCGAAAGTTGAATTATATGTGCTAACTTGGATACTTTGCCGATAAAAAAAATTCAGACAATCTTTTCTGAATCCGTTCCACTTGAATGTAACGGAATTTTGAAGGCCGTGCAATATTTATGCCCACCCCTGTAGATGAAATGGAGAAAAAAGAGACCTCTTTATTTTTTTTTTGGATTCTTTGAAAAACATGAAAACACACATCTTAGATTGAATTCCAAAAATACTCGTTGGAATGAGAACCTTTCCGGAATCGGCGAATTCGCTGGCACTTTTGGCGTTGACGCCAGAGAACCGACGACCTCTCAAGTACTGGCCGAAGCCGAGAACGGGCAAGATTCCGACGACGAGGCACGCCATCTGCCAGCCGTAGTAGAAGGCGAGAGCGATGCCAGCGACGACAGAGATCAGCGTGGTAATGACCGTCGAGAATCGGAAATCGATCGCCTGTTGTTCGGCTTTTGATCCTCAGACTCCAGACTTAGACTTACCGAACGGAGATTGGGCACGTCGGTGGCAAGTCGCGTGCAGATTTTGCCAGAGGCGTGAAGCGGTGAGTCAAAGTAGCCGATATTCTGGGACAGGATGTTGCGGAACAACTGATTTCGCATGTCCATCGCCAGGTTCTCCGATGATATGCCCATAAAGAAGGTCTGAAAACAGAAAACTTCCAATTCAGTTGGAACATAAATCATGAAATATGAACGAATTAGGCAAAGAAGTTATTTTACTCCCTTGTGAGGCTTTTTTTTAAAATATCAACTTAAACGCTTCTCCCATTAATTTTTCGGTCAGACGGCGACTCCTGAAGCTTGATCTCCCTAACACTCCTCTAACCATTATCTCATAGCTTTCATTTGATTATTTTTCGGGATAGTGGAACATTAAAAAATCTTACCATGCAAAAAGAAGTGATTCCTTGGGCGACAGCGAGAACGAGGAACATAAGAGCCCAGAAATGGCCTTCGGATAACAAATTCTTCGGATCCGTGAACGACTGAAATATTCTGCTCAGTTTCTTCAACAAAGGCCAGAAAAGGCTAGACTCACGCTGATGAACTGTGTGAAGAAAACAGAGTAGGTCGGATAAATGAAACCTGAAAAGGAGTCTTGAGCAGAAAAAAAAAAATAAGAGCCGACCTCCTAAAATTGCAGTAGACACGCCAATAATGATGTACAGCGCGTGAGGTTTGGCAAAAAGAAGGATTTCGACCAGATTCGTCTTTTCTGCTCCTTCCGCCGCCAGTTCTATCAGAATAACTCTCTTTTCATGTCACTTTTAGACAAAAATACCAGTTCGGAGACGCGTCATGACATCTTTCTTCTGTCTCTGTTCCTCTACGGGCTCCAGAGTCATCAAAGTCGCAGAACGAACTCTTTGAGAAATCTCATTCACCTGCAGTTTTTTTTGTGACAAACAGATTCTTGTTGAAATCAATTGAAAACGTATGCGAGCCGCTAACTTCAAAATGTTTATTGCTTTAAAATCACTTTCATTAGTTTCTTTGAAATTGACTTGAAAAAAAAGAAAATATAAAAAAGGCTCACGTCGGAAACTTGTCGACTGAAGTTTCCGTCATTCTCAACGTCCATGGAGCGATTCCTGACGCTTGTTTCTCGTGAGATTTTTCCTGAAATCATTTTTCTTCAAAAAACTGGCTTGGTTTTTTCTTCCAGTCTAATCATTTAATGAATTAATGTCGTTTCGTTTTCTTGTACGCCATACCACCGACGTATTATAAATAATCAAGTATCGCTATTGTTAAAGCGTCTTCTTTTTCTTTACTTCTTCTTGTACCTCACTAAATGACTTCACATACTGTTGTAGTAATATCCGAACAGTTCAAAACGGTACCAGCAGCGAATTCATCGACGGCGTCTGTGAAGGTCTGCGCCGTGACCAGGTCGTAGTAGAGACCCTGCTGAGCCATCAGAGTTCGATGGTCGCCTTGTTCCACGACGAGGCCGTCCTGACCTCTATGATCATCAGCTGGTTTTGCTTCTGACATACCTTGACGGCGATGATCACGTCCGCGTTCTTGATGGTCGAGAGCCGATGGGCGATGATGATGGTAGTGCGACCTTTTGCAGCCTAAATCTGTTGGTTCCAGAAGTAGCTGAAGCGGTGCAGACCTTGTCAAGGGCCTGCTGCACGATTCCTTCACTTTCCGCGTCAAGAGCACTGGTCGCCTCGTCGAGAAGCAGAATCTTGGGATTTCGGACCAAGGCTCTGGCAATGGCAATTCTTTGCTTCTGACCTCCAGAAAGCTGGGTTCCACGGTCTCCGACGATGGTTTGGTATCCCTCAAAAACAAATTCTTCATTATCCTCCTTTTCCAACCAAATAGTGGCCTCCTGCACTATTTATTTTTCTTTCGGAGATAAGATTTTTCGAAGTTTCTAAATTTTTCTAGCAAGCTTCTTTATGCAAGACGAAGTTTGATAAAAACATACTTGCGAAAATGTAAAACCTGCGCAGGTAGCAATTCAATTCAACATTTACCTAGACCTTAAGAGTACTTGGAAAAACGTTTAGAAAAATCCGAACTTCTTTCTCAAATGGCTTCTTTTGTTAATTGATATATGTATTATGGTATTGGGGAAATTGGTTCCTAGAGGGTTTGCTGAGGCACTGACCTTGGGCATTGTTCTGATGAACTTCTCAGCGTTAGCCATACGACACGCGGCGATCATTTCCTCTTGAGTCACGTTCTCGCGACCGTACTGAAATATCAACAGGACGTTTCAAGTTATTCCGAGCGAAATTTGACTGACTCTGATGTTTTCCTCGATGGTGCAGTTGAAAAGAACTGGCTCCTGAGAAACGACGGCGATTTGGTTGCGAAGAAACTCGATGTTGATGTCGGAGATGTTCACGCCATCAAGGAAAATCTGAGGAATCAGAAATGCTCCAACAACTAAATTTTTGACTCACGTTTCCTCTTGCGACGTTGTAATAACGCAGAAGAAGGCTGATGATGGTGCTTTTTCCGCATCCAGAGGAGCCGACCAGAGCCACCGTTTGGCCTGCGTTCACACGAAGTGAAAGACCTCGAAGAATCTGAAAGTGTTCTGTCATATGAGGTGAAAGTTCGGGGAAAATTTCGAGCTTTCAAGCCTCCTTAGGCTAGAGTAAAGACTTGGAGCACTTGCCGGAACATCCGGACGAGACGGATATTGGAAGTGGACAGAGTCGACGACGATGTCGCCCCTGATGTCCATGTCGTTGCAGCCTTCCTGGCTCGAGGAGTCAATCTCTGGATCTCTGTCGAGCACCTCGAAGATGCTGGAAGCGGCTCCCTGAGCAGTTCCGAGCACGGCGAGCTGAGGTCCAGCCAGACCGAGGGCCATAGAACCCATCATGACGGAGAAAAACGTCTGAACTACGTAGAAAGACGGTTTCGGAAGAGAACCATACAGTGAGCATGTCGGAGAGTTGCAAGGAGCCGGAGTGGGCCCAGTTGGTGCCGAGGTAGAAGGCGAGAGCGAAAGACGTGAAGTTGCTTGCCTGCATGGCTCCGAAGGAAAGACCGAGGAACAGACCTTTGAGGATTCCCGAGCGTCGAGCTTCTTTCACGGCGGCTGCGTATCTAGATTGGCATTTTTTCAACAATTTCTGAATAATTTTTAATATGGAATGTTTCCGGATAGATTCGTTTCAAGTTAAAACTTTTAATCCATCAAGGGAAATCAATCCGATTTTATTTGTCTCAATAACTTTTATGGCGTTCTAGTGGTTGCATTGCTCATGATATAGATTATATATACTCTATATAGATTTAAAAAAACTAAAAATTAATACTTCTCTTCTTCTTAACCAGCTTTACTTTTGTAGATCTTCATCTTGGATTTTGATTGATGTTAAAGGCTCAATTGGGGCTGAGCGATATAAACCTGCTGATTTCATGGCGCAACCCATTCAACGAGACCACCGTCCGTATGTTGGAGATGGTCTCCTCGGCGACTTTTCCGGCCTTTGCGTATTTGACAGTTTCCTTCCTCGCAAACGTCGACATCGACTGAGCTTCTTCCAGTTCCAGAAAAGTCTCAGGTAGAACTCACCTTGGCTATGCCGAATCCACAGGCCACCTGGACTGGAGTCATCGCCAGCATAACTAGCGTTAATTTCCAGCTGTGCGTGAACGCGACAACAAATCCTGAAGGTTGAAATCGAGTTTTTCCAGCTGAAAAAAGCTGAAACCGACCGGTTATGAACTGACTGAGAAACTGGAACATCATGCCAATTTTGTCGCCAGTTCCTTCTTTAACACGCTCCAAATTGCTGAAATATACCTGCTTGTGAGAAAAAAAAAGAAATTTTCAAAGGCTACTCTGATTTATTAGAAATAAGTCTTACTCAAAAAGTTTGGTAGCCAAGGTGCCCGAATGGTTTGTGTCGAACCAAGGTATGTCCTGCCGGAGAATCGCCTTGACGAAATTTTGACGCATTCTGTTATTCATCTGCTCGCAGACGTACAGAAAGCAGGTGACCTAGAAGCTTTGCTCACAAGTTTTGAAAGCTGGTGCCAGGGTGAGACCTGGACTTGGCCGGCGATCCACATTCCTACAGTCATTGCCGCGTAACCCCACACGACGGACATGACGTCATGGTTGAAGTCGGTTGTTGTGTAGTTCAAACCGGGGGCTAAAGCAACAGAATTCATTTCAGAAACGGCAAATTTTATGTCGACAGATTTTTTAAGAATTAACCCCTGAATTCCTACTCAAAACCGTTTTTTCGTCCACTCCGATGTCTTTCTTTTTCGGAACCAAAAAAAGCAAAATAAATTACTGTTCGGATTGTTGAGATATATGTCTTCCTTGACGAACGCCTGTGTCACTCGACCCTAAAACAGCCCATGTTAAATGAAATTTTGATTCACAGTAACCTATTCTGAAATATTTTTATTAGCAACAGTTTCAAGGGTAGAAAATCGACCTGTAAAATGGACATGAGAGGGTATCCAGCGCCGGTGACGAGGGCGACACAAGTTCCTAGAAGGAGCAAAAACTTCTCAAATGTAGTTGTATATCGATACTGAAATTCCAGAGTCCAGAAAAGCACACGAATTTCCCCGTTTTTTTCTTCAGACTCACCAGTTTCCGAAGCGGAACTTTTGTGATTTGAACTTCTCCCGCATCTCGTGTGTTTATTATCGCGTCATCTTTTACCGACCTGGAAAAAACGTTGTAAAAGAAAAGAAGAAAATGTTCTTTTCTGAGCTCTTTTCAGACTCACTTTGCGGCGCTCTTGATGCTTCCAAATTGGTTCCTGACAAGCTCTTCTGGGGAAAGACTCGAAGAATCAAAAGTCCTCGAGCTGCCTTTGCGAGACATCCCCGAAAAGAAAATCGATGGCTGGATTAAGATGTTTTAAAAAAGCCAGCTGAAGCTATATGAAACGTCAAGATTCAAAAAAACAAGGACTCCTAGAAAAAAGACCAATGATGAAACAAAAAAAGATGAAAAATGAAGCAAGTTATGACCCAAAGATGATGAGCTTTCTACTAATTTTGTTTCGGAATTCTGATTTTCGTAATTAGTGTGTAGAAAAAATTCTCTTATCCTCCAGATAACATTTCTACGAAGTAATACAGTCGAAAAATACCAGTTTCTACGTTCTATTTTATCACAAAAAGTGGTTCAGATCTTTCAAGGGAACAAAATGATAAGACAAAAGAGTTGGAGCCATTGAGCAAAATTGTTTGCCTCTGAAGGTCCAATCCGTTCAACTAGGTTATAATCTCGTAGAAGTCACTGAAAAAAGAGCACTTCTATACAAAATGAATGAAATAATATAAAGAGCTGAAGAAACTTGAACCAGGTTTGTTGTGGCAAAAAAAAATGAAAAAGAGTTGCCTTTTCAACAATGACTGAGCTCTTATCGTAGTCAATGTCATTCTTATGATTTGTACACAGCTGTTATCTTGTCGTCACAAAAACGCCGTAGGCCTAAAAATCAGCTAATTCCTAATGGTTAACTTGTAACGTTTCCTCAAGCTCCGGAATCGAATGAATTTTGGCTGGAGACACTTTCTGGGTGTTTGTCGGGTCCGATTTACAAGGGTTCGTCAGGCTCGAGATTAAAAAATTTCTCGCAGGATCCTTTCGTTTCATTGTGCAAGTTTATTTTCCATGAGATTGATATTCGAGATGATCCAAGGGCAAAAACGTCCCCCAAGCTATACATTTGAATTAGAGCCACGTTCTAATGTCTAAACGTGGTCGTTCACTTCCCGAGTGTTTTTTATGGAACGGAAAAAATTGGACCTGATTCGAGAAGAGGAAACCTGTGAGAAAAAGTGTGATTCTGTTGATAAACGACCGTTTTTGAATGAAACCGAGTAAGTAGAAGAAGATGGATCCCGCTGAACTTGGAATTTTCTAATCCGCGTTCACGACGACCTTTCGCGAGAGGAATTCCAAACTACAGTCGATTTCTTCAAGACATACGTCTTTTCCGCGTTTTCATCTATAAATGACTCCGATTTCTTATTCGTTCCACACATTCATATTCTGTTTCGAGAAAGTTTCAAAAAAAACACAGATTAAATTTAATAAATCTCCATTATAATAGAAAAAAAAATCATGTTGATATTAAAATTTTTCTTCTTTTTTTTTCCAACCACTGTTGTTGAACTTTTAACGCATCATAAACAACACCAAGAACAGCCGGGAAGTTGGACTGATTTCTTATCAAATATGTTTCTTTGGGTTTCGAAAACGATTAGGCGACAGAAAACCCGTGTAGGGTTTGAACTACATCTTGCACAACAGCTACGAAAATTGTGCCATATGATGTAAGAACCAGACGATTTTCCAAGATTTTATTACACTTAGGATGGAAACTCGAGAAGAAGACTTTATCTCGCCTGAAAAATTGAAACCTTGAGTTGAAAAAGACAGGGATCCAAATACCTCATCGTAACGTCTTTTGGTCTTTTCAAGAACCGCTTCCCGTTTCGTCTGAGGACGTTTTTGAGCCTTTTCATTAGAGGAGCCGAGACCCTGTCTGTCGTTTTTCAGTTTCGTGGAGATCTTGGAAAAAACACCAATGAGACTTTTCCTTTTCTTTGATGAATACCGGATCCACAGTTCCTTGCGAGGATTTGCCCAGACCTTGACCTTCGCTCCAACCCATCGACTTGAGCAGCTTGAACCCGACATTTCCCATATCGAGAGGCTTCTCCACAGGAGCGGCTGGTGTCGAAGAAGAGGAGTTAGCGGGTTCAGGTATTGCGAACCGGCGTTGAGATTCTAGAAAGATGTTCTTGAGCAAAAAAAGAAAATGATTACCGGGAAGAGGTTTGGCTGCACAGGCGCCGTACGTGTCGGTGGGTCGAACATGCGCAGGAAAGCCTTCCTCCCGTCGGGATTTCCGGACAATCGGAGCGTTGAGTGATTCCTGAGCTCATGCAAAATGTTTCAGGACGTAAGTAGCAGGCGAACATCTGGCGCGATGCCGTAGGAAGCCATCAGCTTCTTGAGCGTCTTCCGCCTGGCGACTTCCGATTTGACATTTCTGACACTCGCCGGTTCCTGAGGCGCTTGCACAGCGATGAGCCCCGGCTCGCAAGAAGGACAGGTGTTGGAACCTTTGCAACTGTCGTAATCAATTTCAATAGCTCGTAAACTACCGTAATGCACATGTAAAACGAACTTCTCCCCACTGACAAGAAGAACGTCGCCGTGTGCGATATCTACCGTCGACCCAGTCTTAGATATACAATTAAATTGCCGGGAGTGACAGTTACCTGGACGGCATTGGAGTTTATATGTACCGAACAGCGGTCATCCGTCCTGGTCAGCGTGTATCCATTTATTTCGGAAGAGTAGTTGATTTCCAGACAACTCTACAAAAACTTAACAGTTAAGAAGGAAAGTTCGTAAATAGAAAAGCGAAAAAAAACCTCTGCCAGAGCGGGATTCTGAAGGATGATTTCGTTGACGTGGCTAGAGCCGATGGTTCCGCCGCAGATGGTGATAATGTGAAGCCTTCGAGCGCCGTCGATTATTCGCAGCAAAGGAGGTTCATTATACCGCTCCTCTTGAAATAAAACTGAAGTGAAATATTCTCAGCTAATCTAAGAATTTTTTATCATACTGAAGCTCATACACAACGAATTCGTGAGTTGTTTAACACACTTTCTCTGAGAAAATTGATGACTTTTCAGCAATAAAAAGCAAAACAAAATAAAATTTTTTTTTGATTTACCTCAAAATGTGATCACGGCTCACACACGTGCTTCTGATTATTTAACACCAGGTTCCAGGTGACTCCGCCCCTTTTAAAAGATACTGTAGACAGTAAGCTGAAAAAAATTAATTTTTTTCCTGTTGAGAATTTTCATTCAAAAATGTTTGGAAATGTAAGAAAACACTATTTCGAGTATTTTTTCAGTTGCAACTTTTTTTCTAACACGACTTCTTCGGGGAGAAACTATCCCACCCCAGGGATTTTTTGTAGAACCACTTTTTCTTGAAGAAGAAGGCCCCTAGTTTCATAATCAGAGATGAAAGTCGTACCATAGGGGGGTTCTTACTCTAGTTATGGCTCAAAAACTGAAAAAATCGCTGTTTTGAGGAAATTTCGATTTTTTTCTCCCCGAAGAAGTCGTGTTAGAAAAAAAGTTGCAACTGAAAAAATACTCGAAATAGTGTTTTCTTACATTTCCAAACATTTTTGAATGAAAATTCTCAACAGGAAAAAAATTAATTTTTTTCAGCTTACTGTCTACAGCATCTTTTTAAAAAGGGGCGGAGCCACCTGGAACCTGGTGCTAAATAATCAGAAGCACGTGTGTGAGCCGTGATCACATTTTGAGGCAAATCAAAAAAACTTTTTTTTTATTTTGCTTCAGATTCATCGACTTTCTCAGAGAACGCGTGTTAAAGTCAACCCATACTAAAAAAAAAGCTTTGTGCCTTGTGGTCTGGAATAAATTCTCCCGATCTGTCTCGAACACCCAAGAAATCAAAAAGAAATCAAGCACAATTTTTAAACAAACCAATCATTTGTTGAGATCGCTCATCACAGTCGAAGTCGCTGTCACTTTCGTCAGTAGCGCCTTCCGGTTCTTCTTAGACAAAAATATGATCTCATTGTATCCTTCGATATTTTCTTCTCACTTTCTTCTGAACGGCTTGGTATAGGGCAGAAATCGCCGGTCGCTTCATCAAAAACTGCGTCACTCTGAATCTGTTTAACTTCATTTCTCAATTAAAAAAAATAGTTTACGCTTTTCAAGTTTTTCATAGCACCATGCTGAAGACGTTTTTGGTGGAGTAGACGGCGAATGTCCTTAGCGGTGATGCTCAATGGATTCCCGCTGGATGAAGAAGATTCCGGCTGTTCTTGTTTTTCGGCGTTCCTTTGAATTTCTTCCTCTTTACTGACTTGATTAGTCAGTTCGAGGAGGACGTCACATATTTCAGCTGTTTCCACGTCTAGCTTGCAAAAGTCCTCTCCGAGAAGACGTTTTGCTCGTTTTCTAGTTTCTTTAGAGGTCCATTTAACTAGAAATCTTCTGCTCAGAAAACAATATGAATAAAAAAAACCAACCACTTTGGTAACAGGCGAGAACGTCGTATTGTTGAGTGTTCTCATTGTAGCGATAATAAGTCATGTTATCAGAGTTATAAAAAAGCGAAGTATTCTGTTGATTCATCTTGTTTTTTGGAAACTGAATACAATTTACCAACCGGGTCATAAAAATATCTGGTCTCCTTGTTGTAATATTGTCCATATTCGCTTATAAATTCAAACCCTTCCGGAACGGATGCGTGTAAGACCTCGTTTGCAGCCTCTCGTAACATTTCTTCAATAGAAACGCTCTGAAAATTATGTTTTTTTTTTCAAGAAGTTGAATGCAGTTATACCGGGTCGATAGCCTTCTCCATTTGAAAATAAAAAAAGTTTTTCCTAAAAATACTGTAAATGATTAGAAATTTTTGCATAACTTATATATATCATATATAATATCTGAAAGAAAAGTCTTCGGAAAAAAACTTTCAAAAAAATATGGAAAAAAATTAAACTGAGAAAGTTCGCTCCGTGAACAGTATTAAATTTTTGAAAAATTAAAAAAATTTTTTTGTTTATAAATTTTTTTAAATTACTTGATCGGACTGGCAAAAAGCCAACTTTAAATAATGATAAATTTTTCTCCAAACACCGGTGGTAGATACAATCTTTTTCCAGGTTTTTCCACATTTTGACGCATTTTTTTACGCTTTTTTTATTTTGAAAACAACACGCGCACGCTTCTGTCCAATTTATTTCTTTACTGAAACTTTTAAAATCATGCTTAATTCGACGAATCTGAATTTTTTTAGTTATCATTATTTTTTTATTTCAGAAAATGAGAAAATGGCTGAGAAGAATATCGCGCGTAGTGATCAGTGGATGTGCTATCCTCACCGGCTTCGACATTATTGGACACCCAGCCAGCATTGTTGGTGATTCTTTTTTTCTATTTTTTTGAAACTTTAATCCTTGAATAATTTCAGGAAACTCAATGTATCCGGCCCTGAGGGGAGAAGATTCGCGATGGTATAAACGAGATTTTGTCTGGCTTTCGCGATGGTCATTGCATGCCTGCAGCCCCGGAACCATTCTCACATTCATGTTGGTTTCTTTTTGTATTTAAAAAAACTGGTACAAGATTTTTTATGAAGAACTTGAAACTTTTAAAAGATATCAGCAGAATCTAGCTCAGGTTTTTTTTTTTCCAAAAAGGAAGTAAAAAGAAAAGTAGTTGATTTTCAGTTCACCTCGAGATCCAAGCGCTGTTCACATAAAGCGAGTGGTGGCGACTGAAGGTTCTGGAGTGATCCCCCAACTTCGCGCGGAAGTAACGATAGTTCCGAAAGGTCATTACTGGATGGAAGGCGACAATCCACAGGCGCGGAATGACAGCAATGTCTACGGCCCAGTAAGTTTAGAAGCCAATTTTTTGCTCAGTTAAAATGTCAATTGCTTCGAACTGAAAAAATAAAACATTTATTTATAGGTAAGCAAAGGACTAGTGCGTGGTCGGGCGACGCACATCATTTGGCCACCTAGTAGGTGGCAAAGACTCTAGTAACGATTGTAATTATTGTCATAATAATAAAGACACTCTATATTCCTATTGGATCGTAGTGTAAAATGCTAAGTTTCAACGCAAAGATCGATGGAAACCCGAGATCTAAAGGAATGGCGCATATATATACTTTAGCTAAAAAGTCACCGCATCTTTTAAGTTATCACGGAATGAAAATCGAACACGTTCTATACAAAACTATATATGTGCTATATTTAAAGAAAATAAGAATCTATAGATTTTTAGTTACTAAGAACATAACTTGGCCTTTCTAAAGAGTAAAAGTCTGAAAAAAGCTGGCAGGCTAATGTGAAGCGATTGTAATAAAGTTGAGATTGTACAGACGAATCAAAATACACAAAAAAGTTCGTATTCACATTTCGTAGTCGCGTAGTGCCTCGGAGATCTTGAGATCATCTTTGTCAACGACTTTGCATTCGATCAGGAACTCTATGGCACTTCGACATCCTTCTTTAATCTGAAGTCTACCGAATAAATCAAAAATTAAGAAAGAATTGAACTTTATTATCAGTTCTGTCCATCATTTCTCGAGCTAGTATACCAGCCAACGCGACTAGGTCGTTTCTATAGAAGATTTTCGCCACAACATCTTCTCCCAAGGCAAAGACGCACAACAAGAATCTTATCCGCCGTTCTAAACGCATAAATATGATGAGAGATTTTTCTGGTCCAACCTGTACAGTTTTGGTTTATTTCTTGAATGAGGACAAGGCAAAGTGCAGTTAGAGCAGAGGGATCCGCAGTGAGAGATGCAAAAAATGACTCAGCAGAGAGATCGGAATTAAGGAGAAGCCACGTCACGTTGACAATCAATTCCAGAACGTCGACACCGTCGTAATAGTCGAGGGAGCGGACGAGCTTAGCAAAAAATTGATCGTTCAAATAGGCTAAAAAATGAATGATGTGATGATAGTGGTAGGTGACATACAAAAGTGGTCAAGAGGCGGCAAAACGTCCGTCGAATAGAGTAGTGCTAGAAGACTCAGCGAACTCGACTGTAACTTCTTCTGAGCGGATTCGGCATCGAGAGAAGGCGGAATGGACAGAATGGAGACCAAGGCGGTAGAAAGCCTCGATTCAATGAGCAGCCTGACGATCGGGTCCCGACACGAACGTACCAGTTCAGCCAGGCAATCCACCACCACCTGTCGTACTGCCGAGTTTTGGTCCTAAGTATTCACTGCAAATTATTCGTATAAAATGTAAAAAGGAACCATTTGTATGACGGAGACTAGTTGAGTGACCCATTCGAAATCGTTTGAGGAAACGATTTCCAACGGAATACGCGCATCTGTCTTCTTCTTAAAAAGTTGATAAAGATATAAAAAGACCTTTTCCCACCGTTATGTCAGTGAAGAGTTCGAGTCCTCGTATGAGCTCAACATCATCCTGACTAGACGAGTAACTGAGCTGCACCAGAATTCTATGAAAGTTCTATCGGAATGAAAAAACCTCCTGCTTTTCTACGAAAATGTCGAAAAGTCGACTGCAAATTGCTTCAAGAGAACGACGGTCGTAGCATGATTTGATATTAACTGTATAATTGACAGCCGCATTCCGAATTTCAGTAAACTGTGCTCCACTAGTAAAGTAACGCTCAGAACCTCCTTTGAGCTTCAAATACCTCAGATGTGGCTCGAGAAGATGGAAAACAGCGAGAACGGCATTGTGGCACTGTTCTAGGGGGGCGTCGGTTGTTTCTCGGACTGCGTCGACCGCCGCGGCGGCCAGGCGAGTTGCGTCCAATGTTGACTCGTACATTTGTTCTTTCTTCAATTCACAGATTTCTTTCAAAACGCTGAAAATTACTTTCCGTTGAAAGCCAGTTGCGAAAAGTTTATAAAAATAAAGTTCTTCGGACGAAAATTTCTCAAGATGTCAAAGGACCTCGAAAAAAAAAAATTAAGCCGTTTGCGATTTGAATCCGGGAAAATTATCGAGTAATCTCATAAAATCCCCACATTTTCTTTATTTTGTTTGGAAAAAATGAATCAGTACCGATTGGGAATTACCGATTTGAAAAAAAAAAAGACTTTCCCGAAAAGCCTTTATTGAAGAAATAAATAAAGACTGACACAATCACAGCTAGTGCAATAAGACTAGTAAGTTACATGAATCTGGGTGAGTAAATATGATAGTGAAAAAACTCCCTCGACACAAAAAAGACTGGCGACTCTATCGACAGCAAAAATTTAAAAAAAAGGAATGGAAGAAGGATCATGAAAGAGATAAGTTAAAGAAATCTAGAAAAAAGGATAAAGGACTTTCAAGCAAACATTTTATCAAAACGGAGATACAAACAGACTATATTCACAAATTCCAAAGAATTTTGGAAATGTCAGACGCCGAAAAACCGACGAAGAGTCGCTTCGGAAATTGCGTTTGACGACATCATGCCCTCGAGCCAATCTTCTTCGTCTTCGTCCTCCCAAGAGCTAATAATTATTCAAATTTAAATAGGGAAATTGATGAGGATCTCGTCTAAAAAATATTCTCTGGAGTGTGCAAAGGCGCTTAAGCTACCGAAAATCGTATAAGACATCGGAACGGTTTCTCTGAGAGTTTCGATACGATTGGTTGTATGAGAAGAGAAGATTGGAAAAAATTAGCGAGAAAGGAAGATTTTGGTCGACGTGACTCAGGTTAAAAGAATAGAATAAAAGATGACTGATGAATGGTATTTAAACTAGAACTTTTTTGATTTTTGTAAAGTTTAGACGAAATTCGTAAATTTTTTTTTTTTTTCAAATTTTTATGCTTCTCTGAAACGTACGCCAAAAATTCAGAGAGCTTGGGTCGTCGACGGACATGAGGATCCTCGCCGGGGTCGATACTCCCGTCAGGCATCTGGTGCTTGTAGAAACACTTGTTTCCGAAGGGACATCCCTCGCTCATCGAGCCGTTCTGAAAACTCAAGTTCACTGGAAATCACACTTTCAAAAATCACCGCGTAGTATTTGCAGACTTTAGTTTTGGTGTTTTCGATGTACATTTGGATGAGGACATTTTTCTCCTCTTCGTCCTCCACCCAGACCACCGAGGGGACGACATAGTCGCTGTGTTGTCTACACTCGGGACACGATCTGATACCCAACCATTCTCAACTTCTCTCGCTTTTTGCCAACCTAACGACTTTGCTGTCAAACTCTAAAGACTCGTGCTTCCTCCGCCACTCGCGAATGCAATTCAAACAGAAACAATGCTTGCAACCCTTCAATATTCCAAACCTCAGATTCTGAAACAAAAAATTTTTTTTTATGGAATGGGCTTTCAGAACCTTTTCAAGAATGTTCTCCATGCAGATTCCGCATGATTTGTCCATAGAATTGGCCGTGGCGAAAGCTTCGTTCATCGCGAGTTCGTGCGACGCCAGGCACTCCTCAAAAGAACTTCCTTACATACATTGAACCTTGTTTTTCTTTTTTAAAGAAGGTGAAAAACCCTGAGAACCAACTTTATATATTGGTTTCTCGAAATGTTCGTGTCTTGCCCTCGTATTTTTTCGCTACACAAAAAGTTTTTGAGCAGATTTTCAGAAAATTTCTGGTTTGCTAAATGAGTATTCATGAACATTTTATTATGGATTTCAATGAAAACGTAAAGATATGATGACAGAGTTTGGAACTGCAGAAGATGTTCTGTAGACTGCATACCTTGAAATGTTGGTGTCGAAGGTTCTCATTGAAAGGATGAAGAGAGTATCGACTACACATCTCGCAGAGGTCGCCGTGGACGAAAATGCAGTCCTGGCGGCTGCACTCGCCTTTCATCTCGAAGTAGGGACACAGTTGTCGAGCCGCCTGTTCCTCTTCTTCGGTCCGTGGAGCGGCTCCAGCGGCGGCCGCATAGCTCGATCCTGCCACGTATCTTCTCCTTGTGAGTTCTCCTTTTCTCTACCTCGCGAAACTTTCTTCCAGCTTGGGACAAACTCGGCGGCGGCGATGTTCAGCCCGGGCTTAGCCAATTGAGCCGGAACTGGAGGTTTCGGTGGCTGAACTTTCGCCGCTTTCTTCTGCGTGTTGCTGGCTCCCGTTTTTTCAGGCTTCGGTCTCACATGGGTGTAACGACACGCCGTTCCAAAAGTGCAACTGAAATCGATAATTTTCTCAAAACTAAAACAGTGAAGAAAAAAAAACGAACTTCCCACTGAGATAAAACCGACAGACTGTTTCGTCTCGTTGACTTCTGTCGTGAGAGTAGCTGAAAAACGACAAAAATTCCAAAAAAGCCTATTCTGAAAAAATCACCAACCGACAATCAGATCCTCGCGCGCAAGAACCGGAAACGTAGTAGCGACAAACCTTGGGCGTTGAAGAGCTTCCAGGGAAATCTCCCATAACTGATCACGTTTTTATCACATACAAAAAATCAAAGAGATAATAAATTTGAAATTGATCAGTTCACATAGAAACAAAAAACAAAATTTTCGAAGCTATTTATAGCACAAGCGAGTTACAAAAACGCCCGTCAGAAAAATATGTTTTCAAAGTGAAGTAGATATGCTCAAATTTCACACATTGCATGAGTAGATGATGTAAAAGTTTTACAGTAAAACACCGGGGAATGAATTCTGTACATAGTATAATACATTCGTCGATCTGTTAAGAAGTAGTTACATAATTTCACAAGCAGTTAGTAAAGGATAGCCGATATGAAGTGTCCTTTTCACATGACGATGCACTGAAAAAAAAAAATGAGATAAATTCTTGTTTTTATTTTTTTATTTTTCTTTTCTCGTTAAAGTTTCCGGTGAAGAATTTGCCCAGATTGAATGAAGAAGGGTTATTGAATTGAAAATCATAGATATCAAAAGTTAATTACTACGAAGAGTGAAAAATAGAACAAAACTCATCCGGAAAGAATCAAACAAATGAAGCTAATTTTTTTAATGAGAAAAAAAGAACGTAAGCGAGATTAATTTTTTTCTCTTTTTAGAATTTGCGTTTTATCATTATTTCGCTTTTTTTTTTCCCGATTCACTTAAAATTCGTTTGTACCTATTGATGGACCTATCTTCCGGACTTATAAATAATTTGACATAACTTTGGAATATTGCCTAGGAAATTCTTTCGTGGTGATAACAGATAATTTTTTCCAAACGGTAATATAAATTCGGTTCTTTATCGTTCTTTTTACATGTAATCATTTTGCGAAAAAAAAAAACTTTAAAATGTTTCTATCGTATCTTTTTTGAGTGCCTATATACCTTGTGTCGTTTGTACCTATTGATGGACCTATCTTCCGGACTTATAAATAATTTGTCTATGTCTGAATAAGAATTCAAAAAGTCGACAAAAGATGATAAAGAAATCACCTTGCTCTGGGATTTACTTCTTGGCATGGGCGGGTTCGGAGGCGACGGCGAGGGCGTCGAACCGCCGCGATTGGTCGGCTCCGGAAGGTTGCTTGCCTGTTCTTCTTCTTCATTTTGAAGCTGCAGGGCAAGCAAAAAGCTGTAACAGAATGAGATTTGTGGAAATCTCTCTCAGAAAAAAACTCTTTGCTGAGGACTTCAACGGAGTTGGGAGATGTTCCTCGAGAATCGGTTTGAGCATCAGAAGGAGTCTCAGAAGCAGAGGCCACAGGCGGGACGTAGGTGTGGAAATCGGGATTCACGAAGAAGGAATCGCCGTCGACGCTGCTGAGCGACTCCCAGACGATATTCGGCTCCTCGGCGAATCCCTCGTCCGTCACCAAAGTGAACAGTTCATCCTGCGACGACCAACAAATTCAATTTTATCAAAAAAGGCTTTATTTCGAATTCATGAAGATGCGAACGATCAAACTTATTTTTTTGTTTTCGAAAGATTCATATTTGCCAGAAACATGAAGTTTTACTCTAAATAGAATAAAATATGACGAAATGAGAGTTTCATCATCAACTGAAATGTAATTGAAAGATTCGAGAAATTCCGAGAGCTAGTCAAATCTGAAAATAAAATCAACTAACCCGGCGCTTAAGACACGTGTAGAAGTGATTGTTGCGGAAAAAAACAGCGATTTCCCCATCTTTCATTCGATCTATCAGCTCCGTTAGCCCATTGAAAGTCAACTGACTTTGGTAGGCTGAAAAATACTTCTCATATAGTATAGTAGAATCAAGTTTAAAACCTTCTAAAAATTCTCTAAGAAGCTCCCGATCCTCGTTTTTTTCGTTGCAAATTTCCATAACCAACTAAAAAGTCACAAATTAGCCGGATATCTTTTTAAACGAGTACCTGGTTGTACTTGAGCGGCTTCACGAGGTCGTAGATGATCTTCATCTGCGGATCGGCTACCCAAGCATGATAGAGAGTGATGTTGAGAAGGTCAAAAAGAGCCAGCGCAGAGGTAAATTCGAAATCCGTTACGTTCGAGAAACTGAAAGATAAGAATGCTTTTAACTCGGAAAAAAAAAATGAAACGAAGCGCAGAGAATAAGAAAACATTAAAATAAGGCATAGTAGATAAAAGTGTATCAATGATTTTTCTTAAAATTACTTTTTCCACTTATATTTATTTAAGTTATTTTCCATGAATAACAGTAAAAATTTAATTTTTTTGATCAAAAAAAATTGTCATTCAATAAGCTCGATTATGACTGGCTCAATGTTCAAAACTATGCTTACGATAAAATTCTTTTTTTTTTGATTCCAAAAAATAGGATTGGAAATCCTCGAAGCTTCAGTGAACAAAACATAAAATGAAGATATTGAAATCAGATGAGGAATAACAAAATGGCAAGCACAATCTCCTAATTACAAATATTTTTAGCATTTTTTCTCTTCACCCGTAGGTGTTCCTCAGTCTATGAGACAATATAGACGAAATTTTATTAAAACAAAAAAATTGAATTTAAGGAAGACGTGGAGAGATGGTTGAAAAAAAAAGTTCGAGACTGTATTTGTATACAATTTTGAGGCCAAGTGAATGAAGAAAGAACGAACCCGACGTTGACGTCGAGTCCCTGATTGAGAGAAGGAAGGAGTCGAATGACGTCCTCGAGATTCCGCTCGAAGTCCTGCTGGTTTTGCGACTCAGCAGGCCGCAGAAGACGTTCCGCGACCAACTGCACGAGCTCTTCGTTGACGACGACCGGATGGTCCGGAATCGTAACGTCTCCTTGGAATTGTCGCAAATTTCGAAGGTTTTCAAGACAAAGGTACCTCGTAAAACGAGTGAATTGACGATTGCAATCAGAGGACAAGGACCATTCTTATTTTGCATCACAATCCTATAAGTGATGGGTCCAAACCGAATGCATTTAGCCTGCAAAATCCAGTTTTGAATTTCAAATCGATATTTTTTCCCGAAAACCTTGTAAGTGTTGCCCGCAGTGGTTTGCAACTCTTCCACGGAAGGCACGTAAGGTCCTTTTTGGGCACAAAGCCTTTCCACCTCCTCTGATTTTGTCTCATTTCCGGCTCCCAAACGATCTTCTCTAGTCTCCTCAAGAAGATAAATCGAGACATTAGAAATGGCAAACTCTCTACAAAAAATTATGCAATATTCTGTTCGTAAAGCATAACTGGTTTTGATGTGAAAATCATAAATAAAAATGATTTATTACAGAAATGATCTTGAATGAAACGTAGCAAAATTTTTACAGGGAACAAGATTTAGTTAATGAATTCTTAGTGACGGCTCACCTTGTCGGCCTTCGAATTATCCCCCTCGTGTTTGTTAGAGCTCTAAAACAAGCATGAATATGAATTGTTTTTTATTCTCAAAAATCAATAATGGAACTTCGAAAGCTCGATGCAAATTTTTCTAATTTATTCAATGTTTTCTGAATCCAAATTCCACGCATTCACACTAACGTCATGAAAAAACACCTCAACCTTGTCAAATAATAGATCCGGAAGCTTCTGAACGGAAATTGAGAGAAAACTTACGCCGACTTGAACTCTCTGGACGTCCTCGGTGTAAACGGGACTGCTGTCGGCGTGGACGACGTCCGTGGCAAAAGCGTTGCCTGGAGTGACGTCAGAACTCGGATCTCCCGCTTCTTGGCGCGCCTTCTCCGACGTTTCCACAGCGGGCTCTTCGTGAGCCTCGAAAATGGCCTCGTCTCCCTTGGTCGTTTCCATTTCTCCTTCGTATTCTCAAAACCATGTCTAATTAGCCTAATTTATCAATCAAATCTCACTTTCTTCTTGTTTCTGCTTATCGTCACCTTGCTGAGGATCTCTGCCTGACTCCGACATCTGGAAATAACTGATGAGCAACGGCACAAAAGAGAAGATGAACAGGATAAAAACGAAAAAAAGCACTGAAAAATATTCTCGTTTTTCAACTAAAGGTGCGGAATTGGCGGCTATAGTCTGTTCAGATTTTGAATGTCAAGTAGAATGACGTCATCCAAAAACACTCTGTGGATGGCTCGCTCTCTGATTGGTTTATCGCACCATTATGGGCGGAGCTTGAGCGACGAGTTGACATTTAAAATCTGAACAGACTATAACACTACGCTCGATCTTCTGGAAACAGGCATTTTGCAAAAATGCGAAATCGTAAACTATACCACAACGGTTTAAAATTGAAATATACCTTCGCCACTTTGATTGAACCTTTCAACAGATACATTCAAATCGAAGAATCGTCCAAAAAAAAGAAAGAAAAATAACTGCCAACAAAACGCTGAAAGCTCGAAAGTGCAACTAGAAAGAATCAATAAAAGTAATCTTGATGAATGTGAAGCAAATTAATACTCAGAAGCAGTACGAGTTGATTAATTACCGTATAAACCAATTAATGCTCATAACTCCCTCGAGGACGCATGTAACAAAGAAAAAAAGATTGTGAGTGCACTCAGTGCTCACGAGTTAACAATTGATCGCTATGTGCTGAAATAAAAACGATATTCCTGACGCTCGTATATTGCGAAACAATAGTTTTATTTTTCACTCGATAAAGGCTATTGCAATCAATTGAAATTTATAGAAATTATTAAATTCAGAAAAAAATATTCTTCGAAATATTGAAATTTATTACTGAGATTTCGCTTTAAAGCAGTTCTACCCACCTAATCAAAAAAATTGTCTGTTGACACTAAAGACCAGGGCATATATCATAACAACAAAAAATAATTTCAAAAAACTGAAAATGAAAACCTCGTTCCGATACTTTCGTAAAAAGTTTAAAAAAGGTCTGTCGATTGCGCTCTATTGAACCTAAAAGAGAGCAATTTCTCTGCCGACTTTTGCGCATGCGACTAGTCTCGGCAGTTATCTTTAGTGCAAGTTTTTTTTCCGTTTGAATTGTCTAAAAACAAAGCGCAATTCAAGCTATAGCTTAGCGCTAAAAATTTAGGTTGATGGTCAAAAAGGATTATACACATTAAGTAAAAACTTTTCTATTAAATGATAGATTCTCAAGCGATTGCTCGCTGTGAAAACGAGAAGTTCAAAGAAGAATCCAAATATTTATTAAATAACGAATCAATACAACGCATTATCGTCCGAATTGCAAATAGTTAGCCCCGCCTGTAGATGTAACTTTTGTTTCTAACATTGTTTGAGAAGATGGCGCAGCTGACTTTGGTTTCGGAGTGCAGAAGCCACATGAGAGAGGACAGAATTCCTGTAAAAGATGATAAAAACCTTTTTATTTATTTTTTTTTTTGAATTCTAAAATCTGAAACTGAATGAACCTGCATGATTTTTTCGAAAAAGAAGGAACGGCAGCGATCCAGCCATCTCCAGCAGAGATTCGTCCTGTCGCGGCACTCTGAAAACAAAAAAGGATCCTTTTTCCTTAATTTTAGTACCGTCGTCAGGTTCTGGTGCGACGATCTGCACGGCGACGGGCTTGGGGATTTCAGTGACGATAGGCGTTGCCTCGCCGGCTTCTGTGCATTGGTACATCAAATTCATCTTCAGAACATCAACCTGGATTTTTTTTTGTTTCCGAGAAACTGCTTGCAAACTTACCGGACTGAAATCTATTGCAGCTCCAATCACAGCGGTCATTTCCGGCCTTTTGGCGACCATAGTCTCGAAACCGTTTTTAGAAAACGCCAAAGAGTCGTAGTGCACTGAAAAGTTTTGTTTTTACATTCCTTTTACGGTGAAAGTGAACTCGAGCCATTTATCAATATTATGAAGTTTCTAATATCTTGTTTTGGCTGATCTTGAGCCTACAATACTAATTCCTTTTTTCCATAACTTCGAGGGCTTCTTTTTTCTTGAAGTCTATTTTAATCTATTACTCCTCTTAAACATACATTCGAGAAAAAAAAAAATCACAACAGTAAATTAATAGGGTGATAATATCCAAAGAAAGAAGTTAGTGATAAAGTATAGGCGTAATTCAGAAAATACCAACAGAAAATAACAACCCCTACATTTTTGAGAGGGAAAAAACTCACTAATGGAATAATAATCGTAGACTTGACCGTAGTAAGAGCTTTCAGCGAGATCAACTTTTCCAAACTGATCATAGGCATCTGAAGATTTTCGGATGAGTTCGGTTGTTGGGATCATCTGGAACCTTTGTCGATGTTGTGCCAGAGAATGTTGATATGTTGGTCTCTATCCCATCGCTCGTGCTCATGGTAGAAGCCAACAGAATGCATGAGTTCGTGGATCGCCGTGTCATACTGTCAAAATTAAATTTCCTCTTCAATTTTTTCTTTTTTGAAACCAATCGAAGTCATAATTTTCTTACTAATTATTTTATTAGCACTTTTCACTTTCGAAAAATTGAATCAATATCTGTTTGAACGCTATTTTTTTGACAATCTACCGAAAATACTGTTCTCCTTCAAATTCTATCGATTAAAATTTTTATTACGGTGTTGAAAAACAGTACAAAAAAATATGAAAATTCAGAACAAAGCTGAAGATTGAAAAGTTCTAGTTCATAATCTAAAATTTCCATTGAAAACTGTAGAAAATATCAAGGAAGGTTTGAACTCTTCATTTTGGGTGAAATGTTAAAAAGTTTCCGTTTTGTGCAAAGTTCTTTCTACAATTTTCTATGAAAATCATAGAATGGAACTGTAGGAAATTTTGCTAGGTACCACAACGTTCTAACATAATTAAACTGTTTTCCAGAAATTTGAACAAAGTAAAAATGGGAAAGAATGAAAATAAAAGTGAATACCTGCATACAGCCGTCGTCGAGAGACAGTTCTTGACGGCCACCCGCACGTCCGACATCGGAAAAGCACCTACACCAATCGTATAGAAAAGAGACATATTTAAACTTCAAATAACACTCACCCATCAATTTTCCCTATATACAAATAATCGTTATCTAGAGCGGTCCTCGGCACAAATTTGATACAAGTTTTTGAGTGGTAAGCCTGAAATTCCAAAATTTCTTAAATGGCCAGAGCTCTTGATCAAGAAAGCACGACGCTACTGTTTTTCAAACTTTTTTGAGTTTCCGTTGTAATAGGAACTGTGCTTTAAACATTTATTTTGCAAAAAAAAAATAGCTGAGATATTATAAGATCTTTACCTGGAAACTCCGGGCAAGAACTGCGCGTTCGCGCTCGTTGTACTGATTGGATAGAACATAGGGGATCCTGCCGTTCGGCCATTTGCGGACACCGTTAATAACTCCATTCCGACGCCATCCCTCGCGTTGCTCCTGCAAAGCTAAATTAATTGATCAAAGAAATTGCAGATAATGAGGACGTCCCGAAAAAAGCCCCCTTTAAACGATTTTTTGGGCTCTGTTTTTCGTTTTCTCCCAAACATCAAAAAAAAAAAAAATGGACGGCAAAGGCTTGTCCCTGGAGCGAGCCTCTGAAGCCAAGTTTTTTTCTGAGGCTCTTGTGAAAAAAACGCGGCTTGGGCGCGAAACGGCAAAAAGAGACCGGTCGGCTTAACGGTTTCGATTACGCAGTAGTCCGCCACTGGTTCTGACGTTTGAATCGTGCCGCGAATTACTCAATCATTCAAACTTTCATCGAAAGTGAAACAAAACATTGCGTCACTCGATGTGAACTTTGTTTTGAACCAATTTTAAACCACCCTTTTTTTGGAGCCTAAAAGGCTTCATCCCTCTTTTTTTCTTCTTTAAGTGCCGCAGCTCGTAATAGTAAAATATGCTACTATGCTCGTTGAGGGAAGAATTATCCACCAAATAAACAAATCCACAATCAGTGAAAAAAAAGAATATTTCATAGCGATCGTTTGAAAAACACACCAACTTCCAGGCAGCCTTGCCACGGATGTCGCCCTTTCGAAAAAATTGACGCCAGAGGATTTTTCCGGCACCAATGTGTCCGTCACTAAGAGCCTCTGCGTTCTTGAAGTCTTCCTCCGTCAGAAATGTTTCTTCTGCTGCGAAAATAATTGAAAATGAGAATTTCAATAATATTGAGAAACGAAATATATAAAAACTTTAGACTTTTTCACAAAAATCAATAAAAAAATTAACCTTTTTTAATTTCACAAGATGATAAGCAGAAATTCTTTTTATTGGATGGTTCGGATCTGAGAAAAAATTTTTTTCGAAAGATCAGCCCAAATTTCAGACTAATCGTGCGCCAAAGCAATACGACACCAGCTGAGAATGGAGCGGAAAACTGTGAGCCAAGGAAAAAAAAAACAAAAAAATGAAGATTAAGAGGATACCATTGAGAGGTCGTACAAAATCGTCGTCGCTGAGAAACGTCTCATTTCTGTCGATTTCTTCTGGAGACCTGAGAGGGATGGTCGGCTCTGAAGATAAATTTAAAGAAAAGGGTTATCGAAAACAGGCAGAACTAACATAGTTATGTCCAGACAGAAATTCGACATCCGATAAAAAACATGAAATTTTTGCAAGCCAAAAATAATAAATAAATGAATAAACTTCTCAATTATTGACAAAAGATAATAAATTAAATCAAAATGCTCACCTAAGGAAAAAATGTCCACTTCTTGGGCTATAGAAAATTTCACAATGTAGGCCAATAAGACACAGGAATAATAAATAGAGTACTTAGTCGGACTACATAACTTCATTATCTTCGTATCCACATTATTTGAGGCTCAGCTTCACTCTTAGCTGAGCTGAAGGTTGAACTGTCGGCCGTTAGGTTCACGTAGCGGAAAGAACCAAACAAGACGTTGGATGAGCCCTCAGGGGCAACGGAAAAATGCGTCGTCCGCTCAGAAATACACACAAACACACGCCTTTTCCTAGGAGAGGGCGTGTCGAATCGCCGCCGACACACACAATACCGCCTGTGGCATCGCTGGCGACACCGGTCCTGCCGGGGACGCCGCCTCTTTGCCATTCGTTTCCTACGTCATTCTTTCAGAATGCTTTCCAAAGATCATCAAATGGATCAATGAGCTCCAAAGACTTCAGTTACTTGTCCTCAATCGGCTATTCCTCTAAGCTTATTAAGCTAGATCCCCCCAACTATATATCAGTTAACCCTGGCGGCTTTTCGCGGTAAAAATAAAGCAAAATGACATTTCAAAACTTATGAAACTAAAAATCTTTTCTCAAACTCCTTGTAGCTTCCTTTCCAAAAAATTGAAAATCTCTCTTGAAAAAAACAAATCAAAAATTTATTTGCCTATTTTTGGCTAAAGGGAACTGTAGATAAGTAGAAAAGTACTACTGATTCTCAAGTGCATAATACAAAATCTCAACTAAGTTGGGTAGACCAACTTACCAGAGACGTCATGAGACGCATTGATTCGACAGCTCAGAAGTTTTTGAAAAAAAGAGAGAAAGAAGGTGTTTAGTCTGCTAGTGGAAAACGGATTTCTTATGATTGCAGTGATGAAAATGCCAAGCAAGAGGTGTTCTTGTTTATCGTAAAGATTGGTGCTCAGAATATCGCGTGTGAGACGTCAACTAGGCGAGGAAGAAGGGAGGCGACCGGTTCGGCGGGTTTGGCGACTGCCATCCGTCTGTCCTGCAGCCGCGCCGTCGGGAATTAACGCGAGTCTGTTTCCGGGCCCTTGAGAGCACACGAAAACGTCTGCGCCAGGTTGATCGTTTATTCCTGACAAAATCTCAATTTTTTTTTTTTTTCAAATATTCTGCGAATATTGAGTTTCAACCATTAGCATATTAACTTCCGCCAATCTTTTTTTTGTGTTAAATGCCTAGGTTCGTACAAGATGCACTTGACCAAGAAGATCTATGTAGCTGACAGGGAGCCGTTTCCAAAAGGAATAATGAGCTCTCGCAAAAATGAAGCTCTCTATTTGATTACACGAATAGACAGGCGAAAACAAGGACTTTCGGGCCTGATGGTCCAAGTGCAAATACATTTTGTTCTCGTTTTCCTCTTTTGTTTTTTTTTCTACGGAGGAGAGCCAGTGAGTGTTTCGAGTGAAACAAACGCAAAAAAAGAGTCGCTAAACTCCCAAATTGGCTCTGAGCTTTTTGAACATCATGGAGGTGAAAGTCCCTTGAGGTGCCGTTTAAGTCTTGAACATCTTCAAAGGTGTGTGTCCGCCGAAAAAAAAAATATAGAAACAAAAAATTAGTTTTTGAATTTCCGACGAAAACTTAGAACAAAAAAAACATTTGACAGTCCGTGATAATTTATTAAATTCCATCAGGTCTCTTTCATATGAAAAAAAAAATTGAAATAGAAAATCAAATGAGCTGGAGAGTGAATATTACGAAAAGGTTTTTGTTCGAGGATTGTAAGAAACATTTCTACATCTACTGAGTAATGTAATTTAGTCATAACTGAGGTAGGTGAAACAAATGTACATAAATGGAAAGAAATGAGAATATGAAGATAGGAAAAGAGATTGAGAAAAACGGTAAACAAGGAAAATGAGGACTTTGACAACTCGTAATATTCAGTAAATCAATGAAAACAGTGGATGAGCAAAAAATGTTCTTTTTAGCCGGAGGTCAATTTTTTTAAACCTACTTATGGTGATTTTTTTAATCAAAGATTGAAGAATTGTAGGTGGTGATAGGTCAGAGGTTTGTGCAAGCCGCCAGTGAAACGTTATTTTTCCTAATGACTAATCTCTTTTGGTGCTGTAAGATATAATGAGAAGGCTTATAAATGCTGGCGTGGAGGTTATGAGAGTTCACCGAGGAAGAAAAAAGTAAAAATTAAAAACATGGAAATTGATATAAACATAAATAGCATTCATGAACATACCTAAAACCGGGGAGCTTCGAAAAACGAAAATTTCAGCAGAATTAAGAAGTTCAGAAACTTTTCAACCGTAATACGACCGACCGCCGTAAAAGGGTGTGTTCTCAAATAATCTCATATTTTACTAGCTTCTTTTTCTGAATGATTTTTTTGAATTTATCGTGAGGCATCTGGAGCATTGATAATTACGCTTCATCAACTCAACAAAAAAAGTTAAATTATATGAAAATTCTGAATAATTCGTCAACTCCTTCTGTATTCATTTTAATGAAAAACTGAAATGAATTTTTAAGAAGTTCTACAACTATTTGGGATATACATTTTTGCAAAGTTAAAAACGGTCTGCCACAAAAATGACGACTAAAAAAGAAAAGACTCAAGTTTTTTGCTGGTCCTTTTCCGAAACGGCTCCAGGAGTAACTTCGAGCTCGCGGAGGGCGTCGACGCAGTCTTCGGCGCTCGTGACGTCACTGACGAGCCACTCGGTCAGACTCTCGTGATGACGCCACATCTCGTCGTCGCCAGTCGCGTCAAGCTCCTCTGCAGCCAACGCAGGAGGCTCCTCCGTTTCGCTTTCTATTTCGTCGATCTCGAATCACCTTTTATGAAGAGTAGAACTAAGTTGTGAACCACCTCACACAGCGGGAAAGGTTCTTCGAGGTTGAGGTACGATCCCGACGGCAGTCCTGTCAAATTGACGACGAGCGCGTCGAAAAGCTCAATGTTGTCGAAGGCGGACGTCGAGCAGCTCTTCAGCGGAAATTAATATTCGAAAGAAAAAACAGAGAAGAGAAGCAGTAATTTTTTTCTAAAATGACTTCACATAACTCCAACAAGAAGTCTCACTTAACTGCAAGACGCTTTGGCAGAAAAACTAAGATACACATTACTGCGCATCTTTAAAGCCATTCAAACCAAGAAACTTTAGAAAAACGTATGAAAAAACATTTAAAAACTCAAAAAACGGCAAAAAATACCCACCATGGTTCGACGATTGCCCTCGAAAAAATCATTTACTGGGGAAGTGACTCTCACAGCAGGAAAACTGACTTTTCTGGAAAAAAACGATGATTTTGTTCAAGTTTACAAAAATAAACCGTCTGTTCATAACGGCGCTTTTTGCGTCTCGATCCATTCCTCTAACTAACTCTGTTGGCACCTCAGGCGATCCAATCAAAGATCCTATCCCGAGAGAAGCCAAATTTATCGACACCGATGCCTTGTCTTGTCTAACTTCTGGAAAAGCAAAATGAGAAATTTCACGAATTCTATGCCAACTTCCGATCGCCCTAACGACTGGAGATCTTCTCGCAAGTCTCCATTTAGCAAAAACATGAGACCGATGGAAACGGACGGCATTCACAACGTACAAACCGTGTGCTGTAAAGTGATTCTGTGAAAAATAGCACATTTTATGAACCAGCCTTTGTTCCCAAAAACTCTCGAAAAGTCGACAATAAATTCGAGATCGTGACTCCAAAGAAGAGGAAGACCACTGTGGTCCGTAAAACCGGAGTATTCACAAATCGTTTCCACCTGAAAAGTCAAAATAACTTTGAAAAGAAGTTACGTCTCCATCTCAAAAGAAAAATAATGTTTATAAGGTTTTTTTTTTCCAAAAATTCAACCAAAACACTATGACTTCTCATTGATAATTTTGAAAAATCGCAACGTTCGAAAACACCAACTTTTTGCTAAAAGTAATTCTTGAGAAGTTTTCTCATTCTTCAACCAGTACATCAAAAAATGTCTTGATCCGCATCTTAAAACTCCGATTTTCGGTTTAGCTCACTAGTCAGAAGTTCATACATGAAAACTCCGGGTTCATTTTTCGATCAAAAGATATTTATTTACCTGAGAACATTAAATTTCAAAGATAAAACCTCGACAAATCCGCGTTGGACGTGCACAGTCAGCTGTCGCTCCGCCCTGCGAAGGAAACTGCCGTCGACGTGGAAACCGATGCCGCCGGCCGATTGTTCGGATTCTGCAGCCGCGGCTATCGGCCCGAAGCCCAGTCCCACGCCGCGGCATTTTTTCACGCGGAAAATTACGGATAAGCCAAGAAGTTCTAGAAAACTCTTTTGGAAGGATCTGACGTCGATCCAAACCTAAGGCATGACTCTCCGAACTGACAAGCTTCTCAGAAGAAGTCCCTGGTGAACTCTGAGAATTCATCGAAGAACTTCGGTTACGACGCACAGGATGAGTCGATTCGCAAGAATGATAACCGCTGAAAATCATCAATATGCAATAAGAATAAAAAGTATAAACTTCCTGAAAAGGCGGACGTCTCGCGGGAAATCCCGACTGGAAATAAGTCTGAGGTCTCGAATAGCGTCTCCTTCCACTCGAGTTACGAGTCCATAATGTTCGTCTTCTTGAAGATTTGATATTTGAGAATGGGGAACCTGAATTGGAAATAAGTTGCTCAGTTGTTTCATAAAAACCTGTTCGAATGAAATTATTTTCTGAATTCCAAACTGCCAGCTGTCTCCAATGAGAATGGGTTTCACCACACATGTAAGGCGTCCTGCAAAATAGGATGACTCTCAATGAAACATACAAACTATATGGAAAAAATAATAATATAAAACTAATGTAGAAAAATAGTGTAAAAGAAAATGAAACGAAAAAGAAAACAGAATCGATTACCGATTTGTGATTTCGGAATGTTTGGATGAGTGTTACTGTCGACGAGAATACCAAGAGAGTCACTGAAAGCGCATGGAAGGGTGAAGTCAATTCCGGCGTGCGTGAAACAGCCAGTCGTGAGCGCCGAACATTCAATCTTGAACATTGGTCCTTGCGTTTTGAAAAATTTGCACATACACAAGCAAGCGAATCGTGGGTTTTGACAAATTTGATATTTGTCCAGCGAGGTATGCGACTTCCAAAAATCGAGCCTAACTTCAATACCTTGCTTATGACGATGAAACCATGACTTTGCCTGAAAGCGTGATAGCCCGGAAATCCCAATTAAAAAATTTACTAACGATTCACGCAGTCGGGCTACCAACAAGGTTCCTACAGTCAGATTGGAAACACACAAAGACTCTAATATTTCCGAGGACACTTCGGCTACCTGAAGCTTCTTCCCAAAACTGACAACATATCGATCTGAAATATTGTAAGTGAATGGAAATAATCAAATTACATACGACGAGTAGGTTCTGGCTGCAGCTCTCCAACCACTAAAAGCTCGCCAAAATTCAGAAAATTGGTTTCGTTGTCAGTAAACATGTCTCACATCGGGCGAATCTCTAAAAAAGGTCATCTAGTTCATTTTTGAAATCAAAACAGTGACAAAAAAAAATTGTACGATGTCTCGACCTCCGCAGAGTAAGTCCGCATCATCGCGAAACAAGTTTAGATTCACAGTGAGGTAAATTGTACAATAACGGGCTACTCCAAGATGTTTTAGAGAAGAGATATACTTGATGAAGTATTCAGGCATAAACCCACCAGTCATTCGTTTTTTTTGAAGAGATTTTCATATTCAAAAAGAAATAAAAGCTAAAAATGAAAAAAAAAAAGAAAACAAAAGAAACTTTTTGCGTGTTTTTAATTGTAAAGCTCGAAAGAAGAAAAATCGAATTAACTTCTCGGGAAGCTTGACGAAAAGTTATTTGAAAGCTTAAATTACTCGTTTGACTGGCTGAAACGTAAACTAGCCAGTCAGCAAGTTACTCAGGTACGTGTAAAACAAAAGTTTTGAAAACTTGATTCGTAATTCGAAAAAACAAATCACTAATTTTCACTCTTCCACGAAGTCGCGCTCTAATGCAAATGACCGCAAATAAAACCTCTTAAGGGGAGAAAAAAGTGTGTCACGTTATCTGGAAAACATTTTTTTTAAATCTACGTTTTATAAAACGAGTAAATGTTTTATTTCGAGAAACTAGGAAATTAATACTTGTGGCGTTACAATGGCTTTCACTAAAAGCGTTATGAACGGTCTTATTTTGGTCCAAAGCATGTAAAAAGTTAAGGTTTTCAGTTATACGGACTATGAAATCAACGCGACTAACGAACGGTTTGAATATGAGACCGGCATTCTTTAACGACAGTCCAATAGTACTGAAACTCATACAAGACAATTTTTCAAGGGATCCGCATTACAAGGTAATTTATCTATATACATTATCAGTTTGATCAGAATTTCTTATCTTTTAAACAAAGGAAAAATGTCTATCATTGTCTAAATTCGAATTTCTAGAGCGTTGGCTGTACAATCTCCGAACTGGGGCCGATCGCTAATCGCAAATTGCAAAAGGCCCTTCAACAGCCATATTCACTAATCATCGAAGATTCAGTGAATTTTTTTTTTCTCATTCTGAGGCTGGTCAGCTGAAAACTTTACTAGGATGGCCATCCTTCGGGATTCGTCCTTGCCAGTAAAACTCACAGGTATCGTGAACGGAGGCGAGAAGCCTCAGAAGTGGACAAGGATAACGGTGTGAACTATGTCTACTTGGGTTTAGTTTTACTGTGTTTAATGGAATTTCAAGGATTTTCAGATAGATTATTCAAGTTTTGTCGGTTGCATTTTTGGGTGAATGTGCATGATCGTTACGAGAAGGTGCTTGTTGAATAGTTTCCGATGCCCAATTATTTTAGGTGGCCGTTCTGAAAAGCATAGTTTTACTAGGGAAACAAGATCTAGCCGTTTACACGAGCATAATCGCTGCCACGATAAAGCGAATTCGAGTAAGAGACCGTCTGAAGTTTTTAAATTATAAAAATAACTTCGAGGAAAGCGACGAAACAATCGAAGGAGTGATGTGCGTTGCGACTGACGAAATGACACTGAAAACTTTGAAAGAAGCTGGCTTCCAAGTACTTTTCAGTTGTCCTCCGGAAATGTACGTCAAGGTGATTCCAATTACAGGGAGGCCAACTTTTTCAATGATCATTTCGCAGGACTGTGGTGAGATTTGGCAGCCTCAGAGCAATCTTCGCTCCGCCCACGTCGCTTGGATTCCTTTTGAAGATGTCGTTGCCAGAAAGAAGAGAGGCACAAAATAAATATTTATTTACAAAAAGAATCGAAGGAAAATCAGAAATGGGATACTGATAAAGCTTGTGTGAAGAGTAGAAGAGCGCGGTCGGACGCCTCCACCGATTTCGTAGTCTGCGAACAAATACTCGGAGTTTGTAGTAAGAAAAGTGTTACCGCGTCGCTGTGGATTGTTGTATGGGTCGTTGGGCTGGACTCCGCCCCCGATTCCGGGATTGGGATAGAGCATAGGCATGTCTGAAAACTTGTGAGATTTATGAGTTAAAGTATTTCGAAAAGTATAGCAGTTTATAGCTTTTTTTTAACCTTAAAAAGGGGACTGTTCAATAATAATGTTCTCATTCGAGTAGGAAACTCTTCGATGTACTACATGTCGATGAAGTATTCCTAAGCTATAGTCTGCACGAATTCTTTTTTCTCTTTTACCGCACTTGTCCTATCTGTTAAGATTTGATAGAATTCGATTTGAAGATAAGATACCGGTAGGAATGAAATAATACGTATAGGAAGTTTTTAAAAAGCGAAGAAACTGCCGACCTCGGTTGCAGTTGTCGACGTTGCAGCTGGTGCAAGTATGGCCGGCGTGGCGAGCCTCGTTGACTTGAGAGCAGGAGGGCGCGCAGCCTTTCATCACGATTGCTGCGAAATAAAATTTGGATTTTTGTACCTGTTAGAAGAAACCTCCGTGCATGTTCCGGACAGTGTAGCACTGCATGGGGTGATGGCAATGCTGTACTATCGGATTGTGGCAGCCGACGTAGGCGTCGCAGCTTTGGCACGCGATCCCCGCCGCTACAAAATGATTTTCAAATGTATAATCAAAAGAGGGAGAGTAGAAATCTTTTTTAAATCGTGAACGAATTTTTTGAGTTTTTTTATCTGTTTATGAGTCAGCCAAATGTTTATCCATAATGGAAATTTTTTTTATTTGAGATTTTTTGGAGTTTGTATAATCATTCAGAGGTTTGTCCTTCCTCTACCTTCTATGTTAAAAAATGTTTTTTATGGTAACTGAAAAGGTCGAGAGATTGCTAAAAGGGATATTTTTGACATTTTGGCATGGCTCTTTTACTTTCACGATCAAGTTCTGAGAAGCGGACCGGCGGAGACGAAGACGAGTAGAAGGAAACAGCGGAGGGCGAATGTTGACATGGCCAGGGACACGACTGTCGACGCTTATCGGCTCGTCTTCCTGTGGATGCCGTCTTTGGTCACTGGCACTGATAGGCTTGTTTTATCGACGCGGCACAACAACCCAAACAGATATAGAGCCGTGGCAACATTTTGAGTAGAATGGATAGTAAAATCAAAAAGAATGTGAAGTACTTTCACAACAAGCAATTAACGAACCGAGAAACTACACATCTAATTTTCCAAACAATGGCTCTAATAGTTTTCAAATTGAATAACCGATGAATTTTTTTTTTTTTTTGATAGGTGATGATAAAACATTAGTCACGGTATTTGCACTGATTTCAAACTTCACTTACTCATAATCTTCAAATAAAGTAGATCTAATCGCTCTAAAATGATTCTATGATTTTTTTTTCCTCCATCAGCAGTAACTGAAGATTATTATAAGTATTAGCTTGAAAAATAAAAGTATCAAGCAAAAGTTCATTTTTCAAATCATAATTATTCTAAAAAAAAAGTAGATTTTGATGATTTTATGGGAAAAAAAGGACAACATGTGAAAGACAGGAAATATATGAAATTTCAACCCGTTTTTAAATGATTTCGTCCTTTACGGCCAACTAATTTTGTAAAGAATTTTGTGAGTCATCTTTTCTGATCGGTTTCTGACGCCCACCAGTGATCAAACAAAGGAGCCCGAAAAACTTTATTCAAAGGCAAAAAGTTCAAGTGACGTTTTTGAGGACACGGTGAATCTCCTCGCGACTCATGATCGAAGCGGCGCCGACAGGTCTTATTGGCTCGACGACTTCAAGGAACCCGCTGTCCTGCTCGAAACGCTTCTCCGCTGACGTTTGAACTCCTCGGTCAGTCTGTGCCTTCCAAGCCGACGTCGTTGTTTTTGAAGAAGTCTTGAAGGCGCTTGTCAGCAACTTCGGCTGGAATTTTCGATCGCTGGTCGGTTCCAACGGGAGCAACCGCATCCAGTCATGCTCCACAAAGGCTTTTTTATTCTCAACAAAACTCTTTGCCGTGCTCATGTGAAGAGAAGAATGAGAAGTTTTCCTTTTTCCTACGTCAGGACGAGGTGAAAGAGTTGAAAAATCAAGTTTTTCAATCGGGAGTGCAGAAATTGTTGGTGCTATTGGCGCTTTATCGTACTCCAGTTCCAAACTCTCAAGTTCAGATACGTCCTCCTCAGGCTCCTGTTTGGGCTCGTTCAAGCTTTGCATCACCTGATCCAGTTTGAAATTGAGATCAGCGATCTGCTCACGTAGGCTTCGAGTGTACGCCTGTGTTCTGGCACTGGAAGGAGTCGAAGAAGAGTCTCGTTGCTGATTCTTGAGAAAGGCCGATTCTCGCGAAAGTTCCGCTTGAATGTCTTCCTGCTCATTCGAAAACTCCCGGAGTCTTTCACTCAACGTGTGTCTCATATACTTTGCCGTTGAGACGGTTTGGTGATGCGTTAGGCCTAACCGTTGAGCCTTCTGCGCGTAGACGGAGATGAGGTCCCGCGGAGAGAACAGCCTTTCTTGCGGGTCATCTTCAAACTGAGAGACAGGTTGACGGATAGACTCGCGAGCAGATGCTGGAGGTATTGGCAAGTTTGAACTTTTGGCAAGGCAGATGTCCTGCGGGTGTAAGCCGAGTCTCAAAGCGATGCCGTCGTTCGCCAAAGTGGAAAATCCTGGCGGCGTCCACTGGCTATTGATGAACTGCATGCAAATGAACTTGCTGGGTGAGACCTGAAATCGTTGATTTAATTTTTGGATCTCAGTGCTTTTAGTTACTAAATCTCTAACGAGAAATAAAACTTACTTTATGTTTGGGATGGAACGATCCACGCAACCAGTCCATTTCGAATTCTTCGCGAACCCCTCGATGGACGTCTTCATTCGACAACAGAATGCTTCGCAGCCAAACTTCTCTTGTCGATGAAGACAGCGGCGGCAGATACCGCTCAAATTTATCGTTTTCTTTTCAATCAAGCCGTTCATCTTTCTAACTTTTTGAGCGTATTTTTCTTGGACGTACTCAAAGAAAGAGGATACGTGTTGCATATCGAAATCTGTAGCTTCTGAAGTAAAGTTCCGCAAAATCTCCGGAAACGCAGTATCCATATTCAGTAGACCTTTGTACTTCTCAGCCATCAGAGCAACGCCGTTCTGCAACTTTATTCTTTCACAAATGAAAGAAAGAAACTAGCAAACCGATTTGAATATCAGTGCTTTGCTGAATAAATTTCTGTAGCTTGTCTGAAGTGAGAGAAGTAACGCTCTTGGCAAGATCATTTCGGAGCACAGGGACTTCTGAATCACTTTCGAATTCGCAAAAACAATAAAAGAGGGAAAACTCGCTCTATGTAAAAGAAATGAAAGTATTTTTTCTACCCTGGCGGTGCTAGTGGACGACGAAGAAATGATCTCAAGAGCGAGGTTGAGCTGCTGAGTGAGTCTGTTAGAAGCGGCCAAAGAAGTGAACAAAATGTGAAGAACCGAGTGGAGCTTCCAAACAGTCGCCATCCTTGAAGAGGTCTCTGGTGTACAGTATATTGGAGCATCCCAAGTCTAAAAAAATTTTTTTATAAATTAGTTTTTTTCAGTTTGTCTTGCTGATTTACAGTAGGAAAAAAATGGCATTTCAAAGTAGTGGTGAAGAATGTTAATTTTGAAAACTTGATGGAACTAATCATCATTTTTCCAAATAAAAAAAGCCTTCATTCATTTTTACGGTGCTCAATTCAAGTTTAACTTCTGAAAGGTAACTTTTTGAATTATAGAGAAATTTCACAAATTTTTGAAAATCGTCTTCCTAGTCTCAGTCATAAGATATCTCGATTCAAAAATTTAAAATCTAACTTCTTCAAGAGTTTCTGCACTCAGTGGCAACTGGGCGAACCAATGTTCAGCGGCGTTCATCAACAAATTCTCGAAGTCGGCCAGAAGAGGCTGGTCGACGACAACCTCCAGCTCTACCACACTTTGGGATAGCGAAAACGCTAGGTTTTCAAGCGACTTTGCCTCAGAAGTTTTTTCGATTTGTGCCAAAGTGCTTTTCACAAAGGTGTCCAGCACGTACTCTTTCGTCAGAGTTTTCCTGGAATTTTTTCTTCAAAAGGAGTCGAAAATAAAAATTGTGTCAAAGAGCTTTAATAATTAATAATAGATTGTTCTGTGCTTACTTACAGATACATAGAATCTGCAAGGATACGGATGACGAGGGCAGAACGACGGTCGTTGAAGTTGTCGACGTAGCCGATGGCCTCCACGATTTGTCCGCAGCGGACGAGCAGAATGGCAGGCAGCGCTGGAGTGAATTCTGATGGGAGAAGGCGACTGGCTTCCGATCGGTCCAGTTTCGATCCCCATCGTGATATCTCTGTTCAGAAATTGATCAATTGATAAACGAATAAGTTTTAAAAAAAATTAATGAAACAAATTTTTTAGCTTGGACGAGCTAACTGATAAAAATCTTTGAAAACTTCCGAGAAAATTACCTTCTGAATTTATGGTACCCCAGACAAAAAGTGATGGGTATGGCTGATTTTTCGTGAAAAAAAGCTGATAGTCTAAATAATAGGCGGCACAAAACCGAGCTATCTGAATACAGGCAGAGGTGTTCGGTTCCGAATCGACGGAAAACAGCAACGACCTCAAGAGTTGGGGCTTCAACAAGTTCTCCAACTCCATCAGCTCATTTTGAAGTAAAAATAATAGATCAAAGAAACCTAACTAAATGTTCGTTTTCTTTTGTTCTCGTCTCTAAATTTGCACGTGCAATAGGTCTCCATGGCAACATACAGAGCGGATTGATTTACTCGAAAATACGATAATTCGTTCATTACCTTCTTTCTCTAAAGAAGGTTTGAAATTTTCCAACCATCACGTCTCTTTATTTTATTTATTTGCGAAGGTCAATTCGATTTTTTCAGAATTTTTTCATGGATTTCAGAGTTTTCAGAAATATATTTCTTCTTCGGTATGTGCGAAAGGCGTTTTGTCTGCATTGAGAAATCTCACAAATGCGCGGGGCTCCGTAAAAATCTTTTTCCTTTCTTCACATGGCGTGTTCTTCGCACAGAATACACCCAGTTTCGTGGACTATATCGCAGCGAGTGGCGCGACATAGCAGCGACATATCTCGCTGCCATCTCGCTCAGCTCTAGCAAACTCCCGGCGCGATATCGGCGCGAGGTCGCGGATTATCGATTGGTCACTATTTACGTGCCATCAAAAATTTTTACTTGAATTGTTTTATTTTTTTCGTGTGTTAGATTCTCTCTGATTTTTTTATGTCCATTTTTTTCACTTAATATTTCTAAAATGTTAATTTTACAACTAATGTAACGCTCATACAGTACCGTCAGAAAAGGAAAAAAATGTTTTTTTCGCTCACAACTTCCTCGTATAGAGCTCAATCTTTCTGAAACTTTTTTTCAGCTGTGTTTCTAAGTTTTTCACCACGGTGTTACAATCAACAGTCATCATATTTCCAGAAAGTTTCAAAAAGGGTGAAATCCCATTAAAAGAAAGTTGTGATAAAAGAAAAAAAGCTTTTTTTGTATATATTTTGACGGAACTGCACACCTTTCTTGAATTTAAAAGTCCTTTTTCCGCATTTTTTTCATGTTTTAACCAAGAATTTCAGGTTATTAGTACTTCAAAATGGCATCTAAAATTTTTTTTTCGATCAATAAAAGTCAAGAAAGATCCGTGGGAGATGGCACCGAAACTTTGCTTTTGGATACAATCAATAAGATTCTTGGTAAACTATTTTTGAAACAGTATATCCATTTTTACTTGAAGATATGATTTGCACTTTGGCGTCGATGGGTAAGGAAAAGAAGAAATGAGGCATGATTTCGAGAAAGCACGTACTGCTGTCTTGATACAGTCGCTCCTGTGAGTTATTCTCTTATTCAAGGTTGGACTTTTTTTCAGTATTTCTCTTTTTTTAACCGATTTTTATCATTTAGAAAAGTTCTTGACGCAGCAAATGAAGGATATGCCGAAAACTATCGAGTCAAAAGCTTACAGTAACATTTTTTTAAGGGAACTTAGTGTCAATCTGATTGTTTAACTTAATTTTTCTTTTTTTCAAAACTTCTTTCATTTTTCATTTCGAGCCTCCCTCCTTTATTTTTTCTAATTTGAACTTTTTAAAAGATCATCTACGAGCTTACAATCGGTTTACTTTTTCTGTTTTTTTATTGAACCTACTCTTTTTGTTAGTCACATTTTTTTCCTATCAAAAAAATAAACGATACACATGTTTTTTTCGTCATATTGTCCTTTTCTATTCTTACTTCTCACTCTTTTCGCCTCAATTCAATTTTTTTTTTCTTCTTCAGATTTGTACATACTTTCCGTTTACTTCGAATTCGAAAATGTATCATCAATTATTTGGAAAATTTCTTTAATGCTCTCAAGTTTTCATTTTAATATATATTGTTTAAATTAAATAAAAAGTAAAGAAGGTTGATAAAGACCGATATGTTATCATGTACAACACAATAAAAGTATGAAGCATAGAAAGCAAATCAAGAAAAAAAAGCCCAATCGAGCTAAAAATTTTTTTTGAAAGAGCGACATAGCAGCGAGATGTGAGCGACCTTGCGCCGAGAGGCGAGCGATATAGCTCGCGGCTCCCCCGCGATATAGCGTTTCTCTCGCTGCGACCTCGTCCGTAAAACTGGGTGTAATAACTTTCTAAAAAAAAACCTTAACAACTCCAATACGGCACCGCCCAAAGGCGCACGCAACTTTTTTACAAAAACGTTTTAAAGAGTCTCTTTTTTTATTGATCTCGTGGGGTTAATGAAAGCGTTTGCTTTCTTTAACGTGCACTTCGTTTCTCTGTTGAACACTCTTTTTTTATCTTCATACATATTTTTAGATTTTTTTAGAAAATCTCAATAATGAATAGATTACTAATTGAAAATTTTTTTCAAATTCTTTCAATTTTTGTGGCTGTATTTAGTTCGCTCCATTTTCTTTCGCAGTTAAACTTTTTCGCCTCCACCTTGCCTCGAGTCATACTTCTCTGCTATGTAACTATTTTATATTTGCAGACATTAGAAGAAATATTGTTATCCATCGGATGTTTACTCCACAACAATCTTCTAATTCTCGTAATGGCGCTGATGTAGTTCTGACGAGTGAAAGACAAGTTATTTTCTTGAATTCATGTCGAAAAGTTGGTTTTGTTTAGTTTTTTTGTTTACAATTGTTTGCTTACAGATTTTCATTCAACGCGACTATTCTAGAGGGCTCAATGTAAGTTTTGAAACGGAATACCCAACAAAGCTCACGGGAATGGTAAATCATATATTTCCTCTGCTTGTTTCTAATTGAGTTGACAGATTTCTCGGGATGTTTGGGAGAACACTATAATGCGAATTAACAAAATCTTCGAAGATGCCGAATCGGTAACAAATTCTTCATTAAAATAAGTAATTATTTATTTCAGGTTTCGTGCACTACCGTTTTTGAAACGTTGCTTGGTTGCATTACTTGTTATTGCTCTAGACTAGTGACGAAGTCCTTATATGAAAAGAAACTTTATGAGTTACAGGTGAAGAAAACTTTTACCATTTCAAGAAAAAATTGGTTTCAGGAGTTTTTGGATCGCGAAAACGAAGACACCTATCATTATGCGGGCGTTCATATTTTGAATCCTATGGAAAGAGGATTACGGGTGGTATGTTTCATTTTTTCGAGATTTTTATGACTTTGACGGTTAGGTTTATATCTCTTTTCTTATAAGTAATGTCAAAGAAAGAGAGTTTTCCATTGCTGAAAAATTGTATTCAGGTGAATAAGAGAAAAAAAACATCAAATTATCAGGTTTTTCTATTATATTTTATCTCCTCCTCTGTATACACACAGTATTATTTAAAAATCTTTAAAATAATGTTCTACAAGTTTCGAAATTTATCAGTTTTTTTTTTTGAACTCTCACTGCTATGATAATTGTGCAAAAGATCTGAAATGGGAGAATAGCAGGCATAACTATGACTTTCGAATAGATATTGAAGTGGCAAAACGTCAAAATGAGAGTTAGAAAATGACCGGCTTTTCACAACCTCAAATCTTGAAAACGTGTCATCGCAACATCATTCGAGCTTATTTGACTGAATTGGGCATCTTAAGTAGACTACTGAGAACACTAATTTACCCAGGAGTTAGTCTTAATTTTTCGGTTTCCAGATTGAAATATCCTTACTGAACACCTCCGAAGAACCGCTGCTCTCACGGCCGGATGGAGGCGTTTCGCCACGACAGGGACTCACGACGCCGCTCGCTCCCACCACCCGAACCATGTGAACAAGTGTACACTCTTATATCATTTCAGTCGGTTTTGTAAAAGTTGCCTTCACTTTTTTCTATTCCATTTCGAAATCTCTTTCTAAAATATTAGTTTAATTCTCATTATTTTTCACGCAGCTTTGATGGCTGTTTTCATGAGGACTCTGTATGCTAAACTGGTGCGGTTTACTCAGTTTGTCATTTCGGAACAGTATCAGAGAAATAATTGGTTTTACATCGAGCTTGTCTTTCTCTGCAATCAGATTCGACCTTTGTGGAATATAATTATTCAAGGTCTTGTGTATATTTTTCATGAGCTTTCTTTTTAAATTTACTTTTTTTTACCAAACTAATCTGACGCAAGATTTAATTGCCGAAGTTTTCAGGATTGATGAAGTTGTTTAGACTAAAAAACTTACCTTTTTTTCATTTTTCAAGATATAGCTCTGATTCGTTGTGTATTTCTTTTCTGAACTTTTTTTTGTCGATTCTGAAAGATGTTGTTAAAGCGAGCTGTTCAGTGAAGTCATCTTTTTTCGAAAGGAAATTAAATATTCTATATTGTGTTTTGCAACGAACAGAGAAAGATGTCCGGAAGTTTTGAGGGTTCGTCAGGCAAAGTGTAACAAATTTCCAGCATTTTTCGTTCTTCCCAATGCCTCATTTTGTGCCCTATTCTCCCTTTCTGACGCTTTACATGCTCTCAGAAGTCGAAAATATTTCTTTTTTAACTTTACAAGAGGGCGGTTGGTCTAGTCGCATTGTTGTAATTCAGAAAAAGTGTTTTTTTTTTCCTATTTTTCTTTGTTTCTTTCTGTTTATCATCTCAACTAAATAATTGGTTTCTTGTATGAACCGGTTGAACTGTGCCAATGGCCATTCTGCCATTTGCTCATTGCTTTACCGAAATAGATCATTAAAGAGAATATTTTTTCGTTCCAGCGATTTTTCAGTTATTCTCACTACAGATGCGCTTTTTCTTTCTGAACAATTTTCACCATTTTCGATCAGTTTTCTATAGAAATAAGATGAAAATAGAGTTACCAATAAGATTTTTTTCTCGATTGCAAGTATGAACAGTAACTACAGTATACGCGAAGAATAATTTTTATTTTCTAATATCAGCTTGCAAATAAATTATGAATCGATAACCTAACTTTCACTCCTAACTGGCCAATATTTTCTCAATTTATCGGCGAACTAAACATGTGGCTAAATAAGGTTCGTTTTTATGAGTTTTATCCTTCTTCAACTTCATTCTAGAATTCACGAAACATCATGTTAAGACGGATTTCTCAGAAGTTGTTCAGTAATTTCCCTCAATTTGACGTTCGAAGCAAAACTTTTTCCAGTTCGACAAGGAATGCAACTGAAGCCGTCTTTGCGTCGGCAACGATCCAACTCCATCCACGGCTACAGCGTCTGCCACGAAGGCTCGGCTGAACAAATTGATCACCGCGTTCAGTTTTTCGTCGATGAAGAACACAGTAGGCTATCATTTATCATGTTGCTCATGTTATCCATAACCATTCTATATCTATTCGAACTGAGCGGGGTAGTCTGTTGCGAATTTTCTTGGTTTTGTTACACCTTTTAGGGTCTTGGCCCGTCTGTTTATTTTTCTATTCTTTGTTTGTGGCCAGACCTTTGCGTCATTTTTTTTTTTGCAACATAAATTCAATATGTTTAAAAGGGCTTCTCGTGGCAAATGATGAAAAGTCATAATTGGAAGCCTCAAAATAGTTTCTTGACAGTCTTTTTCAACTTCTTCAACTTGCGGTAGGCTTCACTTTTCATAAAGTTTTGTAGAATAATCTATTTTCTCACTTCAAAACATGCCCCTGCTGAAGAGTCAATTACATACTGGTTTTTTTTCAAGAGGTGAGAGCACGTGCTACATCGGGAAACTATTCGGTGTTGGCAAAACTCCTAGAGGCTGGAAAAGTGTATTGGCAACAAAGAGGGTGGAAACAAGGGCCGGTCTCATCCGAAAATGGGGCTCTTGCCTTGTATCGATTAGGGAGGCCTCGAAGAGGGCGCTTAGCTGTTATTATTGCATCTACACCCTCTTCAACCATTTCCCTTTTGATCTGTCGCCGCTTTTTTTTCCTCTGTTCTTTTTTGAAAAAAAAAAAGTTGCATCCAGGTCCTAGTTTATTCACCACAATGTTACTTGGCTTTCGCAGACACCGATTTTCGCCTGGTTTGAAAAGTGTTCATTATAGTTTTCATTTGAAAGATGAAACTATTGAAACATGAAAACATGAGAACTGTAGAATTTCTTACTCCTTCAGACGCCCTCAAAAAGCACTATAAAATTCGAGAATTTTTGTTTTTGGATTTCTCGAGTTACCAAAAGCCGTGAAGAAAAGTGAAAGCTTTAAAGGTGCGTGGAAAAAAAAAATGAACGGAAAGATTGAACAATTTTTTTTTGATTCGTTTTTCTCACGAGAGTCGATCTGTTTTTTTAACTCCAAAGAGCTCACCTTGTGAAACGCCTGAAAAATTATTTACCAAAGAGTATATCGTTTTTTCGAGAAAAAAAACTTTTCGTTTTTTATCACCAAAACTTTCAAAAATGGCAAAGATATTGAGTCTGAGCTTTGAAGGTGAAGCCGATGTTTCCGGACTGATGACGACCCTGCAGGACAAAGTCGGCTCCATCATCCAAGGGGGAATCGTCGAGGGTCAAAGATTCGCCCTCAGCTCCGATCTCTGGCGGTACGACTTCGAAACTTTTTTACAAAAAACTGAATAAAGCCGAAACAAACTTCCGAAACAGCTTGCTTCGGAAAGATTTCGAAAAAGTTTTGAAGCAGTTGAAATGGCCCCACTTTATTCAAGAAAGAATGAAAATTTTGCAGATATGCGTCGTCGACGTCGCACTGCGATCTTCTATTGACGATGAGGCCTTGCGACGACGACGTGGAGCGGAAAAAAGCCGTAACTTGGCTTGTTCAGCAGGTCTGCTCGATTATGGACTGAGTAAGACTGGGGTTTCAGATCAGGGAGCATGAGCCGAATCTTCGCATCGAAATTCGGTATCATCGGCTTCGCGGCTGTTACGCCTTGTACCTCACCGCAGACTATAAGAGGTCTATTTTACTGTAGATTTTCGATATTGAAAGTTATTGTTTGCAGCTTATTGAAAGGTGCCGAACTGTGTCATATCAAAAAAGCAGTGAAAATAAAGTTTGGCGGCGGAATGAGGGATTTTTGCTTTGAAGAAGCTCAGTGCTTTGCTGGCGTTGAAGGCAAAAACACTTTCCTTTCTCCTATGGAGCGCACTCTGATTGGTTTTTTTCAGTTAAAAAAAAAGGAAATTTCCACATTTGCAGTCAGACAAATGGTAGACATGATGCGAGCAGGTCCGAAAGGATGCACACTAGAGCTTCCCTCCAAAAAAGTGGTTTTCACCGAAGGAAATGCTATCGGTTGGATTATTTCGGTTTCCTATTGAGTGTAGAGGATTCAGTGCCCCGTCTCATGTCGGTCAGTGTTGTGGACAACGTTATGGCGTTGCACAATCCGGAGATCTTGAAGCATCTCCAGTCGCGATGGGTTTTCTCGATGCGTTGGTCCGAAGGCGCTGCATAAGTCTATTTTTGGGTTGTAGAAGAACAGCCGGTCGAGTTAATCAAGGACTATTTCGGGACGGAAATCGCCATGTACTTCGCTTGGTTGGGACATCTGACAACAGCTCTTTGGTTTCCAGCTCTTTTAGGTTTTTCAAATAGTTCATTCTATTTTTCAATTAGTTCATAGTTCATCATTTCAGGTTTGATAATGTCCATTTTTGGAGGATTCAAGTACAAGAATCTGCCAGAAGATAAACAAGACTTTTACCAGGTTGAACTTTTTGGTTTTTTTTTTCACACAAATTTGCAGCTGGCGTCGGATATCAGTTTTGTTCTGTTCGCCTTTTTCAACTGCATCTGGTCGACAGTTTACCTTGAGTGGTGGAAAAGAGTTCAGGCGGAGCTCGCCTTTCGATGGGGCACCTACGACGAACAGCCTGACTCCTACCTTCAAGACCCTCGGCCAGCCTTTCAGGTCTGTTTTGTCAAGTCCCTCGTAGGAAGTTTCTTTTTCACGGAAGAAAATGTTTTCATGATGATTTTGACGTCAATCAATTTCGAGACTTGGACTTGCAAGGGGCAAAATTATGAAATTTAAAGCTTAGAGAGCAGAGATTTTTTAAACTCTGTAAAGAGTCCTCTATTGATTGAAGATTTTTATTTTTTTAAATCTTTTATTAGGTTCCAAAAATCGAAACAAAGAAAATATTTTGACCGTTATAACCTACTCTTACCAACTGACCTTTCTTTTTCATAAAGTTCTTAATATTTCTTTCACTCATGCAGATTTTATCGGTTTCAGGGAGACTATTTGGCTCCTAACCCCGTGTCTGGACGCATGGAACCATTCTACCCATCCTGGAAGCACGCCTTTGTCAGATACGGTAGAGCTTCTTGAATTTCGTCAAGTTCTTTCATTTTCTCATGGCTTTAGGAATAACCTACCCGATCACTTTATTTTGCGTTGTTTGCATGTTTCTTGCCATGCTCGTTGTTTTCACCATCCAAGACGCCGCCGATAGGTCTGATTGCTTCATTCCAGCGGTTCCAAATGAAAGTTTCAGCTACTTTGGAGAGATCCCGGTCTTGGCTTGGATCTGTTACGTTCCGATGATCGTCTACGCGCTGATGATCGTGGTCAGCGACAAAATCTACCGCAGGCTAGCCCTTATACTCAACGATTTAGGTTCTTATTTATTTTTATTCGGAGATTCAAGCTATTTCTAGAAAATTATCGGACAGAAGACGAATACGAGGACTTTCTGATCACGAAAATAGTTCTTTTCCAATTCGTCACGGCGTTTGGCTCGCTCTTCTACATTGCTTTCGTGCTTCGTGATATGAAACGACTCCAAGAAGTAGTTGGACCAAGATTGAAAAATGAAATTTGCAATCTTCAGACTCTGGCCACGCTGTTGATCACTCGGCAAATAACGCAGAACTTGATGGAGACGCTGGTTCCTTTTATGATCGAGAAGCTGAAGCTGAGCAGTCTCACCTACAAGTGATGATCCTCTTCAGAAACCGTGAAACGAGGGATTTCAGAATGACCAGGAGCATGAGCGATGGAACGTTGCGAAGGCATGTCGAGAACGTGCGCAGCAAACGACTGAGCAGTCCTGATGAGGTGAACAAATTTCTTATTCAGGAAAATAAAGAGGAAATTTTAGTCAAACAACACATCCACAGCAGCACTTTTCACTCTAGGAACACCCACCGATGGCGAGAATTCGCTAAGAAACCGGAAACCAGATTCATCAGCACAAATTTCGGTGAGGCACTTTAGGTTGAAAAAAAAACCAACATGATGAACTTAGAAAGCGACATCTTCCACAGTGAGTGAAGATTTCGCGATAAAAACAGAACGTCTTCCATTGCCAGAGTTCAAGCCTTACACCGAAGGAAGTGAGTTTCAGTCAGAAAGAAAAGAGGAGAAGTCGAGGTTTTCCCAGGTCCCGAACTGACTCAAGCAGAGCTGGAGAGCGTCATGTCAACATACACACGTCCCTTGGACGACTTCCTCGAAATGTTCATCCAGGTTCACTTTTCGTAGTTACTTTTTTAGAAGACGGTAGATAAACTCGCGTATCTTTAGCTCAGAATAAATTTTTTTTTCAATGATAATAGTTTATTTACTGACATTATTTAACAGAAAATATAAATGATCAAGTAAAGGATGGGCAGCGGAATAACAATACACGGGAATGAGTCAACCCCAACGAGTTGACAGGTACCCGGAAGTATGACCATTTTATAGGAGATGTTTTCATAAAAAGCTTCAATCGGAAGAGTATTCAATTTGTTACGAAGAGTTTCTGGGGTAACGTTAAAATTTAAATATGAAGTTAGTTTATTCCAAAGGGAATAGTTCTAGAAAAAAAAGTCATTAGAAAACTGACCAGCTGTCCGTAGTCGAAGTGGACTTCTTTGTAAAAGGGACAGAGATAAGTATTCATTGCGGTCGAGAAAATAATCAGAGCCACAGATGATTTTATGATATACTAGAGTAATTTTCAGTTCGGCTACGTTCTTCTGTTCTCACCAGCGTTTCCGCTTGCTGCATTGTGTGCTCTACTGAACAACCTGATCGAAATCCGTGTCGACGCCTTCAAACTCTGCAACACGGTGCAGAGGCCTTTCGGAAGACGTGTCAAAGACATTGGCGCCTGGCAAAAGGCCATGGAGGTTTATAGCCTGAGTTAAAATCCGAGATACACACTGATCTTAGATTCTTGGAGTCCTGGGTGTCATGGTTAACTGCGCTCTCATCGGCCAGTCTGGACTTGTCCAGCGAATCTGGCCTGACTTGAGCTGGGGAGGACAGGTAACAATGATTTCGGTCTAGAGAGACGATCCGTCAATTCATCTCTCAGATTTTGTTAGTCGTTGTGCTGGAGCACATAATTCTTGCTTCGAAAATGATAATCGACCTCGCTGTGCCGGACGTTCCTCACTGGGTCCGCGTCGAGACGGCCAAGCAAGAGCACTACCGAAGAGAAGCGTTCAAGGTGAATTTTTCAATGAAAAACGAAGTGATTTTTATAAAAACAACTTGTGTAATAGTTGGAAGTTGAACTTGTCGACATGTATCTCAAAAAGAAAAATTCTGGCATATTGAATGTGTGGCTGAGAGCTCTTTCGAAATGAATATGAGGAAACTTCAGAAAGGAATCTTCAGAACAAAGTTTTCCTAGACATCTTCCGAAGGGAGTTATCTGTTCAGAGGGAGTCACGGCTGCTCAGCGGCAAACAGACGACGGAGACTCAAGTCGTGGCGGCGGTGGCGACTCCAACCGGCGAACCTCTTCGGAGCAAACGGCGGAGCATCACTCCGATGGTTCGGCTCTCGAGCTTCAGAGCTCGTCGAGAGGACAACAACTGCATCGATTGAAGTCCGAACAGTTTCCTTCACGTTTTATCTATTTTGGCTATTTTCTGTTATCAATCAATCATAGTACCATGTAAATATTGTTATATTTTTTCCTGAGTTAGTATTTCCCGAGTTGTAACATTTCTAGTCAAAAATGCAAAACATTTCTTGCCTTTCTCTGTCAGCTGCATCACTTCTCTGGGGCCGCAACGGTTATTTTACTGCTTTTTCACTTACTAATGAACAAATAAATAATTAATTTTCATATACAGATATTTTACCACAAAATGGTTAAAGAATTTTGGTGGAAGACTCTGTCTTGGATTCCATTTTTAAAGCTTTTCTTTCGGCTCCTCCAGAGCGACCTTCGTTTTTGCGGAAAGAGACGAGATCTACCAGGAACTGCAGCGTTTTCGTTGTGTCTGCGTCCAAAGAAGCGTACAAAGACTCGATCTTCGACTTTTCCTACAAACCATTTCTTTCAAAGAAAATCGCCGCCTATTTTTTTCCCCAATTTCTTCACTGCTAAATATATCTTCTCAAAAGAAAGTCAAATCAAGCAGTGAAGAAAACACTTTGAAATGGCCTAATGAAATAGGTAAAACAAAATACCTCAGTTCGAGAAATGTCGACAGCTTCAATAATTTCAGAAAGCTTCTGGAGTGCCTCGGGAAGGTTTTGCACAATTTTTTCAACTCTAAGACGCGAGTTTTTCACGTGATTTTCCAGATTTTTATGGAATTCTGCTACGGCTTCCTGGAAAAACCGTATGAATAAGGTCACAAGATAAAAAAAAAAGTTCGCATACCCACTGAATCATTTGATGAACCTAATCGCTAAAATGTTTTTATCCACTATTTCCATTCAAGAACGTCGATCAGAAGGGAAAGCGAGCAAAGAAATGGACCCAACAAAAACAATGAAGAAACTGACCTTGGTGGGCTTATCTTGCTTGGAAGCCCACAGTTCGACGGCTTCCCAGATCTCGGCTTTGCTGAGCGTCTCGTTGTGAATGATGGCGAAGAATTCTTGGCGGCCTTCCTGATCAACGCCTTTCAGGAACGGCAGCCGTCGCTCAAGCTCCGAGAGCATTCGCTTTTGTCCTTTCGGGGACGCCGCCGAATCTTTGGCCGTTTCGGCCGGCACTACATAGGCCGCAGCTGAGACGATCAAGGAACACAAGATGAGTTGGTTAAGCATTTTTCAGAGGCTGCAGGACCTGCACTATTCGCCGGTTTTATACCCACTGTCAGGCCATTTTCGGTTGTGTATTCAGGTGGCAGCGGTCTCTGTCCGAACGTTTGTACACGAGTAGCCTTAAGGGTTGTTTTCGTAATACGATGTCATGCATTAATGAACACTTCTTTGTTCATGTAAAGTGGAACAGCACACGAAACATCATTTTCAAACACATTACTCAAGAGAAAGTACGAGAAAAAAGGATGACTGCGATAATCACTACATTTTTAAAAAAATTTAGTTTTTTTATTTCAAAATCTCTATTTGAAATTATTTAGAAATATAGCTTTTTTTCGAAGATGCAGAATAGATTTTTTTGTGGGCCGGCCCGTCAGCCTATCGGACCCCGACAATTTTCCGAGTCCGGCCTGGTTTTAGGGAAGCCTCAAGCATAAATGACCGGCTTGAAAGGCTCAAACTTTCTTCAAGCCGAAAATCAGGTTTTTTTTTCACCACAAAAGCCATGGTTTCGCCTATATTTTCACTTATCTTTTAACAGAAACTATGCTTTACAAGTAAAAAAATATTTTTGGTGAAAACGTTTTTAACGAAATTAAATTTTTTTTTTTCGAAGCCTGGCCCAGCCCAAGCCCGCACAGGCTTTTTCTCAAAAAAGAGGCCTAAAGCCCGGGTCGCCCGGCCTGACGCACAAGCCTGATCCAAGAGTGAAATGACAAAAAAAAACAATTTTTGAATTCCCGCTCAAAATTCGTTTTGCGAAATGTGCTCTGTGGACAACCAGCCATTTTTCTTCTTTTTTTGAATTCACTTTTTTTTCCATATATCGCGCATTTCCATTTTTCTCATAAAGTTATTCGTAAATAGAGCTCTGATTTTGATATAATTATGCACAATGATCTTAAAAGGGAATTTATTGTTGACGGCTTTTCGAAAATCGACGTTTTAAAAAGGTTTTTTCTGCGTTTTTTTTCCAGCTTCCATATTTTAATCATGTTTTGAGAAATTTTTCTCGGTTTAGTTTACCTGTTGCGATCGATTCTTACAACGTTAAATAAATCCATTTGAAAAATGTTTTATGGTATAATCTCTTTTTTTGGTATAATCTACTATAGCTAATATTTTTATACTGCTACTACCTTCTATCTTTCCTTATCTGTTCGATTATGTTATAAATATATATGAAACTACACTACACACTTTCTTCGATTACAGGAGAAAGTAGAGAAACTTTGTTCATTCCTTCATTTTTTCACCGCAGTGAGTCTTGAGACTGAGAGAGTTTCTTAGCGGCTTCAGATTTTTCGTGCTCCTTCGAACAACATAGCAAGAAATCATGAGAAAACTATATCGAGGCAGGTTAGCTCTGCTAAAAGCAGAAAATCATCTTTTTTTCAAATTTATGCTCACAGCTGTTTATTTTTTAGTAATCGAGTAATCAATTTCTTTTTGATTTTGTTTTTTTTTTCATAAACTCTGCTGCTGATTTTTGACCTGAGAATAATAAACCTGCTTTGAAAACACTTTTCCCACATCTTTCTTCAAAAATAATTTTTTCACCATTTTTCAGGCAGAAAGACGATAAACAACAAGTATCCCTTTCTCAAAACTCGTCACTTGACTTTTGAAACACTCTTTAAATGTGAATAAAAGCTGGGAGGAAGTTCCTCGCATATTTGAAACTTGTAACCAGATTCTTCTTGAGTGGGTTTACCTGTGCTAGAAAAAAAAAAGTATTACAATCCTTTTTTCTTTCGAGGCGCTTAATTGGAATTTGTCTCTTTAAACGACGACCAAAGATTATCGTTGTGATAACGACCTTCGGACAGCTCGAAGGGCGACGATAGAAATTTTTCTGTCAACGACAAACTGGCGAGAGAGCAAAGGCGGCGAGGAGATCGGCGACCTCAAAGAACCCGGTACACGACCAGGACGACCAAACCGCAGCAAACACGGTCAATCAAAGAAGATCCCACGTGACCTTCTTGTTAGGAACGAACCGAGCAGAGCAGTTGCCCCAGGTTTGAACTCCGGAGAACGTTTAGAATTTCGGAACGATCCTTATCAAGATAATGATTTCAAATGAGATACTTTTTCGTACCGCTCTTTTTTTCGCTTTTCCTTCTTAATTCTTCAAAAAAAAGATTAATAAGCTATCATTTTTGCAAGCATTTTTGAATGAGACTCATTATGAATTTTTCTGGACTCAAAGATTTTTTGATCTCAGCGATCAAACTAAAGTCGATTTTTTTTTTATTTGTTTCGTTTTTTTTTGCCTCTCAGGATGATGACTTACGAAAAGGAACCGTGTTGATTTCTAATTATTCTAATTTTAGCCAACATCACAATAAACCTATTTTCAGTTCTTGCACATTTCCTTTTTTTTCCAGTTCTAATGATTTCCTTTTGCTTTTTGCCCTCCTTTTGTCTGTACTCGGTGGTCGCTGACATGTGCTGGCATGGAAAGTGCATGGGATTTCTCACGGAGCGCGATTGTTCTTTGAGTTCTACGCGTCAAAACAGCCGTTGCGTGCATTTTTCGAACCTTTCTTGTCACGTCGACTGATGGTCCACGTGTGGGTCGAAAACAACAGATGACGCTCTTATTAAAGGTTTGCGACCACAAAATCGTCTTGTTATTTCAAAATCCTCGTTAACTAACGGTTCACGATTCTTCTCTCACACCTTGGGTACTAGTTAATTTTGTTCGAAAAAGCTTGTTTGAATAATTCAACTCTTTAGAACATTTTGTTGTAAATTTTAAAAACCATTTATAATTTTTTTTTACTTTTAATTTCTGAAAAATAATCTAAAACACAAAATCTACTTTAACCTAAGCTCAGTGGGGCTCAGGGCTGCTCTGAACTCTCAGAGGTCGTTTTAGATCTATACTCTTTTTTTAAAATGACCCTGGTATGGCAAAAAAAAAGGAAGATTTTTTCCTAATTCATTCAAATTTCAATTTTTATCCTTCTTGTGTCAATGCCTTCAAAGCGGACAGAAAAAAAGTAAGATGAGAGAACGTTATCATTTCAAAACAGATCCGTACGAAAACGTCCATTTTAGTTCTTTCCTTTCTTCAACTTTCAGTCTTACGATCCAATGTCTTCTCCAGGTCTTTTGGCGCGCACACTCACACACTCTGTTTTTCCGTCGAACGAGCTTTTTTTAGGGTTTGCTTCTTTTTCGTTTCTGCGTCCCAACTCTGCGGGGCAAGTGCACGCAAACACAATGCGTCTGGGCACGTGCCGCGCTCAAAATGATTCAAAAGCCTTTTTTCCGTTCTCCATCGTTAAAACGTTAAGGATCACATGCTAATATTCTCTGACATAATCTTCCAACGAAAGGACTAAGCCGATTTGTGTGATAGCGACCCCGTTTAGACCTCTCGATTCATAAGTTGCGAAACTGTCCACTTGCAATGTCTTTTCTATCCCTAGAAAAATTAAAAGAACATGTTTTGAAAGATGTCAAGAATGAGTTTTTAAAAGCGCTTGTTGACGATTTTTGTTTGATGATCATGTGATGCGAAAAATTAGAAGCGTTCCCGTGTAAAAGTTATTTGAAAAAAAAGTGCGCCGAACCTCTTTGAAAAGTTTTTTGTATTGCCAGGCCTCTGCGCAAGCCTCGATTCCGGGCATAAACTCTGAAGCCAGAGTTTAAAATAAAAACCTAAATGCATGATATTTTTAGGTTGAAGTTTCATTTGCGTGTTTTTTTTAATGCTTGTTATGGATCGTGATATATAAATTGTCACATTTTTTTAAATTTATAGAAACGTCGTTAGGTTAAAGAGCTTTCATGATTACTTTAATTTTAAGTCAAGCTTTCAAGGATATTTGCATGTTCCTTTTTGCGAGGAGGATCAGTGGGTCGAGGCTGTTGTCAGTTGCTGAGCCACTCGCCAACTGTGTGGCTCTGCAGAGCTCACTCTAGTCGCTTTTTGCGGTGTATCAACGGCCTCCTGGCGCATGGCCATATTTTTTGATTCGTCTTCTATCGTGATCGTACGATATTTTCACCGCCTTCGCGTATTTCACCATTCTCAAGCCCGCTTGCGGAGGCGTGTTTTCTTTTTTGGAACATTTTACCAATCTATTTGGAATCAAAACTTATTTCATAGGCCCTACGATTTTTTCTAAATGTGGGAGCTATTCCTTTACTTCTCATCAATATTAATTATTCAATTTTCGATTTTTCTAACAAGTGTTTTGTATGCTCAAAATACTTTCTGACCCTGTCTAGGCCATTCTTCATGGTTGAATTTTTCTGCATTGATTGATTCCTATTTTTTTTCGGGGGCAAAACTGCCACGTGTCCAGCCATTTCCTCCAATATTTTTTCTTTTCCCAAAGATCTAATATTGAGAAGAGAAAGGCGACGAAACAGTTTTCCATGCGCTCGCTACCGTATCACGTCTAAAGGGTCCAATATTTATGTTGTCGCGAGGGCTTTTATATCACGTTCTTTTTTATTTCACTTCGTTCAAACGCTGTTCGAAGACACCGTCCTTTCCCTCGTGTTACTTTTTTGTTTTCAGAGAAGTTTTCAAGACGATTATCCAACGCATTCTCAATACAAACATGCCTCTCGATCCTATGGATGTTATGTGGTAAGTTTGCCTATTTGAAAAAAAAAACACTGTTTGAGTTTCATTCAAACTTTTTTCAATTTTTCAATACAATCCCCGAAATGTTGGTAGACGAGCAAAATAATGTTCAACTAAACTTGAATAAAATTAAAAAAATGAAAAAAATCGAAAATAATTGAATTTCGCCCTGCTGGCGAATCCAATTATTTTCTTCTTTTTTTCCTATTTGTGTTTTTGTCTGGGAATGCGGTTGTGAATGCCTCTGTGATTATTGGTACAAAAATAACATTTTCAAGAGTCTGAATTAATGTGGAAAAGTGGTTGAGACAACTGGATCATCGGTCAGGGGGTAGTGTTCAGAAAACTTGTCGTTTTCCATTAAACAGTAGGAAGATTGATCTCCCACTAGGTTACCTTAGCTGTCCGTGGGTGGACCAATCGTCTTCAGTTCGAAAGCGAGGAACTTTTCGGTTTGTGATCCTCAGTTGTTGACTGACTACCGTCACTCTGTTGATCAGATCTGCAAGCTGAGATCTTCTCCGCAAACAAATGTGTGTATCAATGCTTGAACTTCATAAGACATATGTAAAAATCGTTATCACAAGGAAATCATTTTTTGCCGGTAACAAGTAGTTCATAGTCAACTCACAACTTAGGTTTCGTAAAGGCACAGAAGTCGAAGTTTACTTTATGTAGCTTAGAAAATGTCTCCTCTCTGCAAAACCCCAATTTGCGCTGGTTTCAGACAAAACCCCACATCGAGACATTTCTCAATATTTGAAGAGCAAACTTTCTGTCGAACACTAAAATAACTACTCTTTAAGATTTGAACAAAAATAGGTCAATAAAATTGTTATTCTTCAAAATTCGAATGTCTTACTGTGTGAGCGACAGAAATATCTCGATGTGTCTGCCTTGTTTATGCGTAAAAGCAGCGTCAGAAAAAGAGCGCCCAGGCCAGAGAGCGTAGGACCACGCAGAGAGGCCGTCGGCTGCAAAAAATTGTTTTCGACTTGGAGGCCTTCACATGATGTCCTTTTCGAACCCTCTTAGACGGATGCACAAGGTTGAAGAATAGAGACAAAGAGGGCGAGATTAGTAGAGAATTTTGTTTTTCTCACCGAGTGGGTATAAATAAAGCCGCAAGAGCGCGGCCGAAACATCCGCAATCCCAGCCAAAGTGAACCAAGTCCTCAAACAACGACGAAACTCTTCCAGGATGTCCAAGGCTCCCACCGTAAGTGAATTGGTTGTTGAGTCGAACGTCACGTTCAAACCGGTGTTGCCAAGCGCCGCAAACGGACCTGTGAGTCCTATGCCGGCCGCCACCGCTGACGACTCTGTACGTTCCTTCTTTTTTTTCTTGGAAGTCGCTGGTCGACCTCAGTTTAACTCTCACTTGCGAGTTTGAACGTGAATGGAATTCATAGTTACAAGAGGAAGACATTTTATAGATTTTTCGCAACTTTTTCTCGAAGAGTCACTAAAAGAACATTTCCGTCATCATTTTAAAGCATTTTTTGCATTAAAATAGAATGAACCATCCGAATAATTTATAACAATCTTAAAAACATCTTCTGACTATGGTTTCTCAAACTTCTGAAATTCTAAGAACTATAAAATGAAAATGGCATTCAGGTTCGCCCAGATTTTGATACGGACGTCCTCTGGAAGCCGAGAACTCGCTTGATGCACAAAAAAGAGCGTACCATTTCGATGGACTCAACTGATTCTGAAATGTATGGCGCTCGAAAGATGTCGCTGAACGAGTCTATTGGCTCAGCGAGGTGGTTCTTTTTTCTTTGCCTTTAGAGGAAACTAGGAAAAATCATTCACTTTTCAAAAAGCTATGGTTTTGTTCAATTCATGTTGAAGCGACAAATAAGACGACGTGCAGGCTTTTCAGCCCGCAGCCACCGACGTCGCCGGTCGAGGCGCAGCCGCGCCAGCGCCGCATGTCCATTTCCGAGATGTTGTTCGGATCTTCGCCGTCGAGTTTCTCTTGGGGAATTTCTACCACTCAGACCACCGAACAGCCCACCGACCGAAAGCTCTCAATCAGCGAGGTTCTTTTTAGTTTTTTTTTTCGATTTAATTTCTGCTTTTTTCCTTCCGAATATTTCTAATTTCATCTTCTCAGGACCCGCGATTCAAGGACTTCATGAAGCACCAAAGCAAAATACTCGGAGACGGTTGGTTTTTTTTTCCGTACGAAGCTTGATAGACAAATTAGTCCAGAGCTCATTGGACTTGAAATACTTTTTGAACTCAGTTTTCTAAGTTTTGTTCCGAGTATGTTTATCGCCAATTTTTCTTATTTTTTTCATTTTTTTCAGATGGCATCTCCGGGGGATTCAAGCGTCGCGACTACATGCACGACTAGCATATTCAATCTTTACACGTCTATTCAAGAAATGTAAATAGCAATTCTCCTTTTTCTCACGTTTCTTCTGTACTCTCAACCACACCGACGATGTTTTGCGGCGAATTGGCAGTTTTGTCCGCTTATGTACATATTATTTTCAATTTATTGTTGATTTTTCTCATCAGTTAGCTATCGCATGGTTCTCGGCGACATTGTTGACCGTTGGAGGAACTTTTTCTGTTTCAAATTTATGCGATTGTAGACTTTTGAAGCCACTCAGAAAATTTTCCTCATCCGCCGATTTTGTAAGTACACTGGTCAAAGGTTCAAATCAAGCTTTTTCCCAATCGGATCAGCTTTTTTTGCAATGCATTGAGTTTAACTATAAGTTATAAAAAAACGGGAATAAAACAAAAAAAAATGGTGTAGAACTGCTTGTTAAATTGCTTGATTGGATTTTCAAATAGCTTTGTTGTAAATAAATTGTATTTATAGAAAGCCTTTTTTGTGTGTCTGAAATTCAAAGGATTGTGGCAAGATAAAGCACAAGCTTTCAGGTTATTTCATGTTGGGACATTTGTTGGAAGCAATATACAATGTCATGATCAGAGTGATTCCGCGAAATTCAAAATAGCCCTCAGAGAGTGAAATAACTAAATTTTGGTCCGAGATAATAATGAATTTCGCAGAAATAACTTTGAACCCAACATAAACTCGAATGAGTCATCTGTAATCAAGTCTTTTTTTTAATTAGTGTTTTTTATTTCGATGATAAAGACGAAATTAATTTTCTAGTGGAAAACTTCTGAGCTTTCAATCATACAATATAATTTTTCTAAGTTCTTTTTTTTAGAACGAAAATCAGAATAGAACAATTTGGAACTTTTGCCGCAAATAAAAAAAAATTACCCGAACAAAAAAATAATGATTGTCAAAAAATCCGTAGCAGCTTTGGAGCTCTAATTTACTCTTTTCTTTTTTTTTTGAGAAATAGCGATAAAAATCTTTTGTAAATAAACTGACGTTGGGTGTCATGAAAATCCTAAGAATTGTGCGATGGAGCGGATATAGTACTTGGGAACTCCGACCGCCGTTCTTTATTTTTTTTTATTTCCCAGACCAGTTTTTTGCCCAATAAAAAAATTTACCTGTTTCAAAATAATATTTTTTTTTCATCTCGCGTTCAAAGTAATTTCCGCGGAATGCAAATATATCTCTCTCTCTTAACTTTAGTTATATTCTTCACTATTTTGGTATTCGCGGAATCACTTTAAACACGGCATCAAATTCAGTTTTTTTTCAAATGAGTTTAAAAAAAACGAGTATAAACATTTCTTTCTACTTTTTACCATTGATGATGTAATTATCATTTGTTTGTATTTGATAACAGTTATGATTCGCCGTGAAAACCGTCTTCGAAGGGAATATATATATCGGAAGTCTTTGGAAGAGAAACAGAAGGTTGTCGAAGAGAAACGCGACAAGATACGAGATGCTTTAGAAAATAACACGTAAGAAGAGGTTAGAAATAGTTAAGCACTGGGCTATTATTACAGAAAAGTTGATTCGTCTTTGAGAAAAGAAGCTATTTCTCTGGCGAAAGGGGCAGAATGGGGAGGACAAGTAAGTTTTCATTAATTTTTTGGCGTGTTGGAGAATTCGTACTTTAAAACCGTTTAAATCTCGATAAAGTTCAAAAAACTTTCCAAAACTTTGAAATTTGAAAAAATAGACATCATAAAAAAGCCGACGAACCGAACGTTTTTTTCAAGTAAAAAAAGCCAACAAACTGACCGTTTTTTCCAGAACGTTTTTCTTTTTTAATGCAAGATGTTTTCAGGCTTTTGGAATAGATGATGAGTACAGATGGGCTGGTGCGCAAGATCCAAAAATTGTAATAACGACAAGCCATAAGCCTTCTAGTCGTCTCAAGAACTTTTCAAAGGTTTTCTTGAAATTTACGTGTTAATGCAATTCACATACATTAAAGGAAATGAGGTTGATATTTCCGAATTCTCAAAGGATCAACAGAGGACACTACGACATAAAACAACTCGTCCAAGCTTGCAGAGCCCAAGACGTACGCTTTTTTTGTTTTATAATTAAACTACCGTTATATTTCAAAAACATGTGGCCTGTGCTCTTATTTGAATCGATGGAAATTGAAAATTTCCAAACAATAAAAAATATGGTTCTCGGTTTTTTTAAAATCACATTGGTAGATTCTAAATTTTTCAGCTCACTGGTAGAGGGAAATCCATAGTACTTTTTTCAAATATTTTTTCTTCGGTTTCGACAAATCGAAAAAATTCTTACCAAGCTTGTTATCAGACCTTTTGAAAACGGTCTTTTCATCCTATTCATTCTTTCTAACTTTTTTCAATGCATTGTTTGATTGTTATCCGAAGATTTGATGAGTCATGCATTAACTTTGAAGTTTAGCGTAATGGGAGAATGAAGACTTTTTTTTTTCGATTGTTTGACACCCCTTCACAACCTTGAAAAGAATCTCTACTGCTTCAGACGACGGATCTCATCGTGCTGACCGAGACACGCGGAAACCCAGACGGAATGATCGTGTGCCACTTGCCGTTCGGCCCAACCGCCTACTTCACCATGATGAACGTGGTCATGCGACACGATATCCCGGGCTGCGGCACCATGAGCGAGCAATATCCTCACCTCGTCTTCTCCAAACTCGACAGCAAACTCGGCCTCAGAGTTCGCTTTTTCCCTCTTTTCGCCCCATAAAGAAGTTCCTTTGCAGTTCACCTCGATCCTCAAACATTTGTTCCCGGTGCCGAAGCCGGAATCCAAACGCGTCATTACTTTCGCCAATACCGATGACTACCTCTCCTTCCGACATCACACTTACAAGGTTTGATCGAACGTGATAATTTTTCAATTTTATTCTTTCAGACGGATACAAAAGGGGAAATCGAGTTATCCGAAGTGGGACCACGGTTTGAGCTGAGACGTAAGATTCCAAGATCTCGAATGGTTCGTGAACGAAATTCTTGCAGCCTACCAGATCAAGCTGGGAACGCTGGAAAGCATTGCCGCAGCCGACGACGAGTGGGTTTTGCGGTCTTACACGAACACTGCGCGCAAAAGACAGTACCTGAGCATCGCCCGGGATGAAGAAGAAGACGAATGAATTGCACAGTTTTCTTTTCATTTTGAAAAGTGTTGAACAACTATCAAGAGAAAATGTCAAAAAAATTCTATTTGTCTCAAATGGTACGATTGGGGTCGTCCTAAAAAATGTTGTTAAGTTTGAAAATATACTCTACTTGTTGACCGTTTTTGTTGTTGAACTTTAATGAATCAGTTTTTTCTCTCCCAGAAGACGGAAAGTTACAGTAAAAAGGGTATTAAAATTTGATGAAATTTTTTAAATTTCTAGAAGAAGCACTCGCAATATTAAAATTTGAAGTTCCAAAAAGTTTTTCAATTTTTTTTTTTTCCAAGCTTTTTTTCCCTTTTTTTGATAAAATTTTTCAGGCTTAATCTGAGAAATGGAAAATTTCTGTAAGTCTAATCCAAAAATACAAATTGCGATCGGTCGTGCTGCGAAAAGGGAGATTCAGTGCCTTGACTTGTTGGAAAAGTTCTGAAATTAGTCACAGTTTGATGATGTCAGCGGCGTGGGAACTATGCAAGCACTCGACAGTTTGCGAAACGCCAAGGCCTCCCCCCTTGCTTTACACCGAGCCGCGGCTCTGGCTGGCCATCCGTTTTATTTCCCATACGTTTCGCATCTCGAATTCGTTCATTTTATCTTATACTTACCCTCCCAAGGCATTGTCCGAGGTGTCCTTTAACATTTTTGATTCTATCTCTAGTTTTTATTTTCGTGAGAACCCTTTTCTGCACTTTCAACACTGCCCGCACAGGAAGAGTGAAAAATGTTTAGAATGACGGCAGAGGAGACGGATGGCAGTCTCAAGCGCTCACAATCCGATTCACAGGTTCGTTTCGCAAGTTTTCATTGGTTGTCGGGAAAAGAGCAAGTTTTGAAAACTTTTTTTTTTAACAGTAAGAGCCATCAAAGTTAGTTTTACTGCGAAACTTCACCCCAGTCACGGAAAATTTTTTAGAAAATGTTTTTTAATATTTTTTCTTAATGCTCTGTCCTTTTTGGGCTAGTTGAACAGTAAATGGTCCATATGGGTGTAAAATGTCCAGAATGTACAGCGCACAACTTCGGAAGGCAGTTTTGCCGAACTTGCAATGAATAAATTAGAATGAGCCTATAATCCGCGGGAGTTGGAGGATCTGCTGTCAGTCGCTGACCGAACAGAGCCGAGTTTTTGTTTGCTAGACGGTGGGTCATGTGCCCGCGGCGGCGACAAGGGCCACTCGAACGGAGTTCCAGCTTAATAAATTGCTCAGATCCTCCAACTCTCTTTTTCAACTTTTTTTCTTTTTTTCAACGAGTTTCGACCCCATAAATGAGAATAACTTGATTACAGTGCGGTTCGAAATAGGTGGAAACTGAGTTATTATTGTTACACAACCCTGCGATATCACTCGAGTTGAGTAAATCTGGGTACTAGATTTATTTTATTTCAATTTCGAGAGGTCTTTTTTTTGTAATAAATGTGAAATTGAGCTCTAAAAGATTGCTTTTGTTTTGGACATCTACTTTTCTCAGAAGGCTTCGATTATTCGAGGTAAGGTTAGTTCAAAGTTAGAAAAATTCTAAAATTTTTCCTAATGATTAAAGTAAACAAAAAAAATATCATAACTCGAGTTTAAAACGTAAATAAATCTGCTCTCGTAATTGACTGAGTTTTTTTTTTGAGTCAAGCACCCAAAGCACGTTTTTCGAAGAGAATCAAAGCAGGAAAAAATCGGGACCAAAGCAGTTTCTGATGAAAAGTTAAACTCCAATTCAAGTTTTTGATTTTTAAAAATTACATCGAATAGTTTTGCTGAAAATACTTGATTTGGCTGATGTTTTTATTGAAGATTCACAGAGTCTTGAAGAACTTATAAATCTCTGAATATCAAAGTTGATTCAATGGTAATGAGACTGATTGCCGTGGACGTCTAGTACAGCTTTTCCAAATGAGGCCTTTTTGTTCTAAGGAATGTTATTAATTTTCACGATTCAAGATGTAGTTTTTAAGGTGATCGTTCCTCAAATCCAAAAATCTCAATCGATGCGACGTCTTCTTATTGACGAGCTGAGTAGCGGCGAAGCTTTTGCCGGCGACCGACTCTGGGCCTTGCTTTCCGGATCAGGTTGGTCAGGATCTGCAGAGAAACACTAAAATGTTTTTGTAGGAGATACCAAGGTCGAAGTCCGACTCATCGGCGACTCCTTTGAAGTTCCAGCTATAGATGTCACCAAAAAAGAGGGGGTAAATATTATGTTTTTACCTTTATGACCGACTAATCTGCGCTTTCAATTCGGAAATTTTTGATCAACTATAAAGTTTGAATCAAAACTTTGCTTCGTTTTTTTTGACGACGGAACGTTTAGCTCGTGATTTTCACAATGCCCTGTCTTCCCTGCAGCACCGACATAGAAGTTCAGCTGAAGATCAGCCTCGGCGAAGACGTCAGCACTCATTTACCGCTCAACTACCGCGTAAAGTTAAACGGTCCCTAGCTGGACAATTGCCAAAATTACTGATACAGAGTGGGGCGGGCACGTTCTGCAGAGACGCTTCTCGTCGACAATTTGTTCGAATTCGCCTCGAGTGGAGAGGCGATCGCCCTGCTGCAGCCCTTCGCAAAGCTCATCAAGCAACTCGACGTCGAAGGAAACAAGTGAGGCGTTTTGAAAAATGCAACCCTAGCGATTTTGAACTAATCAATCAAATGTTTTATTTCTCACACCTAAGTACTAAACTTTACTGAGTAAATGTAGGGAAAATGTGGGGAAACGATTTTTTTAAAAAAATTCAAAAAGTTTTTTTCTTTTTTTATTGATGGGATTTTGAGACCAGATCTTGAAAAAGATTTTTTATTAATTTTCTATATAATAGCCATTCATTACAAAAAGTACAATGGTTTAAAATAGTCTCAAAGTTTCATATTGGATAAGTGGAAAAATTGGTCTGGCGTAAAGACTGCAAAGATTTTCCACAATTGTCCTAAAATGACAGGTTTCTCTAGGGGTTGAAAAATATTTGAGCTTGTGAAGTTCTAGAGATGATATAGGAATGCTGGAATTTGGAAATGGGATGAAAGGTGGTCAAGAACAAAGTGTTCACATGCTACTTCCGTTTTATTTCAGTGTCTTGCACGTCGCTGCTCGCAACGGACAGAGCTTCGCTCTGAAACTCTTCCTCTCAGTTTTGCCTGGAGAGGAGAAGAATGGTGAACCTTTCTTTGCAACCTACCAGCAAAAATAAATCTTTCAGAAACCCTGAACCAGCAGAACCAGCGCGGGTTGACGGCTCTCCACTGCGCGATTCGTTCCGGCGATCCCGACGCCGTCCATTATTTGATGAATCACGGCGCCCTCACCAACATCTCCGACTCACACGGCAACACGGTCAGTTTCCGATATCATCTTTTTCATCGCTCACTAGTGCGTATAAAAATTATTCTTAAACCATGTTACTTTTTGGTATCACTCAACGTTTATTCCCAAAATTTTTTGGGAAGAAGTTCCTCATTCTTCATTTAAAAAAAAAATCGTTTTTGTTTTCGTTTTTTCTTTTCTAAAATACTTATTTTGATGATGTGTCGTTTATTTCAATTTTCTTCTTCATAATAAATTGAGTTTTGCAATTCAGGCTGTTCACTACCTCAGCGACGCCTACAACGAGTCTATATTCAAAGAAATTTTGGAGCCCTCAAGAGGACAACAGACAGATTTAGAATCGCAGAACGACGTCGGCCTGAGACCTCTACATATCGCTGTTAAACGGTATTGTTATTTTATATACACAAACCATTAAAAGCACTCTCAGACTGAAATTGACCCTAATAGAGATGTTACTGGAAGCGGGAGCAGATATCGAAGCGAGGGACAAGAACGAAAAGACGGCGTTGTTGCACGCGACGACCATGAACGACGTCGAGATCATTCAGCTTCTGCTGCAGGTTGACCAAAAAGCATGCGAAAGAGGACGTCTCTTGCAGAGGAACGCCGATTCGAACGTTGAAGACGACGTCGGAGAGACTCCACTGAGCATGGCGGCTCGGAACGCCAACTATCCAGTACTGGGGCTTCTGCTTGATCGGAGTGCTGACCCAAGACGCAAAAACGCAAAAGTACGCTCAAATATCATGTTAATCATTCATAGACTTAACAATTTTAAGGGTGTTGCATTGATCGATAATGACGAAACGACGGTGCAGAACGTCATCAATGGAGAGAGGTGAGGTCCAAGTGATACTGAACTCGAATACCTCTGATTAGGATGGAACTCCCTCAAAAAGACATCGGTGCCGCTGTTCCACACGACCTGGCGACTTCCAGATCACCTCTATTCGGTAATTGATTATCCATCGCGCTTCAGATTAGAAATGTAGGACGTTCGCATCCAGACAACGCACCAAGAGAAGAAGCACTTCGAAACAGGGTGGTGGTACGCACACGTGAAGAAATTCTCAACGGTTATTACGACATTCGTTTTTTTCGCGTCCATCAATAGGGCCAAATTTCAACTTGTAACTGAGTCGAACTTCCAGACGCGGAGTCACTGCTTCGGGAACCGATGCCGACGAGTCATCAAGGGTACTTTGACGATGAGGAAATGCTTCCAGGGCCTTCTACAAGCAGCGGCGGATCGCGTTCATCTCGTAGGACCAATCATTCTGCGCAAAAGTTGAAAGGTTTTTTTTTTAGTTAATAGCACTACATTTACATTTAACCTTTTGCAGATGATGTTTCCAACCTGGATTACCTTACCAGATTGAGAGTTTCAAAAATTTTCGACGTCTCTTCAAAATGGCAACGTCTTGCCGAGGTGAGACGGAATCTTTTCAGGTGTTCTACGACTCACGCGAAACTCTGATTTTCTGAACGAAGTAACATGGCTTTGTTCCATGAAGGGATAATGAGAAAATACAAAAATTTAAAAGAAGTAAAAAAAAACCCATAAATTTGATAGTGAATTGAAGGAACTTGAATGCGGTCACATGGTTGAACTCATCTCAATTTGCTCAGACGATAGTGGAGAAAGCAGCTCTACTATGATATTTCTCGATCAGTTTGAAGTGAATCAAACGTTAAATCGTTTTTTGGATGTCTTTAAATTATAGCAAATGCCGGAAGCAAGCATTACGAGGCTACGCGAAGCGATCATCCGGCTAGGCGAAGACGAAGCAGCTCAGCTCATCGACCAGAGATTCGTCTATTAACCATTAACTTTTCTTCCCACCTCTTTCCGTATTTCGATGCCGACCTATATTAATAAAACTTGTTTCATTTCAAAAGTTCAAGAATAAATTCGGCACAGTTTAAGAAAAATTCGTTAAAAGAGACAAGATATGGAAGGCAAGAAATTTCATTTGATAACGTATTTTCAGAATATGACAGGTTTACACGTATCATTGAAGCAGAAAACCTTAGTTTTGCTGCTCATGAAGCTAAAATGAAAGAAAAAACGTTCCTTGGAGGAAATAACAAAATGGAACACTGAAAATATTTCACAGAACAAGGAATTTTAAATGAAGACATGTTGGATTATTAAACTTCGGATCATTGAAAACTAACAGTTCATGCCTTTTAAAAATGAGAGAAGGTTGAATTGTCGAGGAAGTAAAACAAAAAACCTCTCGTTCATATTCATTTTTCTTCTTTCTTGACCAACTTCGCTCTATTTTTCCCCTTAAAATGTTTGGATGAAAAGCTTCATTTGAATGAAATACCGAAATGGGCTTGAGAAGCTGCAACTGCTTCAATTCGATCGACTTATTGGCTTGTTGGCTAAGAGTTGTACTCGGCTCTCCAGAGAACTTGGCGAAAGTGATCATCAACGACTGAAAAAAGGAGCTTAAAACTTTTTCTGCAACATCACTTCTTTTTTACTTTATTGGAATAAAATCCATCTCAACTCAGGAATATGAAGGAACCTGTGGATCATAATTTGTATGAGCATTTGAGCCCCAGTCGAATCGGAATTGCTCGACGCCATCTGGGTCCGTCGCTCGGAAGTATGACAGATATCCTTGATATAAAAACTTTTTAGTCGAGGTTATGCAAAAACCTTTTTTGATGAAGACCGCTCTGGGATGTGGGGCAATCAGCCTTTTCAACTCGGCTTCTTCTTTGGTACTTAGGCTTTTGTTTTCGTTTTCACGAAGAATTTCGAACTAAAACTGTGGATTCTCAAGTAGCCCGACTTATTCTCACCAAAAACTCGTACAAATCGTCTGCACTAACGCCTCTTTCTGTTTCGATCTCTGGGTTTCTGGCGGCGAAAATATACATGAGTGCTGCGGCCAAAATAGCATCGTGATATTCCTAAAAAATAACTGTGACCAAATCATTAGGACCTGTAAACCTTCTGTTTTATCGGCATATTCAGTTTAGAAGCTTGCTTCAACTTGTTGATGACGTAAATTTTTTCGTCAACTCGTTTCAGCTAAATAACTCTCAGATTAAAGTCTAGTCAAAGAGAGAATACCGACCTCCCATTTGAGGAGTGAAAGCCTTTTCTCGACTCTAGCGAAAATAACCTGAGATAAAAGTTAGAAGTTATTTGAATAAAGTCATACATTGTATTTTTTGAAAGGAAGTTGTCCATGGTAGCTATGATCTGCAGTCGTGTAAATCTTTCTCAGATCAGCTTCCTTAGCGTAACCATTTTTACTCTGAAGCAAAAGCAACTGCAAGAGATTTGACTCGAAAAAAAACTTACGATTGAAGAAATAAAGAAATGCGTTAGCTCTGTAGTCAAAAGATGTTCCTGAAATTGGAAATGTTTCTAAACTATTATTCTCCGTAATAGCAACTTTTTCAAACTAAAGGGCTTGAAAATACTGAATAAACGTTTTTGATAAACTTTAAAATTGACATAAACTCTAAGAATATATTACATTACGAAAATAACCTGGCGTGGGCGGAAAGTTTTTCTTTCTATCTTTTCCTTTATCTTTTCCACTTGCCGTCATCCTGAGGAAAAAGCTCTACGAAGCTAGAATCTAAATAAATTTATATTATAAAAAAATATCTTTAAATCAAAGAGGTGTGTCTTCGAAAAAAACCCAGCAAAAAAACGATAAAACAACAACAAAAAAAATTTTTAAAAAAACTTTCAGTTTCCCGCGGCAGCGAGCACAGAAGCAAGCAACGCGCACTTTTTAAAAATAAGTGGGGCACAGTTTATATATAAAATCGATTTTTCTCCTCTATATATATTCGAATTTTTAATTTTGACATAGTTTCAATGGCGCAATTTTCGTTTTTTTTTTTCGATGAATTCATCGGAAAAAACGAATATTGCTTCGAAACGCAAAAAATTTGCTCCCAAAAAAAAATAGTACTGTTTTGGAGCAATTTTGGTGCGCCGATGAACACATTTTTTCGTTTTGAAGCATATAGCATATGCTCCATGTTCCATTCCTCCAATGATCAAAAATGTCATCCTTGCTCGGCCATTGTTGTTTTACGAAATTTCAGAATATGTTTGATTTTAACGGTTAATTCATCTATATAGTGTGGCTTTGAAACTTTTCTAACAGAATATCTCTTTTTTTCGTGCTTAACTTTAAATCTTTTTTTTTTCAATTGAAAAAATTTAGATTTTTCGGCTCTCGGTGTTATCTACGTAATCAAGATGTCGTATATGTTACCGCATTTGGAGAATGGTTGGCAGGTTATTTTTTATAATACAAATCAATTCGCTAAATTTGCTGAGAGGATCATATTTTTCGGGAAAAAAAGCTATGGTTTTAGGTGGACCAAGCCATTCTAGCTGAAGAAGATCGAGTTGTAGTTGTTCGTTTTGGTCACGATTGGGACCCAACATGCATGCAAATGGACGAGGTACTTTTCGCAAACATATTTTTTTACACCTCACTTTGTTCATTGTAAACTGATGTATAAATTTTCAAGACCTTGTTCAAAGTGGCTCCGAAAGTGAAAAACTTCGCCGTCGTTTATTTGGTCGATATCACAAAGGTGAGCTTCCTTGCTATGTGGCTAAAATTTCAAAAAACTCAATTTTCTGTTTTTTTTTTTTTGCGTTCAGAATGTTTTATAATTGATCTAGTAATTTGATTGAGAAATTGTGGAGCAAGGTGAGACGTTGAATTATATTCAAAATTTTCAGGTTCCTGATTTCAACAAGATGTACGAGTTGTATGATCCCTGCACCGTCATGTTTTTCTTCCGCAACAAGCACATCATGGTCGATTTAGGTAAGCTTTCGTGACGTTTTCTTGGCGATTTATTCAAAAATAGTTATTTCGTCTTGAAGAGTTTCTGCTGGCAAACCTTCGAATTATTCAGTAATATTGTAGTACTGTCATTATGTTCTGAACTTATTTCGGGATTCGGTTTTCAAAGAGAACGAAAAAGTACATCTCATCGAAGTCTTTCCTAGCAAATGTCTGCAAAAGTTAATTCGGTTTACATTATTTTTTGCCTTTTTTGCCTCTTGAGAGCCTTTTTAAATTGATTCCGTAGCGAAAATTGTTGTTTCAATCTGGCATGGTTAAGGTACTGGTAATAACAACAAGATCAATTGGGCGGTCACCGATGGACAGGAACTGATCGATGTAATCGAAACTGTTTACAGGTGAGAGTAAATTTCACTTTTTCCTTTTCTTTGGAACATTTCAAATTTATCCGTTAATTGAATATTTAGAAAAAGGAAACAGTCTTCTTTTGTGTGTTCCTTTAGGAAAAGTATAAAATTCGATCTGTTTTTATCCGTGTGCGATTTGCCTATGAAATCTGAAAAGGTAACGAAACATCAAAGAAACAAAACGGTGTTGTTCTGAAATAACGTTTTTCGTCATTTTCTCATATTTCTGTTTTTATAAATCTCGTTTCACCAGTTTTGAAAGGGGCATAGGCGAAATTTTTAGTGATGTTCCAAATATAACACACTCGACAAATGAATGGTTTTGATATTGGTTATAGATTCTGGTAAATATCAAAATTCAGAGCGATGATGGAATTAGGAAAATTGTTTCTGAGTTTTCAGGTAACTTTTTTTTAAACTTCCAATTTACAGAGGTGCCCGAAAAGGCAGAGGTCTGGTCATCTCTCCCAAGGACTATTCTACAAAGTACAAGTACTGAGTCGGTATTTTGTTCATTTTTCTTTCTTCATAACTTCGATCAACATGTAAAAAAAATGAAAATAAAAAATGTTTATTTTTAATTTTTATATTTCATATGCATAAAGCCCCGTTGTTAACAGTTAGAACTGTGAAAAGTTCTTGTTCACTGAAGTGGAAATAAATAAAAATAATTTTTTTGCACGATTTCTTGGTCTTTCAACCATTTAGTGTGACTGAATAATGGAATTTGCGTTTAAGCTGCTTCTGTGACTGGAACCTTTTCCGGTAGAATGTTGACACTTGTTCGGCTGAATCGATAATGGATTAGTCGCGGAGTTGGGTTTTGGAAAAATGTGAGTGGAAGATAATTCTTTCGTTCAGAATAATTTCGGATAGTAAACGACCCAAATTTAGAATTTTGCGAACCTTTCGGCTGTTTTTTTCGATTTGAATGTGTACACTCTGAAACTACTCTGAAGATGTCTAACTTTTTTTTATAGTGCACAAGTCTTGGTTATGTGAAAAGCATTGTGGGATCAGGCTTTCAAATCAAAAAAGTGCGACTTTATTAAGTAGTTAATTAAAAAATACACACAAAAGATTGAAATCACCAACCAAAAAAAAATTCGTGCGCTGTCAGTCAGAACGTAATTTCGTGTTCAGGTAATTTTGGCGAAATATAAAAAATCTCTGGCTCTCCAAAATCTTTTTGGTTTTTTCCCCGTTTTGTCGAAAAGTCCCCTTTCGTTGAATTTCAACGCGACATGAAACACATTTTAGGATTCAGTTTCATTTTTATACTTGTATCCGAGATGAAGTCAATGTTTTTGAGAAAAGAAGACAGTAATATCGCATATAGAAGCCTAGTTCCAGTTCTACAATCATTAGTTTATTCAAATATATCTTAACTAGATTGGTGATACCGAACCCGAAAATGAAAATAAACAAAATGAATGAAGTTTAATTAGAAAAAAAAAATCTTCCCAGACCGCTACTATCCCATGTATGCCGAAAACCCATATAAATAACCAAAAATCAGTTGAAAATCATGAAACACAAAAAAGGACACGAAATGCAAAAGCAAGTGCGTTGCGGGTGAGTTGCGTTACAGACACGGCGTTGGGAATCACGCCCGACAGACCAACCTGTAGAGCATGTGCTGTGCCACTGCCGCCAGAAACAAAAACATTACGCAGAATTTGAAGATCGCAATCATTGAGAAGTTCTGTAAACTTTTAATAAGCTGTTAACTTGTTTCTCTTAAAAGTCTCAAAAAAAAAACGAATACCTGTAACAAGATAAAGACAACAATAAGGTTGAGCGGGATTCGGAAAAGGTTAAGAGTAGTTGAACGGGTTTCTTCAGGAACGTAGGTTCCTCGAAGACATCCCATCGCTGGCCAGAAAATTCCAACACAGACCTGAAAATTAAAACTGTCGAAAAAGTTTTCTTCTGGATATATTACTTCGAACATGAGAAAAGCGCCGAAAACCATCAAGGCACTTGTTGGAGCTATGATGGGTATTGAGAGGCAGATGGCGGCCAACAGCAAGACGTATCTGAGTTTTTCAATGATACTGTTTTTCATTCGTTATTACCTCATAAAGTCTTCAGGGCGGCTCTGTTTCGATAGAATTTTGAACAGAGATGATCCAATCATAGTAGAAACCATGAAAGCCGCGAAGATGTACCCGTGTGGAATTGAACTTCCGTCAGCCGCCTGAAAGCAATTTTCGAACTCTGTCTGGAAAAAAAGTTTCACCAAAGTTAGAGCAGGAGTCCATTCCAGCACAAAGGTGTACATAGAGCCTTCGAAAAGTGATTGTACCAATCCCAAGCAAAGCACATTAGGATCTAAGCACAAAAGTGGAAAACTCTGTCGAAAGCATCTAAGTCCTACCTTTTTTGATAGTTTGAATCGCTTTGGCAAAAGATTCTTGTACTGCGGCCTTCTCGTTACCATAATTTTCTGGCCAGGTGTTCATGACGATTATCGCCATGATAACAAGCACAGAGAGAGCCAAATCGAAAGGAGCTCTCAAATAAAATATTTCTATTAAAAGAGAAAGAAGTAACTTACACATAGCCAAAAAGATCAGCAACGAATTGCGCTGCGATTCCACTGATGATGGCGATCAAAGAGTTTCCAAGAGCTGCGTGTGAAAAGACGGTTCCGAGATTGCTTTCCGAAAAACCCCGCTGGAACAATAGGATAATTCTATTTGTTATTGTTACTTGTTATTTCGGTGTTATTTATAGTTATTTCCAGGCTTGTGCGTCAGGCCGGGCGGCCCGGGCTTTGGGCCTTATTTACAGGAAAAAAAGCCCGCGTGGGCTCAGGGCCGGGCCGGGCCGGGCTTCAAAAAAATTAAAATTTCATTTGAAAAAAATTTTTCACCGAAATGTGACTTTTTGCCTCTGAAATCATAGTTTTTGTTTAAGTGAAAAAATGAGCAAAAACATAATTTTTGTCGTAAAAAAAACTTGATATTCGACTAGAAAAAAATTGCGCGCTCGGGCCGGGCGGGCCATTTTTTCTTGAGACCCCTCTAAGGCCGGGCCGGGCTTACGAAATGATCGGGGGGCCGGGAGGGTGACGGGCCGGCCCTCGCACAGGCCTGGTTATTTCGATGGTATGAAATAAAAACCAGCGAAATTTCGAACGGCGAATTTTTCCGATTTTCTCATATCGCTAGGTGGCTTCACTGCGAAATACCGACTATTCCTTTTCCGACTTTTTTTCTCGATAATCTCTTCGTTCTGAATCTTCTTACATAAAATAGGTGATTCATAATTAAAACACAAAAGAAAGAGAAAAACAATGTTAATAGATCTTTTACAAACCGAAAAATATAAGGGAAAAAAGTCGGAAAAGGATTAGTCGGAAACGTCGCAGTCGGAAAGTTCCCTAGCGATGCGAACAAATCGGAAAAGTGACCGTTCAAAATTTCGCTGGTTTTTTTTTCATACCACCGTTGATTTTTTTCACAATTTCATTCTTTGATTCTCTACAGCGATCTTATCTGCGAGACCCCGTCATTGTATAGCCGTTTGCTAGGATTTTCTTCCTCCGATTCTATCTTCGAATCCTTTCTGAGATTGAATCAGCGACAAGCATTTGGCTGGTCTTTTGTTCAAAATTCGGAAGCTTTTTTCTGAGACAGTTTTAAAATAGCGAAGAAAAGATAAAAACTGACAGAATTGTGCTCGTTGACAAGCCACGATTCGAAGGCAGAGTAGAGTATGGAAGTGGCGATGCCGCCAAGGAACCTGCCCACCATCAGGACTTCCATGCTTCCGAAGTGCTTTGTGATGCACGCGCCTCCGTACAGAACAGCGTAGATCAGGCAGTTGTTCCGTCGGCCGCTGAAAAGGCATCGTTCACCTTTGAAAATTAAAAATCGAGCGAATTCATGAGCGGAATTTCAAGAAAATCTCACAATTTGTCGGCGAAAGAGCCGACGACAGTTCCGAAGAGCAGACTCGAGCCGAAGCCGGCGATGAAGAGAATCTCGATCTGGTGCTTCGACATACCATAGGACTCGTACAAGGCATAGACATGAGGTCCTTGCAGCCAGTCGCCAGCTTAAAATCGTTTTTTCCCTTTCTATTCGATGTTTCTGAGCTCGAAACTTGGTATCCAGCACTAAAACCATTATTTTTCAGGAAAAATAGATGGATAGGAATTATTGGTGTAATCACTCGTTACAGAAATTCCAAAGCAGTTTATCATCTAGTTGAGGCTATTTGAAGAATAATTCAGGAAAAACCCTCTCCTAACGAGAGGGTTTTTCCTGAATTTTCAATCATACATTTTTTGAAAGTATGTTTCTAGCCAACAAGAAAACGAAATGAATGGTCCTGCGCATGGAAATGAGGGCGATTCGAGAAAAGAGAAGCGCGGTGCAAGAGAACTGGAAGACGTTTAGAGGTCAGCGCCGTTATCGAAGTGTTCCCGACGTCAGGTCAGGACAGCCGACTGGACTTTCCAAGTTCATTCTATCCGATTATTGAAGTTGAAGCTTCATCAAGCATTTCACGAGTATTCATGTTAGGAAAAAGCTGTTCAAACATTTTGCCGCATTGGTTCAAACAAAAATGTCATATCAACACCCTTTGAGGAATAAAATGCGATATCGATTTGTCGTTTTCCGTTTTGAATACGTTTCTTATCAACGTCATTTTTCTTATATCGAGGAAAGAAAAGGAGATTTTTAAAATTTTTATGATTTTGAAAGTGTCGGTTGCGCCCTCAGCTTAACCGTTTTATCGTTGAACGTCGACCAATATTAGTACGAATGATAACAAGACGCGTTGAAAACTAAACATTTCATCTTTTTCAGACGCTTTGATACGATCCAACTCATATTAAATTTCCAATGTTTCTCAAAATTATTCCGAGAAAATTTCATATTGAAAAAGAGTCAAATGTGCCAAAGCTTCATCTCGTTTTCAGGTATGTATAGTAAACCTATATGGTAATAAAATAATCTATATATTTCAGCAAGTTGATATATCTAACTTGACTGATCGGATATTAATGTATAGAATGTGTAAAGAACGGACCAACGGCAAGCAAATAAACAGTGAGGTAGGTCCTCTGGAAGGTCTTGAAAGCCGGATCTTCGTTAGACTCGGACGTGCTTCTTGTGTAAAAGTACAGGAATGCACAGACGAGTGCGAGCCCATAGAACACAGCGACGAACATCTCCGGACTGTAGGACAAGCAGTTCGGGCCGACAGACTTGCGCGCCGAAAAAGGCAATCGCGAGTGCGTGGAATGAAAGCCACGCCCACTCCCGCCTCTCGATCTTCCACGTTTTGCACAACTCTCCCACGAATTTAAACGATTCCTTGCAAGGGAGTCGAGACTCACGTTGCCACGTGTTGGCCCATTCTCATCCGTCAGTCGGTCGCCACGATTTACAACCAGAATATTTGAGAACGTCGGGACAGATTTGTGAAAAAGAGTAAAAAGTTTACTCGACGCACGTGGAAAAAATTGAGAGATAGATTATTTTCATTCTGAATCGATTGGATCATCGGAAAAAACTTGATCTTGCTGGGTTGGAGCTTTCGGAGAAGGCTTTCTAGCATCTTATGAAAATTAATTTTTCCATCGTCTCACAAGAAAGTTCCTCATTTTCTCAGACTTCTTGGCAGATTTAAGAAACTTTGAAACGGAGAAAAATAGGCATATATATATATATATATATATATATATTAGAATATTACAAGTTATCAAAAAAACTAAATGGGTGATTGAAACCTGAAATCATCTTCTTTACAGAATTCTTTTTCTAGAAAAGAGGTGAACTTAAAACTTTTAAAGAAATTTCGGCGAGTTCGAAATGATCTCTGGCTTTGTAATTTTTCTTTTGTCTTTACTCTTTTTTTACTCTCTGGCGCTCATTTATTTTTTACCCAAACTACTAGTAGTGTCGCATAACCGTTTTTACTAGTAGTAGGAACGGTTTATTAAATTTAACTTTAAATTGAAAAAAATAAAGAAAAAAAGTTCCTTGGAGAGGTGTGAGCTGAAAAGGGCGTTCTCTGTGATAACAGAGCTTGAAGTTATCTAGATATAATTACTTATTTATCTATCGAATTGATTGAAAAACGTATTAAAAAAATATATACAGCATATATGCTGTATGCATACTGAAAAAGCAGGCGCGCAATGTAACTTTCAAAGTTTTTCTTTTTAATATAGAACGAATAAAAACAGTTTGAAAGGCTCATTTTCTTATATCAATCTTAAAAATAAAATTTAAAAGTTATACGACATCACACACGAATCAGGCAGGGGGGTCGCAATAATGCCAGTAGTCTACCGAAGGATCTAGATCTGAAGCCTAACGGTGTTATAGACGATTCACGGCTAGCTTGGGACGCAAAAAGGCGTGGCCTGTCTGCACTCTCCACTAACCAAGGCACTGTCTCGTCGATTTTCGTGGCAGGACCCTTTTCTCGATGGCTCAAGCCAGCCGTGAATCAGCTATACCACGGCTATACCTTGCAAAACTATAAAAAAAAAATGCGATTTGAGGTAAATGCTCGGTACTTTCATTACCTAACCCCGATTCGTCTATGAAATACCCCCCTATCCGAAAACCTCTGTACAAAAGCTGCATTCTACAGTTAAACGATCACAGCATAATTGAAATCTTCAATATTTCCGAGAATCGGTGGAATTCAGTAAAAAATTTTGAAAAAAAGCCGTAATTTCCTGACCATTGTTCTGTACAATCCTATTTTTTTTTCTTTTGAAATGAACAAATTCAAGCTGACAGTTCTTAAGGTTAACGTCAAGCTCGCAGCATGACGTTAACTTAGTGCGTGTCAACACGTCAGCCTATTTTCTCGAGATGCTCAAAAGCTGAAATAAAAATCTTTTCCTTTTCAAAGTTTCTAGTTCTTTTTTTTTACTGAAATCCGGAACTGAGATGTTGGCAGAACCAGGTCGAGCATGTTGATAAAAAAAAGCCCAATTGTTCGCCGGTATTATGTCGAATTCATACTTTTATTGCTAAATTGAAAAACCTATTAAAATATCAATCCAATACTGCCTAAATTTTTTTTATTATTCTTGATAAGCGTCCTCTGAAATTCAGTTCAGTAGCAAAAGATTTCACTCCGAACATTTTTTTTCGTTAACTTTTTTCTTCAGATTTTGATGTTTCCTTGGAAATGTGAAGCCTGGATATTGAGGAAAAAGATCTTTGTGATGACGATGAAATGAACTTTTATGAAAACGTTTGACCGAATGTATTATTTTTTCTAGAATATTCTACTTCAAACAAGTCTTTTTTTGTAAGTTGTAGAAGTTGTCACAAATATTCATCATTGTTTTTGTATAATTTGGGACCAAGTTTTTATGGCGTTTATCTTTTTCAAATAATTTGTAGCTATTAATATTTTTCAGAGAACGATGTTCAAGTTTTTCATTGCCATCTGCTTATTCGTTTCAGTACTTGCTCAGAAATGTGAAGGTATGATTTTTGTTGTCTCAGTAGATTTAATCTTTGTTTCAGTGTGTACAAAGGTTTTGACGGATGTCATGGCGAAGGTACCGGACTCCGACAAATCGAAACCAGACGCCATTGGTCGAATAGTTAGAGAACATTGTGGCGGAACAAAGAATAAGGACCACAAGTTTGTTAGTTGTTTCCAAGAAATATTTTTCTCTCATTTCTTTCATTTGAAGTGCTTCTATATCGGGGCTTTGCCGGAGTCAGCAACCTCCATCATGAATGAGGTGCAGAAGCCGCTCAGCTGGTCGATGCCTCCCGAAAAAGTTTGCGATAAACTGAAAACCAAGGATGCGCAAATCTGTGAATTGAAATATGGTTTTTGAGTTTGATTAACACATCTAACTCGCTCATTGCAGACAAGCCGCTTGACTGGAAAACTATCGATTTGAAGAAGATGCGCGTTAAAGAGTTGAAAAACATTCTCGTCGAGTGGGGAGAGGTTTTTATTTTATTCACGCTTTTTAATTTAGCAATTTTCTAGGCTTGCAAAGGATGCACTGAGAAGACAGAATTCATCAAGAAAATCGAAGAACTGAAGCCGAAATACGTGAAAGAAGAGCTGTGAATAATGTTATGACCGAGGGGTGGACAAAGTCACTTGTTGCTATTAATTTTTTGATTATCGTACATTATATTGGATGCCTTTGACTTTTTGATCTTTAATTTATTTTCTTGTTTCTTGTTTGATGACGTGTGCCTTTTTTCTACGGAGCTTAATAATAAAATTTTCTCGTTTTATTCGAATTCTTCCCTTATATGGTTATTAACCAATTATTTAAACTGATGAGAATAGAAATTTCTTTAAAATGAAGTTGGTTCTCAATCTTACTTCAGGTCCTTTGGACAGAAGAGATGGCTAGCTCTCTTCCGCGGCGCATCATAAAAGAAACGCAGCGTTTGTTGGCGGACCCTGTCCCTGGAATTTCAGCGAATCCAGACGAATCTAATGCTAGGTTTCATAAAAACGGATTAAACGGGAAGTTCTTCGTAATTGTAGATATTTCCATGTGATGATAGCTGGTCCCGACGACTCTCCTTTTGCTGGAGGAGTTTTCAAACTCGAGCTCTTCCTTCCAGAGGAGTATCCAATGGCGGCGCCAAAGGTTAGCTCGTTCTAAATATTTCGCTTAGTTTAGTTTTTAAGGTCCGGTTCATGACCAAGATCTATCATCCCAACATCGATAAACTAGGACGCATTTGCTTAGACATCCTGAAAGGTAATTAGATTACTCTATTATTTCTCAAAGTTTTTTGAAGATAAATGGTCGCCGGCTCTGCAAATTCGTACAGTTCTCCTGTCGATCCAGGCTTTGCTTTCTGCACCCAACCCTGAGGTTCGCAGAGTTTTACTCTATGACTTCTTTTTTTTCTTACAACAAAAAATTCGAAATTTGTTAGGACCCTCTGGCCACGGATGTCGCTGAACAGTGGAAGACGAATGAAGCGGAAGCCATAAGGACCGCCAAACAATGGACTCTCGCTTACGCCCGTATGTTTATTTTAAATTCTCATTCTTTCGGCGTTTTTAACTTTTCTTCATATTCTAGAGTTTCCTTTTTATAAATGAATTTTCTCATTCTATTTAAAGTCGTCTATTTGCTAGAGAAGGCTTTATAAATTGAAGATACATAAAGTTTTAGGAGCCTCGTACAATTCATATCATTTCGAGGCGTTAATCATGATGAATAGGAATGGCACAACTTGAGAGTTACTGCTTTTTTTGTTCCCCCAAAATGGAATTAGTAAACGCTGGAGAATTCAAAATTTTAATTTAATAAGCCCAATTCCAGCGCGCTGAGGTTTGAGTGCTAACTCTAAATAAAAAGTTCATTTACTTGTAATAAGTTAGTTCATAACTAGAAAAAAAAACCTTCAAATCAAAATTTGAACTTCTCTTTTTCGAAATATACAAAAGACGCGAAATTTATTAACAATAGATTTTTTAAGCCATGAGGCTTATAGGTTGTCGAACGAATCGTTTTAAGTGTAACTCGAATTCTTCTTATGAACTTTCAATTTTTCCATTGCCCTCGAGTGGTCATTGTAGCTCATTTCAATATTTCGGACGACCACAGCAAAGGAGAGAAGATGAAAAAAAAAACCTAATTGAAAATTTTATCGATTAAAGTTTTTTCAGAAGCCTAAGTATCACATTCCAACACCGTGATGTCTTGGCTACCGACATCTTCAAATAATACGTGTCGCCTTTTTCGAAAAGAAGCGCGTTATTTTATAAATAAAAATTTTCCTTTTCTTTTCGTTTGTATCATTTTTCTATCTTCTCACCTATTTTTATCATTTTTTTTTTCATGGATTGTTTTATTTTATCTCGCCTGCACCGGCACCCCGTGTGAAAAATTGATATCGCTTTTTTTTCATCTCTGCGTTTGACTTTCTTTGTCTCGATTACTTGTAGCATATTTCGGTTTTCGTGTCCGTAATGAATTAAAAATTTAATTGGACTTTTTGTAAATGGAATCAATTTAGTGAGGGTTTTTTTACCCTTCAGCATTTATATACAGCTTCTTCCTTTTCACAATGTTATTTAACTCGAAAACGCTCACTGGGATGCTTGCATCGTAAATTGTAATCACAGCGATGATTATTGTTTCTCCTTCTCAGGTAAGTAAATATGTGAGTATATTTCATGTAATTTTTTGAAAGAGATATAAGAGAATATTGGATAGGGTTCACAATTTTTTCAATTAATCATTTTCGGAGGCTGTAGACTCTTTAGCAACAAAGAGGCCAAGCATGCACCCAACATAATTGCCGATATCGCAGCGGGCCGCACGCGATATAGCCAAAGGCTTCTCGCTGCGACCTCGTCAAAGTCTCGCTGCCATATCGCTCCCTCTTAAAAAAATTTGAAATTTGAAAAAAACATTTTTTTGCTTTATTTTTTTGACTTTTATGATGAAATCAATCAAATTCAAGATTTTTTTGAAGAAAAAAATTTTTTTAGAGAGCGATATAGCGCAAGACGTTTGCGAGGTCGCAGCGAGAGGCGAGCAATATCGCTCGCGGCTCCCCCGCGGTATAGCGTTACTCTCGCTGCGATATAGTCCACAAAATTGGGTGTGTCTTAAAGTACCTTTGAAAACGGATCTTCGATTTTTATTTATTAATTTAATCAGCTGCAGTTTTTTTTTTCGAATTTCTCTTTATATATATAAAACGGGCGCGGATTTCAGAACAGAGGCAGTGTTCAATGAAAGGAAATATAGTCTGTTCAGATTTCAAATATCAAGTCCTCGCTGAAGCTCCGCCCCCCTAATGGCGCGATAAACCAATCAGAAGCGAGCCATCCACAGAGCGTTTTCGCATGACGTCATTCTACTTGACATTCAAAAATCTGAACAGAATATATGTTTTTCCGCCATTTTCCCGAAATTAAAAAATGTCTTATGTAAAATTAGTCTTTTTCAGACTCAAATGGTTTCTTCCTTGCGCGAAGCTTCTAAATGTCGAAAATCATTTTTCACATAATTGCGTACGGCTTCAGACTGTTCTCTCAATACACTCTCCCCAAAGAAAATCTAAGGCATTAGGCGTATTCGCACAAAGGTTTCAGCCTTCGGAATGGGAACTTGAACTATTTATTAAACGAGTTGAATTTGAAATGTAAAAATAAAAGGGCATGGGCAATTTTATAGTAAGCTTCAGAATTTACTCATGAATTTCAAGGTCAAGAGATCTCTCTCAGTCGCTACCTGAGCGATCTTTTAGTTCTGAAAATATGATTTCTTTAGTTTCGCGTATAAAACGGAATTTGCAAATTTGACGTTTCGTCTCTTCAAAACTAAAATGTTGGACCATCACGGATCTTCGCATCTACAGGGCTTTTTTGAAAAAAAATAAATTCATTTTAAAAATGGCTTTCCTTTTGAAAATAAAATTCAATCATATTTTTATGTGGAAGTTTTAACTTTCATTTTTTTTTTTCTGTAATTCTTTCATGTTCAACTTTATGCCGTGTTCAAAGTGATTCTGCAAAGTTAAAAATAGGCGTTAGATAGTGAAAAAGATAACAAACTGTGTAGATTCATAATCATCATCAAATGTTTTATTTCTCAGCCGCAAGTACTAAAATTCACGAAATAGATGTAGGGAGAATAAATTAATAACTTTGCGATTCGCGGAAATCTTCATGAACATGATATTACTTTACAAAAAGAATGTCCGTCTCAAATGCTTTGAAAAGCTCAGCTGAACTCGAAAGAGAGATTTTTTCAGTTATTTAAAAAAAGGATTGAATGTTTTTCACAACAAAACTGACTGCAAAAAGCTCTCTTTTTGAAAGTGTTTGTTTCTCTCTTATGACTCTCTTATTTTGTTCATCTGCAAACTTTAGACTCTGGTTGTTTGTATGCGGGTTGTTTACGTCCTTGAAGGCCTCTTTCGCAATCTTTTCAACCGCGGCCACGTCCCGCGAACGTCATAGGTGGACGTGTTCCAGCGCGTTAAATTGTATTTAACAGCTTCAAGTCTTTTGTTCTGATGAGATTTGTGTGGGTCAAACTCTGTTCTGTAGTTTGTAAAAGGCGGCGCCTCCGGGAAAACAGTTGTTATTTTCACCAATGTTGTTTTCTCGGTCTCTGGTGCGTGGCAACATCGATTTTTACGTTGTTTGTTCGCAAATGCTGCATTTTTTTTTTCTTATCGTCATTTTCTTTGGTTTCTACCTTCGCGCTCGCTTCGTTTTCTTCTCATTTCTCAAAATTAGACTTTTTTTATTACAGTTCAATTGTCTAAACGTAAGATGACGCTCCAATGGACGATCATTGCATTCGTACTGTACATCGAAATCGGTATTACCTTCATCCTTCTGCTCCCCTGGATTCGTCCTACTTTGTAAGATTTATCTCAAATGGTTTCAACATTTAGATGCGAAAACCTTTTTTTTATGTTGTATTATTTTTGTACAATAACGTTGTTCTGTGGCTATTTTTTATAAATGAATATCAAAAGAAAAACGAAAATAAGTTTCCAAGGAAAATTTAATAATTAGAAAGGAAGTTTATCGCATTCCATGAGAGAAAAACAAAGTTCAATCGATCAGATTTACAGGTGGAGCAAGCTCTTCAAGAGTCACTTATTTAACTTACTGGCAAGGCATGCACACATTTACTCGGTCACCTTTGGTTTTGTCCTCTTCGTTCTTTTCGCAGGTTTATTCCTTTCGCGAAAAAATTCTGCTCGTAATGGACTTATGATCTTGGATAAAACTTTGGAGTTGAAAGAGTTTGGAAATATTTACACTCAGGCAATTCTTGAAGATAAAAGTCTGGGAAAGGGGTTGACTGATAAAAAATTTCATTTGCCAGATAACGAAAATAAGCTTCCGAAAAAATCTAGAAATTTGAAAGAAAGTTCATTACCAAATTTAAGGCTTTATTTAATGGTAGATGAATTCTGCTAAACCAGAAGAACAAGACTTGAAAAAAAAAGGATTTTGAAAAATGAATTTAATTTGCAAACAAAGAATTGTAGATGGTGTTCGGGAAACGATGAAATATTCGCATCTGGAGGAAAGAATCACACGCACCGCCGAATCCGACGCCACCCACCATATGCGACTTTTCCGAGCCCAGCGCAATCTTTACATCTCTGGATTCGCCCTTCTTCTCTTCCTGTACGTTTTGAGCGAACGAAAATAAGAGAAAATAACACCATCACTATAAATCATAGAGGAAAAATCTCTTTTTTTTCTCAATCTTCCAAGATAAGCTGGAACGAATTGCTTTTCTTTTTAATGAGTTTTGATATGCAGAAAAAAGTGGCTTAAAAAGATAACATTCTTCAAGTAAAATTGTCTTTAAAATTACTTCAGTAATTTTATGAAGTGGAAAATTTCTTTGAAATTTTTTCGCATTCTTTTTAGTTGCTAGAAAACCGTCGTAAGCTATTCACGATTGCTTTACAATGTCATTCAGTTCTTTTTATATCCTGTTAAAAGTAATTACCGCGAAATTCAGATTTGCCTCAGAGGTTAAAAATTCAACTTAATTTTAAAGAGTCGATAATGTTTTTGAGTTTCGTGGAAATCTCTTTGAACCCGGCACTAGTTTTGAATAGTAATTTATTCCTTTTCGAGGCGTTTATTTCAGAAGCCCTTTTTCACCAAAACTTCTGCATCATAAAGACAATCTTAATTGAGGAATTAAAGTTCTCTTGAATTATCTATTTTATTAAAAACTCGAGTTTCATCTCAATTTTTCCTGTGTGGCAAACATTTAGGTCTTTTCGGATGAGTTTAAAAAAAAAGGGAAATGAACGAAATTATTTTCTTTCAGGGTTATCAAGCGTATCATGGCTCTGCTGATGCGCGGAGCCCAGCTTGAGGCTGCCAGCGAAGCGGCGATGCGACAGGCCGAGTCTGCTTCCAAGGCCGCCAAGACGCTCCTCGACGCGGTTCGCTGCCGTCCACGATTCAGCCAATTCGAAACTCTTTGCAGAGCCCCGAAGGCGATGGCGATTCCGATGAGCTGCGTCGTCAGATCAAGGAGCTCGGCGAGGAGCTGAAGAAGGCTCAGAACGACCGCGACGCCATGAAGGCCCAGGCCGAGAATCTGCAAACCGAGTACGACCGCGTCTCTGACGAGCTCAACGCTCATGAGGTTCGTCTTTTTTCTTCTTTTCTCGCGGCAGCTGCTTGTTTTAAAGAGTACACCAAAAGGTGTAAAGTCGTCACGGATTTGCAAAAGCAAAAAGATGATAATAATAAACTTTTTTCCTTTACAAATCTCAAAAGAAGCCTCAAATTTTATTTTGCTTTTTGTCAAATCAGAATTTTCGTTCATTTTGTTCAGAAAAAAGGCCAATTGAATCGTTCCATCTGAATTCTGAATTTTTCTTTCTTGACAGCCGATAAATTCAGAAGAAAAAAATTTTATGAATTTTTATATTTTTTTATATTTTTAATATGGAGAGTACGTCAGTATTCAAGCCTGTGATCAATTTAAAAAACTTTTTTAGCGAGGATCGGCGAAGGTTAACAAGAAGGACGACTAGACGTGCCACGCGCTTCCCCGCCAACGTATTCTTTGTCAAAATTTTCGCAATTTCGACTAAATCTCTTTTTCCACTTAACGATTTTGTACCACCACGTCACGTTTCACTGATACGTGTGCTTTTCTGTATTTATAAGTAAGTAATAAATTTTTAGTGGGTAAATTTACCTCAAAAATCAAAAAACTCACGCTTTGTAACAAGATGATAGCGTGAAAAACGATTGAAATGGGTCAATCTGGGCTTGCGGTTGCATGTCTTTTGCCGCAGAATCCTTTGTCCGCGCGCCTTTTCGGCTGTGAATTTGAATTTCATCCGAGGAACCCGTTTCCCTGTGGAAGATGGCCGCTAGGAACGCCTCTCGAAACCCGGAATGCGACTTTCATTATCACTATCTCACTTTCTTCTCACATTTCACATCCGCTTTTTGAGGTCATTAGTTTTTCTCCAACTTTTTTGATTTTTTTTTGCAAGTTTTATTAATCAACCATCTAGAAAAATTCCATCAACTAAGTTTAGAGTCTTGCTCATTTTGAAGAAATTGCCTTTGCCAGCGGTTATAGATTTAAGACACGACACAAAATACCTGCTTTTTATAGCCTACAGAAAGATGTTCCTTTGTTGGGGCCTCGGTTATCAAGTTGTACCTCGACGCATCGTGGCGAACGAGTTTGGCGTGAGTAGCCTCTGCACGGCGGATCCGGTTGTCGCGCTTCCTCCATTTTCCATATTTATTGCCGTGTTTCGGCAGTTTCTCTGCTTTTTTTTGTACATAGGCAATCTATATAGACTTATTAAAAACCACTGCAACGAGTTTCGTTCCTCCTTCCCCATTTCGCTTTGCAACGTTTCGTAATTAGAAGTGGAAAACTTCATTGTTTTTTGATACAAGCATTTTTTTTTTCCAGTTTCCTCATGAGTACCTAATTTTTCTGAGAAATTCAGTTTGTTATGTGGTTATATATATATATATGTATCTACATGATTACGCATTATGTAATAATTTTTCAAATTTACTCATTTTTTGCATCTTTCAGTTCAAATTTTCTTCCTGTGAAAGATTTATTGAGAGAAAAAACATTATTTGAACACCTGCTAATATTCCTGGAACAAGCGCTAACGAAATTTCAAATCGAACAGGTGATTTATGATCGCTGAACTTCTTTTTTTCAATAATTCCTAGTCTATTCGAGAGCTTTGGTCTAGCTCGTACTTCGCCCTGTACCCATGCAAAACAATGATTTCTTATCACATGTGGTCATCGATTCTCACGTTTTTCGTTTTGTTTTCAAGAATCAGTTCTCTTCTGCAGATTACAAATGGAACAAACAAAGATCTGAAGCTAATTATCGCGGCCAGACGGAAGAATTCGGTCAAAAATAGCAAATGAATGGCTCGAAAGTTTTCTCAGAGGCCTGTCCGCCGCCAAAGATAGTGAGCGATCCTCAAAAAGGTTTGTTCCAAAAAGAAAAGCAAACAAAAATGACTTTTTTCGACTTCGGAGCCTTCGAAGCATATCTAAAACTTCTAACATGACTTTCTCTAGATCCAGTGACACCATACCGGGCAGTGCCATTGAGTACGCGCCAAATATTCGGGACTGTCGTTTCACTGGCCCTTTTCTCGTTCGTCTATTTGGCCTACGCTCAGCATCATGCTCTTCTCTTTTACGTCATGACTGGGTACACGAGCAAATGTTTCAGAAAATTATGTAGAAGTGAAGCTTGAAACAACGCGAAATTATACAAGTTATGAAAAAAATAGTGATATCTAGTGGGGGCTTTTTTTAATAGCAGAGCTTCAATTGTAGTAAAAAATTACTTGATAAAATGAGAATGAAAAATCTTTATTAAGACGCACATAAGTTTTATTTTTAATTTGCCCTTTGATTGAAGTAAATTTATATTGAATTGAAATTTTTTAAATGGATAAACAAAAAAACAATTGTAAACACAGTTCGAATATCCATGCGAATTTTTTTATCAAAAAAAACTTCACAAAAAAACTAATTTGAAGTTAATATGACAATGCGGATATTTCCGTTTTTTTCATTCATATTTTTCATAATTTCAGTTTGGTTGGAATTTACATTGTGTTCGTCTACGTTTCGGGTATTTTCGCCGTGCTCTACATGGTGATTGTCGACTACGATCTCAGCAAAACAGCTTCAATCGACGCTGGAGAACAGCAAGAATCTTCTATTTGAGCAATTCAATAAACTGATCTTATAAGGTTTACTTAACGCCGTGATATGCACAAAGAAAAAGAAGAAAGAAAGTGATTTTTTTCTCAAAGAGAACCAATTTAATTAAGTCAACAAAAAGCACAAACGAAAAAAGGGAGGTTCACTGAGTGAGTAGAACAGTTGGATCTACAGTAGGCGGGCGTAAGAAGTTAAAAGGAAAACCGTAGAAACAAGAACGACAGAAAAATAAGTAAAATTGGAACAAGAAAAGTTGAAGACCAAACCCCGAAAACTGCCGTCAAAATGTTTTTTCAAAGTAAAAAGTAAGTGGTTTGCTAGAGTAAAAAATAAACTCTTTCAAAAATAAAAATAACTTCTTAAAATCTTGAAAAAATCACGAAACTCACAAAATGAACGATTTTTGAGGGATGAATGTACAAATGAGAAAGTTATCCCAAAATATTACCTTGAGAATCAATTACCGTCCAAACGAAGGCGACGATTTATCGCGTCGATGTAAGCCTGCAAACTTATTTTTGAAAAATGTACATTGGAAACAATGAAAAAATCGATAAAATATTTGTAACGGGGACCTGGTGGATTTGACAAAGAAACTGATCGTCGGTCTGCATGAGGTGGAGCAACGCCGAGGCGAACTGTAACAAGAAATAGCTTGAACGATGAGGAAGATGCAAGTTTCACTTGTTCCTTGTTCAGCGGAGGCGTGTTCGTGCCCGAGCCCATGACGAACGAGCTTTCAGGCGCTACCGATTCCGTCTGCAAACAACTCTAATACTTGAAATCCCAAAGGTTTGCACCTCAGCGATCTCTTGTTCGTTTTCGCCTTCGCTCCCGTGCACGGACCTAGTCGAAAAAGCAGCCAACGAAGCTGCGGATGGAGAGTTGGCGAAATCCTGAAAAATCTACCTATTCTGGGAACTTTTTTTTGAAGCATACATTCGATCTTCACAGAGTTTCTGATGACCAGACAGTGTATTACAGTATATTGAACCCTATTCGAGTTTTTACTGTTGCCCATTGTTTTTTTTTTCAGCTAGAAAACAGTTTGAAAACTTTTATTGATGTAATTTATCAAAAAACGAAGTTCGTAAAGTTTGTAAAATACTTATTTTTTCCATAACATTGATTGAAACACCAAAACAATTTGAAAATGATGATAATTTATCGTTTTCAAGTTCTAAATTGAAAATCCTATTCCTCAAGTTCATTCATATCGGGATTTCCTAATAAGGAAACTTTCCATGCAATTTTTATGACCAGAAGAAAATATTGGACCCACGGGCTAGTTTCATTATTAGATCCAATTTAACACTTCCTATTCAGAAAACCAAAAAAGATTATTTTCTACAATAGAAATACCTGAAAAAGGATGTTTTTCGGCTTGGCTGACTTCAGCAAATCTTTCTCCAACTCATCAGAAAGCATGGCAGTTCCTGGCTCCTGAAAAGTCAGTACCGTTCTGGGGAATCATTTATCCGAAATGCACCTTGAGAACGGTGCGAGGTTGTTCCTGGATCATGAGCTTTTGGAGGAGAACTGGCATTGAATTCGAGCTCCCTTCAGCTGACGTTTTAGTGACTGTTGATTTCCCATATCCGGTCTGAAATCGTATGCAAAATATTTAAAAAAAAGCGTTTTTGCGAACCCCAGCATCGAAATCTTTTGTTTCCACGTCGCTCACGTGTTTTATTTGATTGTGCTGACCTCCCTTGATCAGATCCAGTAGTTGCTGGCTTCGGCTATCCGTCGTATTGTTCGATTCTGCCGAAGTTTCCTCCAAAATGTTTGATAAGAAAGTAAAAAATAGCTTTTTACCGTTTTTTTCGTCTTTTCCAGTAGCTTTTCAAGTAGATTTGCGATTCGCGCGCAATCATCTTCTTCATAGAACCATAAAACATTAATCGAGCCTAAGCCATCTTTTTAATGAAATCTGAAAAACTGTTCACTCACAATCTTGTGTACATATGAAAAGGTATTTTTTGTCACTTTTGAACTGCAAATTGGGTCCGATAGGTACAATGAAATCTTCAGGGGATTGTCGATTTGCAATCAAAAAACTGAAAAAAAAATTAGCTTCAGAACAGAGGAACGAAAATGGGATCTAGCCTGAAAAACGGTCGATCGCAGCGTTGATAGACGAACATTGTTCCCTCGATATCCGTCTTCATCCAAGACCTTTTATCTTTTTGAAATTTGTACAATGCGGTGTGTGGTACCTAGAAAGAGATTCAATTAGGAGACCCAATTATGAATATCTAACCTTATCCAATAGTTTGTTGGCGCAAGGATCTATCTTTTGTATCTGTGCAAGATTTTTTGCTGCCAACTCTGCAGCTTTGCTTTTCTTCTTTGAATCAGCCATTTTTGTATCTGGAAACGTGAAGATTGAGTGACAGTTCAAGAAAAAATTGACACGGAAAAAGCGATAAGACCGATTCACGAAACTTTTAAATTAATTTGCCTTTTCTTTCACTGAATCATGTGATTCCAAAACATTTGTTGTCATGCGCCATGCTACAGTAAAAATACAATAGTTATGTTTAGCCGAAGAGCTCTTTTATTTTAGAAATTTAAAACCTAAAAAAAAAGGTTGAGGCGTTTGGTAAGAAAATATGTATCATTCGAGATTATTTTGCAAAATAGAACCACCAAATACAGCGTTAACACGTTGAAAAGAGAAGAACAACGCTTGTCAAAAATGTGTTTTGTTTTGGAAAAGCGAAGTTTTGTAATTTCAGGCCACGGTCTGCTTTTACGAATACGTTTTTCAGGCCATCGAGGCCCCAAACTTTTCAATAATTTTCTTTTGTAATGGTTCTCCTTTTATCATCGCAACATTTCATCATGCTTTGTGAACATGTGCCAAGAGAGGCGGCGCCTGAGGCACTCGCCCTCTCTATTGATTACAACATCACTCTGGCATGGCGCACTGCTAGCGTGCGCCACGAAATAAAGATTCAAGCCGAGTCGCTTAACCTCGCAAAACAAAATAACGCGGAAATGAGGGGAACATTTATTCCCGCGTTACATGGAGGTCCCGAGAACTTCCACCATATTCCATCCGGTGGAAGGTGAATTCCTGTCATTCCCCATATTCGAACTTCGACAGATTCTCGGATTCTGAATTACTTTTACCGCTACACCTATTCATATTCAACTATTTCTACGATTGGCAGTTTTCGTACTATCGTGTTCGGGTACGAGCGAGGCAGAAACCACTACAAGGAAAGGACGTGAGCGGCCAGATGAAGCAGAACTTGTGAGGCAATTTTAACGAAAAATTTGAATTTTATTGAGCGTCCTTGAATATTGTTAATTGAATTATTATTATTATTGTACTCATCGGATGGGGGGTGGGAAAGCAAACTGTGAGAGTACCGGCCAAGAAGCCTTGAATTTATTGATATTATTGAATGCTAATGATTATTTGGACCGAGTAGTGAAATTGTTGAAGAATTTTTTCTAAATCTACGTCATTGTTTCTGCCGCCCGATCTAGTTTACCAAAATGTTTATCTTCACTTCCTTTTATATCTATCTCATTGGCTGTTTAAGCTCAGTACCTGATTATTGGGTAAATAGTGTAAACTGAGCTAAGGTTCTGAAGAGTATTCATCTGCCATCGTTTTGATATTGTTTCTGAATCTGTATTTGTAACTTCAGTTGTTAGGCAAACTTGGCAAGCCAAAGTCCGGCACATTCCATCTGATTTTTATTTCACATGTTCACTTGAGAACCATTCTTTTAAGATCTTGAAGCCTCGAGGACGAGACTTTCGTCGACGCCCGGGATGTGGTGCTTTTCTCTTAAATTGCTCTAGTAATTTACTATGTTAAGTATCATCCATCATTCTTTTTAAAGCCTCGGGACGAGTCTTTTGTCCAGGGGTTGGATGTAATGGTTCTCCTTTTTATCATCGCAACATTTCATCATGCTTTGTGAACATGTGCCAAGAGAGGCGGCGCCTGAGGCACTCGCCCTCTCTATTGATTACAACATCACTCTGGCATGGCGCACTGCTAGCGTGCGCCACGAAATAAAGATTCAAGCCGAGTCGCTTAACCTCGCAAAACAAAATAACGCGGAAATGAGGGGAACATTTTTTCCCGCGTTACACTTTTTTTTTCTTCCCTTTCTCTTGCAAGAACAAGCTTGTTTAATGACGTGTTCATCGGACAAAACAAAAATTTTTTCGAAACGCAGAAAATTGCTCCAAAACAAAAATTAGTACTGTTTTGGAGCAACTTTGACGCGCCGATGAACACGATTTTTCGTTTTGAAGCATGTTCCGTTTCTCCGATGAACACGCCTTAAGAATTTTTGATCCATTTTATTCTTTGAATTTTATTTCCTAAAATTTTCACCGTTTCCTTTTCAGGTATGTATAAACTAGAGCCTTATTTTTCTTCGGAAATCAAGGTCCAACCCAAACAAACCATTTATAAGCTTCCTTCCTACCACGATGATTTGTCCGACGTACAAAATCCAGTTCAAGTTTGTTGATCTTGTTTTATTATTTTCATTAATTTTTTTCAAGGGGGAAGTTGATCCGGTGAAAGCATTAGAATTACGGCAACTGCGGCTGATTGAAGAACTTCAAAGCCAAGCGTTAAAACTAAACGAACTTTTAACCCAGAAAGGAAAATCAAGTGGTTTGTTTTTTCTTTGTTAGAATTACTGAACACTGGTTTCATAGCGCCAACTCAACACGAAGAATCAAAGAAGAAGAATGTTTCGGCGCCTGTTGCGGCTCAGAAGCTCTCCACACCTGAACCGAAGAAAGATGATAACGACACGAAGAAAAACAAAGATGCCAAGAAAGAAGCTCGCAAGGCAGCTAAAACAGAGGCCAAAAACAAGGTACGATCTTCTTTTTTTATTTGTCTAAAAACGCTAAAAGTTTTGATGAAATGGGTCGACGTACGAACAGTAGCTAAATAAAGTTTTTCTCTGTTATCAATGTAGAATCTACAGGTAGCTACCGGCGAACAGTCCGTCAGCAAATCTTCACACTCGACTTCTACTGGCTCGGATCTCACGTGGATTGTTTATGTTTGTGTGAATTTAGTTTTTCAACTTTGTCTTGAATCTTTCAGGAAGAGAAGAAAACTATCGAAACCGGCCAGTCTCTCACGGCCAACCTCCCACCTGCCTTGCTTTCCACGAAACCAAGTGGTACTAATTTCTTGTCACTTTTTATTTAAGCTATTTTTCCTCTAGAAACCGGTATCATTTCCCTCAAAGTGACAAAAGAAGACGAAGTCTGGCTCCAACGACTGGCCAACATCGGCGCCAAGCGAAAAGTCGCGTTTGAAGGATTTGTCGCCAATAATGTTAAGGACTCCAAGAATACAGTCCGCACTGAACAAGGTTTTTATTTTTCTTTTCTAGTTGTTTTGATGAAAACTTTCAGCCTCGAAAGTTGAGTTGTCTGGAGGATCCTGGAATATTTCATGTCGAGTTGCGATATGGAAAGTCCTTGGCGCGGCTCTTGGGATCTACTCGAATTCTTACGACCACGCCATTTCCTCAGCTCATCAACACCAGTGGCTCACAAAAGTGAAGATTTTTTCTTTCCTGAGAACAGTTTTCCTTTTCCAGACAAACAGAGCTCTTTCTGGAAAAGGCGACCTGGACTATCTGGTTCGAGAAGCCAGCCAGTTCCTTTCTCGGTTTGATGCCCTTTCTGGCCTCTTCGAAATTTCCTTGGCTGACGTTGTCCTCAGGTTTGATAATTCAGAATATTCAATTAGTTCAATCTCAAAGGTCGTCAATTTATTTAAACTTTCTTCGTGCATAAATGATTTTCGATTAGTTAAAATGGGTAAAAGCTACCATTCAGCCCAGAGTGTTCTGAAACAGAGAAAAGAAGATTCTATCCACTCAATATTTGGATGTGTTTCACTGAGGTTTTCATTTTCCAGAAGTGTTCTGACGCAGAAAAATCAACCAAACAACGTGGAACTTTGGGCTAATCGAATCGATTCGGTAACGAATTGAAAATAGTTTATGAACTTTTTTATTTTCACCTTTTCATGATGTCTCCCATAATTATTAGGTACGAAAAAATTCACCTATTTTGTTTTGTCTTTCCAATTTTTCTTCATAGCCGGTTATTGTTATTAACTTTTTGTTTGGTGTTTTCTTGTTGAAAAATAAATTATGATAAATTGGTTATGTAAATGCTGAGAATTTCTTGTTCCTATCAACTATACTTTTGGCGTTTCTTTCAGTATGATATTCGAGCTCATTGGACCTTGCAGCCAATATGCCGTTCATGCACGGTTCGATGCCGCTACGGCGGACTTTTTTCTATTTGCAGCAGGGTAAAATTAAGTTCCGCGACAATGTGCAAGTCTTCGCCATAGGTTTCCATCGACGGCCCAACGAGCAACAGGTTTTCTTTCCCTTTGAGCTTTTTGTCATTTCTATGTTCAGATGGGCGCTCGGGACTTTGTTTATTGGCATTGGGCCCAACTTCAGTATCATAATTCCAAAGTTCAGTTGGTTAAGCACGTCGACAAAGTGATTACTCCTTTCGCCAGAGCATATCTGAGTTCGTTCAGCCTGCGAATCGATAGTTTCATTCATACCTGTCTAAAGAACAAAAGTCTTGAAGAGAGCTGACCTAACGAGACTCACATTCTCAAATTAGTCAAAAAATTGCAGCTGACGGTAGAGAAATGTTGTTTGACTTGGAAGGAATGCAGCGAGAAGAAATCGAGGAAACTTTGGCCAGAAGTCTTGGCAAAACAGAGTTGGTCGAGCGACGCGAACGCCTTGAAAGTATCGCCAAGTTGAATCCAGCGGACTTTGGATCTAAATCGGAAAGACAGGTGCTTTTTTATTTTCTTGGTTGAAAATGTGATGTTAAATACCAAAATCTCCTTGAGGTTATGTTGATTCTCCCAAAAGGTTGATTCGATATGAAGATATTTCGATATTGCTTCTTTTACTGCAGCTGTGATCCAAAAAGCCCAACTATAATCTAGGCATGATAATAAAAATAAAGGTTTTTTAAAAGCTGGATACTTTTTTCTGTGTGAATGGTAGGAAAAATTTTGTAGGGATCTTTCAGACTGGTGTTGTTTTTCTTAGGTCCAACTAGTAAGTTACTACAGAAAAATGATAAAAAGACTCTCACATTCTCACATGTCGGAATAGCTTGGTAAAAACATTTCTGTTCTTTGAGAGCGGTGACGTCGACAGCGTTCTGCGGAAATTCATTTTGTTCGATTTAATGTGCGCTATGCATCGTTTTGTTCGTACAAGAGAAAAAAGGATATCGAAATGAATGGATTCAGAAAAAGTCTCAGAATAGTATGACACTGCTTTCAGTGCATCTGCGAAGTACAAGGACAGCATCCGTGTACGGCGTTACTCCACGCTCCCAAGTGCATGACGGGCAAATGGCGATGGAATCATAATCTCATTTAGATCTGCCTACTGTACATTTTTCTTTTTCTTAGAATAGCTGTATTTTGTCTTTTCCACCTTGTTTTCGTTGTTTCTGGATGAATTTGTGCCTCAGAGTCTCCATATTTAGTTGCACAACAGAAAAAGTACGTTCTAGGCTTAAGGATTAAGCTGGACTGGTCATCGAAAGGAAACACGGCCGGGTACATTCGTCTCGCACGTTCTCAATTTCGTGGGTTCACCGGATCCGTCTCGACGGGTAAACACTCGTTTATTTGCATAATCTGCAGTTGAATTTTTCTTCCCATTACGAAAATCTCCACACGGCTTTCTACTCAAACCTTCTGTCTTATAATAACCAAGCTTGTGATTATTATTTTTTTAATTAGAAATTTGAGCGTCTCGTGATGATTCTTTGCCTTTCTTGATTTAAAACCTAAAAGATCCAACCTGCAAAATCCCGTTTTAGTCCAAAACAAGCTTCTAAGGAGTTTATTTTTTGAGATGTTTTAGCGAGTCAACACAAGGAAAACAAACTGTGATGTGCAAAAATAATGTTCGTAAACTTCAATATGCCCCTGCAGGCTTCATTTTTTTACTAAAAAAAAAGAAAGTTGGCCTTATTTCGGTTTACCAGCCACTTTCTAAGCTTCTAAATCTCTCTCGGCTCTGGACAATATGGATTCGATTTGAGAATGTTAACTCGTCATTTTTTCTTGACAAATTTGAATGTCTTCGCCGGGCGGTGACATTTTCTGGGTGAAAAAAAAACGGATGAGTAACCGCCACCAGCTGCCATGTCACTATTCGCTGCCTCGACGTTTCCCTCCTCTTGTTGTTCTTGATTGAATTGGCTGCTCGAGAAATTAGTCGTTGCAGCCGTCGGGATCTGAACAAGGTCCTCGAAAGGAACAAAGCTTTCCGCGGGTCCAAAAAGTGCACCCGAACGCCTGCTCCTTTTTATTATAGCAGTTTATGGCCTCCTCCTGAGCTGTAAAAGAGATGTAGAAATGTTCCACATCATCCTCTTCCCGTTAGAATAGGCTTACTATTTCTAAATTTATCTTTGTCCCTAATTTTGGTCTCTTAATTCGTCAACATAATCAATTTATTACCAAAGAACAAAATTCAATACAAAATGTGTTATCGGAGAGTTCGAAACCTGGCGATGGGCGTTTTTTGCCCATTTTATCGCTTTACGAGCTCGTGTCGCGCTTTTTGCCATTCCAATCGTTTCCATTCAAAATACACACGCCTGTCAATCCTGTCAAATGCCGCTTTTATGGGAAAACCACCGCCGCCGCCACTTCTTCCTTTTTCCTTCCGTTTCGCTCGACTTTTTATGATGTTTCAACTTTTTGACTTTTTTATTTCTTGATTTAACGAGAGAAAGACTTTAAGAAACACAAAAACATTTCTTCGACATGAAAGTTCAACCAAGAGTTGCTTTTGGTTTGGGAAAGCCTCGAAGAATTCGAAACAGGCCTCAATTCTCCGCGATTTCTCATCATCATCGATTACTGCGTATCATTTGAAGTGCACGAGAAAGCGAAAAAGATATTCGTAGATTGTATTTTTTTTTACTATGTAGAAGTGCTCGAATCTCATAGCCTTTCTATGTATACTATCAGACTTTCTTCTCATTTTTTTAATATTGCTTTGGAAATTTCTGAGCAAACAAAGCTTTCTTTTCTTTCTTTCACCTTCAGGTTCTCAAATAGTCCCAACTTTCTTTTCTACTGTCTTTGACTATCTAACTGTCTCGAAGGAAATTTGACTCGCCGTCAAATCCTTCGCATCTTCTGTCCAACCGAGATTGCGACCTTCTTAAGCCTTGGAGAGATTCTAGTTCGAAATGACTGGAATTTGCATGCACCTACAAACAGCCTAAGACACTGGGGACTGAGGAGACGTTTGCGGAAGAACGAATTCGCCGACTGCGTTTTCCCAGGCCCCCGAATTGCCATATGGCCATTACTAAGCCACGAAATGCGATTTTCGACGTGTTCTCCGCCTTTTCTGTTGACTTTTTCGCTTTTCACCCCCTTTGTATTTATTTTTGTTTGTTTCTGCTACCGGCGGTCCAACAGGACCAAAACATAACAAACTCTTTTCCGCTCTTTGGCTTGTCTTTGACTTTTTCCAGAATCTTATTGCTTTTTAGGTTTAATCGATAGAATTTCAAGAAACAAACCAGCTCAACGCCTACAGAAAAAGTAGTCAGACCAAACCGTGTTCGACACGGCCTTTTATTCTTCTTTTTTGAATGTATTATTCAGAATCAGTTAGTCTGCCAGGACAAGCCTTCTTGTTTCGAATGGATTCCAAATTTAACTTTCAAGTAGGATAAAGTCCCTCTGAGATTTTCTCAAAATGCGTCAGAAACGGATATTTTCTGAAAGAGTCACCGTATTTCATCGAAAAAATAATTTTTGAGAGATATTTTGAGAAAGCATAAAATGAGAACAGCTGAGATTGTCGATGGAACAGATTCGAAAGAAAAAGGGAATGGCTGTATCAGAAAGATTGCGCGGGCTTTCCCTGAGGATAAGCTGGCAGGAATCAATGATAAAGACCTGTTGTCACTCGGCGCCGCCCCCAGCAGGTCTCTTGACCGTCCACGCACTTCTTTTTTCCTCTTTTTTCGGCCGGCTTATCTCTCCTTTCCTTGTTTTTCTCCAGGTTTTTCTGCCACTTGAACCCTTCTTTTCTTTTTGCGATCTTAATCAATTAAAAATTTTTCTCCCGTTTTTTGGATACGAATGAAAAATCAATCTGTTCGAAGGGGAAGGTCATTTTGACTATAACTTCCAACATGTCTGAAACATGGGTAAATACTCATGTGATAGATGTCTCAAAACAAAGGCTAGTACACATTATTCCCTCAAACGATTTCTCTTTTCTTCTGATTTCTTTTGACGTGCAGTCACAACTTTCAGCAGAGAATTCACGTTTCAGAGATTCGGGTTGATGGTCTGAGACGATGGTGGTCGTGCAGCCGACGTCGCTGCTCGAGAGAGCCGACCTGAGCCGACCGATTCCAGAAAACGTTCGGAAGCTGGCGCAGGTCGTCGAGTACGACGAGAGTCGCGTCGAAATGGGCGTCAGTCGTTCTTTTTTCTTTCTTTTGTCACGAGGATCCGACCGCAGTTGTTGATGACAAAACCGCGACGCCGAAATCGGGGTTATGCCTGTTTTATGGCAGCCTCCCATTCATTTTCTACCGTCACTGGTCTTTCTTTGCAATATGTAGACCTCTCTCTTCGCCGCGGTAATTCAACCCCAACAACGGCGATCCGGTAGATCAAACAAACGGCCAACAATTGGCTAGAAAACAAGCGCGTGTTTTTTCGAGACCGCTTCCTGTGGTAGACTTTGACTAGGAAAAGCGATGAATTCATGATGAAAATTTAGCTAAAGTTCTGTATTTATTGATCAGCATACAAAAAGAAGTTCTGCTGAATATAAAATGAGCTCAATCAACTTTGAAACTATTTAATTTTAACAAAACCCATGAATGATTATTTCCGAAAACTTTTAGAAAACATTCAAGTGAATTTGGGAAGAGCTTTAGTGGTCACTTAGGAGTTTTCTGACTTAGGTGGCCACTAAAATCAACTGTACAGAAGCCACTATAGGGGCCTTTTGTTGAGAGGAGTCATGCTCTAACATCTGACTTCTTTCTGGATGAATCGGACAGCGAAGTTCCGTCAACGCAGCCATTAATTCGACTACTATGGTGGTCACTAAAACCTCAAAACTATAAAGTGGCTTCTTAATTTTTGGTCTGTTAAACGGATGATGAAGCTGAGTTATGAAACTATGAAAAAAATATTTTTGTTTTTCAATGAGTTTAATTTTTTTAATAATCCAAAATTGTTTAGGAATTATTGTCGGTAGCTACCATCGTAACAACAGTCATAAAACGTTTTTCAACAAAAAAGAACTTGAATTTAAAACTCAACAAGACCTTTTTCAGTCGCACTCGGTGTTTGTGAGAGAAGCCAGACCTCCAGGAGCGCACTACGCCAAAGCGGCCGTCGTTTTTCTCCACGGACAGTCGTTTTCCTCGGCGACTTGGCTCGAAAACAACATCCTAAGGTTGGATTCCTAGGAGAAACCTAAAAAACATGAGGTTTACAGAACTTTCGCTGCTTTGGGATACCGAGCGGTGGCTCCAGACTTGCCAGGATCAGGTCAGACTCGAGGAAGAGCTCTCCGTCAAGAAGAAAAGTCTAGCTTCCTTGTTGATTTTATTGGGACTCTCGGCATCAAACAGGTATAGCTTTTGGGTTGGTCTTCACATAGATTCCGTAAAAAATCTTTTAAACCGTTTCCTTTTGATTTCTGTCTCTTCATTAACTTCATCCCCTTCCTTTTCAATTTTTTTCCTTCTGATGAAGTTTTCTGCTTTGATAGTTGATTTTTTTTTCTTCTTCAGAAAATGGTCAGTGATCTGGCGGATTTGCTCAAAAAGTATGCGATTTTTTGATTTTTCATTAAGACCTTGAAATCGCCATGAAAAGTTCTGCGAGATGGCGTTTTCATTGCCATTCTGGCAAACTTCTTTTAGGAGTTCGCCAGACAAGAATTAAAAATGAGTGGTTGAATGAAAAATTTTTCGAGAATCTTCATCAGATTGACTACGAGTAAATCTTCGACCCGATGAGTATTTTATTCCGATCGATGAAATTTTCAAATGGTTTTTGCAGGTGCTGGTTGTGTGTGCCTCGATGTCGGCGCAGTACGTCCTGCCGCTGCTCTCGACAGAACGTCTGACTTGCGTCGTGGCGGTTGCGCCGTCGAACACGCACGAAGTGACGGAACCGACGACGTGCACGACGCCTGTCCTCGTCGTCTGGGGCGACCGCGACACTTCCTTGGGCCCGACGGCTGCCGCCAACCTCCGACGTCTCCCTCACGCCCGTCTTCAGAAGATCCCCGACGCCGGCCACGCCTGCTATCTCCACAATCCGACCTTCTTCGAGGAAGTCTGCGTCAACTTCTTCGAACTCGTTCGCAACTATTCCGGTATCTGATGAGATTTCTGTGATCAAAAGTTTATAGCCTACTTAGTGAAAACTGAGTAGACTATAAACTAAATTTATTGAAGCCTATATTTTGAATATTTTTGTACACTTTGTTCTGTAGGTCAATTATTTTTACAAAGTTTCCCGGTGGCACCTTTTATCCAATACCTCCGAGGCTTCGTTAATTCTTGAAAGATCACAAAGTTGTTTTTTTCCGAAATCTTTATTTTTCAAGTTGAAAACCGGTATCTTTAAATTTTTTTTTTCTTTTTGAAATGGTCTAGTCTTCTACTTTGTTTGGTGTTGTTTAAAAATGAGATTAAAATGAATTTTTGAGTTTTTATGATTTCTTTTTTGGTACATTAAATACACGAAGCGATGCAAGAAACCAGAAAAAAAGTGATGAGAAATGGCAAGAGATTGGTGGTTTGAGTGCCACCCAACACACTTTCAACGTAACGTTTTATGTTAAATAATGGCAGTGAATAAACTATCTATTAACGTAAAGTTTCTTTTTCCACCAAGTTTTTTTTCTTTTTCATAA